CGACCCGGTTTTAGATCCGTTTTGTCATTTCAGACTTCAGACAAGTTCCTTTCCTCTGATGTGGTATCCCTGTCTGAAATTAGATCACCTGTTGAAGATGAAAAATTGGAAAGCGGAGACACCATCCAAGTCCAAACCCAGCTGTAAAATCATCACTGTGGCGGGTTTAAAATCAGTGTTAGGAAGGTCTTCCCTGGAAAAGTCTGAAAAGTCTTGGTCTGGACGGCAGCAGATGTTGCTCCAGAAGTTTCAGCATTAATGGACCTTTTACAGATGAATCCAAACACCATCGCAGACATAATCCGACATGAAAGAGCAAACACAGAGGTCTTAAGTTTAGATTTAGAGATCACAGTATATCCAGCTCCGCTTAGATCCTCCAGAAGACTGTGTGTCCATGATTTCCAAAATGAAAGTTGAGTTTCCTCGTCTCAAACGGACTCAGACCTGCTGTGTTTCTGGTTCATGTTTACTGTTTCCTTCTCACACAGAGCAGATTAAACCTGCATCTGTGGATGAACCTTGTTTAACTGTGTTTTCCACAACAGAGTCATGTTTAAATTTTTAACGCACTGCTGTTTTTCAGACTTGATTTCCACTGATTTTTGTCTCTTTTAAAGCTCATATGTGCTAAAGATGATGAAATCCACACATTAGCGCAGTTTAACCCCCAATTTCCACCGCATCCAGAACGGCTACAAAAAGGCTGTATCCGCCGATCGTAGCTGATCGTAACCATTCAAGTTAACGTGTCAATTTCCACCGGCTTCTTTTCATTCCGCTGTGGATTGCCGAAATCCGCAGCTGATCGCTCAAGTTCTATTTTTTCCGGACGCCGGAGCATGGTGGATAAATTCAGCACAGATTAACTTGTGCTGGAAAGGAAGTCGGGCACAGACACAAAATAAAACATCTGGTTTTTAAACGTCATTTAACCCTGATGACACCATGGATGAGGAGATGCTGATTATAGAAGTCTAGAAGTAGATTTCCTCCTCTGGAAGGACACAGTCTACTGCTTATATGGTTAGACTATGTGGCTAAAGACAACTTGTTATCGCGTGATTGCTCGTGAATCCACGGGGTTCTTCGCGCTGTCCGTAATCCGCCATGAAAACAGATCAAGTAGGAATTGGCGGACGGCAAAGATCACGACCGTCAATGCAGTGAAAATTGGGGGTTATGCAGAAGAACAGAAATCTGAAAACGTGGACCCATTAGCGTCTCAGCCTCTCTTGGTGCCTTTTTTCTATCCAGTCATGTTTCTAACCTGTTTTAAATCAACCTTTTTAGTTTGGAGATTATTTCTCTTTAATTGTCTGAACTTTTTCAGTGTTCTGTCGAGGCCCTCGCAGCTTTTTGTGAAACAGTTTGAACATCTGATCTTCCGTCTTTGTGTTATTTTCTATTAAAAATCAAGTTTGATTACTTTGCAAAGCATTAAAAATCCGTTCTATCTAACATACCTTTTCAACATTTTTAAATTACCTAGAAAAATGAGAGTTACTGCAGCCTTAACATTCCTGATTTTTATAATTAACAAACTCTGAGTGTCACAGTCAGATAAGAGGAACAGAAAATGAGCAAAGATGGAGGAAATAAACTCTCTGGTCTTGATCTCGTAATGACATTCACATTAAAGGGAAATCTAACCTTTAATGTTTCTTTATGGTTATTATTTTAGATAATGCTTCTTCCTGTGATAAATAATCCTCTTTGGCATGTGTACTGTGAAAATGTGACATCCCTGATTGCCCTTTGTGCGGCGAACGCCGCTCCAGCTCTTGGATCCGCTCGCTAAGGTCAGGGTGGCCATCTGCTCCTCCATGTCCTCAACGTGAACAATTGCCAGCTGACTCCACACCTCCTGCAGAGATTCAGAAACGGCTTCCATCTTATCTGCAACCTCCAGCCAGACATATTATCATCCTTATGCAAATACGTTCCCTCTGCCAAGGATATTACCTTGGCAGCTCTGTGCAGGTTTGTGGAGAATAATTAAAGATTTTTTAGCGTAAAGCGTGAGCAGCTCCTGCAACGTCTCGGTCTGTAAATGCTCTTAAAGGAAGGGGTCACATTAGGGGTCACACAAAGATCCATATCTGGTGTTGAATCCATGCTTATCTTGTTTCTAAAACTCCCACATCGGTGTTATCTGAGGCTCTTTTCAGAGGGATAATCTTGACATAGATGATGGAGGCCATGAAGAAGAGAATATGACACATCTGCTCCGAGTCGCCTCCTCTTCCCCTCTCCTGATTGCTCTCAGCCGTCAGAGGAGACAAGCCGCCCGGCCTCCTTCAGACTCCTATCAGCCTCCACATCTCGGCATGTCTCCTTGATACGTCCTCCTGGACTCTATCTCATCCACTCCTATACAGCCCTCAGACTTCAGCCGCTTTTATCTGCAGCACTCTCCCCTGACTCGATCTTTCCTGACTCCTCCAAGTTCAGCCCCCATATGATAAAAAACAGGATCCGGCAGCCTTGATGTCCTCCCTGCGCTCTTCAGCCTGACCGTGCTCTTTGTAGTTCACTGACGGGAAATCGACAGAGAGGAGATCAGACGAGGGAGAGGCTCTTGTGGTGTGACAACTTTAATTTTAACCAAGACTATTCCTGTAAATCTGCTTCTCTCCAAAAAAGAACCTCTGCAGCCTGAACTCATCCTAAATTCAGTTCGCTTTGTTTATCTCTATATTTGAACACATCGGATTTATACGGCGGCCGAGAACCGCCACTGCTGCAAATAAAAAAAAAGAATGCAAAAAAAAAGAAAACACAATGGAAGATACTGATGCGAAAAAAAAAGAAACTGAAGCTTGCAGTAAATAAATAAATAAAAAAAAACGGTGCAGAAAAAAAACCAAAACTGAAGTTAATAATGCAAAAAAAGCATCAATGGACAAAAAGAAAAAAGTTACTTACTGAGAAAATAAAAGGATGCAAATACAAAAAGCCACAACGGAAGTGAGCTGCCAGGGACCAATAATATTTTTGCTGTAACTTTTTTTTTTTTATCTCCACTTTTTTCACATCCGTAACTTCGTTGTGGCTTCAATTTGCATCCTTCTAGTTTTTATTTATTTATTTATTTGTTTTATTTATTTATTTTGTATCTACAGTCTTTTGCATCCTTTTATTTTGGAAGTAAGTAATTTTTTTTTTTTTGCATCTCCACTTTTTTTGCGCCGTTGACTTCCGTTGACTTCCGTTTTGTCTTCTTTTTTTTAACTCTTTTTTATTTTTGCAGTAACTTTTTTTTCCTTTGCACCTTCACCTTTTGTGTCGGTAACTTCTGTTGTGGCTTCTTTTTTTTGCATCCTTTTATTTTTGCAGTTAGTAACTTTTTTTTGCATCTCCACTTTTTTTTTGCGTTAGTAACTTCCGTTGTGTTTTTTTTTTTTTTTTTTTTTTGCATCTCTACTTTATTTTGCGTCGGTTACTGCTGTTGTGGGTTTTTTGTTGTTGTTGATTTCCTTTTTATCCGCAGCAGTGGCGGTTCTTGGCCACCGTAGATTTACTCAGTGATGAGCAGCACATGCAGTTTTCATGAGAAACATCTGTCACTGAGGTCCTTGAATGTTTCACTTCATGTTAAATCTGCTGTCACAGATGGTTCAGATTTGAAGAACTTAAATGGTGAAACTCGACCATAATAAATGAAAATTCGACTTTTTTATCTGAATTTTTAAGCAGTATTTCTTTACAGCCTTGACCTGCATTATTATCTTTGTCTGATCTAATTCATTCACTCACTCATTCATCGATCACTTTATCCGATCATCACAAAGAGGTTTTCTTAAACTGAATTACAGCGACTGCATTCAGAAAGTGTTTTTTCTTCACTCAAAACGTCAAACTGAATATCATCCTGTTCATGAAAAAATTTACTCTCAATACAGGAAAGAAAATTCTCATCGTCATGAAAACATGACAGCGTTGGCAGCCGGAGTCAAGGTCACGGGTGAAGGACGCAACGCTGCAGAGCTCCAACCACAACAACAACAGCAACCCTCCGACTGAGGAGGTTTTATGAGGAGGTAGTAAAGTTTATAAGAAGACCATGAGCCTCCCTCCACCTGTGCTTTAACAGGCCACAGATCACCCACAATATAGAGGGATAACTCAAGTTTATCACAGGATGGTCTCATTTTTGTGGGCCCTCCATCATTTCGATCATTTATGATCGTATCAGACCGAGTTTATCCCACAGATCATACGGAGGACGCTAAAAAAGTCTGAAAGGGAGTGAAAATGACGACAATCACAGACTCCAGTTTGTTAGAGAGTTTGTGCCCCTCCAGAGAAGAAGAAACACAGTTATAGAGGAGACACGGCGGCTGACGCTTCATGGATTACTCAGATTACTTTGAGTTTTTACCGTCAGCTGTTTTCTTGTTCAGTCTCGTCTGGTTTTAAATGCAGATCAACCCAAACTCATGATATTCACATGGAAAGACTCATCACTGACCGTCCACTCCTCCTTAGTCCTGCTGTGTCAGACTGAGTTAAACACTGAGAGCTGCAGCAACTTGTCTGCATGTAAACCTCCCACTAGAGGGCAGTATCAGACTCTCCAACTGAGATATTCTTCAGAAATTGATCAAAAATGTTAAATTTATTCGTAAATTTATTCATAGATAGCGTCTCACTGAGTGACATTTTAATTTACTCTAGTTTTAAATTATGTTTTTTTTTCAGCTGAGTTACTTTTTAATTTCTGAAAATGCTGTTTTAGTTTTTTCTAAAGCTCCTTTTGGTTTGTGAGAGTTTTGGCGCCCCCTGTGGACAAAGCCATCTATGCTTATCTTCATTGCGTTTACACCATAGGTCAAACCCTAGGCTTTTACCCGACCAAACATGTTTAGGTGATTTTCATGATGTTGCGTTTGTCTGAGTATCATGGGTCCCTGGGTGGCTTCAGCATTTCCTTTGACATCTTTGAAGACATATTTGTTTGGTACGTCACTTCCGGGATCGTCACTGAGGGGTGTGGTTTTGGGATGTTTGGCGAGTTATTTAAATCTCACAGGTGTAATCAGACAGTTGATTTTTGGTCAGCTCTGATAATTTTCTGTTGACCGTTTTTGACCGTTTCTCATCGTTTTTCAGTTCTTCATTCATTCATCCTGTTTTATCCTCATTTCATCACATCACCTTTCCAGTTGAAGGCAAAAGCATTGGACCTAGATCAGCGTGTTTTCTTTCCTTTTTTGAACAATAATTCATTTTTTAACACTTAAACCGGACTGATCATTCAAGCGAACCTAAACCCCAGCAGTCTTTTGTGTTGAAGGAAAGCAGTCGCTACATATTTATTGAGAAAAATATCAAACAGAGCTGTTTTTCACCTGTTTGAGTGATACATGCCCCCTCTATACAGATTAAAAAATCACAGCATGAAAATCCTCACTCTGTTAACTGGTGGTCTTTGCTTTTGTACAGCATAAAAAGGCATCTTTATGAATTTAAGTCTATTTCATAAACATCAAAAACTCCTGACCGCAGCTTTAATTCACCAAAAACACCGAGTGTGTTTCTTCCTTTTCCCTTCGGCTCTGTTCCCGGGTTATAACACTTGATTTAAGTGTGAAGTCTCAGCAGCAAACACTCACAAAGTGAGTCAGCCTCCCTCCTGTGATTGGCAACTGAACTAACATGTGATTTCCGGCCTCTTATCAAAGAGGAAAACACATCACTGGCCTCTATAAAACACAATAACCTGTAATCACTGCTCCCTCTTTGTCATCTGCCCTGAAATGAATCAAGACTTTGAGATGGAGAGGAGTGAAAGAAACTGATTCAGGCTCCAAAAGGAAAAGGCCCGGTCAGATCGATGTCCCCGCTGTGACATATCACTGTTTAACCTTCCTGCAGTCTCTCTGAACATCATTTCACTCACTGTGCTGCTCTGGAAATGAAGTCCTCCCACTCCTGAGACCTTTCACCTACACTCCGCTGCTGCTGCTGCTGCTGCTGCTGCCAGAGAGAGGAGAGGATGGAGACCCGGGATGACTCTCACTCCATCTGTATGTGTGCATCTCAACTTAGCAGGCTTCTTTCTGACCCTGAGTGGATTTCTGCATCTGCAAATGTAAAAAAGAAAAAAATCAGAACAGCAGAGGGAGGAAAGAGGTGCTGAGAGAGTGACATCTGTTGGACAGAGGAGGAACTGCATGTGAAGGAAAAACTGGGAATGTAAAAAAAGGGGATTACCTGCACAGGTGAGTCCCTGACCCTCGATTTAGAGGAGGATTTGCTCTTCAGGTCCTCTGGTATCCAAACAGATTTAAAGACAGAAGTCTTAATAGAGGATTCAAGAGGTAAACTTCTAACTGAGCATGCACCAATGGATGTCTAACACCTGTGCCGAGCTGGATTAATTACGTTTCTTAAATAAGAGCTGAGAAATCCAACTTTAAACTGCTCATGCGCTCATGGATCTTCTTGGGAGGGTTTTCTTGTTTCTTGTTGAGTGATCACAGTGGATGGATAAGCACCGCTACACCTCCGACCTCCAGGATAAGTTCTGCTTGAATGATAAAATTAAAGAGGTTTCTTTTAAGATAATACACAGAATATATCCAGAAAAGAGATTCAACCTCAATATTGAGTATTCTTGTGTGTTCTGTGGTTTTGAGGAAGAAACAAAAGAATTGTTTTATCTCTGCATGTTTTCTAAAATATTCTGTGTGGATATGCAAAATTACATTTATACGAAAAAAAAACAGGAAAATTAACCACCTAAAAGACAAAGAGTCAGTCTTGCAACACTTTCTAAATGTATGTAAATGTGACGTGTTCCTGCTGTATTTGTCACTTTGTCTGTTTGTACTGTATATATGTTGTCAACCACCTGTCATGATCTGTCCTGCATCCTGCATCAAAAAAACCACATCGTGCTGAAAGTTATTGACCAAATAACGTTCCCCCTTTCATCATATTACACAACTTTTCAGTTTTTTTGTTGCCTCTGTACAAACTTTTGGAAATTTTCCCATGAAACAATAAAAATTCGATTTCAGAAAAAAAAGAGAGACAGAAAGAGAAAGAGAGAGATTTTGTTTTTTGTACAGTTACTTCCTTTTCTTGGGAAATTTCACAAACACAAGAAAAAATGGACTGACCCTAACCCAACTTTGAAAGCTGGATTACTTTACACAAAACCCATATCCAAATGTATTATGCTAAAATATAATGTTAGTTCTTTTAGTTAACTGAGTGTCATTTGTAGTACTATAAAAATCTCGAGAAAATTAAATTTTTTTTTCCCCCTTAGGGGCTCCGTAGCTTTAGATTGTTTGTTTGTTTTATGGTATATTTATATTGGTATATTGTAAAATGTAATAATGAAAATAAAAAATAATTATAAATTTCCTCTCTCCTGAATGTGTCTCTATGGAGGGAACTATTCAATTCAAAAACAGCAATGCCCTCAAGCCAGCCCCGGCGTTATCATTTATATTTTACTGTCGCTCTAACTAGTGTGAAAAAAATATAAAATATGTATAAAGTTTATATCAAAGAAGAGTCAAACTAACACCTGAGACCAAAAACATGTTTTAGAAAAATGTTTTTGAAGTAAAAATTAAAGTTTAAATAGACTGAATTTCTGTTAATGTCTTCCTGTTGTGCAGAGGAGTCGCCCCCTCCTGGCCATCAGAAAGAATGCAGCCTGCAAACCGAGACATTACATCCACTTTTTAGAGTTATTTTGATTAAATAAAGATGAAATTAAATTCATTTAGAAGAAAAGACGCAGACTCCAGGAATTAGAAACAAATCTCAGCCTTTATTGGAATGTTGCAAGGCATTAAATACACAAATCCCATTCTTTAATAATTTGGTATTTAATAATAAAAAAAACTTCTAGTCTAACAATACTGGTCTGACAGTCTCTCTTATTTCATCTTTAAAACCTCCATTAATCCTCTCTTTTTCCTTTTTTCACTGCATCACAGAGGTGGAAATCCTGACACGGCCTGAAGTGAAAGCAGATGTGATTGAAACGAACTTTTGGAAAATTAAAGGGCAGACGGCGATGAAACGGGGGTAATGATAGAAGAAGAGAAAATACTGCGTATCAAAGCTGCACCGTGGGATAAAACAGTCTCTTTCTGGTTCTGATATTTATTGATTTCACCCCTGATACCCCAAGTTTGACGTATAAAAAACTTTAGTATGAAATATAAACAAGCTCTTACTGTCGTACACAGACGTGTGAAGTCAAAATGAAAGGAGACAAGAATATGTTCTGAACTCATCAATGATCTCCTGCCTGGACTTTTGAGTAACATAAATATGTTCTGGTGTCAGGAAACTTCTCTTAATGTTTGTGTCCTCACGCACCACCACCATCTTCATCATCATCATCATCACCATCTCTATCATCGGGACTCCCTGCATGTTCGACAGATCCAGAAATGTTCCTAATCTTGTTTGGCTTGCAAACCATTTCCCTCATTTTGAAAGAAAGAAAGAAAAAAAACAGAAATAAGGAAAAAATAAAGAAACATTCACGATAAATTTTCCAGCCGTTTCGTGTTTGGTCTGGCCTCTTTTCTTTATTTTTATTTTTATTTTTTTTTAAATTCTGGATCGACCTCTCGCCTCCAAAAAGCACAGAAGCACCATCCTCCTCCTCCTCCACCTCCTGAGCCTGTCTGTCATTAACAAAGCCTAACTTCACCTCCTCTGACTCCACCCATACTGCAGCCCCCACCCTTCCCGCCGCCGCCGTCAGACTCCAGAGTTAAGACATGACTCCGAACACGGGGTTGTGGCGACAGATGCTCGGCCCGATCTCTTCGTAGTCCTTTTTGGTGTGGCAAACCTGGTAGAACTCGGGCTGTGGACACACGGAGAGGAAAGGCAGTTGGAGTTGAGTTCACAGCTTTCATTTTTATGACGTTTCTAAAGGTGTAAATAACTTCATTATCAGGTGAGTTCTGGAGGAGAGACTGCTGGGATTGGTGAGTTTAGAGGTGGGGTAGTCAGGATCTGAGGAAGCGTTAGTTTTTAGGAGAAATCTTGAATGTAAACTCTACCCCTCCTAACCAGTTTTTTTATCAACTGTGGAGTAGGACCTTTAGAGTCAGAGACTGAGGACAGATTTGGTTTATTTGCATGATCGAACAAAGGTCATGGAGAAATATCAAAATACATTAAAGTGCGCTTCATAACCAACTTAAAATTCCTTACAGGAGCTTTAATTTGCCCCGTATTCATATTGATTTTTTAACTGTCTCTGTAAAGTAGCGTTACGTTCCTACAGCATCAACAGAAATCATTAAAAGTACATCTCTGTCCTGCAGGTTCGTCATGTATTTCTTAAAAAGCTGCTGTTGCCCTGGATTTGTAAAAGACACACTCAGAAGATCGATTTTCACCATGAATGTGTCATCATGTTGTTTTTTTCGGAGCTTGTTTCTCCTCTGAAGAATCCGGCTACAAAGAAAAGGCGAGCTCTTCTCCTCATTTCAGCGATTTCAGCGGGGTTCTTAGGCTCTAATTAGCCTTTGGAGAATAAAGTGTCGGAGACCTTTGCTCCTGGTGACATTTCCTGCTGATAAAATCATCAGCTTCCTTCACACTAATAACTCAGCCAGGGGGAGATAATGATGTGCCAACACCCACAGAAGTCACTTCCTCTCAGACAAATGAAGACTGAACCAAAGTGCACGTCCTTCACTCTCACACGCTCTACTTTTGGTTAATCTTAAAGTAGAAATCAACATTTTTATCGTGATATAAAAACGAGTAAACGCAGAAAGAAAGAGGTTTGAGATACTCACAGTTGATGCTAACATTGATCCACCGAACCAGACTGCATATCTCTGCATGTGATGAGTGATGACCTGGACATCGATTGGTTTGGGCTGAGGAGAGAGGACAGGTCATTACTACATCATCATCATCATCATCATCATCATCGTCACTTTTTTCTGCAGCTTTAATATGTTTCAGATTTACTGTTAATCGCTTTAATTACCGAACACTCTGGTGCATTAAGTCTGCAGCTACATTTACTTAATTTAAAGCTTCTGTGAGGAACTTTGATTAGGTCTATTTTGGCGCCCTCCTGTGGACAAAGCCTTCTTTGCATATTTTGTCCTTTACATAATTGAGCGATCCTGCTGATGTTTCTTGATCGGATGCATCATTAATAGTGGATACTTTCAGTGGATATTGAAAATCAGGGCTGTTCTCTGTCTCATCAGCTGACACTAGTGTTGGTGTTTTTGGCGGCTGTTTTAATTTTAGTTTTAGTCTTTGTGTCAGTATAGTGCAAAAAATACGGTCATATAATTACCTAGTATAGTATAGAATAAAATTAAAGTATGTCCAAATATCACTTCTTTTTCTCCCCGATAACCCGGCCAGGACTCCAACTCACCCAAAAACATCTAAATATACCGCGAGTTTGGGGATTGAGGACGTGATGTCACCTGCGTCTGAGCAGGGCGACGCAAAACAATAACAATGTGACTAAACAATTACGTCTCGTCTGTAAAAAAAAGAGAAATTTTAGCAGTTTTTATTTTGTGAACCACATTTAGTCTCGTTTTTATACATCGACAATATTGCATCATATATTTAGTTATAGTTATCGTCACAAGACCACCATTTAGGTTTCTTCTCGTCTTGTTTTTGTCGCCCGATAAAGATTCGACACAAGTAACACTAGCTGACACAGTTTCGGGAAATAAAGTTAGTAAAAAAAAAACGTTTAATCTCGTCTCTGTTGGCCGTGTTGCTTCTAAATATCATGAAATTCAGTTATTTTATTTATTACAGTTTTCTATTGAATTTAACGATTTATTGCCGGAAAAATCTGCTCGTCTTTGTGTAATTAAAAACTTCTTTATGATATTCAGCTCCAGATGTCTCACACCCCTCCAGCATGAATCACAGGTAGAGCCTCTAATGCAGCAGAGACTTTTCTTACCTGCAGGTGAAACATATCAATTGTAGATTTTCCGCTCTAATTATCTTCACTTTATTGAAATGAACTGATCAACATTCGCGGCACATGTGCAGAAACAATAATCGTGGTGTGAAAGGACGAACTTTAAAGGCCTTTCTCCTCAGTTTCATTCTGACACAGTAATTGTGTTTAGTCGAGCCGTATTGATCCGCGCTGCATATAAATCAATGTTTTCTCTCACCTTGAGCTTGCCTCCGCTCAGCTCCTCACTCATCTTCAGTCGGGCATCAACCGTCCTCTTTAAGTCTCTCTGCAGACGCCGCCCAAAGTCCCTGAACATGGTGGAGCCTCCTGACAGAACAATGTTCTGTGGAAGAGAAGGTGACGGGGATTACAGAGCCGTGGAGTAAGAGGCACTTAACACCTGTGACCCGCCGCTGGCTAACTGCCAAACAGGCGGAGTAAACAGTCCCATCCTGAGCGACGGGAAACTGCTCCGTGACTTCAGAGACAACTTTATGACCACGGCGATGAATCAAACTCACCAGAACTCCATCAGAACTCAGAACAGACGATTCTTCACTTTTGTTTGATGGATTTTTCCAAGAGAGTTTTTCTGGTTAGTCGTTTATTTTCCCTCGTACTAAACTTCTTAATCAGCTTACACAAATCTCAGTATCTGCCTCCATGATGCTCATCTATCAGTTTTCTAAGAGCAAAGCATCGACCTGGTCTGCTTTCCTGTATTTCTTCATGCTGCAAGAGGAGAAAATATTGCAGAAACCATTGAATTGTTCCCTCTGTCTGTCAAATGCCCTTCCCTGCCTCATCAGCTGATACTTTAGTGAAGCTCCAGAGCTGTCAGCATGTATTTCACCATAAGATAGACAAACTTCAGGGGTAAAATTGTCTATTTAGCTCTTAAAGAAGCTTCAATTCACATAAAACCACAAACACCAGAGCTGATCGTTGTTGAGAGTAAAATTCTTAGTATCTTTGGAGCAAATAAAGCTCTTTCCAGGTTGTTTACAGTCTGCTAACAATACTTGACACTGGAGGTTGAATCAGTCTGACTTAGACTAACTCTTAACCCCAGCTGTGTGCTTGTTATGGTGCTATAAGCAGCACACTCACTTCTTTACGGGTTTCCCCCCGAGACTGTAAAAGCTGCAGTCTGCCGCGCTGTTACACTCGTACCGCTGTGAGCGAGATGAAGCAAAAAACCTTCGCTGACAAGATGTGATTCAACTCGAGGAGTGTTTTCTACAGCTGATTCAAACTGTGGACTAAAAGTCGAAGCGTGTCTCGTTGGATAAATCTCACAGAGGAGCCGTCAGTCTGGAGAATCTCCGCTCTCACCTTATAGAGAGGACGCCTGACATCGATGGGGCAGTTCTGGATCACCTCGTCCACAACTTCAGAGATGGGCTGGGTGAAGTCAGGGTTGGCAAACTGGGAAAGTGAAAGGAAAGTAAAAGTTATTGATGTTCAGAAGATTTGGAAGAGGATTCACAGGATATTTATATTCACACCATCGGCAGGGATGACCGAAAGTTCCTCCAAAACTCTAATCTTGTACTTCTAAATCAGACTTATGTTAGCCGTTCGATACTTTCCAGAATTTACAATCATTTCTGTCTGATGCTTTAAACTTTTCTCATGAATTTTTCCTGTTTTATCAATCCAAACAGTTTGGATATTAAGCTGTGTTTACAAAGTTACTGAAATATTTAAACTTTCTATCTTCTAGTTTTCTTCAGACAATCGAAGAGGTTATGTTCACATGCAGTCTGGTGTGAATCGGGTTTAATAATCTTAAATCTGATGGAGCGGTTCCTCGACAAACCTCAGGGTGGAAGAAGATCTCAGGCCCGAGGAAGCGCTCGTAGCCCACGTCGATGGTGAACTCCTTCTTGCTGATGGCGTTGATCCCGGTGTACTGCTTGATCCACTTGGAGCCGTCTGTGTCGTACTTGTTGAACTCTTTGACTAGATCCGGGCACACGTAGCTGAACCGTTCCTGATGGGGAGGAAGCATAATAAGAGATATAGTTCGTTAATGTTAATGTATATTTAAGATAGATTTAATATAAGGCAAAAAGGGCAGGGGCTCAAGCACCCTGAGGGCTCTGTGTGTGTGCATGAGCCAGGAGGATTCAGGAGAGAAATACCTGCCGGACAGACAGGGGTAATGCAATTTGGGAAGAGGAAACAAAGAGGAGAAGGAGTAGTGTGAGTCTCTCATGTGCCAGGAATTATTATGCATTAAAATCAATATCACCTCATTTTTGGAAATATTGCATAGTTTGTATTTTTCCAGTTGAAATAATCAGGGTTTCTCACGACAAAAGACACTAAAAACCTAAAAAAATATTTAAAAAATTACAATAAACTTTGTATCTATGGATAGGTCTGAAGTTGTTGACAAGATATGATGCTTTAAAAGTAAAATAAAATATGAATGTATAATGTTTTTACTGCACTTTTATTAGACCGACCATTTTTGGCCACGAGGTTAACAAGTGATAGTTTATACTGAAAACTGTTATTGTGCAAAAAATAATTATGCATTAAAATCAATATTTTTATCAATTATTGACATGGTCAGGGCTGTTATATCTTTATCAAAAATATTTCACTTTGCACCTCATTTTTGGAAATATCGCATATTTTGTATTTTTCCCACTGAAATAATCAGGGGTTCTCACGACAAAAAAGACTAAAAACCTAAAAAAAAAATAAAAAGTTAAAAAAAACTTTATATGTATGGATAGGTCTGGAGTTGTTGACAAGATATGATGCTTTGAAAGTAAAAAAAAATGAATGTATAATGTTTTTACTGCACTTTTATCAGACTGTCCATTTTTGGCCACGAGGTTAACAAGTGTCAGTAAATTTGAAGGGTTAACAGACGTGTCCTAAACTGTGAGTAGAGCCTGAAAAAACGACTAATTTGTTGATAAATTCCTGTTTTATTAACACAGAAGATATTTCCAATAACCCATTTGACAACACAAAGGATGCTTTATGATATCAGTGTTTTGCAATGCAGCGGTGATAATGAGTGCATGTTGTTGTTTATTGTCTACCTCGCTGCCGTGTTCTATTAAGAGAGTAATGAAAACACTTCCAGTTGAACGTCTAACACAAATCTGGAGCGTCGCTGATTTCGCTCATGTGCCTGTGAATATGAATGAGCAGGACAGAACGGGAAGCTTGTATTCAGAGGAGATGTCATTAGTTTGATTTGTGGAGAACGTGCTCAAGGCTGCAGGCCAGACGGCAGAAAGGTGGAATTAACATTTGCAGACATGAAAAGGCGAGATGCGCTCACTCGGCGTCCTCCTCAGTGCTAATGCTCATTATTAAAATTCCCATTATTTCGTGTTTGTTTGTCTTGGAGGTGATGAGGAATGGTCCTTGACATCCAGAACAGAGTTTGCAGTAACAAGCTGTTTAATAAACATGGAGGAGCTGCGGTGAATCGAGGCGAATCGATAAAGACAATAAGACGTTTACATTAAGTCACGTCTGTTTCTCACCTGCTAAATGAAAAAATTATGATTTGTGGAGACAAAGCCTAAAGTGCTCCTCTTCCTCTTCTTTGTTTCTTTTAAGTCTGAGTTTAGTCGTGTAAATAAAATCCTCCTGCGTAGGTTGATGTCAGGTTGGAGAACCGTGTAATTGTAAGAAACTGTAGAAGCAAACCAAACAAAAGCAGAAGCAAGGGGTTTGAAGGACACGCGCTGCATGTAAAGGCAGATCGATACTGCCACCTGGTGTCCGAATGAAGAAACACAATGACTTCCTACAGATGATTTTTCTCTGTGTATTTCAGGAGGTGTGCAGGAAATAAAACACCAGCTGCTGCGACTGTTGACTCACATTATTGGAGCTTTAATAAGCAGAACTTTATGACACGATAGTGACTCTTAATGTTTGTAGGAAGAAGAAAAGAGGAAGCCTGAGGGGAATATGTCATTGTTAAACTTCGGCCTTCTGTTTCTGTGGTCTATTTTGGGAGTTTACACTAAACTGGGTTTTAACAGCTGCAGAGATGATCCTTGGGAAAAATAAGCATGTCAGAAATATATCCACTGCTTTCTTGTTTCAGTCACTGACGTGTTCAGATTGTTACTCAGAGTCACTAACAACATTAGCAACAAAATCCCCAAAGAAAACAGTTTTATTTGCTCTTTCTGAAACGCCTGTTTTCGTCAGAGGAGGATTTAAAGGAGCCGCGGATCGAAGAAAATCTCATTCTTAAACAGAAAAGGGGCTCTTTGTGTGATAAATCAGATACTTCAGATGACAATCCGAGCCCGTCAGTGACAAAAACATCCTTTATTAGCTCACATACTTGGTAAATAATCACTAATCCCGTTTTTCTGGGTGTGTTCTTGCTCTGTCAGGTCAGCTCCATCATCACTCGTCACTTCATCAAATTATCAAGATTTTTAAGAGGAATAAAGACTGATCGTGCTTGTTATGCTCCTCTGGCATGGTTTAGTAGTCAAGTTGTGTCATTTTTCTGAGAGTTTTCACACCTTCAGACCTCAAATCTAGTCTGAATTTAACTCTGGTTTGGGATCTGTAAGAAAACAGATTGAAAGTCATACTGATGTTTCTCTATGATGTCCAAAAGCAGACACTACCTCATGATAAGTACAGACTGCTTTGCTTCCAGGCGGAGCAGAAATGAACACGACTTGAAGCTTCCTCTCAGGAGCTGTAAGGTGCAGAGGGACAGGAGCACTGTAGGGGAGGAGGAAAAGGCTGAGGGACCGACCTTTACTGCCTTAGCCGTCTCCAGGGACTGCTCCGGGGGGATGCCCACCTCCCTCTCTCTCAGGAGCTGCTGGGTGAAGTAGGTGATGTCTCGTCCTGCGATGGGAATGTGCTTTATACAGCTGCCGATTACATAACCTTCAGCCTGGAGGAAGAAAGAAAAGAAAAGACAGTCGAGGTTATGAAGCAATTAGAGAGCATCACACTTTTCCATCTGCAGGGCTTCCTCCGTGTCCACGTACTGTTGTGTTTGGCTCCACTTTTGCACATATTCAGCAGGAGCTGCAGACATGCTGATTCAGTTACTCAGCCACTAAATATATTCTGCAAGCGCATTTCCTAAAACTGAGTAATTCCTTCCAACCTCTGAAACACCGCGGCCTACTTTGAAACTTCAGCCTCGTCCTGCTACTGTGCAAACATTTAGATCACCGCATGGAAAATACTTCACTGAAAACACACCAACACTGTCAGGAGTGGTCAGGAGCACAGAATGACACCCAGAATAAAAGAAGCCCTGAATGATCATTTTTAATACAAATTAGAAGTAGAGTTTGTGTCTGTTTTTGTTTTCATGATTTTTAACATGTAAGTATTTCAGACAGAAGTAACTGTTCAGAGTCAACTACTAAAGGCCGGGTAACAAGAGTCTGTTAGAGACAAAATGCTGATATCCACCGATCTGTGAGTGGGAACAGTTTTCAGTGTACTGAGGCTTCAGAGATCTTCAGGTGGGACAAAGTGTCAGCGAAGCAGACCAAGCATCCAAACAGATTCCTGCACCTTTGCAGACATTTGTGCAGAGCTGTGGGCGTGTTTGTAAGTGTTTCTAAGTTTGAAACATCGCTGCTGTGAAATAATCTGAAAATAACTTTTCTCTGTTTCTCTCCCTCGTTTTAACTCGTGCCGTTTGCTCGACTCTGCTGCTCACTCTCTCTTGATTTCGTTCTCAGCAGCAACTATGACGTCAGGCTTGATTTTACATGAGCTTTGGTGTTTTTTGAATCTGTGGACTGAGAGGGTTGGGACATTATAAGGAGCATCTTTTCTTAAGCGAAATAAAAACAGACTTTGCGCTCCAAACACAAGAAGTTTACCCTCGATTAAAAAACTCTTTCTACATTCAAATCACGTCTTAAAACTCATTTTTATTCCTTGGCTTTTAGCTCAGCATGAGGGTTGTGTGACCTCTGTCCTTTTATCACTTTTATTTCGTTGATTTTATTTCATTTTAAATGTTTTTTACCTGCTTTTATTTATTTCATCTTGATGTTTTCTGCAGTGTCTTTTAATTTTCTTTGAATTTTATTGTGCAGCACTTTGGTAAACTTGAATGTTTTTTAAAAATGTAATATATAAATAGAGTGGATTGGATCTATTCACATGTACAGCTTCAGATTTTTGAGGACTTCCTGTAAACTGAGTGGAGTACCTCCGGCTCTCTTTGGCGTTTGTCTGTGGATGGTAAAACTCACCACAGGGATTACGTGGGTGACACCGTCTCCGCTGTCGATGACCGTACCCGTCAGCGTCCTCTCTCCCACCTGTCTGGACGTCCAGGAGGCCGCGAGAGCGAGCACGGCCTGGAAAACACACAAACACACACAAAGAAAGGTCACAGTGATAATGAGCTGAATGTGTGCTACTGTTATCTGTGAGAGAGATAACTCAGGAGCTCAGTGATGATAACTTAATAAATCAAATGAGGCCGTAAAGTTGATTTGATGTCATAAACATCCTCGATCTCACCTGCACAGCGATGTAAAGCCCCGGTACGTTGAAGGACTCAAACATGATCTCAGCTGTGTACTCTCGGTTCTCTGGTGTGTTCAGAGGCGGCTCGGTCTGCAAACAGAAACAAACCAACAAACATACAGTCAATGTTTGAATAAAGAAAGTGAACGTGTGGTCAGAGCAGCTCTATTTTCACCGCTACAGTCACACGGCCTGTTACAGGAACATGAAAACCCGGCCCCTTCTTGGACTGATCTGATTTCTCTTTTAGCTCTCTCTCACCAGGAGGAAATAGTGGTCCTCAGGTTCAGCCCTCAGGTACTTGAAGATGATCTGCTCCATGAAGCGCTCCATCAGGTCCCAGTCCTCCACAATCCCATGACGGATCGGCCACTGTTGAGACACGAAGGTTTAGCTTTTTAGTATAAAACATGTAGATTACAGTAAAGGACACAAACATGGTTCCATAAAAACTCTGAGGAAGTGAAAGCAGACCTCATCTTCAACTAAATTTATCCATGATGGACGTTTACGGCAAAAATAATGATCTTATATTTCCGTTTTAGTCCAACTCAGCTCCTCGTACCCACAGAATAAAATATAAACACTAACAGACTTTCTAACCGCTGACTCTAACCTAAAAATACTGTAAAACTGTCAGAGACATGCAGGTCTGCACCGGTCCTTTTACTGTCAATGTTTACAGGAACATTTCCAGATTATTGGGATTACACTGTAACTGTTCACTGCTGCATTATGACTGCAGGAGTCTCTGGATGCAGAGCAGGGATGATGAAAACAACAGCTCTGTATAGAAACTGAAACAAATCAAACACAGTAATTGCTTTGCCAGTCACATCCGTGGGTGTGTGAGGCTTTCAGGGTCACATACTTTAGTGGAATATGTGGGTTTGTCGACTGCTTCATCTCCGATGTAGAAATCCAAGTCATCCACCCCCTTCATCATCCTCCGCTGGGCCTGGTCCCCGACCTTGGCTGACTCTTTGATGGCGATACCTGACGAGGAAAAGAGGATTTAATGGAGAGGAGCGGAGAGGATGGAGTTTCTTAAAAATACATGAAGATTTTACTGATCGAGAACGAGACAATGATGATAGAGAGCTTGAGATTATTCAGGTCAATTATGACAGTGTAGAGGGGAATAGTTCACATGTTAAATACTAGCTTTGTCTTACATGAACTAGTGCTTCCTGACAGCCCACATCAACACACAACAATATATTTCTGATGCTTATTTCCCAACAGAGTTACATAATCTATTCTGGCAACACTGGCAGCAGATTTAAAAACCATCAGAGCTGCAGTGTTGATATTTTTAACACCTCCAGGTAGGAAGACAACAATGAAAACACACAGCAGATCACGTCCAAACACACCGATACATACTGGACAAGTGTTGGTAAGACCGCTGTGAGCAGGACTGCACAGAAAATGTTCAGAAATTCACTCAGTTGTCACTTTCTGTGTACTTTAGTTCTGTGATACCTTTAAGACTGACTTCCTGCTCTGAACATAACTGCATAAAAAACATTTAGTCACTCTAACACATGGTTTAATGTGTGTGGAAATTTAGCTTCTCAGTAGATTAAATTTTAACTTGATACCGATCGATTAAACAGCCAATAAAAAATTTAAAAAAGGCAAAATCAAGATAAAGTCTAATTACAATAAGATACATAGAAGTAAAAACAATAAAATAAAAATAAGAACACAAGTCCAACACAGATAAAATTAGTCCATGTTTAACAATCTTAGTTTTTTAACATTTTAAATAGTTTTCCACTTTTTCTCATAACTTCGAAGTTTAAATCTTGAAGTAAAAAGGCAGGTGTGGATGTTTCAGGAGCAATCACCGATATCAGGAAATGAGATTCTTGTTGTTCTTTAATATGGTAACAAAATATGGTTCTCAAACAGGAGAGTGTTTCCCTATTATCCTGATGCATCATGGTTCTTGTTGCCATGGGTTGTTGCCATGGTCACCGGCCCGCTTAGCTGCTGGTGTGACTGGAATCCGACATAAAGTGAAGTACTCACATGATGGAACGATGAACTGTGGCTCTGTGTTCCCTGCATACCCCAGTTTGGTGTAACTGCAAGAAGAAGAAGAAAGATCACACTTTAAATTTTTACATTTAACATTTAGTTTTTGTAAAAAAGAGTTTTGGCTGCTGCCTCTTTCTGATCAATGCCGTCACTGTCTGTTAGCAGGTTGGTTAAGAGCCAAAAGCAGCAGCAGCAGCTCTGGAGTTTGCTACTGCGAGGCCGTAAAATAGAGCCATTCACGTCGCACTGGGAAAACCATTCAATTTATCTGTGAGGGAACAAAATCACTTCTGCATAAACTAACAACGCTTAGTGTCAACTGGCTGTGACCCCGACACTGCTGTGTGCTTTTACTGTTTTATTACTAATCAAACCAAAGAGAAGAGTGAAAATACGGCACAAACTTTCAGGAGTTATTCTGGGATTTTTTAACCACAGTCATAATTTTATATTATGCTGTTTTATTGTTATTGTCTGCTAATGATGCCAATCCACCGCATCATAAACAAAGCAACCAAAAGAGACATGTTTTGCACGATTTATGCAGCTGTAAAAAGGTCGTTTTAAATTTACCCAGAAAACTAATGTGTTGGCATCTTCCTCGACTAAAAAATAACGGATTATGAGTGTTCCCTGATCAGCTGCTGTTTTAATGATCAAGATTATGCCACAAAATTTACCGCCAGTCTTCAAGTTTCTGAATCAAACAATCTGCTCGAGCAATTCTCAAACTTTCTGTGGAAATTTTAGATGGAGAACATGCAAACATGTGGCCCAGGCTTAAAGACAAAGGAATGCCCCTTTAACAGACTCCTCCTAAACACCAAAGACTTCAAACTAAACAGTCTGGTCCATGTCTCCTCTCTGTACAAATGGTGTTTTGAGGGGGCACATGCTGACCAGATGTGGTCCTGGTTGAGGTTGGCCCAGACAGAACTCCAGTACTTCCTGCGCACAGAGCCCAAGGGACTGATAGAGGACACTGCTGAAGGCTGCCAAAGCTCTGTGGGCATAATGGGCCACATCCTGGTCTAAAAAGTGGCTCTTTGAATTTAATTTAAAAGGAGCAAGAAGAGCCACATCAGCAGTTTCTCAAAAGGAAAAGCTTGGAGCCGGGTGAAAGGCAAACTTTGGTCCTCAGAATGTGATTTAGTTTAGTTCAACTTTGTTTGCTCCCAAAGCAGAAGAACTAATAAACAACTTCCTATTTTCAATTCTTCACATCTTCATGGAGGCGTTCAGTTTTGGTCTTTACGACAAACAATTAATGTGTTTGCAGGAGCTGATGTCTGCAAACACAGAAGCAGCTTCAAACTGTACAATTCAAAGAAGAAACCACTTGACACGGTCCAAAATGGGCCTGAGACCCTTTTATATGGACTGAAGTGAAGTGGATAATATCTGTGCTGCGGTCTGACAAATCAAATCTTTGACAATCATTTTGGAAATCATGGACTCAGCATACTCCAGCCTTAAAGGGATATTCTGGTGTTTCCAGTTAGACACCCCCTCCAGAGATGAATATTACCGACCGCTTGCTTCTCTAGTTATACCAACTTTAGTAACGACCGCAGGATAGTAATACAGAGACTCACAGGCTCAACCAAGACGCCACTCTAAAGCCACAAATAATGCTCAGAACAGCACCTAACTTCATCAACAGGACATATAGGGTCACAGCCATAGTACCAGACACCAAACATATTTTTAACTTTGACTCATTTCTTTAGCAAAGAGACTAAACACAACTCACCCACTCTCTTCCAGCAGCCGCTTGTTTGTAGCGAGACCTCAGGCCAGTCCATTACGGACTACAGCGGGGTGCCGCAGCTCAAGGAAGAACATTTATGATCATTTCTTCATGGAAATACAATCAGACTGAGACGCCGAGGCAGAAGAACTACCGCGTCTGCAGTGAAAAATGATTAATATGATGATAATTACTTAAAGGAAATAATAAAGAAATGATCATAAATGTTCTTCCTTGAGCTGCGTCACCCCACTGTAGTCCGTAATGGAAACTGTGAAACTGTGACTACTTGGCTTAGGTGCATAAATGTCCATGGCATTGGCAGTTTACACATCTGAGAAGGCTCCATTACTGCTGGACAGTATACAAGTTTTGGAGCCAACCTTTGCCTCCATGCATCTATTAGTATTTTGTTTTCAGTGCTTACAACAACTGCACCACGACTAAAACATCTGCACCAGGCAGACAGCAACAAAGTGTAAGAGCAGCGTTCCTGACACCTTCATACCACAGAAGAGTCCCAGCTTGTCTACCTCAACCTGCCTCGACAGGCTGGAAATAAGCGGCAGCACATGTCTGAGGTGTAGCTCTGTCCAGTAAAGAATCTGCTCTTTGGTAAAATGCATCACAGGTTTATTTATTAACAGGCTGATTTACTGCAACACCTGAGATAAAGACTCAGCTTCAGATACTTCTGCAAAAAAGGAAACCTCACAGGATATTACGGTTCTTTCACTGCATGCTTGAATGCCTCTCTATTAATAGCAGTAAAGCTGATTATAGAGCGTAAAAAGGAAGTGGAGTTGTCACTGAGCATGATTCAAAAACAGCTGTTTACTCCTTTAACATCTGCTGAAAGCTGGTCCTCTCCAGCTAAACTGCAGAGCCAGAGCATGTCAGAGTTTCCACAGAAAACACTTCATCATAATAAACCAGCACCCCGCCTAAAATGTGACTAAGCGTTATTTTTGCAAATAAAAACTCTTCCAGCCTCTGATTCTGGAACATATGTGCTCTGACTTCAAGGCTTGGCCTAAGAGGAGAAGCCATCTGCTTTATGAGTGAAATCCAGCACAGGCTAAACTCATTCTCAGCTACACTTCTACAGCTGTTTGCAGGTCCGAGCTGCAGACTGGTGAACAGCCTGAAGAGAGGAGGAGGAGGAGGAGGAGGAGGGGATGAATGGGGAGGTATGCATGTCAGGAGTGAGGAGTTCAAGCCTCTACATGCAAGCGATGCAAGCCACATCCAGCCCCCAAGACTAACTTTAAATACCTGACATGCTGAGTAGTTTACTTCAGAAAATATAAATGTCCGATGTAGAAAAAGAGACCTTTTTTGTATTTATTGAATATATATTTAAATGGCTATGGTTACAAATCAGGTCCTTTATCCGAGAGTAAAAGCAGGAAGATGTACACAACGATAATAGCAACAGAGCTGCAGGAGGAGCCAAGAGAATATAGAGCTGTTAGTTATGTATCCTTTAAAACAGCAGGTTTAAGTCATGTGCTGCAGAAATAGATCACAAATAGGGTAATGTAACAAAGAAAAATAGGTCATTTTAATCATTTTTAGCTTGGCCATGAGGAGAAATCAGAGAAGTTAATCAAAAAAGCATGCTAGGATGCCGAGAAACGACCATATATGGACTAAAAAGCGTGAATGAGGAAGTGTCGGCAGTATTAGGAAGTAGCACTGCGCATGCGCAAATCCGGACAAATGAGTAAAATGATTTGTGAACCGCATAAGCTAATAAACAGTTTCCTCATCGTGTTGTAGAAAAACTGGCGATTTATCACGAAAACAATGAAACTGCTAAAAAAAATAATGACCCAAAATACAAATATTAATAAAGCTAACGGTGAGGGTTTCTCTCAGTCAGTGGTTTTGTCATGCAGCTGCAGCAGCAGACACAAGCTAAACTGTGAAGGTATTATCTCTCAAACCGAATCAAAATATTCAACTATAACGATGAAATCCTATATTCAATTAAACTAGTAAACAAACAGACCATAAACGTTAAATTAGACGGTGTCTGAGTGGTGTAAAACGCTTGAGAGACGTTTCTCAGAGAGGACACCGGTGTTGCGGTTTAAATGGTGACCGTGAAATGTGAGGCTTTTCGCAGAACGCATCGGCTGTTAAAACGGTTCCCGTTACTACGACAACCGGCGCATTCGCCCGTTAGTCCCCGTTTGACAGGGTCACAGTATAAACCGTAACACCGGGATGAAATGTCACGTTAAGCCGCTCGTTAGCACGTTAGCTCCGTAGCTACACAGAGGCAGACACACACCCAGTTGATGCCGCTGCCGCTGACACTGACAGCCGCTAAACGTCCGCAGCCTCTCGGTGACACCCGAGCCCCCCGGTCCTCACGGCGGGTTTAGTTTAAAATGCTTACCCCGTGCCGCAGTCGACAACACACGCCGGTAGCCGTCCAGCCATCTCTCCCCGGGTCCCTGCTGCTCAGGAAGGGTTAAATGTGAAGGATAGTGGGCTGTTTGGGGCTGGAGGAATCTGGCGAGGCGTCTACAGGCGGAACCCTGAGCCCGCACAGTGCCGTTTCCACTTCCGCACTCGGCTCCTGGCAGGCAGGGAGAGGCAAGATGGCGGACACCGGGTCGAGAAACACGGAGGCGGGCTGTCAATCATCCGAAATACAACGAACAAAACATTTAAATCAACTCTGAAATAATAAAATACACGCTTATGATCAGCTTTTTTATTTATGTTATACTGGTAGACAGCAAGATGGGTAAAAAAATTGATTGAAAAAAGATTCAGTAACATAGGCTACGCCAAATCACAGCAGGACTGAATGCTGGTTCAAATAATTAAAGAATTCCCTCTTCTAACTGTTCTTTGACTGAGGCCCTGAATTCATGATCAGTTTCATTTTGGGGCGGAATAATAGCAGCTTTTTATTCCTACTGTCTGTTGGACAGTGTGTCTTTTTTGATGGGGTCCACTCCAGACCCTTTCCAGGGCCAGATTCAGACTTGGTCCGGACTATCTTGGGCTACAACCCTCTTAGCTAGCTGTATCTTTCAGGTCTCAGGTGAAGTCATGAAGTCAACAGGATACTCTTAAATAAAAGTCAACAATCCAGAAAGCTTAAGTCTAATGTACAGAATCACCAAGCCAGATCTGACTTAGTTAGCATGTATTCCAGGGCTGACTAGTTTCAGAAAATGTCAAGAGTGAGACTTAAGCGTCAGCGGCGAGGAATTTTTGTCTTTTTTAATGTTGATTTATACCTTAAGACTGATGTCCTTGCACAACGCCGAGTGGGTTTTAAATGTCAACGCTGTTGTGAGTGAAAGATAGTTAGAGACGCCAAGACCCCCCCCAAAACCTCAGTTACCAAGACGAAAAAAAGCTAAATCGGAGGCAGAAACAAGATGGCTGCATATATGAAAGTTATTTTAGCGCTTACCTTGTCTGAATATAAGGCAAGCGCTAAAATAACGTTCATAGACACAGCCATCTTGTTTCAGGCCTCCAATTTTGCTTGTTTCAGGCTTGTAACTGAAAAGCTGGTAACTCTGGTGTGATGCCATTTTCAGCGCCGACATCTGACTTCTGAGGTAACTCAAACACAGCATAAAACATGTACAGGACAATAGGATTGCAAAAACCGACTCAATTCAAAAGTTCCCAACAGAATCTTTAAAAGTAACTACGCAGAATAAGTTTATCTTTGTGTCGATATACTTGTTTGTAACTCATAAGATAATTAAGTTATATTGTACAGACAGGTTATTCTATGGTAGGAACGTTTGAATTATTTTGTGCGTGAGATCTTTTGCGCACAATATCATTTAGGAACAGTCAATTATCTTGTGCGTATCATTTAATAAACCCGTGAGCACAAGTTAAGCTATAGCACAAAATATAATGTGTTTCTATGAGATAATTATATTGCGCACAACATTATTAATAAACTATTAGCCATCTATACTATACCTATACTATTAGCTAAATAAAATGTTGTAATTAAGCCTGCAGTAATATAAAAAATGTTCAAAATGACCAGGTTGCAAGTACATCAATGTGAGACCATTGTTTATATTGTCTCTTTCCTTCTGAAGATGCACATGTTCACTTAAGCTTTAAGGGAAGTATAGCTACTTTTATTGGGTATTTTATTTATTTGCTATGTTTATCTATATTGTTGTTTTGTGTTTTTATAGGTTTTTTTGCTTTTATTGTTTTTGGCTATTTTTCTGTAAAGCACGTTGGTAGACCACTGGCTGTTTTTAAATGTGCTATATAAATAAAGCCAACATTGACATTTCTTTCGCGTCTGTAAGTCTTTTACTTCAGGGTTTATTTACGCCTTTCAGTGCGACGTTAAGAGGTCCTCCATATTTTCACTCCGGCAGTGCCCTAACTACCCCTGAGGGGTCCTGATGATCCCTCCCGTAAACACGTGTGCAGCTGCTGTAACCATGGCGGACCTACAGATGAAACTACTGCGCAAGAAAATCCAGAAAAGAAACGAAAAAACTAAAGAGAGAAAACTGTTAAAGAAGCGGAAAGAAGAAGAAGAGGAGGAGGAGACAGGTAGGTTTTATTAAAATACAAATAAACTCTTTTATTTAGTTGTTACATGTTTTTATGAAGAGGTTAAGAACCCAACATGCCAAGCTAGCTTCATTTAGCTCATCACGGCATGATCTCAAAGTAATGATTAATCGATTCAGCGCAGATCAAACGTTTAAGTCTAGACAAACATTAGCTGATCGTTGTTATTAACCCGAGACTGTTGTTTGTTTCTGTTCCGTCAAATTACTGAGTTTTACGAGAGTTTGGTAAACATTTAGCCAGTTAGCACTGATACACAGTCAGATTTACAAATTTATGCTTTAATCTGACACTCAGCCAAACTAAGCTAAAGTCTGGCCATCTGTATCAAACCAAAACATAATAATGTATTTTATTCATCAGATCTTATTCCCTGTTGTTTAATCCTGTGTCACATGTCTGACTGTGTTTGACAGTGGGCTCTAACGGGTTAAATGAAGAATCCTCTGAGGACACAGACTCTGTTAACAAGACAGAAAACCAGCCCACTGAAGAACCAGCTGAGGAGACCACAACAGCAGAAGAAACAACACTGAAGAAGAAGAAGAAAAAGAAAAGAAAACTCACCAACACCAACGAATCACCAGGTAACAAAGAGAGACTTCCACAAATATGAATTCGAACATCTGCAGATTTGTTTACTGATGGAAATTAAAACATTTTAAACTTTTATTACAGCTGAAAAGAAAACCAAAACAGGTGAAGACGACGAAGAAGAGGAGGGAACAACTGTAGCAGACGATGTCACTGATAAACCAGAGGAGGATGAAGAGGAAGAAGATAAAGATGAGGAAGAGGAAGATCTACCTGAATTACCATCTGGACTCACAGGTACTGAAGACGTGAATGACGGTTTGAATTTGTATGAGTGGTTGTCCCGCAGATAAATGTGATTCTAGGTCAGTAAACTATTAAAAAAGCTGTGCAATTATAGTGTTCAATATTCTGCTACCTGCTGGAAGAGAGGAGGTGAGTTGTGTTTAGTCTCTTTGCTAAAGAAATGAGTCAAAGTTAAAAAGATGTTTGGTGGCTAGTACTATGGCTGGGACCCTATATGTCCTGTTGATGAAGTTAGGTGCTGTTCTGAGCATTATTTGTGGCTATAGAGTGGCGTTTTGGTTTAGCGCGTGGCTCTCTGTATTGCTATCCTGCGGTCGTTACTAAAGTTGGAATAACTAGAGAAGCAAGCAGTCGGCAACATTCATCTCTCGACGGGGTGTCTAACTCAGTGTTATTGTGTGTTTGACCTTAACTTAATTTTACACCGGAATATCCCTTTTAAAGAAGCTAAAATAACACTACTTTTGTGTTGCCTTTATGTGTTGCCCTTTCAGTGTGTCCATCATGAAACGGGTGTCAGCTAAGGCAAACAGAATGACTTGTTGTTGTCTTTTGGGGATCGACAGTGACTCTCCTGACAGGTTCAACTACAAGGACACGCTCCGTTTTAAACCAAACTGTCATCTTTTCACTGTAGTTTAATTATCCTCATAATGACCTCTCTTTAATCTGAATCTAATTACTGGGAAGTTTTGCACCAATCAGTTCCTGTTAAATCGTTTTCAGGAGCGTTTGAGGACACGTCGTTCGCCTCTCTTGCCGAGCTGGTGAGCGAGAACACGCTGAAAGCCGTGAAGGACATGGGGTTCGAACACATGACTGAGATCCAGCATAAAAGTATCCGCCCCCTCCTGGAGGGAAGGTGAGACCAGAACTGTCTCTTTAAAAAACTCTTTGTAACTGTCATACTTTGTAACTTTTGATATTCAGAATCGTCTCTTAATATTTTGTAGGGATGTTCTGGCCGCTGCAAAGACAGGGAGCGGTAAAACTCTGGCCTTCCTCATCCCGTCTATAGAGCTCATCTACAAACTCAAGTTCATGCCCAGGAATGGTAAGACTCTGATTATTCTCCAGACACCGTTTTCTCTTTCAGTGAAATAATGAAATAAACTCTGTGAAATCCTCTGAGTCTGATCTCCTCCTCCTCCTCTTCCTGTCAGGTACCGGCGTGGTGATCCTGTCGCCCACTCGTGAGTTGGCAATGCAGACATATGGCGTGATGAAGGAGCTGATGGCACACCACGTGCACACCTACGGTCTGATCATGGGCGGCAGCAACCGCTCTGCTGAGGCTCAAAAACTCGCCAACGGAGTCAACATCCTGGTGGCCACACCTGGCCGTCTGCTCGACCACTTACAGGTGAGAATAGCTTCACCTTATTTGGGTTCTCAAAGATAAAAACTACAGATCCCGTTTTACTTCTGCACTCTCACTGTTTGTGGTTTCACTGCTTGTTTTCATTATGTAGACAGACACGCTCTAACGCTGAAACGTTGTGCTTTCAGAATACTCCTGGCTTCATGTTTAAGAACCTGCAGTGTCTGATTATCGATGAAGCCGATCGTATCCTGGAGGTGGGCTTCGAGGAGGAGCTGAAACAGATCATCAAACTGCTGCCCAGTATGTTTCTGATCTTCGTCTCCCTGACCTTATGCTTCAAAAACACATCTCTATCTATCTCCAGTTTCTAGATCCAGCTCTCCAAAACCTGTAGTAATATTATCTTCCTTTGTCTCCTCCAGAGAAGAGACAGACGATGCTGTTTTCAGCCACTCAGACCCGTAAGGTGGAGGACTTGGCTCGGATCTCCCTGAAGAAGGAGCCTCTGTATGTGGGTGTGGATGATAACAAGGACAATGCCACCGTGGACGGTCTGGAGCAGGTCAGCTTCATTTGTCAGATTTATCAACTTTAACCTGAAGATCTTTCAGCTCTGAAGGCGTGTGAAACGTACATGAACTGATCCGTTTCCTGTTTCAGGGTTATGTGGTGTGTCCGTCAGAGAAACGCTTCCTGCTGCTCTTCACTTTCCTGAAGAAGAACCGAAAGAAGAAGCTGATGGTCTTCTTCTCCTCCTGCATGTCGGTGAAATATCACTATGAGCTCCTCAACTACATCGACCTTCCTGTGATGGCCATCCATGTAAGACACCTCAACAAGGGTTCAGCAGATTTTATGTTTCCGTCAAAATGCAGATACAGTTTATGAAGCATTGACAGTCTGCAAACAAGAGGAAAAAAGATTAGATGATTTAAGTTTGTCAAAATGTTGCCTCAAATTGATAAAATAAAGGGTGATTTGTTGACAGTGGGCACCAATGTTTGTGAGGTGGTGAATGTGGTGAATGGCAACCCTGAAAATGTGCAGGAGCCCACCCTGTATTGACGTATATTTGTAAGCACTTCAAACAAGAAGCAGCGTTCTCCTCTGAGATGCTGCAGAGCCAGCTGCCGTAAATTTGAACCTTCTCTCTTTCCGTCTTTCAGGGTAAACAGAAGCAGACCAAACGTACCACCACCTTCTTCCAGTTCTGCAACGCTGACTCTGGGATCCTGCTGTGTACCGACGTGGCCGCTCGAGGACTCGACATCCCTGAGGTGGACTGGATCGTCCAGTATGACCCTCCAGATGATCCCAAGGTATCAACACTATGCCTTAAGTGACTTGGTTAATATGGATTTCGCTGCTGGATTTCAGTCAAACTCGTACAGAATTCACTGCAAGTCTTGACTTTTGCATCCACAGGAGTACATCCACAGGGTTGGCCGAACAGCCAGAGGCATCAACGGCAGAGGCCACGCCCTCCTCATCCTCCGACCAGAGGAGCTCGGCTTCCTTCGATTCCTTAAACAGGCCAAGGTAGATGACACGATGGATTTTCCTTCTTTTCCCTGTCTTTGCAGCGCTTGATATCGACTTGAAAGTTAATTTGAGATGAGTCTGGCTTCTCTTCACATTTCTCTTTCTTCATATTTTTAAGGTCCCGTTGAGCGAGTTTGAATTTTCCTGGAGTAAAGTCTCTGATATCCAGTCTCAGGTATGAAATCCACTCTACCTGTTAATATTCAGAGATGTCTGTGAGAGCGTATGTCTCATTCGTACCTGTTTGTTGTTCCTCAGCTGGAGAAGCTGATCGAGAAGAACTACTATCTCCACAAGTCGGCTCAGGAAGCCTACAAGTCCTACGTGAGGGCTTACGACTCCCACTCGCTCAAACAGATCTACAGCGTCAACACTCTCAACCTCCCCATGGTGGCGCTGTCATTCGGCTTCAAAGTTCCTCCATATGTGGATCTGAGTATCCTTTACCTGTGTGTCTACAGAACCAGAGTCTTAAGGGTCATATATAATTTTACTCTCCAAACTCTGAAACTAACTGTCCTGTTTATATTTTATTTCTTTAACCCTACAAATGGATTAGTTGAATATAATTGGTTAATTTTGATGTACGATTTCAGTCACCACAGTTGTTTCCTTGACTGAATCTCCTCTCCAGACGTCCACAGCAGTAAAGGTGTGAAGATGCAGAAGCGAGGAGGCGGAGGCGGTTTTGGATACCAGAAGTCAAACTTCCACAAATCCAAAGTCTTCAAACACGTGAACAAAGGAAAAGGCGACAAGAGGCAATTTTCCCGTTGAAACGTTAGGAAATCTAACTCCTCCTGGACTGATTGATCCTCTGAACCTGCTCCGATCATGTATAGACCCTTTTTTCAGCCTGTGAGATGTTTAAATGTTTCCTGTAAATGTCAAACAATGTTGAGATCTCCACTGACCTCTCTCCAACTTTCCATAATCTCATTTATTAATTCCCTCTGATATTAAATCTATATTAACTTTGAGCCCGTAGAGTCTGCTTTATTTGAAAAATTTTCATGAGTACTACCCGTAGACTGTATATACTATGGACAACTTGGTTCCACCTTCCACCAGTACATGGATTTGAAGCCAAAAAAAGCTCTCGGTAATTCTGGGATTTCTCTCCATTTCCTGAAACCACCACTTGTGCAGTAGCATTGTACACATTCGGAGGGAGAGTCGCTGTGATGACGCTCGACTCAAACAGCGTATCCTCTGGGTGAGCTACGCAATCTTTGTATGCTCATAGGCTGTGTCAGGTGTCAATCAAAGAAAACATGAACCACCTAATAACTTTTAAAAATAGAGCTGTACAGAAAAAAGAGGACTTGAGCACAAACCAGTCTGACAGTAACTACATGTCAACATTACAACCAGGGGGAGAAACATTTATATTCTGTGTCATTAATTTATAGTTTGTCTACAGCTCCATAAACTATACTGCAGCCTGTCACCAGAGGGTGCTATTGCAGATAGCAGTGGCTTCACCTAGCAAGGAGGCAGACGGCCTCCATTCTATATACAGTCTATGGCAGTGGTTCTCAAGTCCAGTCCTCGAGGCCCACTGTCCTGCATGTTTTGGATGTTTCCCTGCTCCAGCACACCTGATCAAATGATTAGCTTGTTAGTAAGCCATTACAGAGCTTGATAACGAGCTAATCATTTGAGTCAAGTGGGTTGGAGCAGGGAAACATCCAAAACATGCAGGATGGGGGGGCTCGAGGACTGGATTTGCGAACTACTGATCTATGGTACTACCCAACCACCCCTGTCCTCAGGGGTGATCCCCACTGTCAACCCACCACTGAAACAATTACATTGAATTTTTTCCAAATAATTCAAATTCACAAAATGCAAGACACAGTCATCTAATGTAAACACTGCGATATGTTCTCTTTTAGATAACACATGAACAAACCCTAATTTTCTGTGCCCATATGGTATGCTTAGTATTTTTTGTTTCTTGACCTGCCGTTTGCCTAGTCATCCCCTCTGTTTATTTTTGTTTGCTGCTTCCTCGTCCACTTCACTATTCAATACAACATCGTGTTTCTGTACGTCTCATTTCTGTACATTTTTCATAAAAATATTTAAAAAATAAAAAGACTGTCAATTCAGTGTTTCACGCTGGCTAGCGGAGCTAACGTAGAAAAAAGCGCACTTGGGTCAAGTGTTCTAAACAATGCCCAATGGCACGCGGGCTACGTTGACGGGTTTGTTAATGCCCCTTTTAAGATACTTAACTTTACCTTCATTATTTGGGTGAAGCGAGAAGTATAGTTCTGACGGTTGAAATTTGACAGTGTTATACATTTATAGCGACCTCAGAGACCAGGATGTCGCTTAGAGGATGAGATACGGGCCGAGTCTAATTGTCTGACGCGCTTTGTCAATGGATCAGCTGAGACGGGAATCGATTAGGAAAAAACGTGCTTTAATACTAAAGAAACAATCAACAAAACGATACCAACTGAAGAAACAGCGATCACTGGACTTAAAGAGTATGTGTACATGCGGTCAACAAAAAATACGGCGACCCACTCAAAACCTCTTCCCTGGTGAACACAGGTGACCAGGTGCTTAAATCAACTGAGTGACACCGCCCCTATTCCCGTGACCCGGATTCCACAAATCACTGCCACCAATCACAACAAAATACCAAAAACAAATCAAGAGCATAACCACAAACCTTTACCTTGCGGCTCCTACATACCAGCCCCTAATTATTAGGTTATCAACCATAATAATTACTTATGTTTTTCAACTATATGAGACAAATACAAAATTGATACTAAAAGTCCATGCATAATGCACATTTGTTGTTAGCTAGTCAACGCCAGAGGTATCAACACTCAGGCTCAGTCAAAAAAGAATGTTCATAGCCCTATTGGGTTTGTCAAAGTCATGTCAGAATGTCACAGTATGCAGCAGGTACTCCTTATCCAGTTTCAGCCTCCTGTAGCAGACAGATCTTCGTAATAGGCCGGTCCAGGCAGCTGCTCTTCGTCTTGACACGCACCTGACGCACAAATCCCTTCCGGTCTGGAAAAGTCTGTAGAACTCTCCCCATGAGCCAGGAGTTTCGAGGAGCTGTGTTGTCCACAATGAGCACTATGTCTCCAGGGATGAGGTTGCGCTTCACTCCTGTCCACCTCTGACGCTCCTGAAGCTGAGGCAAGTATTCCTTCACCCACCTTTTCCAGAACAAGTCTGACATGTATTGTACTTGCTTCCATCGCCTACGAGCATAAACATCAACTTCTTGACAGTTTGTTGGAGGTAGGGATGGTGAGGTTTTCAACAATAGGAGATGGTTTGGTTTCAGTGCCTCCAGATCATTCGGATCCCTTGATGCCTTTGTGATTGGCCGACTGTTAATTATGGCCTCCACCTCACAAAGAACTGTGTGAAGACCTTCTTCATCCAGGTTCTGCACATTCAAGGTGGAGTTGAGGACCTTCCTCACAGAACGAATTAACCTCTCCCAAGATCCTCCATGATGCGAGCCAGCTGGGGGGTTAAATGTCTACTTGATTCCCCTCTGGAGAAGCATATCATGGATTTGTGACTGATTCCACTGTTCAATCGCCACCCTCAGCTCACGCTCCGCCCCAACAAAATTCGTGCCATTATCAGACCGCAGTTCCAGGACTTGACCACGTCTTGCTATGAAGCGTCTAAGAGCATTAATGAATGAGTCAGTGTCCAGTGAAGGAGCCACTTCAATGTGAATTGCTCGAATGGCCAAGCAGGTAAAGATGACACCATACCTCTTGACCACACTTCTTCTGCTTTTAACTTCAAATGGTCCAAAATAGTCCACACCAACATGTGTAAATGGTGGTTCATCCGGAGTAACTCTTTCGTGTGGCAAGTCCGCCATCTGCTGAGACACTGGCTGAGCATTCAGCCTCCGACAGGTGACACACTTTGATAAAACTCTCCTCATGACTGTACTGACTCCAGTGATCCAGTACTTCTCCTGCAATTTGGATAACATGTGGTTACGTCCACCATGTCCCACTTCCTGATGGATGTGCCTAAGAAGAAGGTCTGAGATGTGGAATTCCTTTGATAATATAACGGGATGTTGAGCCTCCACAGGCATAGATGACTTCCTCAACCGACCACCAACTCTCAGAACACCATCTTGTAGCTGTGGGCAGAGTCTGTGAATAGGACTTCTGCCCTTCACACACTGCCCATTTTGGAGTCTGGACATCTCCTCTGGAAACGTCTTCCTTTGACAGAACTTGACAATTTCCAGTTCAGCTTTTTCAAGTTCCTCCACTGACAGATGACTGCCCATTGATTCCCTTTTGAAAGTGTCCATCGCTTCCTCCAATGAACGTCTTTGTGCTTTTGCATTCAAGTCAGATTTAGCCAAATCTGTGATCAACTGTCTCCTTTTCTGATAACATGACAAAAGCCAGTTCCTGTACCTCAATATCCAAGCCACAGATTTTCTCAGAGCAATCCAAGATGAGAAGCAGCGGATCATGCGACTCACAGTGTCAGCCTCTTCTCCAACCTGAGCAGCATTCACCACAGCAGCTCTTTTGACCTCAGGGTCATCTGGTGGAAGCTGGATAACATTCCCAAATTTACTTGGCCACTCAGTCTCAAGCTGAATAAGAAACTGTGGACCTGACACCCAAATTTCATTCTTGAGAAATGCATCCACCTTCAAACCTCTAGAGGCAATATCGGCTGGATTACTTGCAGTGTCCACATATCTCCATTGAGAAGGCTCTGACACCTTGAGTATTTCTGAGACTCGGTTGGCAACAAAGACTTTAAACCTTGAAGTCTCATTACCGATGTACTTGAGCACAGACTCGCTATCGGTCCAGAACACAGACTCCTGAAGGTTCATGTGCAGCTCTTTCCTCCACAGGACATCCATACGACTTGCCATTGTTGCGGCAATGAGCTCCATTCGGGGTATAGTAACAGACTTCAGTGGAGCAACCCTTGCTTTTCCCCCAATGAAGGCACTGTGTACTTGTGAGTGTGAACCATGGGACAGCAGGTAAGTAACTACTCCATAACCATCCTCACTTGCATCACAGAAATGGTGCAACTGTGTCTTAGTTGTGGCTCCAAAGTTCTGGGGTTTCAGACACCTCATGAGACTAAAGTTCTCCAGAAGATGGAGTTCCTGCAACCAGGTTATCCACTTTTCAGCAACTGACTCCATAATGATGTCATCCCATCCAAGTGATCTCCTGCACAGATCTCTTAGGATTTTCTTTGCAGACAAGATGACTGGACTAAGTATCCCTAGAGGATCATAGATGGAACTAACAGTGGAGAGAATCCCTCTTCTGGTAAGTGGTCTGTCTTTGATGACAATCTTAAACTTAAAGGTATCAGAGCGAATACACCATTCCACACCAAGTACTCTTTCCACAGGTAGCCGATCCAAGTCCATGTCCAACTCTTTCATGACCTTTGCTCTTTGTGTTTCAGGCATCACAGCTAGGACTCCACGCCTGTTGCTTGTCCATTTATTGAGATGGAACCCACCCTTGGCACAGATTGAGACAAGGTCATGATAGAGAGCTACTGCCTCCTCTTCTGTAGGTACAGACACCAAACAGTCATCCACGTAGAAGCAATGTAAGACCTTTTCTACAACTTCCTGGCTAAACTGTTCTTTATGGTCCTCTGCACACTTCCTGAGTGCAAAATTGGCACAGCTGGGTGATGAGGTTGCTCCAAAGAGATGCACCTTCATCCTGAAGTCAGTAAGGGGTTGATTAAGATCCCCATCTGGCCACCATAAGAATCTCAACAGATCAGCATCTCCAGCAGGTACCTTCACTTGGTGAAACATGGCTTCCACATCTGCCATGATCACCACCGGTTCCTTTCTGAATCTAGTCACCACTCCAATCAGTGAACTGGTCAGATCAGGTCCTTGTAGCAGCTCAGCATTGAGAGATGTTCCCTGGAAACTAGCCCCACAGTCAAAGACAACTCTGATTTTCCCTTTCGTACGATGGTAAACACCATGGTGTGGAATATACCAGACTTTGCCATCTCCACGATCTATCTCACGTTCAGGCACCTTTTCTGCATAACCTTTGGCAACAAGCTCGTTCATGAAGGCATTATAGTCTGCATGAAACGGTAAGTCCCTCTGAAGCCTTTTCTTTAGGTGCAAAGCACGCTGTACAACAATACTTCTGTTATTTGGCATGCTAAGTTCTGGCTTCCTCAAAGGTAAGTTGATCTGGTAGTGACCATCCATTTGCTTCGCAGAGTTTGTGACAAGTTCCATGAACTTATGATCCTCTCTTGACATTGCAGGTTGCTCATCCATACTGCTCTCAGGAAAATCTGCTGCAAACTGCTGCTGCCAGAGTCCATCCAAATTCACAACAGACACTCTGTTTACTGTTACATGTTGCTGCTCACAACTCAATGTACTCCCACTGTCTCCTTTCAGTGGTCCATTCACAGTCCAGCCCAGCATTGTCTTTATTGCATAGGGTCCGCCATTGGCACTGCGAATGACTTGCAAAGGTTCCAGGGCCTGGGGAACATTTGTCCCTATCAGCAGCTCAATCCCTGCATCTATATCAGGCAGGTATACATGTTTCAAATGAGGCCAATCCTCAAGATCACACTGTTTGGGAATGTTACCTTTGTGGACAGGCATGGACTCCTGTGTATAAGTACCTGGCAGTTCACAAAAATCCTCCTGATCCAAGCCAGCCACTTCCAGTCCTGACACGATATGGCTGCTCACAACCTTCTCTTGGCCCATGGTCCGCAAAAGAATGTGCACTTTCCTCCCTGTGAGGCCCAGCTTGTGCACTAAACTGTCAGTACAAAATACTGCTGTACTTCCCGGATCCAAGAAAGCGTATGTGGTAAGTATTGTGGTGCCCTTCTGTGATTTGACCTGAACGGGGACTATGGGAAGTTTGCAATCATGATCACCAGCCCCAGTAAGACCACTCGACACCAGAGTGTTGTCCACCATCATCTCTGCTTTCCTCTCAGCATGATCAGAATCCTTCACCTTTTCTTTTGCAGGAATGTGCAGTACAATAGGATGTTTGAGGCCACACACAGACAGCCAAAACAGACACCTTTATCTCTTAAGAAGCCTATCTTCTCTTTGTGAGTCCTCTTCTCCAACTTGGGACACAGATCCAATGTGTGTCCTCCTCCACAGCAAACACATGTCTTCTTTGCTGATTGCACAAATTCCTGACCACTGACTCCAGGCTGATTTCTCTTTTCCACAGGGGCCACAGGGGCCACAGTGGTGGTGAAGCTGGTCCCTTTCGCACCCGAACGAGGCTGTGTGGCAAGTTTATGTATACCTCTAGGTATGGTAACTGAGGGGGCATCCTGAATATTTCCGAACACTGGGTCTGTCAGAATTCTCACTTGTCTCTCAATGAAATTTGTGACAAGTTCCATGAACTTATGATCCTCTCTTGACATTGCAGGTTGCTCATCCATACTGCTCTCAGGAAAACTACAACATTGATGTAGCGCATTTTACTAAATGTTACCGCATAAGCCACCAATTAAAGCTTGACGAGCCGCACATGGCTCGCGGCCGCGCAACGAGTAACGGTTAGCTAACAACATCGTTACCTGTCGCTCCTCGGTGACTAATGTCGATGTACGTCTTGTAATTGGGGCAGAAAGCGTCTCTCGGTAACTCTTGAGAAACTTTAGCTGTTTCTGAACCTTTTTTTCGGGCGGTTCCGCCATTTTAATAAAAACAACTGAGATAAACTGAGTTGAGAACCCCGCGAGCGATTTTTTTTTTTTTTTGTATGCTGGTAGGGGACGGTCCCGCCCTCCTTCGCCTCTGATTGGATAGAAGTGCTGGGCTCCGATTGGTTCCTACGAAAAAAATATCACGTCCGGTGAGGAGGGGCGAGTGCTTGAGTGAAAATGAAGTGCTCTGATTGGTCAAGAGCACAGTTTACGCGCAGATCTTCGGTATGCGTACTTTTGAACATGGAATCGTAAAAACGTACTAGGTCAAAATGCGTCCATGTTGGCAGGTCTAGAAACTTCTGAACTCGATTTATTCCATGAGTTTGATTCCATCATGTTACAGCGTCTGTTCATTCCTGTAGCGCTCCAGAACTTCCTCCACATTTTGATGAAAAATATAACAGAGAAAAAACTCTGACACACAGACAGGATCAGAGATCATTTATATACACATTGCATTGAAAAAAGTCACTTAATTTTACAGTAACCAGATGTTTCCTATTCAAATGATGGGTTAAAATCTGAAAATCAGCTGAATCTTCTAGTTTCTTCCAAATAAAAGTGACCTGTTAAATTTTTATCAGTGACTAAGACATTAAACTCTCGAGTACAAGTGACTTAACGATTCAAACTGAGGACTAACTCTTAGTTTCCAAACATGGGCCTTAAAGAGTTTATTTCTGACATGTTTGGGGGTCAAACTGACTGATGGTACATACAGTTGTTGTACTGTTATTTATGACTGGAAGTGCTTTTTTAACACTTACAGTCCAGACAGAGTCAGTCTAATTTCTAAAGGTCTCATTTGCTTCTGTATTAGTTTAAATCCGTTTTATAGCCACTAAGTAACTCCTGTAGTTTGAAAGTGAGAGTCTCAGCTGTATTAACATGCCTCTCTCTCTCTCTCTCTCTCTGGGGGGTCTTTATTCACCGTTGCACGCCCCTCAAAGGACTAATTGAGTCGGTCATTTGCATCACTAAACCCTGTGAGTCGATTTGTTTGATCCTACACATCCAACCCCCGAGATTTTTAGACCTCTTTGTCACTCCGACCCAAAAATATACAAAACAGGGTCCTGTTTCAGAGTACCACTCCCCTCACTTTCTCTGTTTGCATATATGGGTACCATGTTTGCTTAAAAAAACATAAAATCCCTTCTTAAAAACATTCTGGCTCAGATACATTCCTCCCTTTACAAAAAAAAAAACATGCACGGCTCTCATATCCATCCTCTCCACTCAGGATAAATTATAAAGTGCTGTTGAGAGCCTGCAAAGCGTCCACTCCGTGTCGCCTGAATCGGATGGAAAACATGTCAAAACGTCCTCTTTTCTTCTTAATCTGATCGCTCATTCAAAAAGATCCAGTGGTTGATTATTTCGACCCAAAAGCGTCCGTCCGATTCCTCTTCATTTCATCCAGAAACAAAGCCGACTGTGAAAGGACGTACGCTGAGGAGTCACCGTTTACATGAGGTCCAGATGACATCTCTTCAGTCCCAAAGTCAGAGGGAAGAAGCAGAAATACTGACACTGTACAGTACAAATGTTAAAATCACAACATTGCAGTGTCCCTTTGTTACAGTGATGAGGTACAATAGTGCATCTCTTTACGTCTGACTATAAACACCTGATTTTCTCTGTACAAGAAGCTAAATTCATAGTTTGAAGAGGCTGCTTTAAGGAAGACAAAAACAGTTCAAGGTTGTTTCTACAAGTCTTTCATTGGGCGGGCACTTGAGGTTTGAGGATTTCCGTTACGTTACAGCGGCGTGAAACTTCCAGCGGCCGTCACGTCCTTTAAGAAACAACTCTCTACTTCCAGTCCTGCTCCGTAGTAAACGTCTATATTCCTGTGAAGGCTTCGTATAACATTCACTGCTGGTGATCTGTGAGGAGAATAAAACAGGTCATGTCAGAGGATGTTTCACTGAGAGGAGTTTCCCTTCGGTTAAAGTCAGAACAGTTGGTTAAAAGAGAGGCTGAAAAGAAGCAGAGAGAGCTGCACCGGAATAAAGACGAGGGTGAAAACGTGTCCCTCTGCTTATCTTCAGTGTTAGGATCTAATATAAACTTATTCAAAAGATCTGAGACATTCAGAGGTTCATAAAAAGCCTTTATTTATAAATGAGACCTTGACCTCCGAACCCCGAGAACCCTGGAAAAATAAAGGCTTTTCTATAACAACCCCACAGATCTTTTGGGGATATTTTAAAGACAGTTTGAAACCAAATGTGTAAAAATCTACATTAGGCACTTATAAAACTGTCTTATTGAAACTTCTTTTCAAAGTTTGGTTCTGTTCTTCATCTCTGATCTGAGCAGGAAGACCACACTCACAGGTAGAGCTGAAATGAAGTGGCTTTCTGACAGGAAAATGCTAAAAAAAAAAGACTCCAAAATTGTGTGTAGCCTTGTATTTATCTCAAAAATGACTAAATTATGTGGTGAAATTATCCATCAGTTTCTCATCAAAGGGGCTGAGCTGATAGGCCTCCCTGTGGGTCATAAACTCACCCAGACCTGGGCGATAACTCTGTATAACACAGGATTTATTAATAAGTTTTATTCTCTGTCCTATGAAGTTTGAAGGTGTGGAAATTACCAGAGTCAAGACTCATTATTACCAAAACACACCCTGATTCATCTGATTTTAACCTCAAATAAATCATGTTTATTGATGAATTGAAAAGCTAAATCTCCAGTAACTGTGTCTGCCCCCTGCTGGCAATGAGATGTACTTGTCAAAGTAATTCCACTTGGGCTTTAATTTTGAAATGTACTGCTAATCTCACTTTAAAAATACTGCAGAGCAACAGACATAAATGTCTCTATTACACACAGACAAACATGCAAACACACAAACACACACAAGGTCTGGACCGACACAGACCTGATGACGATATTTTAAACTCCTCTGTCGGTAAAACTTGACTTCAAATCTCTGACTGAACTTTTCTTTAGTTATATTTCATGATTCGTCCAATTACAAGCTCTGGTAAACATCAGAAAAATCAAAGTTTATCTGAGGAGTCTTGAGTTTCATCACTGTGTCGGTCTCCACCTTCACCTCTCTGTGTTAGTAACACTCAGAAATGTGACCATGCCAAAGTCAGTCCTGTCAGAACACAAACAGGTTAAAGTCCCAAAACTTCACATGCAGCAGCAGCAGCAGTAAACCTCAGACCTTAGGGGTCTGCTCGGGTAGGAGGAGGGGTGGGAGGGACCCCCCAGGGGGCGCCGTTCATCTTCTTTCCTAAACCTGTTATTAGCAGAGAAGAAGAAGAAGATCCAACATGGATCAGAGTCAGACTGCTGCACAGGTTCAACACTGGAGGTTCAGGAAACATTCTGCTATCAGACATGAAACAGAGATAACTTTGAATTTCAGGTTTGGAGTTTTCTACAAGTTTATAAACGCACCATTGTTGCAGCACGGCTCCGTGGTCTCCCAGTTCATGGCTTTCTGGACGGCTTTCTTCCAGCGAGCGAAGCGGTACTCGCTCTCTGTGAGGAAAGAGAAAGAGAGAGAGAGGTCACGGCGGATTCAAGCAGCGGAAATGTGCGTCACAGGTTTCCTGTCTTACCGTCAGAGTTGATCTGAGGCTCATATTTCTCTCTCATGACGTGTGGGAGGTGATCCACACTCAGATCCCACACGTCCACACCTTCTGCCGCCCCCGCCGCCATGGCTGCTCCCAGAGCTGTGGTCTCCGCCATGGTGGGTCTCGCTTTACATCAGACACACACACACACACACACACAGGAGATAAAAATGTTGAGAAAGTTAGAAACAGACCGACTAATCCCTGATCCTCCAGGCAGGTGTGACTCGTCAGTCCAGACGTTCCTGTCCGGCAGCATTTTCCAGCTCCTTCAGCTCCTTCAGCTGCTCTGCTGACATCTTCCTCCTTCTATCAAAATCATGAATGTTGTTGCTGATGGTCTGATTTGCTTTTGCACATCATTAAAAAACATCAGTTTGAATCTTTCCTTTCAGGAGCTTTAAAACAAACTTGGTATTGTCTGGTTTGGATGAAGTTGGACTTTGTAATGTCAGTGTAGTCTCGTCTGTTCTCCTAAAGTTCATGAGGACACGCTCATGTGAACAGAACGTCTGTGCTCTATCTACCTGAATCAGATCAGAGTTCATGTTTTTGTTTGTTTTTCTCAAAGTCGGGCAAAAGTCAAGAGCTTTAAAAAAGTCTGAAGTCCAGGTTCAGACTCCCGTCACCCGCTCTGACAGCTCAGGTTTATGAAGATGAACCGATCTTCATTTTAAATAGACGCACACTTGTTTGTGTTTTATCTTCACGCGCAGCGTCTGGTGGCTCTCTTACCTACGGGCATGCAGAGGATGTCGGCCTGCAGCTGCATCAGTAATCTGTTGGACGTCATGCCTCCGTCGACCTTCAGCTGAGTCAGAGGAACGCCGCTGTCCAGATTCATCGCATCCAGGATCTGTCAGCGACAATGTGATCGTCATAAGACATCTTACCAAAATCTTATTGTGAATTTAGATGTAGATAAACAGAGAGGTTTATGTTATTTCCTTTGAATCTACAGGACAGATCGTCGTTTAAATCGTCTACATTTGTCTGGAGCTCTCTCAGTCTCGTGATCTGCAGGCCGAGGGCACAGCCTTCAGAGTGGAGACTGGGATCAGGCCCAGCTCTGTTGAAACCGGTCCAGTCCGGTCACACTGAACAGGTGCTGCTGCGGTCACATGTTTCTCACTCATCCACAAAAGAAGCTGAAACTCAGAGGAAGGACTCGGGAACTCGGTTTACCTCTCTGGTCTGAAAGCAAACGGCCTCCAGCGCTGCGAACGCCAAGTGGTTTCTGTTTGTGAACTGAGTGAGGCCGCAGATGATGCTGCACAACAACACAAAGGAGAAACAGACTCAACACGAGAGCGCAGCACACAGTGAAAGAACATGCTGATTCAAAACAGGAAGACAGATCCCTGTTTTTTTTTGTTATGGTGTTTTGAGAAGAAGCTACGAACCCAAACAAACAAAAAACACATTATTTCCACAAACATGTCTGTCCTCTTCTCAGGGTCAAACTACAGTTGAAAGCTGAGATGTGTTTGAACAGCTGACTGTCTCACCCTCTCGCACTCGGCTCCCAGTAGGGCGCGTAGAGCCCTGAGAAGGCCGGCACGAAGTAACAGCCGTAAGACGAGCCTGCAGCGGCTGCTAGAGTCTCTGAAACAAGACGAGGAGACGTGGAGATGTTAGAAAAGGAGACTGATTTAAAACATAAAACACACTTAGATCATCTCAGCCTTTATTTGTGCTCACTTTTATGGTTTCAGCTTCAGAGCAGTCGGAAAATTAACGTTTTTACTCTTTAAAAAAAGTTCTAGCTTCTATACCGTCTAGTTTAAGCTAATGTTTACTGCAGCGTTAGTTTTAGAGGCTGCATTTGTTTATGAATCAGTCTAAATTTCCATCTGAGATTGTTTAGATGTCACAGCCTGCGTACCGATTTCTGATGAGGACTTTACGATCCCCATGTTGTCCTTCAGCCACCGTACGACTGCCCCGGCGATGGCCACTGAACCCTGAGAGGGTGAGAGAAAAACATCAGGATCTCAGGACAGGGAGGTGAGATATCATCTTAATGAGGATTAAAAAGAGGAAAGAAAAGCTTTAAATACCTCCAGTGCATAGCAGGCTGACTCCTCTTTCCCCATCTTGTAGGCCACCGTGGTCAGCAGGCCGTGATCGGACATCACAGGCTGAGAGACACAGAAGAAAAACCGTCAAACAAACGTGAAGAGACTCTTCAGCTGAAGGTTTTTCTCATGCTGAGTTTTTTTCTTACCTTTGTGCCGGTGTTCCTGAGCAGAAAGCAGCCGGTCCCGTACCTTTACAGAAGAGAGAGCGATCAGAGTCACATGATCCAATCACAGGTTAGATTCACCTCATCAGGACAAAAAAATCAAAGTCTGGTAGCTTACGTGTTTTTGGCCTGACCCTCTTTTAGACACATCTGACCAACCAGAGCGGCCGACTGATCCCCGAGACACTGACAGAGGAGAGGTTCATAAGAAGATGTACGCAATAACACAAATGATTAAAAACTGAACTGTAAAGACGATGTTTGATGACCTCTGAATAAATCTGAACTTTACAGTTTCACAGATGTGTGGTTATAAATCTGACCACAGTAGAGCCACATGTAACACACACCAGGGTGCAAAGACGGCTCTAATAATGTTACATAACATGAACACACATCCTTACCCCAGAGATGGGAACTCCTGCAAGTGATCCAGACTTCTGTTTTAGGACACACAAACACACACAGACACACACAAACACACACGTGTTTAGAGTTTGCTTAAATGGCTGCAGGCTGAACAGACTGTTTGTTGTGTAACTGCAAGTTTGAACTCAACACACAGAGGCAGTAAAAAGTTTCACATTAAAGCCTTCAGCCAAAGCACAAAATCTCCACTTACATTTAATTATACAGTTTTAGATCATTACATGATGAACATGGAGGACCCCGGCTTCACCCCTAACCCTCGCCCACCTGCCCCCCAACAGGTGCAACATCAGTGTGTGAGAAACCCTGAGTGTAGTCTCATCAAACTGAAGAGAGTTTCTTTCTTCTGTTACACACATCAGGACATGTTAATATCTAATATAATGAATCCTAAAGAGGTCATTCTGCATAAACAGGAAGTGAGTCATCACTGTCAGGTAGATGATCATATCCAGGGAGGTGGTTTTTATCACTTTAACCGCTTTTAACCGCTTCAACACACTGACAGTTTGTCTACATGTGTGGCTCAGGTCGCCAGATTTTTTTTTATCTCCTACAAATGATATCCAATCAAAAAAATGAGGTTTACAACAACTGTTCTCAGGAAACGCCCCTTAGAGGAGTGAAAATAAACAAAGCCTCCGTGCTGATGTCCTCTGAACTGCAGGGCAAGGTGCGTGTCGCATAAAACGAGTTAAACAGGCCAGAAAATGCCACAGAGGAGAGATAAGAGCCGTTATAAAGACAAAGATAACAGGAGGGGGGATTTCTGAGGAAGAGGATTCACAACAGCAGGCAGGAAGAAGGGCGTCACGTCAGACCATCAGTCTGGTTTTATATCGAAATCATTCAAACAGATAAAATGAGAGTGAATCTACAGGTGCAGAGAGGAGAGAGAATAACCAACAAGGATGAGGATGTTTCTGTCTCACTTTTTCTAACCCTGGTAGTTTTAATCCAGAAATCTGGACAAAAGAAAACTAACAACTTCAAACCTCTGATAAAACATAACACAGCACAGTAACTCCAAACAGACCAGTCAAATCTGTTTACGTCTATCTGCCGACAGAGTCCAGTGACCTTTCTGTCCATCCGAGTCAACAGGTCGACGATGACTGAGCGATATAAAATATTTTACTTCCTCACTATCAGCTGTTCCTGCGACTTTCTCTCCATATCTTATCAGATTTTATGACATTCATAGTCATTTAAATATCTAATGAGACCATTCACTGGAATACTTTATGACTATAGTCTGACCTTTATCTACACTGATCGACAAAATCACTCCAACAAGTCATAAAACACACTCAGGCTGATCTTGACACACAAAAACAGTGTTATTGAACCACAGAGAAGACTCTCAGGTTAGCCGAGCTCACCATGAAGCCGTAGATTTCAGAGGAGCTTCTGACTTTGGGGAGGATCTCCATCGGGACGTCAAAGTACCTGCAAACAGGACGACAACAAGCAGTCAGCTTCAAAACAACCCTGGTGGGTTTATTGAATTCAGTCATCAGATTTTGTGCAGGTGCTCGTTTACCTGCAGAGTTCAGGATCCCAGTTCATAGTGTGAATGTTGAAGAGCATGGTGCGGCTGGCGTTTGAGACGTCTGTGCAGTGAACTCCTCCGCTCCTACCTCCTGTTAGACACTGAAGGGAAAAAAAACAGGTCTTCAGTCAGCCTTATGGGAAACTTCTGCAGAGGTAACAAAGAAAGACTCCTGCTGATTCATCGTCAGTCTGATCTGAATCATTTTGACTGAACGGGGAGATCTCAGTGAACATGCCTCAGCTTGATCTGATTCTGAGTTGATCTCTTTCAGCAAATCTTACCCAGATGATCCAGGAGTCCACTGTCCCAAACATGGCGCGTTCACTCAGCACCGCCTGCTGCACTTCGTCCACGTTGTCGAGCAGCCATCGCAGCTTCACTGCGCTGAAGTACGTGCTGATAGGAAGGCCGGTCTTGTGCTGTGGACAGAGAAAAACACCAAGAGTGATTTCTGTTGTTCTTTTTGATGCTGCAGCCTGAATTGAATCCAAAAGCTAAAAACAAACTTTACATGTGGACGACTCTCACCTTGAGGTGGTTCTTGTTCTTGCCTGGAGCTTTGCTGATGAGCCGCTCCACCGTGGACTGTGTGCGAAGGTCCAACCAAACTGCAGAAAGAGCGTAAATAAGATTCAAACTCAAAGATCTCAACAGAAGATAAACTTATGAAAGTATGCAGACGCTCAGTCTGCTGAATTATCCCCTGATGCTCCATCATGTCACCATTTTTGATGATTTTTATTGATGTATGCGGTGCATCCTGGTGCATGGAGACTCTGCTGCAGCACCAGAGATCTCAACCAAACACAGTCAAAGTTATATGAGGATGGTTATTCTTCACACCACAGATTCAACACCCGCATGTTTTCATTAACTTGTTTTTGTGAGAGGGTTGGAACGTCAGTAAAGTGCATACCAAGGAGTTCACAGCCGACCTTAACAGTGTTTAAAATGAATAATGACAACCATCAAGACTGAACAGAATGAGTTTAATTAATAATGATCTTTGTTGGAAGTGTGGGGCAGAAAGTGGAACATTTATTCATGCATTATGGGAATGTTCTACGATCCTCCCCTCGTGGGAAAAAGTTACAGACTATATGAGCAAATCGTTAAATTACGAACTTCCCAGATAAATACAGTTTTAGAATATTAAAAACTGGCCTGATAACATGTGCACAGACTATTCTGAGGTGTTGGAAGGAACCCCACGCTCCCACACCGAGTCTGTGGAAAACACAGATGATGGGGACTGTGGCATGTGAGGAGATGTTGGGGAGATTAAATTGTGAAAATGATATGAAAAAAGAAAAATGGGATAGTTTTGGTGGACAGATGTGTTAACTTTCTCGCCTTGCCAACTTACCTGCCTGTCTAATTTTGATTTTCTTTATTTATTTTATAATTATTACTTTTATTTTTAGCTCCATTACATTTGTTTTGTTTGAAGTTCGTTTGTCTGTTGAAACATTGAAAAAATAATAAACTAGATCAAAGTTTAATCTACAGTTGACAGGAACAGGTAACACCTCAACCTCAGATCGACCCGACAATCTGCTGATTTAAGGAAACAGAAACATTCACTGTAAATCCTTCAAACAGCATGTCTCTCAACATCACTCTGGATGTCTGATCAAAAACTGAAGCCCGAACATCAAACCAGTGATTGACATTTTTAACCCTGAGCTGATTCACAGTAGAAACACAAACAGTCCTGTCTCCTGAGGAGCTACAGTGCACTCCGACAGACAGACCGACCGACCACCACCCACCCCCAACACATCCCTCACATTCCATCAGAATAGCAACCAATGGGCAGAGAAACCCGCCTTTCAGGCTGAACCCACAGGCCTCAGTGGGGGGTATGAATGAGAGTCTCTCTGTGCTGGTAATATTAGCTCACACATTAAGCCTTCAGTGGGTGGTGGCTCCATGTGCTCAGCTCCTACACTGATTCATGCTCACACGGCGGGGCGGTGCGGTGGGAGGTGGGGCGGTGACGGGCTGACACTGGACACTACAGTCTCATCTGATGGAGCACAGTCATGCACTGTGAAGTTTCCGAGATGACACAACCCTCTTGTTTGATAATCTAATGATCGAATAACCGGGACATGTGATCGCTGACGTCCAGAACAAGTTTTAAAGAAACTCAGACTGAATCAAAAATAACGACGGGAGGACTCAGCTGCTTCTGAACCTGGACAACAAAACAAGAGTGAGCCGATGTTTGAAGACTGATAAAAAACTGAAGTTTGCCTTTACCCCAGTAGATCACGTCACGCTGCAGCAAACAAAGGGCTGCGATTGCTGCAACTAAACCCATGCTGGAAAACGCAGCTTTTTGAGTCAGTATGTGGGAGGATGTCTGTATTTGGTGTCAGACTTTAATCCAGTCAAAGTCACTCTTTTAATTTCCCTCTCAATTTTAAAAGTCAAATATATTTTTCTTCTGTCACAGTGAGCCGTACTTCATCACACAGAGCCCTGAATGTAAACTCAAAACCCACCGATGGCGTTGTAGAGCGGCTCTCCGGTCTCTTTGTCCCAAACCAGGGTCGTCTCCCTCTGATTGGTCACTCCCACCGCTGAGAAAACAACAACAACAACAACAACGACAATATTACCATCAGCAAAACCACAAACTCCACCCACTTCTCACTCTCTCTCTCCAGGGTGTGGTCCAGGGTCAGTTTTGGTGCTTTTAGAGGCGGTTTCTCACCTTTTATGTTGGAGACGTCAATGTTGAGCTGGTACAGTTTCTCACAGGTCCTCTCCATGCACTCGTACACAGACTGCATGATCTCCTTGGGGTCCTCCTCCACCCAGCTGAGGAAACACAAACACAGACATGTACACACTCTGAGCCCTGTATGTGCGAGAGACTCAAAAATGGGAACGAAACCAAAAACCTGTACAGAGCAGATTCGTGTAAATTCATGTGAGTTTGTTCTGACTTTGACTGTAAAGATGCAGCAGCTGTTACTGATGTTCAGAATAACAATCCTGCTGTTAGCCGGGTCTCGTATAAAAGTTTGAAGTGACTCTTAAAAAAAACCATCAACAAAGTGAGTGAAATAAAAACAGAGCTGAACTTTGGACTCCATCATGTCCTACACACCAAATAAAGTAAAACATTAACCTTTATTACAGTTTAACTGGAAGCACCAAAACATGCAGAGCCGTGACAATATGTGGCCTTTTTTCGTCCAGTTGAAAAGATTAAAATTTGAGACTCCTGGCTGTTTTCTGCACTTCAGTAGATGCTAGATGAAAATTAAGACACTGTTTGATTTCTGCATAAAGTGCTAAACTGCATTTCACAGTTTTCTGTCATTGAGTAGAAAACGATGATGAATTGATCGAAAATGTAACTAGCATGTTATTTTGGACAGAGATAAGTCGGTTTCACTCCAAACACTTACCCCTCCTTTGGGAAGCTCTGGTTTATCTCCACCTGGTGTTGGCTGATCAGCTCAGCTGTTTTGGCATTAAACACCTGAGGAGAAAAACAAAGATTTGCACCTAAAGTTAGAAAGGTGAGGACAAGGAAAGACGAGATGGTCACAGAGGCTGATTATTAATCTGAATTTACGAATTTTAAAGTTGAGGATGATTTTGAAAAACTGAGTCATTTCCACTTCACTGAGCACCTGTGGTTCATGAGGAGATGAGTTTGTCAAAATCAATCAGCTTCATTTTTCAAACTTCTCAATAACTTATTTACTCCATGTTAGGGGGAAAGTGGAGAATCTGGACAGGAGATGATTATTTTTCTGCAGCACCATCTCTAAGCTCGGACATTTTCCAGACTGAGTTAGCTCTTGATTACAGAGGGAGGAGATTAAACAGGGGGCAGCATATTAACCTGTAGAGTGGGGCAGAAGTCAGCATTTCATCTCGGGTAATAGGATAAAGTGTACGGCTTATGAGCGAGTGGTCCAGACCACTGCAAATCAAGGCTGCTCGCTTCACCTCTCACTTAGTGGAACATTTAACAAGAGCAGTTTACAGCAACCTTGATCTCTCTGACCTTCACGCAGCTATCGAGTCACAAATACGCACACATGCTGCATCCTGAACTCTGTGACACCAAGACGAGGGGAGGTAACATTCAGATGAAGCCACAGAGTTGGATGGCACACAGGAACATCCTCTCTGACTATAAAAGGACAGAGCTCACAACCGGGACAGACAAATCAGGACGTCACCAGACCAAAACTTTACCTCGAATGTTTAAAGGCTGACCTAGTTATGGCAACTGACAATGTACTCCAACAAGTCGAATTTCCACATTTTCTCAGGATGGTAACCTTGACCTTAAAGTTAACCAAGAATGTGAATCATTCACTCTCTGTCCCCACACAACAAAATCCATGACGACAGTTTCCACTTGAAGTGTCATTTTCTGCATAACACTCCTAACACTCCTTCTGCATTCACTAAATGACTGAAGCTTTTTAAACCCACTAAAACAGAAGAAAACAGCTCAGTCCAGTTTGTCACCTGGAAATGAAATGGAAGGTTTTCTGACCCGCCAAAACAAAAGATCCCAAATCAGACTGATCTCTCTGCTTCAAATAAACAAATCCAGACTTCACTAACACATCACAGGTTTTATCAGAAATCTGTGTGCACAATAACCCCTCTGTGTACCAACAAAAACCACACAACATCTGGTCCTGACTGAGACAGAGGGAAGCAGACTTTATCAGCAGCTTATTGTCCACACAGACTTTATAGAGTGTCACTTTTTGGTGTTAAATCATAATGAGCTTTTTCATTTCTAAAATATTTTCTTAGCACTTTCTCTGCTCAGGGAGACACCTTGCTGTTGCACAACAGGTAAAGGAAATTACAAAAGTATGAATCACATGTACGCGGCCTCTTCTCCTTCGTCATCGTTTTCAGCTTCGATGAGCAGCATGTTCTCTCTGTCTCCTCATCCAAGCACTAGGATGGACGATAACAAACACCAAACTATGTTAAAGTTTAACTCGACCCTTTCACTGTCTGAGCTCTCAGTTAAGGACCTCATCGAGGGTTAAAACCAGGACCTTTGGACCACTTTAGGAAAACATCACGAGAACTGTCAGGGCCCCTGTTTGTGATGGAAAACCATGACTTTGGATTCAATCAATATGACGCACAAACAGACCCAAATATAATGAAAGACTTGGTTGTTCTCTGGTGTTAATCTTTATAGACAATAAAAGTCAGATAGTAATAAACCTGACACATATTTTTTTGCTCTTGCAGACTGCCACTGCTCAGACAGGCTGTTATCAATGCAACATGTCTGCAAACACACAGATGTTTTTAACCCCAGTCTTTGACGCAAATCAGCCATTTTACCTCCAGAATACACGCGATGTACGACCTGGAAATCAGAGCACAAATTTTGGATTTGGGACAATATCACAGACAATAAAAAAACAAATCTGGCGGACCAAACCAGATCCTTTCAGTCTCTTCTTTGAAAAACTAACCACAGGTCAAACTTTTATCTCCACTGAGCCCAGAAATACCGTCTTCAGCGCCAAATTCAGTCTTCCAGCTGACCTGGTTTAGGAAGCCCAATTTAAAGACAATGGCTCTCTGAACAGGATTCATGTGGCTAAACTGTAAACAAACCAACACATGGAAAAAGTCGAGGAGCTTCATCAGGCTGGTCAAAACTGGTCAAGTTAGCAGGATTTAATATTAATGAGATGAATCTGAATTCTGTTCAGCTGGACTTAAAACTGAGGGGTGTGTCAAACAAAACTGGTGCTCCTTTCAACACAGATAATGAGTTCCTTAAAAAGGGGTCATGAACTTTTTAAGTGTATTATCATCCAGCACCTAACTCCACGGTCAAATGAGATTAAAGATATTCACTTCAGTGATCAATCACCAAGATTCAATACGATCCCAACAACCCAAACTCCTGATGTAAACGATGCAGACAGAACACACAATGACGTCCTCACAATGACCTGAAAATTACTGAATCACATGTTTAATCCAAACACAGAGGACTTCATACAGATGACTCTTGACACTCAGACACTCTTGTTACAGCGAACACTGTCATATTATAATGTAGACGATCTGTATCCAACAGTGTCTTTGTCAGACATGTCAACTTGTGCAAAAGAAACAAATTTAATACAAGGAGAAAGTAGTAGAGCGTAAAAATGCCATATTTGTCTATCCAGGTCCAGAAAAATTGACAGTACTGGACCGTGTCACCAATATTAATCTGTGTAGAACTTATTATATATTATTTAGGGGGGGAAAAGCTGATTTTGTGACTATTTCCCTTCAAATATCCAGAGATTTTCCAAATAAACCTGAAACATGATGCCAGATGTGATGAAGTTTCTGTTTAGTTGGGATTGTCATATTTTTTCCTCTCTCAACATTTTGTTGAATAAATAATTTTGAGACTGTTAATCCAAATCCAGTACAAAAAACTGTTTTTCTCTTGTAACATATGTAGTTTTATCCAACAAAGTGTAGAAGTGCCACACTAACCTGGCTACATGACTTCTTGACAGCTGAGGCGACGGATAAAGATTTTAATCGATTAACACTGCAGTCGAATTAAAGTCTGAGTAGATAAAACACTGTCTGGTGGCGATAACATTCACATCTGCGTTGAATGTTGACTTTGACGGGTAAAATTGACGCGAAATTTAGAAATATTCGACGGTTTCTGTCGAAGAATCGTAGATTTTGAGCCAACCGTTTGTCCTAATCCGAACCGGTTAAACTCGCGCGATTAAATTTTCAAATAACTTCAAATTTGTTCTTTTTAGTTCGGTACTTTTTCGATTATTACCAACCTTTTAACCACCGTTAAAAGATAAAATATAAAACGTCGTGTTTTAACGTAAAGAATCCCAACCGTCTGTGAAATTAACGTTAACATTCCAACGTCTGTTCCACGTCACTCACCAGGAACCTCGTCGAGCTCGTGCCCTGATCTATCGCAGCAACCAGCGGGTCCATCCTCGCGCTTTTTTCCCCTTCACGAGCCGTTGAAGTAAAACCCTGTCCGGACCGTCGAACTCTTCCAGCCGCTGCCTCTCCGTCTGACCCGGTTCCCCGACACGAGGGTTCTGGTGTTTTTTTTATCCCACTTTGATACCAACCACGGCTCCTCGTGAGGGGGGTAGGTCGACAGGACAGGCAGGCACGCACTGGGCGGATACACCGTGGAGCACGACGGGGGATGAACCGGAACCGGCCTGCTTACTGCAAACGCGATGATTGGCTGTCCCTCGAGGGTGTCGGCCGAGAGCTGACCAATCATGTTTGGGGGCACGGTGCTAAGAATGTAAAGTATCCACCCTGTGGTTGAATGGGCGATGGAGATGGGAAGTTCGTATCATTTCAGTGATCAGGAGAGTTTGACTCAGTTTGACACAGAACTGACTGAGTATAACTATATTGCAAATTACAGTAAAGAACTGTGGTTCTCAACTGGTCTCACTCTGGGACCCACATTTTCCCACCGCCTTTAAGTCGCGACCCATTTTTATGAAATTCAAACCAAGAAAATTTATGTTTTGTAAAGAAAACCTTTATATTAGACTCAAATCTTTGACATAAATACACCTATTTTATTGAGTAAAGTGCATTTCAGAGCACTTGAACTAACGACGACAACTACTGAAGTTGCGTGTACAGAAAATATCAAATTGCACAAAATGGAGACCAGCAAAATGAAAAATTTGACATAAGTATTTCTGCTTTCAGAGCTTATTCAGAAGAACCTGAGGAGGACTATGAAACAGCATGGACAAGAGTGAATAAATATTTAATTGTACAAATAGACCATAAAATAAAAGACCATAAAAAAAACATGTAACTTAACTGCATTCAGACCACATTAATAAGAAATTGGGGAGGTTTATATATATATAAACGTATAAAATACATGTGTTTTTTTATGAGACAACTTTTTTATTTTGCAGCAAATGCAACACATCTATGAATGTGGCTATGCTTGGCCCACAATTTAATTTATTGTTTTATTTTTTATCATTTATATATTCTGCAGTCAAACATTTTTCTGTGTTGTTTGATATTCATAATATCACCCTAATTATCTAAAATGTAAAATTAAAAACGAATATAGAGGCTGTAGCGCTTAGTTCACATGAGTCGGTTCTTAGAGCAGAATCGTCCATGAAACTTGAATCACTATGACCTCATAGTCACCAAACCGGCCCCCTTGTCCTTAAAACACGTTTCAAGCCTCCTTCTCTGGCCCCCCTTTTAAAAAATGTAAAATAAGCTTCACTTTAGAGTTAAGGTTTTTGTTTGTTTGTTTTTCTTAAAGGAAAAAATGTAGCTTCTGACTGAGCTCCACCTTTAAACGCAGGGTTTTGTATGAGAAATGGGTATGACCCCTGTGACCCTATTTTTGTGAACAAATGTTTTGAAGCCTTGTGTTTGGCCCCTGGCAGTCACCATGTTGATTTACTGCATCCTCAAGTGACCTAATTTGGACAAAGGAGAGGGTGTGTAGAGACAGAGACACAGGGATAATTTTGGAAAGTAGAGGCTTTATTTAGCCGAAGACATGTTTAACAAGTTTATAAAACCACATTTCAAAATAATGAAAACCAACAACAAATAAAAGGTTGGACATAAAACTAGGCTAGGGTCCTTTAACTCAGTTTAAGTCACCAAAACAAGATTTACAACCGAACAAACCAGAGCAGATTACAGTGACTTTAGTAGAGGTGTAGCCTATTAAAAAATGTATTGTAATGACTGATTGAGAAAAAAAAATACATATATTCTGTATATACAGTAAAAATTGTACACTCTCAACCACATATGGAGCCATAAAACAGCCTGACATCTGAATTCACGCTGTAGTTGTAGTCATTCTTACAAATCTTTCAGTCTTGGTGTGCAAACTTTGTTTTTAATCTCATAATTCATAATAATTCAGCAAACCAGCACTATCCTGATGGATTTAACATGACCCAACTTGAAATATGAGTGTCACAGTCTTTCCACTGGTCGTCATTATTCACTTTTATTGACTTATGGAAATTTCACAACACTAAAGTAAGACCGGTTCCTCTAAACACAGAAAAAAGCCTGATACTGACACCTACTGTTCACTAGTTGATAATGCACCCATTGACAGCTCACAGTCTGCAGGCCAGAGTTTAAAATAAATCAACTTGTGTGAACTAAATGCTATATTCACAAAATTGTGCAAAACTATAAATCCACAAATCAATATCTTACAAAAAAAACTGCTCTACATTGAAATGCAACAAAAGCTGAACATCCTAGTCTACTTGTCGCAAAAGGACACCTGGTTTTAAGTGAGTGTGTGAGAAAGTTTACTAACATCACAGGTGAGCTATTAGGGAGACATGTTCCTAATGAGTTTGTGACTGTCTGATGTTTGGAGGGTCAGCTGAAGGTGAACTGTCTGTCGGCTCTGAATCTCTCTCTAACTGTTTACCTGCCTTCCACTGTGACTGCACACCTGTTTTCTCCATCTTCCCACCATTTCGTAAGCCCAATTAACCACCTCAGCAGAAGGTAGATGTGCAAAAGTTCTGCACCCAAAGTCCTATTTTACTTATTAAAGTAAAATACACGTAGGTGAAGTTTTTAATACCTGAAAAAAGAATTTATCATTGAGGAATAATAAATTAAGTTAAAAGCAACTTTTAAGGTGATGTCCAGCTCAGTTTTTAAGCCTTGCATGGCTCACTGTGCTCCTGGTTTCGGGGTCTCAGGTCCAGTATCAGTCAGGCTGTCGGCTCTGCTCTGAGTCCGGTTCTGTTTCTCTCTCTCCAGAGCTTTCTCCATCTCTGTGTAGTAATCCAGAGCCTTTCGCACCGGGCTGATAATGTGATGCTGCAAAAAAAATGAAGAACTAATTTACCCAAAGTGAGCAAACTTTACATCTGTTGTGTTTATTTCTGATTGAAACTGTGAATTCCTACATTTCCCAGAGTGCTTTTGGATAGTTTATTGTAAGTATTTCAACATAAATCACCTCTAGACAGGGGAAGAGGTTGGCCAGCTCGATAAAAAGAGGCAAGAGGACAAATCTGATGAAGCCGGTTTGAGATGACGGTTTGGTAACTTTGTCCCGATCCATAAAGGGGGTGACGGGAAGACCCTCTAACTTCTCCATGTCACTCTGTGGGCACACGAGTAAAAAAATGTACAGTAAGCTCCTGTTATGTTAAATCTGCGCCATAAATTTTCAGTATCAGTGAACCCAGAACATACAAACCTTTATCATTCTGTACTTAATATTTAGAAACATCTTGTCAGGGTTCGGTTACCTGGTTGTAGAACTCCTGTAGTAAACAGTCTAACCAGGGTTCAGCCACCTCCATGGGCCGGGCCTCATTCGATATGTCGCTCACTTTGATCAGAATCATCATCAGCTGCACACAGAGTGAGGAAAAACAGATGATGGTCAGTTACACATGAGAAAAACAGACATGAACAGAAACTCAGGAAGACAGAGCTTCAGTTGAGAGTTAGGACACAAAGTTTCATGGATGGTTTATTTCAATATCCTCCTTAAAATCATTTTAAAAAAAGGTGCATCGACCTGACTAAGTAAAGATTTTTGAGGACACTCTTAGGAGCATTAAAAGTCACAGATTTGAGTCAGCTGACTTTAATTTGACCATTAAAACTTTTATCAGAAACTTTCATTTTTAAATCAACTTTGGCGCCCCCCTGTGGATGAAGTGAGAACTCTTCTCTCTCTATTCAGACCTTATACATGTATAATTTGTTTGCTGCTGTCTTTAAACAATAAACTGTATAACTTACTGTAAATCCTCGCTGTAAACATTAAAAGAAAAGCCTCTTTGTGTGTTATAAATCTTAATTAGAATAAAACTGAGAATAAGAAAATAGAGTTCCCTTTTCCCATGTTGTCCTCCTGTCTCACCACGTCTCTGTGGTCCTTGTTGGTGAAGTCAAAAGTTGGCAGGATGGACTTGAACTTGTTGAGGATCTCGTTGTGTCTCGTCATGTCAGTGGCCAGGATGCATCTAAAATAACAATAAATAAAAAACATGTTTTATTACGTTAAATGACGAATACCTAAAGCTCCTGTGAGGAATTTTTCTGAGTCATGAAACAGTGATGTTTTCTCTGAGGTTCAAAGTTGGAATCAACCTTGACCATCTGCTGACATACTTGATGATTCCCTCTCTGATCCGTTTGTACTGATCCATGGAGACGTTTCTGAAGATGTTGCTCTCTGCCTTTAGAAAGAAAACATCTGATCAGTGACTCCACATCGTCCTTGAGATCTTTCAGATCAAACTCTTTAACCCTGAGTGTCGGTTTCATGAAGAGCATGAATGCAAAGTTTCAAACAAACACTGATTTGTTTTCTTTACCTTCTCCAGTATCTCAAAAGCGACGGCACAGTGATGGTTCTCCAGAGGGGAGATGTCGTTGTAGCGGAGAGCGAGTTCAGTCCGAGCATTAATCTGAAAGACGGTTCAGTTTGGTGAAATTCGTCTGGATATCTTTTGTTTCTTTATTCCCTCTCAGTCAGAAATACAGATTACCTGATAGGCGTTGTTGTATCCTGTGTGGTCCAGGTCGTGGCAGACCGCAGAGGTCAGCATGATCAGCAGGTCGATGCTGTCCATCTCACTCCTCAGGTCGGTCAGCCAGATCAAACCGTACATCTCAAAACAGGGGAAAAGGAGAAAGGTGAGCAGAGCGGCGTCCATTTTTAACCCTTTGGATGAACCATAAACACACGGATGTCTCATGATGTAAGTGCAATTAGGTTAATAAAAGAGTAAACAGATTTTCCACCTGTCTTTCTAAAATAAATGTCAGATGTTAAAGCCTTAAACGATGGCATCTTTCTTGGTTTATATACCTGTCGAATCTGCAAACCTTTCCCTGATTGGAGTCACCTGTAATTTCTTTTACCAGTATAATTATAGGACATGACAAAAACTTTCATAATTTGGCTGCATGTGCGCACACTCACCATCTGCGTGACACAGAAGCAGTGTTTGAAGTTGTGGAAGGGGATGTTGTTGTATCTGCTGTAGACCTCGAACAGAAACAGCTGCAGAACTTCAGGCTCGATGTTGAAGGTGGCGATGAAATCTAGATCTGTGTACATGACCTGCAGGAGCACCATGATCTCTGCGTCCTCCCACTGCCTGCACAAACACAAACATGCACAACACTATTTACTCCACCCACCCACTGACTGTCTGACCTTCTACATGTCCACAAAGTCAGGAGAGCACCTGAGATTCCACACGGTAACAGGGTTTTTCTGTTTTGGGTTTCCTTTCGACAAATTCAAAGCTCTGCTGAAAGCTGCATGAAGCCCTCTTCAAACACGTCCCATTGATCCAACCTTTCATGAAGACCTTCTTTTGATTAGTGAGCTCTCTGCAGACCTTTTCATATTGAAATGAGTGTGGCAACATGAAGAAAAGGCCGACGGCTCGCAGCCTCTTCAGAAGTGCTTGTCAGACACGACTGTCATTAACTAAACGTCTGTTCGTGGAGGAAACAGGTGCACCGTTTCTTTATTTGTGAGATTAAAAACATCAAAATCAAACATATGAAGGCGGGACTCACCAGTTATCGAAGGTTGGAGTCTTTAAATACTGCCTCACTTCTTCTGAGACCTCCAGAGAGCTGCAGCGGTGACAAAGTGAACCTTTAACTTCTTTAGACATTCAGGGATTTTAAGAATAAATGAAACTTATTTTTGTGTCAGTAAACGTGCCTCATTTGGAGAAACTTCTCCCGCACATGTTCGCACTCTTTCTTGGTTTTGTGCAGAGATCTTTTGTGGTAGAAGGGGGAGGGTTTGTGCGTCCCCTCAGACAGATCTTTGAATAATCCCAGCCAGCTCAGGTGCTCCACGCTCTGAAACAGACGTGAGATCGATCAAATCTACAAATACAAGCTTTTAAATTGAGGTTAAAAATGACAAATGACCATCGTCTTCATCTGCTGGAACATTAAACCCAACAAGAGAGTTTATTATTTCTGTTTGAGTACATTTATCCACATCCTCCTGTTTTTGTCAGATCTTTGACTTTCAGTACCTCGAGTTTCTCCCGAAATGAATCCACCTGTTTTTTCATCTCGTACACGACCGCAGGAGTCTCACCGGACTCGATCAGGATCTTCTTCTCCAGACCCTGCAGTCTGAGAAAACACAAATATTCATTTATTACAAGTCAATCTTTGAAGTGAGTAAATCCAGATCATCTGCACTTAAACTTTTGCACCTTTTCTCCATGGCTGAGAGGTCAAATCCGAGTGCACCAGCAAGCTCCACACCTGAAAGGAAGAGAAATAAAGACAAAACTGTTTAGAATAAAAGTTTCATAGATGCCAACAGCTCCTACTGCTCCTACTTGTTTTTTTTCTTGTTTTTAAATAACTTTGAGATTTTTTGCATCTAAATAGTTGCTCTGTCTTCTTCACTCTCTCTATCTTTCTTAGACTGTGTGAAATATCCACACTGCACTAATGCAAACCGCAGTAATTCTCCTCAGGGATACCTAACGGCTCACTGTTGCAGTCTGCAGCCACCACCTCCAGCTTGTAGCAGCAGCTCGGACTGTTGGGCTCCAGGTTCTGCGAGATGTTGATGATGCTGCCTTTGGGGTTGTACAGCTTCAGGATGTCGTGGGGTCCGGCCTCGGCTGCAGCCCGGAACAGATCTGGAGAGAAAGACTCATGTTTCCAAACTTCAGATGCTGAGGAAGACCACGTACGAGATGTGGATTTCATAAATAATGACGGAGGATTAGGGCCCCAAAAGAACTATAAATATGGAGATTTCAGGAATTTAGAAATATATTTCCCAGAATGAAGTCTTAATAGGGAAAAAAATAAATAAACAAGTTTATTCTCTCAAATTTATAAAAAAAAAAATAGGCAAAAATGTTTAATATGAGATTAAAGTCATAACAAAACTGACAGAGAAAAGTTGTCGGTTAACAACATTTTCATGAAAATATGTGAACTAGATCATAAAATTTGACGAGGTTTTTCAAGGATTATTTAAAGGATGAGTGAGTCATTTTACAATTTTACATCTAATTCAGAAAACAAACAAGAATAAAGTAGCAAGTGAAAAATGTGAAAATGATCTTTCGCTTATAGATTATGAAATTAAAGTTGCAAATTAATGTGGTTTTAATGTTAATAATTAGATTTTAGGTCATAAAATTAAGGTAATAAAGTTGTAAATCAAGAAAACAGTTTATGTAGAAGAGTACACCGTCGTAGTAGAATACAGTTTCAGTCTTTTTCTCTCCTCTTGTGTCTGTTTTGTGGATCTCCATCTGGATTCCTGACATGATGTTTTTTCAGAGCGTGTTTATTTTCTGACCTGACCTGACTCGGAGGAAACGGACGTGACAGGATGAGTGTCTGTCTGTCAGCTGCAGCTGTACGTCTGTGTGGAACTGAGCCGACCTCCACAACACTTCATTTTACTCTAATTCAGACCTGACTTTTACCTCCATATTTTTACCTTTTTTAAGTTAATTTGCAAAATTAATGTGAGGGTACTTTAACATGAAACACATCTGCAGATCCTGACTGTTACACACATACCATTCATATTGTATATTTTGAGGGACTTACATGTTTATTGCTCCTACCTTTGACATCCTGTGCAGGACAATCCACGGGGAACTCGGCCTGCTCCGGTTTCCCGTTCACTGTGAAGTAAATGATTTTTGTCTCCATGTCATGGATTCAGAACTGCTGCTGCTGCTGCTGATGATATCTGGTCTGTGTGTGTGTGTGTGTGTGTGTGTGTGTGTGTGTGTGTGTGCGTCTGATCTGCGCCTCATTATTGCACATGTAAACACTTCACCCTCCTGTTTTTGTTCCTCTCCACCTCCTCCTCTGCTCCTCCTTCTCTGACCTTCTTTGTTTCCACCACTTGGAATAATCACCAAATCATACAGGTCTTGTGAGCGTGGACACTAAACAAGATATTGTGAAAAAAAGAGAGAGATATTAGATTTATTTTCTGTTTTTATAAATCCTTTAAAAGATCCTCTGGATCATGATCATCATCAGCCAAGTCTTTATTTGTAAATGACGCAGAAATGAGCCGTAAAAATAGGCTGTATGGACTCAGACTCAGTAGAGCCTCGACTCCAATTTAGCTGGTTTGGGGCCCTGATTGGGATGCCCTCCTAGATGCCTAAGATTTTCTGGCAATGTCAGACTACACTGCCCTCCAAGTTATTATGCAAATTGTTTTTAAGTGTCATAAAGGTTCCATCATGGATGGTTTTGTGTCTCAGGGCTCTTTGGATCACTGAAATCAATCTCAGACACCTGTGATACTTAGTTTGTCAGGTGAGCCCAGGTAAGGGATAAAACTACTGAAGAAGGACTTCCACATTATTAAGCAGACCAACATTTTCAAGCAATATGGGAAAGAAAAAGGATCTCTGCTGCTGAAAAGTGTGAAATAGTTGAATGCCTTGGACAAGGTATGAAAACCTTCAATATTTCACGAAACTTCAAGCATGATCATCATACTGTTAGGAGATTTGTGGCTGATTCAGAGCACACACTGGTTTGTTCAGATAAAGGCACAATAAGGAAGGTTTCTGCCGGACAAATACATCGAATTAAGAGAACAGCTGCTAAAATACCATTAAAAAACAGCAAACAGATATTTGAAGCAGCTGATGTCTATGGAGCCCCGCAAACATCAAGGTGAAGGATCCTCCTGAGACGAATTTTCAAACAGTCTTGTTCACTGATGAGCGGTTGGTGGATGGCCACCATGTCCCACCAAGGCTGCGACATCAGCAAGGAATTGGCGGAGTCATGTAGACAGACCTGGTCGGCCCCTTTAGGTTCCCTGAAGGTGTAAAACTGACCTCTGAAAAGTATGTGGAGTTTCTGACTGACCGCTTTCTTCCATGGTACAAAAAGAAGAACCGTGCTTTCTGCAACAAAATCATCTACATGCATGACAATGAACCGTGTCACGCTGCAAGGAATACCTCTGCATCATCGGCTGCTATGAGTATAAAAGGAGACAAACTCATAATGTGGCCCCAATCCTCCCCTGACCTCAACCCTATTGGGAACCTTTGGAGGATCCTCAAGCAAAAGATCTATGATGGTGGGAGGAACTTCACATCCAAACAGCAGCTCTTGGAGGATATCCTGACATCCTGCAGACATGTCCAAGCAGAAACTCTCCAAAAAAATCGCAAGTTCAATGGATGCAAGACTGTTGACGGTCATTTGTTTTGACTATTTAGAAAATCTGAGAAAAACATCATTATAATAATTCGTAACACGGTGTAGAAGGAGACACCAGAGTGGACTTAGAGACTCGACAAAGCATCCTTGTTAAAGACCAGGGAGCAGCTGGACAGTGAAGCCACCGTCAGTGACCATCAGCCTCCTCCTCCTCCTCCTCCTCCACAGACGGACACTTAGGGGACGCATGTGTCTGTAATCCTACCCTCAGAGTGGGAGGTACAGGGTCACCTGATCCCCACTCCAAGAGGCAGCAATCACCTGCTCAGGTGTCTGTTTGTAACAAAGTGAAGGCCCAACAGGAGGGCAGCTATAGGACGGAGAAAAAGAAGAGGGAAAAGAAAGAGAAAGAAAAGACAGGAGGAGAGGAAATAAGAGGAGTGGGATCTTTGGAGTCTGGGGGGATATGGTCTTGGACAACGCACAGCTGAGCGTGGACAATGGGACAATGACGAAGAGCTTTGTGGAGATCAGTACGTTGGATTTAACTTCTTCAAACCAGACTTGTCAGCAGGATTACCGGTCGATTCTCAGTTTCTTTTTAATCCACTTCTTCTTCTGTTTTCACCTCTTTGTTTTAGACCCTGATGCCAACGTTGCTGCTCCTCCTCCAACGGTAAGTCACTCAACATAACTCTTTTTAAACAGTCAGTCCGGTCAGATAGACGGTTTAGTCAGTTTAAAGACTCACCAGGTTAGTGGGAGACTTGGAGATGTGAAACTTGAAGACAACTAAAAGAGGTCAGATAGATGTCTAAATGTAACCTAGCCCTTTAATGCCTGACACCACAAATTATGGCCTGAAAATTCAATTTTTTTGGAGCTAAAATGTTTGACTTACTACTAAAAACCAAAAAAATATATATAAATGTCCTTAAAATTTAACAAATCTGTTTATTTATCTTGTTTGTTATATTTTATGTTTTTGGGAACTGATAAACCACAAGGACATTTTTATAATTTATCAGACTGTATTCAGGTGTTTTTTTCAGTAATTTGTTGATCATATTGATTTGAAAGAAGTATTATAAAAGTATGTATCAAATATGATACAAAAGGCATTAAAGGGCTGGACAACTGGTCTGAAATCAGGCTACCACAGGTCTAAAAATAAAAGTTTTTTAGACGTCTAAATCTAGACCAAGTTTAGACCAAGTCTAAATCTGGGCTATATCTATACTACACTGTATATTACTTAACAGCTATCATAATTATTTTGGTGAAGTACTTGGAGATCAGTTATGCAACTCATAATGGGTTAAAGTGCAACGTCTTAATTCTAAAAATATACAGAATCTATACGGTTGAAATTAGGTCAAAAACAAAACTAGACGTCTAATTGCCGTCTGTGGCTCAGTAGGTTAAAATAATTTGCTTACTATGCTAGAGTAAAATTCAACAACCTAGATAAGTTCTGAAACGGTGAAATAGTGAGCCGATAATTATTTAAATGAGTTGCCTTAAGCCGTCTTTTCACTGTGGTCTCATTAATTGTTAAAAGCTCACAGTGATAGACACGATGATAAGCTCTATTAGCCGACAGTGATGGACAACAGCGAGGACGATGAGACTGTGAGTGAGAAAAACGACAAAGTTATCCCATAACTGAGCGATAACAAACATTCATAGACCGGTCCATTCAGACATCAGGCCAGTCGCTCAGGAGGTAGAGCGATCGTCTAATAACTGGAAGGTTGGCGGTCGATTCCCCCCTATCCCAAGTCTGTCCATTGTGTCCTTGGGCAAGACACTTAACCCACCTTACCCCCAGTGTGTGTCCTCCACTTGTGTATGATTGTGAGGGTTATATGGTGGTGATCGGAGAGGCTGTAGGCGCAAACTGGCAACCACATTTCTATCAGTCAACAGCTGTGACTACTAAGGTAGTTTACCACCACCAAGGTGTGACTGCATGAGCGAATGAATGATGCAGCCAATGTGAAGCACCTTGAGGGTCTCATTATGAAGTGATCGCCTCTTTGAATCTCCTATCAGGAACCCAAGGTAGAAGCACCAGAGCAACCAGACCCCTCCAAGATCGAGGTGGTCTCCGTGACAGAGGAAGACCTCCCAACCGTCGAGACCCCCAACACCCTGAATGTCAGCCCGCTGGGCAGCTTCTCCACCGAGGCCCAACCGGAGAACGAACCCGCCAAACCCGAGGAGCAGAAACCTCCGACCGCGCCCAGTCCGAGCATGCCAATCACCAAGGTGCAGCCCTTCATGAACGGTGAGACCCTTATAGGGTTACAGAGAGATCTGACTGAAAGGGGAGATGACTGACACACTTAGTCAGGAGGATAATGGAGATCCAGCTGTCCCAGATTTGGTTTTATGCTGCCGTGTCCTTCAGCTCTTTGTTGTCATCACTTTCACATGAGGAAGTCGTTTCTCCACCTCTACAGACCTTACTGAGTTTGATTCACATCCAGATTATTGAGCTTTTTATCAAGGTGAATGAGAGTTTGACTGATGATGGAGTTGTTTACTTGGTTGGACACTTTTTTCTATCTATTGGCGTTGGATTGAAATCAGCTGTATCTACCTCCTTGTTAAACTTCTTCTTTGACATTTGCAGATCTTCATAGCTCTTCACAGTATTTTCACTCTGTGTTTGTTTCTGAATGTTTTGTGCTGATAGAGGATGACCTGGAGAAGAGCTGGAAGAGCAGACTGCTCGCTCATCGCTTGGAGCTCCTCATCTTCTCCTCCGTCATCGTGGCCGTCATCCTCATCCTCGGTATCGGCCTCGGAGGTAAGAGGCCCTGCGCTCTGTGAACCAGCTGGTAATAATGGAGCCGCTGTAGCATGGCATGACTTTACCTCATCAATATTTGATCGGGTCCTTACCTGTTATATAATTTAAGTCCGACCCACGCGGAGAACTCCTGAGGTCACTGACACGATATTTAAATTGAATTTGACGGGCTGTTTAACAGAGTAGGGACATTTTTACAGACAGTTACACACGTAGGAGGAGAAATAAGCAGGAAAATTAACCGGAAGAAACTCGGAGGACGCTAGTTTGTGTTCCTGGAGATGTCAGTGGTTGTCGAGTTCTGAGAAACAGCTGGTATCAAATGTTGCCGTGGTGATAGCAGATCACTGCTCTCAGCATCAGAGGTTCAGATGGTTTCATGAACTGGTCGACTTTATCAGTTAAATAGACGCTGACTAGGTTGTAGGGCTGAACGATGAATCGATTTTTAATCCTAATTGGATTATTTGATGATGACAATGTTGAAAAAATTTAAATCATCAAATCGATTTCTCCTCTCTTCTATCATCTCTCCCGCCTCCAGGCGTAGGGGAGGCTCCGTAGGCTCCTCAGTTCCCACACACACCAGTGTAAACAAACATGGCGTTTACAAAAGAAGGCGATAATTTCGTGGTTAAATAGAACAAGAGCGAGTCAGTCGTGTTGAATTGGTACGGCTTCACAGTTTCAGATGAAGAGCAAACCACTCCCCGCTGTAAAGTCTGTCTGAAGGCGGTATCAACCTGTGCACGTGGAAACAAATTCAGGAGGAAACGCAAAAGTTTTTGTTGTTTCAGCGTTTCATCCACATGGAAACAACGTTTTATCTGGAAACGAATATGTGACACAGCGTAACTCTTTTTTGGTGCCTGCGTTTGTCCGGCCAAAACAACCTGTATACACATGCTCTTTACTCTTCTTCTGTCTTTTGTGTATTTCCTCAGCAGCGTTACAGCACTACCCACTGGCTTGGCGTATGCACTACATCGTTGTCAGTGGTTTGGTTTTGGGAGATGATAGAAAAAACGATTATTAAAGTGAAGTTGTCACTAAATAAAAAAATCGAAAATTGACTTTTCAGAGAAAGAAAATGTGATTTTATTTTAGGCCAAAATTGTGCAGCCCTACTAGGTTAGTGTAGATAGTACAGAGGATTATCTGTGACCGTGGTTCATCAAAAATAGACCTGACATAGAGGAAGGTATGGTGACATCTGTCAGGGTTTGACTCTGGGAGTTTAGTTCCTGATCTCTAACTTTAAAAGTAAATACAGTACGATTAAAGCTCCAGTTAGGAGTTTTCAGTGGGTTATGAAGCAGACGAAAATTAACAGTGATGCAAACAACATCAGTCAGAGCATAGACACAGGACACTCTCAGCTGGTGTCACGCTAGTGTTAATCGAACAAACACTGAAATCGAACACAAAGCTAATGAGGAGGATGTAACTCCCTCTGATGACATTAATCCCTTGTTTGTTTGCTCTATCTGGAAAACACAATCTGTAATTTAAGACTCGGTCTGGGTGTGATCTGTGTGTGTCTGTGTTTGTGTCCACAGTGGGTCTGAGCTGTATGGGGAAGTTTCGTTGCGGTTCTTCGTCTCAGTGTATCAGCGCCTCGGCTCAGTGCGACGGAGTAATTCACTGCGACAACGGAGACGACGAGATCGGCTGCGGTGAGTAAATGATAAACTCGGGAACCGAAGATGCAGTTTTTTTCTTGGACTAAATCTGAAAACATGGATCGTCTCATTTGGAGGTAATAGAGTTGAAACTTTCAGTTACGACATACAAAAACCGTATGATTTAAAATCTACTCACCTTGTGAGACCGGCAGCTTAACGATTGTTGACATCTTGTTTTGGTCCGCCATCAGCTGATTGGTAAAGGCCGAGGACGAGGTCCGAGAAAGACCTCACAGCCTGCTGCCAGTATAGAAATATGACAGATAGAAGTGTTCGATCCCATCAGCTCACTCTAGTATAAGTAGATCTATGTTCTTTCTGCATACCAATACTTAAGAGCTTATTTTTCTACAGTTCATGCTCAAGCTTTGTCATGTTTAAAATCAGTGTCAGCTTCTGTTCACTTCTGTCTCTCTAAAGTGGGTCTGCCTGTTTGTCTGTCTGTCTGTGTCAGTGCGTCTGAGTGGGGGGAACTCGGTCCTGCAGGTCCAGAGAGGGGGTGTCTGGAGGACGGTCTGCTCAGAGGGCTGGAACAACGCTCTGGGGATCTCTGCGTGCAAACAGCTCGGATATTCCAGGTCTGGTTTTCTCCCTGAACTATCAGTCTTTTATTTTAATAAAGTCCATAAAGTTATAAAGTTAAATCGTCATCAGTCACGTGATCATCGGTTGTGTTTCCATCAGGTACGTGGAGTCTTTCTTTGTCTCCCAGACCTCCATCGAGCAGGATCTTCAGTTACACCTGGTGTCCATCAACCTGAGCCAATCAGAGATCATTAAGCTGCAGAACATCACAGCGCACAGGTGCAGAGCAGACCTCTGATTTGACTGAGTGAGAAAACATGAAAACTACCTGCTAATGGTCGATGACAGAGGGTCTCCATTTCAGCCTGTTTGAAAACTCCTTACTGGAGCTTTGATCTATAGTCGTCTATGTTTTCTGAGTTTGTCTGTGTCCTCCTCTTCCTCCTCCTCATGTCCTCACAGTAAGTCTCAGTGCAGCTCAGGGAAGGTGACCACTCTGAAATGTCTGGGTGAGGAACAGACTGAGTGATTCTGACTCTGATTTTCTATGACAGATGGAGTAAAGATGGACTCCTCATGTGTGTGTGTGTTTTTGCATGGCATGTTGATGCAGATGTGTGTTTTTCTTTCTGCATCTGTCTGAGTGTCTGCAGATATGTTCTCATATCAGCTTAACATAATAGATATACGTATATATCGAGTTTTCATGACTGAAGAATGCTGCTTAAGAATCTTCCTGGTGCACGAAACCCTCTGGATGTCCATCAAAATGCTCCATCTGTGGACTGGTTTTGAACAAAGTGCTCTCTGGATAACCTATCAAATGATGAAATGTAAACAAAATGCCCCTCAAATGGATAAAATATGAACAAGACGCTTTCAGGATGCCCTACCAGAGGATTGAATGTATACTAAGTGTCATGATGCACAGGGTTGAACAAAGAACAAAACCTAAATGCAGACGAAAAAGGGTTCAATTAAAAGATCTACAAAAAGAGAAAAATCCAAAAGTCAAAATCACAAGGGGACACTGGTGACTCAGACGTACACACACAGACACACAGTGAACCAACAAGACTGAGGGGAAGACAGGGACTATATACACACACAGGGAAATGAGCAACAGGTGAGGCAGACGAGACACAGGTGAGACTCATGAGTGATTAACGAAGGAGGGAAAACTAGGGAAGTAAAAGCAGACTAGAAACACGAGGAATCAACTCCTACAAAATAAAACAGGAAATAAACACTGAAAACTGATCTAAATAATAAAACACAGAGAACAGGAGGGAAACAGTCAAACTGAAAACTCACAAGACTGGACTACAGGGGAACAGGAACACCAGGGAACATACACTCAAATAACAAAACCAGAAGAAAACTAAATTTTCAGAACATATCATGACACACAGAGCATTTTGGTTTCTCTTCCAGTAGAATAAATCCAAACTTACTGCCCTCTGGATGCTCTTCTGGTGGTTAAATGTAAACAAAGTGCTTCCTGAGTGCCCTCACAGTTGATGAAACATACTGTCCCCTCTAGAAGCTCTAACAGTGGACAAAATCCAAAAAAGACCCTCTGTTTGCCTCTCCAGTGGATGAATCGTAACCAAAGTCTAGTCTGATTAAAGTCAAATCTGTCCTCCTGAGTTCATTTCCAAGTCTAAACTTAATAAAGTACCTCAGTGGAAAATTAACCTGACTTTATATGTTCAGGTGTTTTCTAAGGATGTGTCTTTATACTCTTTAAGTCCTTCCTAATAGAAAGCAGGGCCTTTTTATGAAGTTTTTTGAGGATGTTTTACAAAAAAATTTAAAAGTATTGATATAAAATTATGATGTAGTACAGATTTAATGAGTGTTTATGTGTGTGTTTGTATTTCTGCATGTGTGTCTGCATGAGGATTCTATTTTACAGTCTGCTGATAAAAAACATCGTTTCACAGTGATCAGATATTTTCCCCTGCAAATCCACAAATCTTACAGCGTGTGTTTTCAAACATCTCATCACACTTCAGCCACTTTTTTTGTCGTCTTTGTCGTCTCAGAGAAGCACAAACTGACGTGGACGTGTCTCCTGTCTGTCCTCAGAGTGCGGCTCCAGGCCTCAGTACAGCACTCGGATCGTCGGAGGAAACATCTCCAGGGAGGGTCAGTTCCCCTGGCAGGTGAGTCTCCACTTCAGCAGCGAGCACCTGTGTGGAGGCTCCATCATCACGTCACGCTGGATCCTCACCGCGGCTCACTGTGTGTACGGGTGAGGACCAAACACGAGCCGGATCCTCTGGAAAAATCTAAAAAGGGTCAACAAAGTCACAAACAGAGTCGTGTCTTCTGTCTCCAGGTTTGCAGACCCCTCCATGTGGGTGGTTCACGTCGGCCTGACGGAGCAGCCGGTACATGGAGCCCAGTCTCTGTCTGTGGAGCAGATCATTTATCACACCCGCTACAGACCCAAAGGACTGGACTACGACATCGCACTCATGAAACTGTCCACGCCGCTGGTTTTTAACGGTAACCTTTGACCTCTTAACCAGACCGGACATTTAAAGGTGGGGTAGGCAGGAATCCGTTAAAGAAGCATCAACAAAAAAACTTTAATATCAGTCAATAGATAGAAATCGCTGTGTTCTCTTATGTCTGTGTAGTCAACATTTTAAATGTTTTGAGTGGCCCGCTCTTTCTGACTGTAAACAAAGCCTCGGGTCCTGGACTATGTCACTTTATCCTCGTTGTAGAAGTCCTGCAAACATTGTGTTTGCTGGTAGTCTGTTGGCATCTACAGTAGCACCAATGCTTTTGACTTTCACCTTGACTGGGCCCCATTTGTAATGATCTGAAGTATTTATCTGCATTATATCTGAATTTAATTGGAACGATACGAGTGAGCAGGAGTGTCTGTTTGTGGGCGGGGCTTGAGGGGAGAGGAGGAGCTGAGGGGAAAACTGGTTGGGAGGGGTAGAGTTTACATTCAAGATTTCTCCCAAAAACTGGAACTTCCTCAGATCTTGACTACCCCACCTTTAAAGCAATAAAAGAAACACATGTATGAGAATAGAGCAAATTAAACAGACTGTCAGGGAAGTGACGTACTGGAGCAGGTTTACGAGGTCAGACCTCCCCTGTTTTTTCAGGTGAGTTGGGTCCTCCTCTCCCTCTCAGGTTTCTTCTCTCTCACAGCTCAGCACCATTATGTGTATCAGTTGTCTAAAGTCTGAGTCCATTAGTCTGAGGTATAAAAGACAAAGCTGCTGACCTTATTCTCTGGGAAATGTAGTTTTTTAAGAGAGTTTGTAGTTCATTCACATCCTCCTCTGTAGGCCTTGTGGAGCCCATCTGTCTGCCAAACCACGGGGAGGAGTTTGAGGAGGGAACCATGTGCTGGATCTCAGGGTGGGGGGCGACTGAGGATGAAGGTGAGTCACAGGTACACTGTAGACCAGGTTTAACGTAAAACTGCCCCTTTAGTGGTCCTGATTTGATCGTCTTCTTTCAGGAGAGACCAGTGTGGTTCTGCGCTCGGCCATGGTGCCGCTCCTCTCCTCTAAAACCTGCAACCAGCCCGAGGTTTACCAGGGCCTCATCTCCACCTGGATGATCTGTGCAGGGTACCTGGAGGGGGGGACAGACTCCTGCCAGGTAGAGACAAGATAAAGACAGACGACTAAATTTGGACTATGTCTGATTGTTTGTGTATGTTTATATTGATATGTCTGTCTGTGTGTGTGTTTAGGGGGACAGCGGGGGTCCTCTGGCCTGTGAGGACTCGTCTGTGTGGAAGCTGGTCGGAGCCACCAGCTGGGGGATCGGCTGTGCAATGAGGAACAAACCGGGAGTTTACACTCGAATCACACGGTCACTCAGCTGGATCAGGCAGCAGATGGAGGTCAGTGCATGAAGAGAGGAGTCCTGGTCCAGGATGTCATTAAAGTCTGACTCTGAGACCACAAAACTGTTTATATTCACTCTTCCTGAAGCCCAAAATGTAAAGAGACCTCTGAGAATCTGATGGTTGAAACATGTGCAAAAGCAAACACACGATAAATACATGATGCAAATCCAAAAAGCAGAAATGCAGAATAAAAATAACACAGTTTAGGTTCACAGAAGCGCTTCAGGCCTGTAGGAAAGTCGTTGTTGCTTCTAAATTGGTCGAATCACGCAGAGACAATCGTCCTCAAGATGGTTCATTGCAAAAAAATCTTGTTTTCCATCCAAAAGCAGCTGTTGCACCACCCTCCTCAAAGCCACCAAACTCCACTGATAAAAACTGTCGTTTTACGGTGCAGAAGACTGAAGCTGCTGGTCTACAGCTGTCTTAGTGGGTTAGTCAGTTTGTGTTGTGTGACTCAAGTGTTTTAAAAGTTCAAGTTTGGAGAAAACACTTCAGTTTTGTGACGCACAAAAAGGCAACTGCAATCGACCACCTCCTGTGTTCAATAAAATTAAAATGACTGTTTTTGTAAATGGAGTTTGGTGGCTTTGTGAAACTCCGTCTCTGTTGGGATCCATGTAGACATTGAAGATAACAGTCTGAACCTGTCAGTGACAAAAAACAAGAACTTTGCGTGGTCGTGTTTCACCCCCCTCGAGGATCACGTTGCAGCCATTAAAAGCCTGATTTGCAGCTGTCGGCTGCTGGAGCGACGCCAAAATCTCTTTGTAGCTGTTAGTCATTTAGTCCCGAGTCATCCTTCAAAAACTCGACTTAAGAGGGGAGTTTAAGGGAGCGTGCAGATCTACACACAATCCATTATTTTCCATTAAACCCTGACTAATTGACGAGTGCCTGCAGTCCCAGCTGTTAGCGGCTCTGAGACGCTGGACTGACAGCTGGTTCTCCTCATTAATAGAATCTGAGTCGAGCAGCTGGCAGCAGGAAAGTCTTCTTATTTCTCTAAAAGCAGCTGTCTTCATGTGGAGGAAGCTTTGAACTGCTGCTCTCCACACCAACTTCCTTTTGGCATTTAGATGGTGTGATATGAGTGAGTGTTTTTCCACTATTAAAATCTCTGATAGGCAGCATGGAGACAAACTGAAGTTACAGGGACCCTTCCAAAAATAAAACCGTTTATCTGGAGACGATTATTCCCAATAAGGTTGTAAAAACATCTCGGCTCGGGTGGGACTTCTTTCTGTTTGTTTGTTTGTTTTGGTTTTCAAAGCTCTCAGTGGTGTAACCGACTCAACACAATCTCAAAAACTCTCTGTTTCAAGAGTCTTGACTTTCGGAGGACAAAGCTTTTAAAACGTAGAAAGTAAGCCTGACTGAATCCTCTCACCTGACAGGTGTTGGGTTTTATGATGCTGGTTATCAAAACACAAAGTGTGAACATCTGGCTTCTCACGATAAACAGCACTTTAATATGAGGGTGAGTGATAAAATCCCCAAAAAGATAAACATGAAAAACTTTCACATCAGACCTGGATCCAGGGTTGCTGCAGACTTTTGACTATTTATGACCAAAAAGAAGAACATTTATCAAACATTAAACTCAGATGCACATATCTAACTTTAGTGGATCCTAAAGTTTTAAAGATTTTTAGCCAAACTTATAAGTTGCCTCTTATCCTGGTTAAGCTCTCCCTATCAATTCCTCATGCATGCTGACGAAGTTGGTATAACTAGAGAAGAAAGCGGTCTGCAACCTTCATCTCTTAAGGAGGTGTCGAACTCGGTGTTACGGTGTGTTTAATTTTACACCAGAATATCCCTTTAATATGAGGGTGAGCGATAAAATTCCCAAAAGATAAACATGAAAAACTTTCAAATCAGACCTGGTTGCTGCACACTTTTGACTTTTATGACCATAAAAAGAAAAATATTTCACTTTTGCCAAAGTTTTAAAACTATTTTCCAAACTTGAAAGTCGCCTCATATCCTGGTTAACCTCTCCCTGTCATTTCCTGATGCATGCCGACCTTATGCCCCACTTGAGGTTGTCTTCATGTTTCCACGTTAATGTGCACTTCATCCTAAACTTGTCTCTTTTTGTGTTTCAGAGAGAGTCCCACACCCAGATGACTCTGAGCACGGACAACTGAACCACCGTCGCTGGATTTTTCCAACTTTTGTCCCAAGAACTGAAAACACAGCAGAGAAAAAGAGACGGTGCACGGCGGAGAGTTAGGCATCGTTTATTCCAAAATAGAAAGCTCTAAGGCAAAACAGACGAGAGAAAAGTGAAGAACGCTTCATAAAAAGCAAGACAGACGCGAGTTTTTGAACCGAGAGCTCAGCGAGGGCCCACCAGGACTCACCACACCCCTCCGGCCGCTTCAAATTTCAAGTCTCAACTTTACAGGAGGGATATAAACCAGATTACTCAAACTATCGACAAACGACTGGTTTACAGTACAATATTACAGATATTCAAACAAGAGGCACCCCAACTTGTGCAGAAATATTAACAGATTGATAAAGGAGATTTCCGATGGTTTCACTACATGCGTGTAGTGGAGGGGGGACTGACGGAGGCTGCAGAGCTTCAGTCCCGGTCCTTCAGGCAGCCCACGAACAAAGAAGAGTCCAACTTTTCCAAACTGCGCAGTAGTAGCATGTACATAAATAAAAGTTTAATGCGTGCAAAAAGAGTCCACTGCTTCTTGTTGATGAGGGGTTTCCGTGTCAGACCCTTGTGATTGTGTGATCAGCATAGTGTTCTGGATTGTGCATTTTGAGAAAGTGACGCCTACGCTACTACTGTCGAATGATTAAAAAGACGCACTGTATGATATACACAATGACGGTAAAACAAGCTGCTTTTAAAAACGTCCGAGCGAGTGGCGCCACAGTCTGCGGACGACTGTGTGTTCGCTCAACAAAGAAAACGACTAACGATGCTTTTGCAGAAACACACGCTCTGCACTTTAGTGTCTTTTTTTTTTTTTTTTGACCTATTTCACCAAGCAAGGGTCGGACTTTCTTCTTCTTCTTTTTGTGCTTCTTGGCATGAATCTTTTAGAAAAGAGCGCAGGTAAGGCCTTGTTAGTATTGTAAGTTTAAAACCAATTTTAAATAGCAATTTTATCGGCTTTCAATTCTTTTTTTTTCTGTTTTTTAGAAAACTTCAAAGAACCCTGGAAAACAGGGTCGCTACCCTTAATTATGAATCTGTACATAAATATTCCTTACAAAACAGGAGAACACAAAAATGGAACAAAAACAAAAAACACTAATTACATATGTTTGTATATAAAAATAAGCTTCTCTCGGTTTTTTTCTTCCCCCAGATCTCTCCACGTGGAGTCAGTCGTAAGAGTGCGCACATCTACTCAAAACACAAGCATGCAAAAAGTGAAGACAAACCCTTACAGATACAACTTTAAAGTGTTGGCATCCAAAATGAGAATTCAACAGGGGGGGAGGGGGGAACAAATCAGAAATCAGTCAACATTGAAGAACGGAGCGTACAAACTCTGCTTCGCGTGTTTTTTAACACTTCTTTTTTTTTCTCTTCTTCTTCTTCCGTTTTTTTGATTTAATCTTTTTGAGCTTAAATATACAAAAAAAGTGCACTCGCATACATCGACTAAATAATTAAAAAACGGTTTCTGAAATGAAACTCGTGATGTACACACACGCAGCATCAACCGCTGTTCAGCAGGGTGGAGGGTTGGAAGAGTGCAGGAGCGTTCCCGAGACGTCCTGGAGATTTGTGCTCAGTGTAAACCTAACGTGTGTGTGTCTGTGTGTGTGTCTGTGTATGTGTGCGTGTGTGTGTGATTCATTCTGAAGACCTGTTGACGCACGCCTCGTGTGTGTATGTGTAGATCAGAGTGTGAGGGAGTGTGTCCTCTACTGCAATGAGTCGCTGTTGTCCAGGCCCAGCCCAGCCATGTCCGCGTCATCGTCCTCGTCTACGCTGTCTCCTGACTCATCCTCGCTGTGACCCCCCAGCATCACCTGCTGCACCGCCAGCGTGGCACCGTCTGATGTCAGGCTCTGCAGACCCTCCACGTTCATCGTCACCATTGTACCTGAGAGAAGGATTGTATCACGCTATGAAGTTTACATCACTTTCATGTTTGTCTTTTTTAACTGTATGTATAAAAACGGCGGCGTACCATCGGGCATGGTAACCTGCTGGTGAGTGCCCCCTCCAGCGATGGAGTCGGGCCAAAAGCGCTGCAGAGGTCGGTTCTGAGGCGTCTTCTTCTTGGCTTTTGGCGTCTCAGACGAGCTGGCGTCCAACATGGGCTGCAGGATCCGCCTCCGTGCGTTTATAAACCTGGAGATAAAAATCAAGTTTATTCTCTTCAGTGAAATCATTCGGGAGCTTCAGACTTTTGGAAAATAATCTCGTTCTGTTATTTGTCCTTTCTGTTGATAAAGAGTTAAAGTCAGGGAGGACAATGCTGCATTAAAGCAGGTAGAAGCACTAGAAGACGAAGCTCAAACTCACCAGTTGTTGACCTGCAGAAGAGTCAGATTTGTCTGAGTGGCGATCTGTTTCTTCTCGTCCTCTGTAGGATACGGATGCTGCGATAAAGAACCAGATATGAATGATTGTGTTAGTTTATTTGGAGGACAGAGGTATCAGTCAGATGGACGACAAACATTTGATGCGCTCAGTCTCACCCCGATGTGCTGGAAGAGCCACGAGCGCATGACGTTGGTGGCTTGTTTGGGTAGGACTCCGCGTTTGTTCTTGGATGAGTTGTCGTCGTGATTGAAGAGGTTCAGATCCTGGTGGAACTGCAGCTGGAGCTAAGGGGGGAAAAGAGGAGGTTAATTTTCTTTTCTTTATGTTTTTAAAAGAGCTTTTCCTTCAGAGTTGTCCTGACAGAAAACTTTAAGGGTAAAAGTTGTAAGTATGTGTCCAAATCTAAGAGCTCTTAAGTCTCGATAAAGAGAACTCATCAAAGTTCTTTTATCGACACTCAGGTGAAATAGACAGGAAAGTTAATTCGACATCTTTCACATTAATTTCTAATCTTGCTTTAAAAAAATAATAAAGAAAAGACGCCCTAAATTTAATCACACGTTGTCAAATGCGCAGTCTCACTGATCTACCTGATTGTTTTGGACACGTATTGTCCCCGGGGAGAGCGCCTGTGTCACCACCTGTCCCTGCGGAGTGACGACTGTAACAGGCTGGTACAACCGTGCCTCCTGGATGTAACACAGATATACACACACACAAACAGACACACACACACACAAGTTCAGCACAGTACATTCAGCTGAGAGCGGTCTGCAGAGGAAGCTCAAATGTGCGTCCCACTGCTCTATGACAGCATGTGAGCTGCAGTCACAACAGTTCAGTACCTGACGGAGGAGTCGTATGCCATGGAGACATACCTGCAACCACCTGGGTGGGGTTAACAGCTGTCACGGTAACATTCCCTTGCTGCAGAGCCGACGCTGGGACCACAATCTGGCCCTGGGGGCTGATGGTCCCCGAGATGGAGCTGGGGGTCTGCAGATTAGAGCAGGAGGAGATCAGGACTAGAGTACAGCTCAGGTTAGCAGAGACTAAATCTGACGGTGCTGATGGGGACATATACCTGAGTCTTGGTGGGGGAAAAACTGGGGGCCTGGCCTTGGACGGGGGAGTACGGACTCCCAGGCTCTCCACTCAGCAGAGTCTCACTGTTCATCTTGGTCTTGAGGCAGGCGATGTAGCGGCTGCAGAAGTCCTTACACAGGTCGCTCACCTTCTCCAGCTCCAGCAGGTGGATCCGCAGAACCTGGATGGCTTTGACCATCTGACAGAGATCGAAAAGATCACTTATATGAGAAAGGTGCAGGACTATTTTAGCTCCTTTAAAAACCTCTTCATTTATCACTCCTGGATCGGACCATCAGGAGTGCAGTCTTTACCAAAGAGCACACAGAAACTAACAGTTGCTCTTCGCTGGCTGGGAGACACTCGCTCCCTTTAACAGTCGGGGAAATTGTGATTGTGTCCCGCAGTTTTCCAGAGATGGGATTGAGCTTTAATTAAAAGGTCATGAGCCAGCAGCAGAGGACTGTTTCTCACCTTGCTGCAGAGGTTAAATGTCAGCGTATGAGCGAAGCTTTCTACATTTTTCTTGTGAAATACCTCATGTGCCTGTTTTAGTTTTGTCAAACACTTCAAAGCTGAAACTTTTTCTCAGTTTTTATCAGCTCTAAAAAGTGAATCATGAACAGAGAGTGTACGTAACCTTCATTCAAACAATAAGGTCAAAGTCTGGAAACACAAAACTTCTTCCGTACTCCTCAAATCTAATCCCACACATCTCCAAACCGCCAAAGATCTCGGATTTACGCCCCGCGAGAGTTTTCTCACCAGGTTGTCGAGTTCAGGGTCCTCGCTGAAGAAAGGTTTTCCCTCTTTTTCCTGACAGCGGACAAAGTTCTCGATGTCGACGTCGAAGCTGGCCGAGGTGATGCATTCTGAGCTCAGCGTGGACTGTTCGCACTTTTCAAACAGCAGAGCCAACAGAGGGAACAGGGGATGTCTGCGAAAGATGCGCCGACACAAATAAAAACAAAAGATATTATACTTTATAAAACATAACATAAATAAAAGCTATAATATTATACATTTTATAAGGTAGGAGAAGAAAAACAAAAGGTGTTAAATCCTCCGCCTGTTAAGAGATTCAAAACAAAACTAAAGGTCAAATGCTTTCTTTAATACTTTAAGTTTATATCTGGTGTGTATGACAGAGTGTTTGGGCCACAATAAGGATAAAAATAGATTTTTAACTCGATCAAAGTTTTATCTTTATAAGAAAGAATCGTTGGTTACGGTAAATCTATTAGTAAAATAACACGTAGGAGGCCTGCTCCTGCTGCTTGCATTAAAATGAGGAGGGAGGCTCATGTGGCCCCGGTCTTCTGGGCTTTTCTTGGACCTTAAAGTGTGCAACATGAACCAACAAAAACAGCAAATCTGAACCAGAACAGAAGTGAAATGATGGACTGGATTTTGTCCTTGTGAGAAAGTGAGAGAGAGGAGAAAACAGACGGGTGTTACTCTGCTTCTCTTTCAGTTTTTGCTCTACCGATATATGGAGGCTTTGTCTGCATCCATGGGTGTCTGCGGCTCTGTGGGTGCCGGACTGGGCGCCTCTGCCAACGTCCCCTCAATGAACTTCTGCTCCGTATCGCTGTCGATTTTCACGACTTGCATCTGCAGAGAAAAAGACAAAATAAAGTCAGAAAAGTGAAGCCAGACAAAGAGATAAACAGAATTAGGGCAGAGAGAGGAAGGCAGAGAGGGAGAGATGCAAAGACATCATGTGAAGATCGAGAGTAGCTGGAGGGAAAAGCTTAACAGAACCTCGCTGTAACACTCGCCAGTGTCAGGATGAGTCAAGAGCGCACTCTCAAAGTTCACATTTTACAGACAGATTAATCAAACAGTCATGTTTACACTTGTCTATCATCCGACTAACGAAAGTCTGAGATCTGTCTTTGTCAACTCTGTCAACTCCAACTAAGAACTTCATCAACGTATCTCTTACATGAGTGTCAGTAAAGATCTGTATCTGTCAAAGTTGTTTAGACAATGTGTAAACTTTACAGAGTATGAATGTCTGCCTTCTTCTGCCCCCTCTAGTCTCCAGACATCACTTCATTTGCACACTAATGCTCCACTGAATCCAGACGGTGTCTTGTTACGGCCACAATGCAAACTTAAACATCACCCCTCTGCTGTTACATTTACAATTTGCACATGATGAGACGCACCTGTGACCTGATGCAAATAAAGGGGAACATCAAACACTGGTGCAGACAGAGAGACATCCCATTCATTGATCGAGAGCCAAGTTTCTCCTCTTTTCCCTTTCACACATTTTTTCACACCGTGTCTGCCGACCAGCGATGCCGAGCATAAATCCCCATCCCCGACCATGTGACCGAGCCCAACAATGACTTAGATTGAGCGCAAACAAGCTAAAAATAATCGTTGCTTGGGGGAGAACATTTCTCATTAGTCATAGATCCATTCCTGCTCTCGACACCCTCAAAGTTGGCACTCGAATAAAGATGTTTGGTAAGCAATTTACATAAGCGCACAGACAGAAAGAAGGCTTCGTACTGCATCAGTGTCTCCCATACAGTGATTTATTTGTGGTGCTCTGCCTCAGACAGACAAACCCGCTGCCAACAGATTACTCGAGCTGATGTAATGCCGTGTTCTAGTCTTACATACAGAAAGTGTTTCCCTTTGTTTGGCCGTGCAGGCAGACTCACACCACTAAAAATAACTGGATGCAAAATACTTGGAAGTGGTGGCCTGAAACATTTGGATGCTGTTGTTACCGACACTGTTCCTTTTTTTTCTCTTGCTGTTGTTGTGCAGTGCAGTGTGTGGGCCTGGAGGTCCCTCTCACCCACCTGCTGCTCTCCCTTTGGGTACTTGTCTATGGAAACCGATTGGGCTGCCATCACGTTCACTGCAGATGCTGCAAACACTGGGGCATTATAGAGAGTGGGAGGGACAGGTGGCCAACCTGCACGATACACACAGTTACAGTTAGACTACCTGGAAGAGATGCCGGCGGTGCACTACGCACAGAAGCTTTTAATAATGTAACCGCATGGTGTCAGGATGAAACGTTATCAGCAGCTTTGTGAACTCCTCCGGTGTGATTTACACTCCGACCACAAAGGCAGACATCTAGGAAATGTGTTAACGCTCTATTTTAGCTTTATTTGATCAAATCCCTGAGAGGAGCTTCAGCTTGTGTCGATTTAGACGCTCCCTGTGAACAAAGAGGTCCTGTACCAATTAACAAAATATATATATGTGTATCATGCTTTCTTTAAACACTTACTGAGAATATTTGAATACTAAAAAGTTCAACTCATTAAGCCACCCCCTCACAGCGGTTACAGGCATTAAAAATGGCTATAAAAAATCCACTCTAATAAGCACTGAGAGAAATCCCTGTTAGCGTTTTAAAACAACAACTTAAAGTTAAACCTTAACTGACAGAAAACATAAGACATCAGAATTTTTTGCACTTTAAATGTGCAACAGTGTTAACCCAAAGCTTTGTGGAATAACTGCATAATAAAGTGCAAATTCACTGATGCTGCAATAAAAGCATGTGCAATGAACACGTCACAAAAACCTTAATTTAATGCAGTGAGTTAGGGAATATCTTAATGCATGGAATTATAATTTACTCACTCTGCATATGTTTTACTTGTTAGATGGAGAACTGGGTGCTATACTGTGGGCCGTACTTTTACACAAGGTGAATAATAAAACTTTAATCAGCTGTAAAGAGACACAGTGATAACTAAGTAATGACTAAACTCTTGCAAAGTGTTTCACTCATGGTGGATTAGGATATAATCAGAGTGGGACTGATCTTAATTGATAGGACTTAAACTTGTCCCATTGATGAGTATAGTCTAGACCAGCTTGTTTTGTTGTGTATTTGGGCTATATACATAAAGATTGATCAAAAATTGATAATGTTACAAACACAGGATTTGTGTGAAATTAAGAACAATAGACAATATTAGTGAGATATTTGAGCTTTTATGCACCCTATGATATTTATCCTCCAGGTCTGTAACTAATTTCAGTACTAAACTATTGCATTTATCTTGCTTTCACAATGTGTGAACTGGTGTTGGATCTGCTGAAATTGGCTTAACCAAATGTGGTAAAAATAAGAGATATGCTTTGTTTTGATATTTCAAAATACACAAATAATAAAGTAGATAACTGTTCATTTTTTGATGCACTTAAAAAACAAAAATTAAATGCTCTTTAATGACTAAATCTTTATACTTATGGATGAAAGCAATATAAATATGATAAAGTTCACTATTATGTGCAAGCTTTCTTGTTGTCTAATATGAGTTTTAAAACATAAACTGTGATATGAAATGCAAACTTTGTGTACTGATGTTTAGTGTCCCTGTCCATACATTACAGATGAATTAATCTATGACTTTAAACTTTGAAATAAATGTTAAATATATGAAAGCAAACAACGTGTTGTGTCCTTTTTCATGTATTTTTTCTATTACTGTATTTGTCCTCTTCAGATTATAAACATTAATGCTAGTTTACTGTGTGGGGGTAAGTGTTTGGGACAAAAACAACAGGTCAAAGCAGAGAAAATATAAACTTATTTTCTCAGAGGGTAAATAAACTGACTTCAGCTGCAGCAAAAAATCAGTACTGTGCATTTCCCTTACTTTTAAAAACTGCATTAAGAAAGTATCAGTAATGTTTGTACCTTTTTAATGCTCATAAACGACTAAATCTTTATACTAATGGAGGAAAATAATATAGAAATGTGATTTATGGCACTCCTATGTGTAAGCTATTATGTTGTTTAATGAGAGTTTTGACAATAATCTGTGATATGAAATGCAAGCTTTGTGTAATGATGTTAAATTTTCCTGTCCATACATTACAGATCAATTTATCTAGAAATTTAAACGTTGAAATAAATATATTAGAAAGCGCAAAAACGTGGTGTGTACTTTGTTATACAGTTCTTTACAAGCTTTATTCCTGTATTTGCTGGTTTACCGTGTGGTGGTTAAGTGTTTGAGACAAAAACAAGCAGGTCAGACTAGGAGAAAGCAGATAAAATATCAACACATTTTCTCAGGGGGGTAATAAACTGACTTCAGCTGCCTCAAAAGGATACGGTTACACACGAAGGGATTTACTCATCCCCAACAATATTATAAATTAAAAAGCATTTATTTCAGACAAAACCAGTCTAATTCAGCCGCTTTCTGTTAACGTTCCCCTGGATCTGCTAACACACCCACCACGATGGATGTAGCTTTTAGCCTCAGATTAGCCGTTAAGAGGCGGTACAGGGGTTAACTTTATAGCACCCTAAAGGCTAATATGAGCTAAATGTCCTTTTTTCTGGGCTACCATTAGCGCTATTTACAGACAAAGACACAGCCCGCTTTATTTACCCACAATATCAAGCTAGCGCCAACCTAACCGCGCTACGTTCTCGTTAGCTCGCCAGTTTTTCGAGGGGTTAACAGCTAACGTTAGCAGTGTGGCTAACTTTAAAAGTGTTTCTCATGCTGGTACGGTGCAGCCAAAATGCAAAGCGCCATATTTAGCACGGGAGGGGGGGAATCAGTGCCAAAAAAACACGAGCTAACGCAGCTAGCCAGGTATAAAAAAAGACCCCGCGGATTGATACGCAGCGAGCCGAACGACCAAACAACACTCTCCGGCTGCTTTAGCGTATTTTGGATTAACATTTGAATGAATATGCATTTCTCCGGGCTGAGTGAAGTAAATCCAGAGTTAAAATATAAAAGAACATCGGTGGTACACAAGGCTAGCCCGGCTTGTTCGTCAAATCCTCCCCACATCAGTCAATCAATCAAGCGGGGACAGCTGCCCTCTGCTTCCCCTCCCCTCCGCGCTAACGTTACAACTGTCGGGCCTCGTTTCTCGCGCTCGCCCTTTGCTTTTCCTCTATCCTCCTCTGCCCCCAAAACGCCGACATATTTTTTACCCCCCCTCCCCTGTATACAGATTTTTTTTTTAATTCTTCCCGGAGCTCCGGCGCTTCTGCTACCCCTCCGAAAACACCATCCGCTGCCCTGACTAGGTCCGCGCTCCTCGCCCCGGGGCATTATTGCGTGCGGCCCAGATTGTTTGATTGATAGGGAACGGAAAAAGAGGGATTTTGAGTGACAGCTTACCTGAGTGCCAATCTTCGTCACACTGACAAGCGGCTGCAGCAATCGGGACCCGCAGTTGTCGCGTTGCGTCATCGCGTAAGGGCACGCAGGGGCGCTCGGCTCATGAATATTTATCAGATGGGCGGAGACATGACGTCCTGCTGTCTGAAGAGTCCCTCTGCACCCTGCTGGGGTTTGAAATAACCAGGATTCAAGCTAAAAACTCATTAAATCGTTTAAAAAATAGGTTTATTATCATATATTCCTTGCCTAAACACTTATATACTCAAGGTAGATTTTTACCAGTGTCACATTTAAGAATAAGATTAACTTTATGAACCCCTGAAGGGAAATTAAGTTGTCTGTTGTCTCTAAAAGTTATCTACTATTTACACAAGAGTTATAAAGTCTGATGGCTGTTGGTACAAAAGATTTTCTGAATCTTCCTGTCCGCCACCATTGGCCTTTCGGTCCATTAAGGTGTTACGAAGTGGGTGATCCATGTTCTTGAGAATAGTCTCCACCTTCCTTAGTGTAGATGTCTCTCCACCACATCCTCCACTGAGTCCAGCTTGAGTCCAACCAAGAGGAGGTATTCATTTTAGTATTTATTCATTTTTATCAGGCTTTTGTTGTATTTAATCATGTCCTTATCTTTTATTGTACCACTTTTAAATCATGTTTCATTGGCCTTTACTTTGTTTGTTGTGTAGTCTGTGTTTTAATGATGTCTCCATGCTGTTTGTTGTCTGTAGGGGGGATCAATAAAGTCTATCTTACCTTTTCTTAACTTACCTATTCTCTTGGGAGAACGAAAATGTGACACTGGTAAAAATCCACCTTAAGTATATAATGATCAGGCGAGGAATATACAATTATCAACCTATAAGACTATTCTAAAGAACATGGATCAGCCACTTCACAACACCTTGACAGACCAAAGGACCAATAATACAAGGTACAAGTTTAAATCTAATAGTCTCTGAGCAGGAAAGGAATCTCTGGTGTCCGCTCTGAGGAGGCCTGGATCCCAGACTGGGCACAGATCCATCAGGCTATCTATTTCATCTTATAGGGTCCATTCCTGAAGGTGTCGAGCTCATCTGTCATTTTAACAGCTTATTATATGAAACTCTGTCATTGGTAAATTATCCCAGCTTACTTACTTATCACCTTGAGTCTGATTGGTCAACATCTTTAATAATTACTGATCATTCTGAATAATAAAAGTGATACAAAAGCACCAAAAAAATGTGTCACAAGTACATTTAGCACGTTTAAAAATGTATGATTTCATCTTGGCCACTTTAAAAGAGCGCAAAACTTCAGACTGGGGGTTCATGAGGAAGAAAGCAGCAGCAGAAGAAGAAAAGAAGTGGTAAAACTTCTCAGTAGAGTGAAAGCCAAATTGAAGAAAACAGACAGAAAGGAACCACAAACCTGACTGTGTTAAGGGTTTTTGCGGTGGTACAGGGAGGAAGAGAACTTTATACAGGTACTGCTGTTATTTTCTGCTTCTGTTAAGAATAGAAACAAAAAATCACATATGTTTAGACTTAATTGTGTATGAAAATATTCAGTTTAATGTAATATTTAACAACAAAGCAGCAGCAATGTGGTATTAATACAAACTAACTCGAAATAAATCACTAATAATACCAGAAATCAGACTTTAGATGGACTGTAAAATGGCAAAACAATAAAAATTTGTCAAAGTATGTGTTGCATGAAATACTAATACTCATCTGACTGTAATCTGTATAATCTGTATGTCTGCTTGTGTTTTTACAGCCTATCTGTAGATTAGAGGTATAAACAGAATATGAACAAAGACTTTTTTAACCCGCTGGAATTTTCTGCTCGTTATTCACGTCCCTAATTTCACTAATCCTAGACCTTCTGCATATGCTTTGTTTTATATGTAATTCCCTGATCATATACCCAAACATAAAACAGATGCTGATTGTTTACCCCTAAAAGAAAGCGCATACAGTAGCTTAGATAATTAGGGGGTTATGAGCAAAAGGCAGGCAGAGGATGAGAAAAGTGTACTCATTAAAATAGAAACAGATAAACCACTTGCACACTCAGCTCTATTCAAATGACCCCCTAAGGCAGAAAACAGCACAAAAGAAGCTTTTGATCTTCGCCTATCCTTTTATACGCTTTTCTTTTATATAAGGAAAAAGCGGATCACAGCAGGCACACACAGACTCCATTTCTCAATAGTGTATTTTAATAATATAACAGTAGAATTTCATGCAGATCTGACAGCAAAGGGGGTGATCATACAGTGAGGAAGGAAAACATTATCGCCACCATCATCATCATCATCTTTTTTAAGGTTTGCAGAGATTTCCTCTACTGTCTGCCCGCCGAGGGCTGAGGCAGACGAAACTTGGCCATCTCCACATCCAGGTCTGCGAATGTGTAGGTGTTGTATTCGTGGTGCTCGTAGTTTTTGTAAGTGCTGTTGTCAAACGGCTCCTCGGGCTCTGGAGGCGGCGCTGCTGCAGCCTCTGCAGAAGGAAGGGGGGGTGAACAAAAGAGAGCATTAGAGAAAGCTGAGAAAAAGGTGAGTAAACACATCTTCACGGGGTTTGAGGCGTTAAAAGAGAGATAAAAACAGGCTCAGGCTTGTGTTTGTGTCACCCTGGTTTTCATGCATAAAGAGCTGCAGAGCTCAGGGTTTCTGATAAGCAAGATCACTAATTCAGCCTGCTCTTTTCTATATTTGAAAGATTTTCAAATGGACAGCACATTTACATATTCACACGTGCTGACAAAGGTGGTTTACGGCGGGATATTTCCTATGGTGGCAGGCCGCGTGACCCCCAACAGAGTGTGGAGACACGGTGGTGTGAAAAGCCTCACGGATCATGTTTGTTAGGGGAGGTAAACATGCTAAAAGACAGTAAGGACAAGCTCAGCTCCAGGAAAATATCAACTGAGGCCAGCATGAAATGGTTTTTAAAAGGGGCAACAAGTCAGGATCTGAGTGTGCTGGAAACTGGACTCTGATTCTTTTGATCGTTCTCTTAATTCTTCTTATCTGTCTGGAAACCTGATACCATGCTGCAAAGGTTAAAGACGACTCAGGACAGAAATCACAGAGAAAAACACATTAAAAGACACCTTCACATTATGTCATTAATCAATACCGTGCTTATCCCAAATTGTTCACGTGAAGAGAAGATTTATGGAGTTAAAAAAAGGGAAGAGAAATGAACAAGTGGTGAAAATAACAACTGGGACATTGAGGGGGGTTGTTCCAGGAAGCAGAGTTACCCAGTTGGTCTGAGAAGTGAAGAGCAGAGAGCTGCAGATAGAGGACTGTCTGAGCTGAAACCCTGTCTTTAAAGGGTCATTCTGGCATTTTTAAACCTGGGCTCATTTTATTACAGGCTTTACGGTTTGATGAACTTAGAGGTGAAACTGTTTTAATGTCTGCAACAACAAGTATGAGATTAAGAGGCTGCTCTTTTATGGTCAAAACAATAATTATTCAATCAATACTGAGAACATAATCACTGTAATTTTACTGTCTAGCGTGAATTATAAAGAAATATATATACTGAGTCTCAGCTAGCTCAAGGGCTGGACTGGAAAGACAATCATTTGCAGGCTAGAAATAAAAGAGCTAGACTGAGCTGAGTATCACAAGGTTGAATTAAAATACTCAGTTAAAAATAAGCCAAATAAGTAAGCTACTGTCGTCAAGCACAAGAGGATATTCTTATGAGACATGTTGACTAAAAACTAAGTGTCATCGCCCTCTCCAAACAGCACCTTTACTACCAGGATGTAAAGACGCACAGTGTCTGGGTGGGTGCTAGAGTTTGTCAGTATTTTGATCTTTAAAATAGAGGTGAAGTGTCTGCTTAAACATGATAACTGGAGCATTAAGTAACCAGCGCAGGCATGTAGATGTTAATATGCAAAGAGGACTGAAGCTGGTGGAGCTAGCTCTGCTATAATTTACACAGACTCTGTGATTTCATGTTTAAGAGTTAAAAACGGTGACCTTTGAGTGATTTAAACTCTCAAATTTGTCAAAATGAGACCCAGGATTTAAAAATGGAGCTGCCAATCATAAATATTATCAGGCCAATCAAACATCTGTGTAACTGTGTAAACCTGCTTCCTGAAACTCTTCCACTGACTCCAACTTCTGCTCCTCCAGCTGCTGTCGGGGGACGTGTCTTCGCTGAAACAACATTATGACCATGTGCACTCTATCATTACTGTTACCAATAACATTACCTGGCACAGAGAAGAAGAACATTACCTGTAACATTAACATTAACATGGAAACTCGTCAACCTTACTTCATATAAACAGAGACATTTCAAACATAGAGAATGAGCAAAATCAAGCAAAAGATCGCAGTAAAAATGCGTCAAATATGGCACCATTTCTGGGAGTGAGGATGGTTTTGCAAGCAGCAAGGAGGCAAATGAAAGCGGGGTAAATGGGAGTATCCTGGGGCAGACACATGAGCAGGATTAATGACAAAGAGTTCAACAAGCATTATCAACGTTTATGTTTGAATGGATCAAAGAAATGCAAGTTTTTTTTACTCAGTTTACAGGCTGCAAGCAAAGCCAAGAAAAGTCCAATGCAGAAAATGCCCAAAGGAAATCAGTGCACCAAGAAGAAGGCCTTCAAGCATGGTTTAAATACTCATGCACTATGTCCACCTCATGCACAACAGCTCCAACTGAAAGTCAAGGCAATGAGAGGTTAGATATGACGGTGATGGAGCAGAAGAATGATGTGAAAGCAACAAAAAGTGTTTAATGGGAGAAGCTAGGTGACTGGTTAACACTTTAACGCTACGTATAATCTGTGATGAGTGAAAGAGAGAGAAGTATGGTCATCTGTGCCGGCTAAAAGATCCACAAATAAGAGAAAGAAAGGGAGAGATTTGGGGGTCTGGGTGGTGTAGTGTGTACCCTCAGTTGCTTCAGCTGGGGCCTCCGCCTGCAGCTCCTCCCCTGCAGCTTCAGCCACAACTGGAGCGGGATCCACCAGCTCTTCTGCACTTTCCACTGGAGCAGAAACTTCGGCTACAGCCTCGGCAGCAGCTTCAACAGGAGCGGCTTCAGCTTCTACAGGGGCGGCTTCAGCTTCAACAGGAGCAGCTTCACTTTCTAAAGGCTCTGCAGCAGCTTCTACTGGGGCAGCTTCAACAGCTTCTACTGGGGCAGCTTCAGCAGCTTCCACAAGCTCTGCAGCAGCTACTACAGGTGCAGCATCAACTTCTACAGCGGCTGCTTCTACAGGTTCTGCAACAGCTTCTACTGGGGCAGCTTCAGCAGCTTCTACAAGCTCTGCAGGGGCAGCCTCAGCTATAACAGGAGCAGGATCTACCAACTCCTCTGAGCTCTCCACCGGGGCAGAAACTTCAGCTGCAGCCTCAGCTGTCGTTTCAACAGGGGCGGCTTCAGCTTCTACAGGGACTTCAGGAGAGGCAGGTTCTTCAGCTGCTTCTACAGGGGCCACAACAGCTTCCACCGGCTCAGCTGCAGCTTCTGCAGCAACTTCAGCTGTAACCTCCTCTGGAGTTACAACTTCAGCTTCTGCAACAGCAGGAGGAGCGGCATCTATTACCTCTGGTTCTGCTGTAGCGTCTGGGGTGCTCACAGTGCCCTCTAGTGTGTCTTCAGCAGCAGTGCAGATCTCAGGAGCAGAGTCTACCAACTCCACTTGCACTTCTGCGGGCGCCGCTGCAGCCGGAGCTTCTTGAACTGCTTCAGCAACAGACGCAAGAACAACTTCAGCTTCTTCAGTCACTGCTGCAACCTCCTGGGCTTCTGCTGCTTCTTTCACAGGGGATTCAGACACCTCTGCAGGCGCTGTCTTTGCTTCTGACTTCTCATCATCTGAATCAGAATCTGAGTCAGAATCTGAGTCGCTGGATGATGAAGACGATGCATCAGCTGCAGCCTCAGCAGGGTCAGAAGAGGCTGCAGCGGCCGGGACTTCATCCTGAGTGGCAGAGACAGCAGTGGGAGTGTCTTCAGGTGCTGGGGTTTGAGTGCTTGCATCAACAAGGGGCTCAGCTGCTGTGGGAGCTGCATCAACGATAGGTGGAGCCGTTTCAACTACAGGAGCTGCTGTGTCTACCACAGGTGGAGCTGTGTCAACTACAGGCACAGCCGTGTCTACCACTGGTGATGCAGTTTCAACTACAGGTGGAGCTGTGTCGATGACAGGGGGAGCCGTTTCAACTACAGGAGGAGCTGCTTCAACCTCAGGCGCAGCAGCTTCAACCACAGGTGGTGCTGTTTCTACTACAGGAGGTGTTGTTTCTACTACAGGTGGTGTTGTATCAGCTATAACCTCGGCCACATCTGGTTCAGGAGCTGGAGCTTCAGCTGCAGCTGCGGGTTCAGCTGCAGGTGGTTCACTGGCAGCAGTTTCCGTTGCCGCAGACGCTGTTGCTGCTGCAGCTACGACGGTTTCTGCAGCAGGACTGGAAACTGGTTCTGGTTGCGTGGAGAAAGCTGCAGGATCTGAAATTCTAACTGGGAAGGCAACTGCGGTCTTGTAGGCTAGCAAGGCTGCTCTCTCATCTGGAGCCTCTGCTGCTGAGGAAGACGGTAAATGGGACAAAAAGGAGTTAAATTACCAAGTAAAGAAGCAGGAGTTTCAAAAGGGAAATTTATCACAAGTCCGTCTGTGCTTTCCTGAAACAACCAAAGATTTATGTTTTAAACCACTACTTTAAAATAACAACAACAAATGAAAACCCAGACATTTAATAGGAATCAAATTACCTTTAACCTTATATAAACAGTCTTTATTATCACTAAAGGAAGGTCCTTTTTTTTTAGGTGATCGTCTGATGAACATCCAAACAGGGCTGAGCGATGTAATGACCAAAAGCAGCTCTTCGTTTCTGGTCTTGTCTGTTTTGTTTTGTCACATTTTCTTCACACTTAAATGAAATCAGCAAAAATCAACATCAATCTAACAGTTAATTATTCTACATGGAAAGGTGATGGGAAGGAAAAGCACATTTTAGATCTGTGGTTTATTTTCTGCTCTGCAAGGAAAGAGTAACATGTTAAACTTTAAAATCATAAACCATCTTTACCGTGTAACAATATAGACCCAAAAAAAGTGTAAACATAATTATAGAAAACAGTCATGTTCATTAAAACTTTAAACCCTAAATATCAAACTCCAGAGAGTAAACAGAAGTGTTTCTCACTCTTGCTTTTTGTCGTTTTGGCTGCTGGTTGTGGGGGCTCTTCAGCCTGGGTGCAGAGCTGTGCAGTTGAGCGGCTCCTCAGGATCCCCCAGCTCTCCAACTGGAGACACTGCAAGAGAAGAAAACCCTCAAATATCAGGACAAAAATGTTCTTCCTTGAGCTGCGGCACCCCGCCGTAGTCCATAATGGACTGGCCTGAGGTCTCGCTAAATACAAATGGCTGCTGGAAGAGAGTAGGTGAGTTGTGTTTAGTCTCTTTGCTAAAGAAATGAGTCAAAGTTAAAAAGATGTTTGGTGTCTAGTACTATGGCTGGGACCCTATATGTCCTGTTGATGAAGTTAGGTGCTGTTCTGAGCATTATTTGTGGCTATAGAGTGGCGTTTTGGTTGAGTGTGTGGCTCTCTGTATTGCTATCTGCGGTCGTTACTAAAGTTGGTATAACTAGAGAAGCAAGCGGTCGGTAATATTCATCTCTGGAGGGGGTGTCTAACTCAGTGTTAAAGTGTGTTTGACCCTAAATTAATTTTACACTGGAATATCCCTTTAAGTCTTAACTTTAACAACCCAACAAACACAGCAGTTATACTCACTTGTGTATTCTTGGTTGTACTTATGCTGTACTGTAAATAACAATGTTTTGTTTGAAGGATTGAAAAAGTATTTTCTACACTTTATGTCATTTTACTGGTGGTACATTATACCAGAAAACCCCTTTTAACCTCTAAATTTTGCTCTAATTCATGAAACACATTTAAAACTCTAAATTATTCTCACACATCCAGGTTGTTGGTCTAATTTTACGCTTTTCTTTTACATTAATTTTTGTCCTTTCGTTGTTTTAACGGCATGTTGTGCAGGTTTTATGTTATATAATGATTGATAAATGATAAAACAGCTATAATTTAATGTTTTTAAGCCCTCAGGTGTGTCGGGTCCAGGTGAGGTTAACAAACTCCTGTCTGTGTCCTTTTCCGTGGTGCGTTCACGGTCAGGAATGTTACAGTGTAAGCTGGCGTTAACGTTATGCCGCGTTCAATATCTTAAAAACACAGTTTCTGTTAAAGCTGTGTTTCTAAACATCGAACCATAAATCATGTTTATGATGTTTAAAGTTGATATTACCTTGAGGGAACCCAATCGCCCTAACCGCAGCAGGGAGGTCGCCATTTCGTGCTCCCGGTGTTGTGCTCCGTCCGGAAACTGAGGCAGAGGTAAAGGTTCCACAACATTAACGTTGTGGCTCTGGCCGTAGATGTCGTCGAAACGTAAAATGTCTAACAAGTATTTCATTTTGTTTGGAACTGCAGATATGTTGGATTACAAAAAGATAACTTGTATGTTTAATTTTACCATCTTATTCGCTTTTAACAATAATAATTATCAGGCGTACAGCAGAGACAGTCACTTCTTTTAAGTCAAATTTAAAAACTCACTTTTACAGACTTGTTTTTATGTGATGCTCTTTTCTATATTTCTTTTATCTCTTTTACCTCTTATTTCGACTCACTGTCGTTTCAGCCTTTGTTGTACATATTATCTTTTCTTATTTAACCTTTTAGGCCTTTTATTGATTTTATTGTTTTTTCCTGCTCATTTTTGTTATTCCATTTTATCATTAACATTACCATCATTATTATTTTATTATGATTTTATTATCTTTATTAATATCGCCTATTTAATATTTACTATCCTGTTTCTTGCTTTCTACCCCCCTTTTATTACATTCCTTTTTCTTACCTAATTTATGTTTTTATTTTGGTCCTCATGGTCTCATTTCATGTTGTAGGCTTCTTGTGTATTGTCAAATGAAATAAAGTTATTATTATTACTATTATTATTATTGTAATTATTATCATTTTGTGATCTAAATATACGTGATTAAACTTTTTATAAGTCTACAAAAAAGTAAATTTAATGTTTCTAGTCAAGTTATAACCAGGATTACAAACTGCAAACACTCTTTAATCACCTTAACAGACGACAGTGACTTTGTGACTCATACTTCCTCATTCCTATGTTTATAAAGTGTTTCTGTGTCTGTCAGTTCTCGGTGGAGGTTTAGCTCAGTGGTTACTTCAAATCTTTGCCAATGATTTCATCCAACTCCAGCGGTCCGTGGGCCAGGGGTTCGAACCACGGGTGCTGTCCTCCGCCTTTTACACATTTCCCCTTTTACCCCCTCCATACTAAAGTCCACTATCGGAGTAAATCAGCACTGCTCAAACAAACTTTAAAAGTAATTTACACCATATTTATACAAACACCACACATCGAAACTAAATGTAGACTTCACTGCGATTTCATATTAAATTTTTTTTTTTTTTAACAAAAACAGAGACTTTACACATCTATCAGGACATTTAAAGGTCTAGTTCATTTGCTGTTGTTGTTCTGGGGGACGTATTAACAGACAGGACAATAGGGATCCCCAAAGTGGAGCCACAGCAACACTATCGCCTCCTGGTGGACAGTTGGAGTAAAGGTCCAAAACTTCAACACAACAGACAAGTAATACAGGAAGTATAAGGGTCACACCTAAAAGAAAATACATGAATAAATGAGTAAATATCTCTGTATTAAACAGTTAAAACTATATCAGAACTGAACCGAGTACATGGACATTGATCCCAGTTTAATGATTGTTTTACTCTTTATGACTCCTGCTGTACTTCCTCATACTCCGCTTTATAAAGGGTTCATGTGTTCATAACAGCTGGCAGAGGTTTAGCCCAGTGGTTACTTCAAGCCCTCACTATGGTTTATCTAATCCTAACGGTCTCAGGGCCAGGGGTTCGGACCACGGGTGCCGTCCTCTGCTTTTGACCATTTTACACCTTTATATCTGAAATCTTTTTATAAACTGAAACCAAAAGTTTGTGGTGAATTAATCATCAGGATTCATACAGGAAACACTGAAATAAAAACAGTGATATATCTGACTGTTGTTCTTTTTATTGGTTGTTTTTACAGTTGCCTTGTATGCACTTTGAGATCTGTTTTCGCAGATTTAAAGCGCAATATATATATAAAATGTATTATTATTGTTATATCTAAATATATGAATATCAATAATATAAAAACATTAGAGTCATCACAACTTGGAAATGAGAAAAAAGGTTCACCCAGGAGAAGATGTTCTCTAAAGTTTTATAAATCCAAAATTACCTCATGTTTAGTCTTAATAATGTTGAGGTCAGCTTCTAATTCTGCTGGTTTGGAGAGGGTCCTGATCCAGAACCACAATTTAGTGACTTTTCAGATCTTAAAGAGATTGTTTTTAGTGATGATAACAAGCTTTCATTTATAATTTACTTATTCTATTTAAAGAAATGCAAAAAGGAAGATTCCACTTTTTTTTCTGACCTTACAGTTTAGACCACATTAGAACAAGTCTGGCTCCAGAACAAAAACTCAGATTTATTGAATCTGGTCTAAATATCCTGTAGAGACAGTTTTAGTTTTGTTCAATTATTGAAAAGTGTCGCTGTCTTTATTTTACATTTTCTTCAATAGAAAAGTTCTCAAATGTAAAACAGCATTTAGCCCTAGAACACCGACTAGAACACGACAGATTTTCACCCGACCAAACATGTTTACGTGATTTTCATGATGTTGTGTTTGTCTGAGTATCACGGGTCTCTGGGTATCTTCAGCATTTCCTTTGACATCTTTAAAGGCATATTTGTTTCCCTGATCCAAAACCTGCTTTTTCCTACAGACTCGTGTTCACAGGGTGATTTTAGAGGGTAAAGTAGGTTTGGGTGGATTTGATAGCTGCATGTAGGGAATAAGGTCAGTAAGAGTGGTCCTGGAATTTACATGCCATCTTTATTTAGTGCAGTGGTTATGGTTACAAGGACTTTTTCTTGGGTATTTCATTTCGGGTAAAAAAATCACCCGCTGATAGTGATGGAGTTACTAATTTTAGTGATAGTGTTCAAGGGTTGAAGAGGTTAGTAGGGTTGAGTTTGGATTTATCAGGTTATATCATAAATTAGGAAAATGAGATTATTTGGCTAGAATTGAGATGAGTAATCTTGGTAAGACGACAGCTCGTTTCTCAGCTGTCATGCATTTGATATAAAGCTTGTATATTTAGAGTGACTTTTTCCACTCTTGACAAGGTGGTCTGCACAATCTCACCAGACGGTGTAAACAGATAGCGCTAAACTTTAATATAGATGTCTGAGTTTTACTGACAGAGGCAAAAAAAAGTGCAAATGACAGGATACGACCTGATATTATTTATTTTCCTTTACATTCAGCTCAACACACGAAGCTTATTTCACAGCCAATGATTTCCCTTGTCTTGCAAAAATGTACACCAATCCCTTTCGAGTACATTACCATAAAATATCTAGCTACTGCAAAGGCTCTACGTTCTCACAAACAAAGCTGGAGGCCGGGTTCTGACATGAAGCAGACTGTTGATGGTCCACTATGGAGCACAGATGTACAGGCAGAGAGGCGACAGTAGAAAAGTTTATTTGCAAAGTGCTGGTGTTCACTTCTGGGCGACTTCATCAAACTTGGGCTCTGAGAGACACAAAGAAGAGCAGCTGACTCAGTCAAGGAGAAACTAAACAAAAGGTGTAGACAGTTTGAACATCGAGTACTTTAGATATTTTTCTTGTTTAGTTCACAAAAATCTGACAATGTTGATTTGCGGTTTATTTATGTAGCTCACCTGTGAACTTGAACTCGGGGAAGGATGACATGTCTCCACCACCGTAGAGTCTCTGAAGCTTTGTTATCTCCTCTGCCAGGGCCTTCTCGTACTCTGCACCTGCATCCACCAGACCCCCAGTGGTCCTACAGGATTAAGAAGAAGGTGCATCATGTGAACAGTCCTGTTTCATTTTGTCACCGGGTTAATCTTATTTGCAAACAAATCTCTAAAATACATCTAATCAGACAAAGATCTACACAGTCATATAGTCTGAACACCACAATGATGAAAGTTAAATATTTCAGGGTATCAATCTAAACCACATGGTTCCTCGGCCAAGAACATGGTTTACATGGATCTTCTATCTATTCATGTTGTAGAAAATTACAGTTAGTTATCCTACAGGTTTCATAACATGACTTATGTTGATGTCAGAGACAGTATTAACCTGCATTAAGCAGCCAATAATGACCGTTTATCAGTACAAGGAGTTGATCTGAGGAACAGCTGCAGCAAAGAATGAAAACCTGCAGATCGCCAAGTTCAAACTTATTTTTATAAACCACATTCTGAGTGGATATAAGAGAGAAACTGAAACATGAATTTATATCTTCTGTGCTGTTATTCCTGCACATGCTCTGATTGATTAAATTACAGTAACAAAAGGGGTAGGACTACATAAGTTTTATCAACTTCACTCTACATCCTTTCGAACAAAGTAGGATTATCTATGTTGAAAAGTGCATTGTATACTGTATTTATTTTGTTTTTCTTTTCACTTGTTCGAATAAACAAATAAACTAAACAATAAATTGCATTAGATTTTATATGCAGTTGTCTAGAAAAGATGATGAGGACATCTGCCTTTCGAGAGCACATGTCGATTATTTTGAAATGCAAACTATTCTCTGGAGGAAATGAAGCCTGAACTACTAAAATGTAAAACAGACTGGCTGTAGGGTCTGAAAAAAACCAGACTGGAACGACTATTCTGTGATGATCCTAAAAGGAATATTTTCACATTTATGAACAATTTATAGTGATGCCTTTTCAAAATCTGCAGGCCGAGAGACTTACTGGCTTTTTGAGGAGTAGTCACGTATAGAGTCCAAGAAGAGTTTTTGAATCGGGTCCATTTGAGCTGAGAGTCAGAGGGAGAGACAAAAACAAAATTAATATCACCTCACAGGTAAATCCTTAGAAACCAGGACCACATACTGAGACACCATCGTCCATTTGGACGGAGCAAACAAGAACCATCCAGGTTTAAGAGTAACCCCTCATGCACATAAGACTTGGGAGTGCTAGAAAGAATAGCCGGCTACAGGCAAAAGAAAGAACGAGTGAAAGGTCAGGTCAGTTAAAGGTTAAAAGGTTGCTGTGATAGAGTCATGCTGGACCAAAGATTGACAAAACTGCTGTACAAAAGTCAAACACGACGTTAAAACTTCCGAAAAGTCCAAGAAACAATCGAGTTCTTTGACTTTGATTCCACACACAGCAACCGGGGATTAGAACCGACAACTTTTACCATGAAGTTCACATTTACACATTATCCATTAACCAGTACACTCAACAACAGGCCCATCACCCATGTAAGGAGGAGTCACACATTACTGTTACGGTGAGAGAAAAATGAGGGAGGAGGAAGGAGGTTAAGAACAAAAAATAATAAATATGACAAATCTACAACCTTTAAATTCTCCTTTATCAGTAAACACAGTACCGTTAACATTATCTTTAACAATCACAAATACAAAATCAAAACAACCGGTTCAATAAAAACCACAACACAACACCAAGAGAGGGTCACTAACAAGAGTTTTTTTTTTTGTATCATGTTGGGAAAAAGAGCGGGGATGAAACTGAGAGTCCTACAAGCAAATAAAACATTAGAAATAAAGTGGGAAGAGCAAACTGAGCCGACATACAGTACGCAGGAAGGTGCAAAAAAAACCTCTAAGAAACAAAAGAAATAAGTGCAATGGCAGGCAGGTATTAGTGAGAGAAAAACAAAAGCAGAAAAATGTCCCCGAACAAAAAATAAAAACAAAAATATCAAAAAGGTGTAATGCAGCACAGTTAGTTCATGCATGGTACACAGGATGGCTGAAACAACACAAACAAACAGGACAATAACTACAGGAGAGGTGGCCCAGTGACATGGTGCAGTGGTGTTTAATGGTGGACAGGGAATGAAAAGGAAAAACTGTTTTCAAAGTGATGGGACATAATCAATACCAAACAGCTATAGAGGAATCAGCTGTGAGAGGGCTAGAACCAAAGAAGTGTGTTTGTGATGTCCGGTATCTTTACAGTTTATCCTTAACATCATCACAAACGGCTACAAGGTTTACTCTTTAGGTGGTGATGAGAATGACTGCTGGTAGACTGCAGGGTCCACAGAGGAAAAGAGGAGGATTGTGGGGGAGGGGGAGGTTTGTGGTGTGTACCCTGAAACGGTTCAACCGGCTCGACTAGGGCCTCGGCGGCTTCCACAGGAGCTTCAGCGACAGGCTCGGCAGCAGCAGGGGCTTCAGGAGCAGCTTCAACAACAGGGACTTCAGCAGCAGGTGCAGCTTCAACAGCAGCTTCAGCAGCAGGAACCTCAGGAGCTGCTTCAGCAGCAGGTTCTGTGGGAGCTTCAGGGGCTGCTGCTGCTTCCACCACAGCTTCTTCGACAGGTGCAGCGGCTTCAGCAGCAACTTCGGCTACTGCTGCTGCAGCTTCGGCGACAACCTCGACCACAGGTGCAGCTTCTGCGACAACTTCTGCAACCACCGGTATGGCTTCGGCAACGGCTTCTGCAACAGCTTCTACCACAGGTGCAGCTTCTGCCACGGCTTCTGCCACCACTTCTGCAACGGCTTCCACTGCGGGTGCTGCTTCGGCCACAGCTTCAACAACTGGTGCTGCTTCTGCGACAGCCTCTACTACAGGTGCAGCTTCTGCGACAGCTTCTACCACAGGTGCTGCTTCTGCAACTGCTTCGACAACTGGTGTTGCTTCTTCCACAGGTGCTGCTTCTGCAACGGCTTCCACAACTGGTGCTGCTTCTGCGACAGCTTCAACCACAGGCGCAGCTTCTGCGACAGCCTCTACAACAGGTGCAGCTTCTGCGACGGCTTCCACTGCAGGCGCAGCTTCTGCAACAGCTTCGACAACCGGTGCAGCTTCTGCAACAGCTTCTACTACAGGTGCAGCTTCAGCGACAGCTTCAACCACAGGTGCAGCTTCTGCGACAGCTTCAACCACAGGTGCAGCTTCAGCGACAGCTTCAACCACAGGTGCAGCTTCTGCAACAGCTTCTACTACAGGTGCTGCTTCAGCTGCAGGTACGGCTTCAGCGACAGCCTCGACGATAGGCGTAGCTTCAACGGCTGGTGCAGCAGCCTCAGGTATCCGCTCTGCAACAGGTTTGGCTGCAGCTTCTGCAGCTGCTGCAGCGGCGAATGCTGGAGAAAGATCCTTTTGGGGATTATCATATGTCTTGTGCTGGACAAGTTTCTCTATATCGAAGTATGTTTTAGCCTGTTTGTCTAGGACAAAAGGAGGAGTGCAAGCAGACAAGATACATTATTTCCTCCAACATGTGTATTAGGTGTACTTTTTACTGTTTACCCCAAAATTTCCAACATTTTTCACAGAACATTAAGAAATATCTTTTGCATTCACTTAGTCACTGGAGAAATAAAAAATATCACAGAGGTCTATGAATTCACAGCAGGAAATTTTATAAAACATAAAATCACAAAAGGGTTAAAGAAAAACTGTAAACAAACGGTACTGTCACACATTAAGAAGTTTGTATCGAGTTTAAAAGTTAAATTTATGGTCAGAGAGACCCGAAGCACAGTACCAGCAGCTCTTGGGCCATCTATTAGGGCCTTCATGACTGCAGGAGGGAAACAAGTGGACAGATGGACTGTGGTACAAGCAGCAATTAAGAACAAATAATGAGAATCTATAATAATCATCATAACCTGCAAACATCAGTTTTACAATAACCCCTTTTTAACGGCTAAACAAAAACACAAATATCCTTCATATGGACCGATAATCCATCAGCTGCTGGTCCCATTAGGGTTAAAGGAGCCTCATATTTACACAACTCAACCCTGACCTTTAGGAGCTGTTGTTTCACCAAAGTGTGGTGGATATATTTCCATAGGACTCTCACTCTTAGCTTTTGTATTTCCAGCAGTAAAACAGACTTTAAAATGTCAAACAAAAGCTCAGCCTGCTATTGTATGACCGAACTTTGATATCGGAGACTGGGGTTCTGGATTGTATAATGACAGGTTAAAGGTTTGTGTTAGGATGAATGATAGACATGATCCTGTATGAAAGGATTTAAGTTTGGCCATTTATACATGATACAAAAGTTTTTTCAGGTTATCCACTTGTACCACAGTTTCAACAGAAAGAGTTTAATATAAAAGCTGATATGTTTGGCACATGTCATGATGGGAGTCCTGTTTCTAAGAGATTTTACCTGAGCTCTTCTTTGAGGACTTCTTGGAACCTCCGGATTTTGTGCTAAAAGCTGCAGCTGCAGCGGGCGCCCTGCACAGACTACTCCAGCTCTCAGCCTGCAAACACTGAAGACACACGCACAAACAAGAACTCACATTATTCAGCAGATCAGTGTCAAAATGCACAATTTAAACCCCCAAACAGAATGTAATGGGTGTATGAGCCATTTTATCTATATTATTTTTTGGGTTTTGTTCAGGTGGATGGGCAGGTAAATGCAGGTAAAGCAGTGATCTGGGGAACGGGAAGAGAACGCGGTTTTACCGCTAATCTCCGACACCACTCTCACCCTCATTGCGTACAACACCATCGTCGTAAGTTGGACGTATCCGTCTTTTTTTGTTTGTTTTTCATGTAATCAATAAATGGCAAAAATATAATTCAACAATAACCTTGGACTGGACATTGAACTGTATTAGAAACATGTCAAAAACACCTCACTCCCGCACCCAGACAGTGACTAAAATTCAGGTCCGCAAAGTCACTACAACAGGGAGAAAACGACTCTAAACTAAGCCTCGTTTTCCTCTTGTTTGATTTGTAAGAAGTGTTTAAAGTTTTGGTGACATCCAGTGTTGAGGGTGCAGATTGCAGCCAGTTCTCCTCACACCTCCCAAGTCTCAACAATGCCTGACAGTGTTTTGAAAAAGCAAAACTGAGCATGCTTGGCATTGGATGTCATATCAAATCAATAACAGCATAAAGAGCACATTAGATAATTCAGGCGTAATGATTATTTATGAGGTTTCATGCCCCTAAGGAATATCCCACGGAGATCACAGACTGCTTACCGATCATCCTCAGTTTGGATTAGACATTAAAATATGTTAACTAGGACAAGTCGCATAGTAAAATCTGCTTTTATGTTCATAATGACGCCTTAAATTTAATTTAAGAGTCTTCTTTATTCACAGGGGAACTATTCACATGTGTGTGCATGGACGACTTCCAGTCTAACTACTGCCTTCATACTGGTGGGGGCCCTCTAACCTTGCACAAACATGCACACACAACCTATAGCTCCATGTTAAAGATTCACCACACCTCCCATGTCGGTCAGCACTCACTGAACACTTACAGAGTCAAGGAGCTTCAGCTGCCAGGCCTATATGTGTCTGCGTTAAAACTTCATACTTACACAGTGTGCATTTATATTAGTTTGCACAGAACTATCTATATTCCAAAGGAGTGTACTGCGCATGATTTAATTAAGAAAAACCCCGTTTAACAGCTGAGCATGAGGATTACTGACTGCAGGGCAACAATAGCCCTGCCATGAGGCTGCTGAAAAAGTGCAGAAAACAGCAGGATACCCAACCCAAACTATTAGGATTTACAGATTGATATATGTACATTTATAGCACATAAAAATAAAGCGTTAAAACTGAGAAGTTGACGCTTGAGTTTGCTTTACCTTGAGACAACCCAGTCGTCCTATCCTCAACAGGGAAGCCGCCATCTTTCTGTGCAGTCTGCCTGCGCTGCCTGGGCATCAATAAATACCATTACACATCAACAATCCTCCAATATCAACACAACAAAAACACTACTTTTCTCAAATATTCATATTATCGTCGTGTAAGATAAACATCAGCTGTGAAAGTTGCAGTATTTCCCTCAGGGAGCTGCAGCAGCCTGCAGGGCATGAACCGCTCTCTGTTATTAAACACACACCTGTGCAGCTTTATTCTTACCTGTTGATAAATGAAGCTGTTTTAGACTCGTCTCTGATGGTCAGTCTGCACAGGCAGTTCTCTCACAGCAGCATGGACATACACTTCAGACCCACATATCAGCTTTTATGTAACCCGTGGAAGTGACAGTCACGCCCCCTTTCTCACCAAACATGTGTGCTCCCCCCTTTATAAATGTCGTTTTTCTTGGTTGTTTATAACATTTAAAAGATCATAATTCATGTTTCTGCGACGTTTTTAACATTCATGTGTTGTTTAATCGACTATAAACGAAAATAAATGATAAAATAAATCAAAACATCCACTTCAGTCAAACCCATTTAAGTGGATTTATCCTCATAACTCATATCTAAGTTGACACTCAGCTTTAAATCTTTATTTAAGTGTAATTTTCAGGTGTTTATATCGTGATAAACCTCATTTCTCCATCAGCTTCTTCTCTTGTGGACATTCTGTACTTTTTCAGCGGGGGGCGTGGCTATTATGTGCGTCATGACGATATTCGGCCGCGACAAATTACGCGCTCCTCCTCCTTTCCTCGTGGGCTCCCGTCGCATGTTAGCAAACACAACAGTCATGTCCGCCGTGGGTTTCTGTGGAGAGTGGGTTCTTCTCAGCTGCGACACCAATCTGTTAGCTCTTCACACTAAAGAAGACAGGTTAGTGTCATTGAAAGCTTCTCAACGATCTTAATTTAACGAGTTTTATTCGATTAGTCGGATTTTAATCGATTATTTTGTGTGTGTTCGCTGTAGCCTATCTGCTACTATAAACACACTAGTTTAGATCATAGGGTGAATATTTAAAGGATAATTTGAACATTAAAAACAGCTCTTATTTCTTTCCCAATTACTTACTTTATAATCTAATTTTAATTTCATTCGATTCAACGTTTGCTTGATAGTCCAGCCTTTATTTTTAAAATCCTAAGATCCAGTTTTCACATTAAAGCTTTTTAATTAGGGGTGGGAGAAAAAATCGATTCACATAAGTATCGGGATTTTTTTGTTTTACAATTTTTAAATCGATTTTTTAAATTTTAATTGAAAAAAATTGATTCGCATAAGTATTGGGATATTTTTGTTTTATAATTTTTAAATTGATTTATTTTAATTAATTTTTAAAAACTTTAATCTTTTTTTAAATTGATTTGCATAAGTATTGGGATTTTTTTGTTTTATAATTCTAAAATTGATTTTTTTCAATTCATTTTTTGATTTTTAATCTTTTTTAACTCAATATGCATAAGTATCAGGATTTTCTGTTTTATAATTTTTTAATGGATTTTTTTCATTCAAAAAATGATTTTTTTTTTCAAATTTGGTTTAGCATGCAGAGGACAAGATAAACAAAAACTCTATAATCTAAAAATTAACCCAAACCTAAAATTCTTTGACAGGGTAAGAAAAGTGTCATGCTAATAAGTTAGTTTAATAGTTTAATAGAATGCACATGGTGAGTCCATTAAATATGAGTGGATAAAATAACAGTGTCCTTGTGTAGCTGAAACTGCTTTCATGATTCCTCTTGCAGAGAGCCGATTGTGTTCGACTGCAGCACTGCAGTGAAAAGGCCGAAGAATACACAGGAGGACAACAGCAGGTAAGAAACAATGGAGAAGACTGAAGCAGTGAGGTCTGATTTATTTGTTAAGAAACAGCCTCTGGAGTTTCTGATGAGCAGCAAAGTTAGGCGACCCACTTAGATAAAACCAACATGAAATTATTTTACCCTGAATTACTCCTGGTGTCAAAGCCAGTCGTCCCTAAATGAGTGTTAATGAGTTACATCTACAGTAAAAGTCAGTTTGTGTAGCATTCTTGGTGGTCAGTGTATTTATGTTTGTGTGAACTTCACTCCTCTGTCGTCAGTGATGGTGGCGCCCCAGAAGAAACAGGAAGTGACACAGTCCTCGCCTTCACCGCGTCCCCGTCTGGAAAGCTGGTGGCGCTGACGGACGACAATAAAAGACTGGTCCTGTTTCAGACGGAACCTTCATGGAAATGCGTCAGCATCAGGTACGACGACCGTGACTTTGTCCTCCTGTGGCGGCAGCTCTGTGCTCTGTTTCCACTCTGATGTCAGGTGTGTCGTACAGGTGGGTGGTGAGGAGGTGCACCGCCCTGCTCTTCAGTCAGACAGAGGAGGAGCTGCTGGCTGCCGACAAATCAGGAGACGTTTACTCCTTTTCTGTGACGAAGACGCATAAGGAGGGAGAGCTGAAGATGGGTCACCTGTCCATGCTGCTGGCTGTGGTGAGAAACAATGAATCATCTCAGGCTTTTACTCCTGTGTCCATTTTCTCACACAAGTCTCTGATTGGTGATTGCTTATTCTTCTGACTCTCAGACTCTTTCCCCGGACAACAAGTTCATCATCACAGCCGACCGAGACGAGAAGATCAGAGTGAGCCACCTCAGAGCGCCGTATAACATCCAGGCCTTCTGCCTCGGGCACCAACAGTGAGTATCTGCAGATTCTGTCCGTGAAAACTGAAGAGAGTCCAGTTTTTCTGGTCACATCTTTAATCCGGTGTTTTAACGCTGTTTGTGTCTTTATGCACACTTGTTGTTTGCAGTTTGATGCTGCAAGTCCAGACTGTGTTTAGGCTCCGCGTTAAATCATAGTAGAGCTATTTTGACGTTTAACCTGAGTCTAAAAAGACCTCTCACATTATTATGAACTGAAATGGGGATCATAGTAGCTGCTCTGTGCTGAAAATTTGCCAATTAGAGTCAAATCAGAATCTGAGTTTACTGCTCGATTTAGTTTCTAAACACACTTGGATTTTGTCTGGCTGGTAGGAAAAAGTTCAGGTGAAGTTTGAGGAACAAATCACCGGTTTGTGTTCACAACAACAACACAACAGCAGCATTCACAGGGTTCTAGTGCTTTTGTGAATTCTGCATTTGAAGGCTGAGTGAAAACAACTTTATTAACACAATTTAAACTCTGTACTTAACAACAGTTTGACTGAGATCTACACGTGTTTGCGTTGATTTATTCATGTATGTTTTCTGTTTTTCCTCAGGTTCGTCAGCTCTCTGCTGATTCCTGCAGCTCATCCACACTGGCTGCTGTCTGGATCAGGGGTATGAGTGTGTTTACTAAAGCTGCATCAACACACCAACGCACATGCAAACAAGGACTCAGTACCATTCACGAGCTTTATTATTTCAGCTTTTAGTCTGGGCTGTGACGTTCATCCTCACATTTAGGGAGTTAGATTAATTGAGCTAAAGCTGCAGAGGGACGTTCCTGCTTTTCTTTGTTCAGTCTAATCCATAAAAGAAAATCAAAGAGTCAGAAAGGTTTGCAGGTTTTCTCTTGAGCCTTTAAACCTCTTAAAGTCATGAATTTCTTTTCCGCTCATGGGAGTAAAAATCTTTTCCGGCTTTTCATTTTTATCTATTTTTATATACATTTTCTTTCTTCGTCTTCATAATCCCTTTACATCAAATGTGAATTACAGGCAACAATACTGATAATTAAATGTGTTTTCACTGATTACAGAGTTTCTCCTATAATGAAATTTACCTGCTGCGCTTATTATGAAAGTCTATTTGTTTGAAAACCAGACAAACTAAACACATAATAAACTTTGTAAGCTGTTATTTTAGGAGATAACTATAGAAATTAGATTTAAGGCAGTTAAAAATCAGTGTTTTTTTCATTTGCAGGGTTATATAAAGTGTGTCTGTGTTTACAGGACGGGACGTTGAAGCTGTGGGAGTTTGAATCCGGACGTAAACTGCAGAGTTATGACCTCAAAGATCTGGAAGAGACGCCTCCTTCTGATGCTGACAAACAGAATGTAAGAACATGAACTATAATATTGATATAAGTTCCTTAAGGAGGGTTTAAAATGTTAAATTCAGCCTGTTACTGTGTATGTGGTGTCGGGTTAGCGTTCAGCCCAGAGCTCTGCTGTACAGCTGACATTTCTTCAGCCTCTCTGTCTTGTTAGCATGAAGCTCCTCTTTGTGTTTGTCCGCTGAGCTGAAGCTGAGAGAGTGAAATGGGTCATACACGCCTTTTGTACCTCAAAGCTTCTCTGTCTGTGGATTTATGTCCACACAGACAGCTACGACATCAGACCGAGACTGTGAGAGTCAACTTTCTGATGGGAAACTTAAACTAGAGTGAGGAAGCAAAGTTACAAAAATATGTCAGATAATCATAAATCATGTTTTTTAAGGTCAGAGGGAGAGAAAATATTTAACATCCTTGATTTTGAAATCAGCAAAAGACTCATCCTCTTTATCTGCTTTTTTATTTCCCAGAATCCCACTGTGTGTCGCATCATCAGCTCACCTGACGCTCGACACGTGGCCGTGCTGTGTGACAGGTGAGTGTCAGCGCCTGCGTCTGAATCAGACCTTTGAGTCCACAGATGACCACATTAAAAACTACATCTGGATCCTTTAATACTTTCTGTAACAAAGACTTGAATTTCTTTGGACCCGACTCTGGAAATCTTAAAACTTAAACTCTCTCCTGTCTCCTAAACGCTCCTCTTGACCCTGTAAAAACTCATCCACAGTGTCTCTTTATTTTTAAACTTAATTTTTATTACATTTTTAACCACAACAATACAGTGTTTACATCTCATCATACTTATTTTCCTTTTTCCAGCTGTATGTGTATTTTTACAAACATCCACAGATAATGTAGGAATAAATCAAAGAGAATAATCATCACAAATAAACAATGTCCACTCCAAAGTTCAGATTTATCAGCACAGATTCTAGTCAGAGGCAGGATGACAGTATTTTGATTTTGGATAGAAGTACTTAGACCATTAACATCAACTGTCATTGCATCAATAAAAGAGGCCCTTTAGTGAAAATGTGATCTGCTCCATTTGATAAAAATCCCAGACTTTTTAAATCCAGATATTGTCTGAGGAGGTTCTGATGGTTCTAGACTTCAAGGCTGCAGTCACTAATATGTTTAAAATGTATTTTTCTGACCTCCTGTCCGAACCTTACGGCATTACTCCCAGTATTGCGATCTGGAATTCGTTTTTAAAACCTCCTTCAGGGTGTTGAAAACCTCCGTCCAAAACAAACTTAATTTAGGGCGGAGCTAAGATATGTGGGTGTGATTCACTGTCTGGGCTCCGCAGTTTCTCCAACATGAACTTGGATATTGTGGACCCATCCTGGACTCTATCTCTGCTGTTCTGAAATAGACAGTTATTATTTTCCATTTGGATTTGAGTTTGTAACCAGATGTGTTTCAGTACAAACATTGTGCCAACCTCCTGAGAAATGTCAATGTTGGCCTCCTCCATCTTCCAACTCCCCTTTGTTTGTAAAGATTATTTAGATCCACAGATAAGAGTTTGTTGTCACAGCGACTCTTCAGAAAGTCTTGTCTCCCCCTCCAAACTCGTTCTCCTGACACACGTGTGAGCTCCGGACCCCCTCACAGGAATCTGTTTTCAACTCTGACATGTCAGCTGGCTTCAGCTATTTTTACTCTATAGTTTGAACTATTTACAGACGTACAGTACGAGGGCACAATGTGACTGTGAGGCTCCCCGCAGCGCCTGCTGTGGATGTGGGTCAGAGGGTAAAGTGAAACGCTCTAACAGTAAAGGTCTGATCAGTCTGGTGTCCCCCTGTTTGTCCACAGAGTGTCCACTATCCAGTTCTTCACTCTGAGAAAAGAGGGAGAGGAGAAGATCATCCCGCTCAGCCGACTCTCTCTGCCACACTGTCCTGTAGATATGACCTTTGACCCAGAGGGGCGCCTCTGGGTGCTGATGGAGTCCAAAGATTGTCCGCTTCAGATCTACACACATAGAGACGACTCCTGGGAGGTAGGGTATCAGAAGTTTAAGAGTTTGAGAGTTTCATGATTTATGTTGAAGTTTACACACAGGAGAGGATTCGTCTGACGGATTTTATTCTGAAATCTTCACCGGAGATAAAGTCACACTTAAGATTATTAAAAATCTCCAAACAACAGTGAGGATTCAAATCTGTGAGATAATGATGAATATCAACTCCCCCTTTAAACAGCAGAGGGCGCCATCTCAGAACCAGAATCAGAAATACTTTAATAATCCCCAGGGGGTAATTACTTTTCATTACAGTAACTCCAGTGCAAATAAAGTAGAAAGAGGAGATAAATAATGGATAAAATAAGTAAAAATAAAGAGATAATATACAAGTATGTACACTGTATACAACACAAAATAGTAAAATAAAAATCTGCCTCTGAAATAGGATGTTATTTCATCTCTTATGTACAGTGACTCCACAAGAAGTTAGAAAACCCGACAATAAAACAAAAAGACAAATAAAAGAGTTAAAAAACAAAAAGGATGACACAGAAATTCACATAAAGATACGAAAACAAAATGACAAATGAGAAAAAAAAAACAATTCAGACTACAAGGCAGCTCATCCCATCAGGTCACATTGAATATTTGCTCCAAATTCAAATCTGGATTAAGTAAAAATATCAAAAATAAAAGAGTCAGAAGAAACATCTTTTAAGACTGTGAACTCTTCTCTAAAGCTGGGATAAAAACTGGGTCACTCAGGATGTTATTTCATCTCTTATGTTCGGTGACTCTACAAGAAATAAGAAAACCCGACAAGACAACAAAAATAAAAATTTAAGAGTTAAAAAACAAAAAGGATGATGCAGAAAGTCACAAAACAAATCTAAAAACAAAACAACAAATGAGAAAAAAACAATATTGTAACTCATCTCCTCAGGTCACAAACGTCTGCTCCAAGTTCAAACCTGAATTAAATAAAAATATCAAAAATAAAAGAGTCAGAATATTCAGCTCTGAAATTGTGACCTCTTTCTCTAATTCTTGGATAAAAACAGGATCACTCCGAGCTGTGAAATAACTAATAACACACTTAACTGTAAAGGTTTATCATTAATTCTCGTGTTTTTCACTGAAAAGTTTGTCGTTTACATCGTTACTCCTCCTCTCTTCGTTCACCTCATCCCCCCTTTGAAAACTTCCCTGTTCTTTCTCCTGGATGTTCTTGTTCTGTTCAGCTCACTCTCCGTAGGTGTTCAGGACGTTCTCCGCTCGGGTTTATGGACTCAATTATCTTCTCTCGACTTGTCCGCCTCTGACTTTCACACATCATTATTTACATTTAGTGTGTGGGAGGATACGCAGCGTGAGAAGGAAACCGCTCGCCGATGTTCAACCCGTCAGATCTCCACACGTCCAAATAAGGACATGACTCACCTCTTCTGTAACACACACAGCTGCAGACTCACACTCTCGCTCGGGTGGCGCTTTAATTGTTGCTGTGATTCTCATGATCAAACATGCAGTCATGTTTTGCGCTCTCCTTTGTTTATATATTATTATATCTGTGTTATTGTAAATAAAGAGGAAACGGCACGCTCATTTATTCATCGTTTATCACGCCTGAGTGAGATAAAGGTGGAATTCATTAAACTGCAGCTGCTGTAAAGAGAGAGGATGGTGGTGTGTGATATTTCACAGTGAAGGATGAAGCACCGAAAGGTCGAACCAGAGTGAAATTAAAGGGATATTCTGGCGTAAAACTAATTTAGGGTCAAACACACCATAACACCGAGTTAGACCCCTCCTCCAGAGATAAATGTTGTCGACCGCTTGCTCCTCTAGTTATACCAACTTTAGTAACGACCGCAGGATAAACATCTTTTTAACTTTGACTCATTTCTTTAGCAAAGAGACTAAACACAACTCACCTACTCTCTTCCAGCAGCCGATTGTTTGTAGCGAGACCTCAGGACAGTCCATTACAGACTACAGCGGGGTGACACAGCTCAAGGAAGAACATTTATGGTATAACTAGAGAAGTAAGCAGTCGGCAACATTCATCTCTCGAAAGGGGTGTCTAACTCGGTGTCACATGTGTTTGACCCTAAATTAATTTTACGGCGGAATATCCCTTTAAGGCCAAACTGGAGTGAAATGAATAGATTTAAAAATACAAGAAAGTGAGTAAAAGCAGGAATTTTAAAGCTCCCTTAAGGAATTTTTTGGTCTGTCTCAACTTTGGCGCCCCTTGTGGACATACTCATGAAGTGACTTTTGACCAAAAATCTCATCCTGTCGACTTTTGATGCTCAAAAATGTTATTTACCGTGAAAAATATTTGGAGAATTATCAAATCAGCTGTTTCTTCAGCTGCTCGGCCCACTCTTTCCGGCTCAAACTGGTTTCAGGCATCAAAAACTACGATTTGGAAATCTTCAGTCTCATCGCAGGTGAAGTGATTTAAAAAAACTCCCTAGAGGAGCTTTAAAAATAGACACACTTAAAGGTAAACAAAACTTGAACAGTAAAAACCAAGATTTGAAGCTTTAACCTGTCCTCCGTCTTTTTCTTTTTCCACCTCAGCTGAAATAATAATAATAAATTTTATTTATAACGTGTTTTTTACAGGTGCTCAGAGACGCTTTACAAGAAAAACAATTTAAAATACAGAGAATTTGGAGTAATAAGGCCAACAATGTAAAATGTTAAAAAAGACACAATATGAAAGACAAAAGAAGGACTGTTCAAGGGTTAAAAACCAACTTAAAAAGGTCGCCTCTTTCTTCACCTCGTCTGTCACGTCTGTTTTAACTTCATTATTCTTCTGTTTTCTTTGTCTTCATCTCTGAATGTGTGTTTCTGTTTTGTCTTCTGTATTTAAAAGAGTTTGTCTCTAAATGGCTCACTTAGTTTCCTCAGACCAACATATTTCTCCTGATTAAGTATTGAGGATTCTTTGGGGAGTTGAAGAGGATTTTACGGTGGAGTAAAAGTCATTTAGTGAGTTCACGTCATCCTCTTTTCTCTCCAGATCTCTGCGGAGAGTCCGGAGCTGCACAGAGTGAAGGCCGCCCTGCAGCCTCACGGGGAGACTCTTCGGGGTGAGTCATCCGTCACTCACACTCGTCCACACTTCCGCGGGACCTCTTGGCCTCCCGTCAGAGCATCCTCGCCGTCCTCCCTCTCACATCCTCGTCCCACTCGCCACCCCACAGACAGAAATAACCCGCGGTGTCACACGAGCTCACGCTCCGCCTCCTCCGAAACATCTTGTGTGACTAAAATCTGGTTTACACGTCTGCGTCGACTCTGTGCCGTCCTCTCACCAGTTTTCCCCTCTTCTCTCTCTCTCTTACTCCAGACTCCATGAAGTCCTGCAGCCGGTACGAGCACCTGTACAAGGTGAGCTTCGACAACGTGACCACGTACCTGCAGAAGAAGCAGCAGAGGCTGGAGGAGCAGCAGATGAAGAGGAAGACGAGCCCGAGCACCAACAGCAAAGAGAGGAAGAAGAAGACGAAGAAAGAGACGACGGGAGCTGTGACGCAGTCGTCCTCCTGAAAAAAACGCTTAAAAAGAAAAGATGTAGTTTCTTTAATTTTTGATAAGGTTTGATGGAAATTTGAAGCAGGACCTGAAGAGTTCTCGCTCTGTAATCATGATTTTTTACGTTTGGTTCAAATTTTTGGAAGATTTTCTTTTAATAAATAAATGTTCAGCTGTTAAACACGTCTGTCATGAAGCTCCGTATGCCAGTGTGATCATCTTCCTGCACATTTTTGCTGCATATTTTTGTTTTTCTGCAAAAACTTATGAGTCAGTCTGTGTTGAACAAAAGGAGTTTGAGCTGTGTTTCATTTTCTATAGCAGCATGTACATTTGTTTGGAAATAAGGCAGATAAAATCAAATTAAATACAGTCTCAGCAGATTTATTTTCCCGTCATTTTAAACATGTCTGCAGGGTTAAGATTTAATATTAAATGGAGTAAATCAGAGGAAGAGATGGTGGGAATAAAGACAGTTTTATTTCATAACACACTGACGTCTTTGGCTTTTTTCTCTTTGAGTGAAACTGACTATCAAAGAGGTGCACCCTGGACCCTGACTAATATTCACTATCTTAGCGTCCTTGCGTACGGCTGTTAGAGTGGACTGTAAAGCACCTTGTGTTACATCCTTTGTATGGAAAGCGCTTTATAAACGGTTTGATTGGATTTGTACCATTTTTTTGAGCCACTAGATGTCACTGTGCTCTCCGGGTTTGAAGCTCCACAGTTACAAATCTGTTTGTCCAGAGTTAGACAAAAGGGAAAAAAAGGACCCAAATACAGACAAAAAAGGATTTGTTTAAAAAGAACTAAATTAAAAGCAACAAAAACTTTCTTTAAAAAGTCGAACTAAAAAAACAAGGAGACACACAATGAACCAACAAGACTGAGGGGAAGATGGGGACTATATTCACACACAGGTAAATGAGCAACAGGTGAGACTGATGAGTGATTAATGAAGGAGGGAAAACTAGGGACGAAACAGACTGAGGAATCAACTCCTACAAAATAAAACAGGAAATAAACATTGAAAACTAATCGAAAGAATAAAACACAGAGAACAGGGGAGAAACAGGGTTAAAGACAAACTAAAGACTCACAAGACTGGAATTGGAAATGTTTGAATCAAGTGCACAAAACTAAATATATTATTTAGGACTTTTCAGCAGCTTTCCATCATGTTAATGTTTTTTTTTTTTATCAACTAAATGACTTTGCTTCTTGTTCAGGTTGGAAATCAGGGCCAGAAAAGCTGTGAAAGTTGAAATTTTTGCATCTTGAGTTGCTTTAAAAACCAAGAATTTTCATTTGCTGAAAAATAATCTTCAAAAATAAATAAGTCAGTTTGTTCTGTCTCTTTTGGACCTTTTGCAGACTTAGTTATACAGAGAAAATACGAAAAAACCTGTAAAACATCCATCGTGAGATAGCTAACTTTCCATACTCAGGTTTCTTATTTGTCTGATTTAAAGGAAGTGTTAATCCACAAGAGACGTCAAAAAGCAGAGACGTTGTTTTGTAATTAAAGTACCTCTTTTATTTTTTGTAGCAAAGAACAAAAGTCACTAAAAATCTGTACAATATGTAAAAAACAACACATTTCAAATAAAAAACAAAAGTTCTGTATCTAAATATTGTTCACTGAAGGTTTTGTGCTGTACAAATGTTGACACTTCCTGAAAATAGCTTTGGGGTCGTCCGTCTGCTCCTCCTCGGGTCCGTCTGTGGTTTGTAACGCTGTCGGAGATCTGCTGCATCACAGATCGGACTCCTGCTGCTCCTCTGCTGGTCTCCAGAGGACAGCCCGACCAGGACCAACGTGTCTGACATCTTCACTTCACACCACACTGCTGCACTCGTGCTCTACGCTCTGCACAAACACACACTCATCATCATCGGACCTGCAGGTTTTCAAACATCCCTCATCTTCAATCCTGAACTTCTGCTCCTTCTCACCTCCTCCAAAAGTTTTACTTCTTCTTCCCTCCCATGGTCAGATTCTCACTTTTCTTCTTCTGCACCTAAATACAAGAACATGTTATGATTATTATTAGACACAGTTTGAATAAATGAAACACCTCCATGTGAGTATGAGCGCAGGAACCCCTCTGACCTCGTTCATGGCGTCATCGATCTGTTTGAGCTCTTCGTATCGGTCTCTGGACTCTCGGAGCGGCTGCACCATCGCCTCCTCAATCTGTGGGAACAGCTGCACACACACACAAATATTACTCATTACTGTGTCTTTAAATAAATATCACATTAAAGTCAGAATACAGAGGTTTATAAAACTGCAGTTCCTCCATCAGCCACTTGAGGCAGCCAGGTTTTTCCTCACAGACCCTGTTTAAGAGTTTTAGGTCGGTTTTGAAACACTAAGACGCTTCTTTCTGGTCAAATAAAACCAACAAAACAACAGACAAAGGAGAAAAAAGACCACCTGAACCTAAAATGACCAAATCCAGATCAGCAGAGCTTCACCCTCAGGCGATGCGTGCCTCTGGTGATGGATGCCAACCTTACAACAAGTCTGATCTAAGTCAGAAGTTATGAAGGCCAGCTCCGGCCCAGACTTCCTTTTCTGTGCTCTGTTTATTCCCCCAACATAAACTCCTTCCTTTCTTGATCCGTCACATTTCTTCATCTGTTTTATGTACAGAAACACTCAGTAAAACAGCCCACACACACACACACACACACACACACACACACACACACACACACACACACACACACACACACACACACACACACACAGACACACACACACACAGTCGCTTCACTCTGGATCGTCTCTGCAGTACAAACCCGAAAAAGGAAACTGGTTTTCTCGTGTTTTACAGTTAAAGATCCAGAAATTCTGCAGCAGGATTCACTTTAATACAAATATCAGTTTGTAAAGATATAGTCAGATTTGTTGGATTGTGTTCTGCCTGTTTCTCCCGCTGACACCTGATTGGTCGATCTGAATCAGACTACAAACAAACTACTAAACAGAAACTAGAACACTTCCTGTTGTGAAAATCCAGACCTATCTGAACCGTTGTGGAGAGAGCTAACTACAGCCACTCACTTTGTCCACAGGGGGCGCCAAAGTTCACATGAACTGAATGTTTGCGACAGCAGACAGAGCTCATGGGTATTGTAGTTTTATGACAGAGTGAGTGTTAACTTTGAAAGGCATATGCTGCGTTCCAGTTACCTCGGAAGTCGGATGTCGAAGCTGGGAATGACGTTATAACTGAGTTGACGGCGTTCCAGTTAACAAGTCGGAAAACTAAGATGGTCGCCTACTGTTAGCCCTTGTCAGCTGTTGTTTGTTGTTGTTAGCTATACCAGTTGTAAACAAGTACAACATAAACCACTTATTTAATTTCACAAAAACAAAACAGAAGTGCTAATAAATAAAACATTACAAGAGCTTTCACTGTTACTCTTTACTGTTAATGCACTGCGCTGCCATCTTGGATTATGATGTTGTCATCAAGTCGGGGTTGGCGAGGATTGTTAAAGCTCTGGAACGCAGCATTTGCCCTGACCCTAACTTTGTGATTCTGTAGGTCATCATCTTCACCGTCTTGTCCACTCACCTTCATCACGGTCTCGAACATGGGGATAAGGACGAACTTGATGAAGCCGATCTGAGCTGTTGGCTTGGTGACCTTTTCTCTGTCCATGAACGGCGCCACAGGAAGCCCCTCGGCCTTCTCCCTGTCGCTCTGAGACGAACACGGGTACGAAGGGAGATGAAATTACAGAAAACAAGAACCAGATCTGAAGTGATACTGTACACTGAGATATTTCCCTCTCACCTGCATGAAGTACTCCTCCAGGAGACAGTCCACCCAGGGCTCAGCCACCTCCATGGGCCGAACCTCGTTGGAGATGTCGCAGCACTTTATGAGCACCATTTTCAGCTGCATAGAGAGCAGGGTCAAAGGTCAGAGACTGCGTGTAGAAGGATGCATTCAGCCTCCGTAACATGAATCATCTTATTCTTACACAGGTGACGTGCTCCTCGTCTGTGTAGTCAAAGTTGTCGACTTTCTGTTTGAAGGAGTCCAGGATCTCGCCGTGTCGAGCCATGTCCGTGGCCAGGATCAGAGTGATGGTTCCCTGAGAGACAGGAGGAAGCGTGTCAGGAAACATCAGCCAACTCCTCCTCCTCGTAACCCCGCCTGTTTCCCTCTAATGCTTCAGAACAGAGACGTACCTGTCGTATCTGTTTGAAGGCCTCGGGGTCAAAGTTGGAGAAGATGTTGCAGTCGGGCTGAGAGAAGATCTGGAAGGCGACGGCACAGTGATGATTCTCCAGAGGAGAGATGTCGTTGTAACGAACCGCCAGCTCTGTTCTGGCGTTTATCTGGTACCTGGAGGAAAAAGAGAGAGATGAGGGGGAGTTAGGTGTCTGCTGATTACAGCCTGTCTCTCTATCACTGTGAGGGTCTGATTGTGCAGCTTCAGGGTCTGTGAAGTAGACTAAAAGACACGGTTATTTTGACGTCTAAAACTGCTAGTTTGTCGACTCACTAAAACTGACTTTTACTTTCTAAAGTGCTCAATTTAAGCAGGTTCTAACTCTTTACAAGAAGTCACAATCTATATTTGTACAGGTCACATGGGCAAAGAAAGGAAAGTGACCTCTTTGTCCACAGGGGGCGCCAAAACACGATCCAAAAGTTACTCACAGGACCTTTAAACGAGCAGGCATGCAGGGATTTACTCTCAGAAATCAAGTAAAGTTAAATTATGTTTTAAAAAGTGCTTAGAGGAGGACCTAACTTTTTTAAAGTGACCTGAAGGAGAAAGTAGGAGACAATGTTGAACCAAAAAATACAGAAGGAGAGAGAAAAAAAAAAGTGCGTGTTTGTCTTACGTGTTGTTGAATCCGGGGTGATCGAGGTCGTGACACACAGCAGCCGTCATCAGGATCAAAATGTCGACCTGAGTGAACTTCTCCTGAAAAACACACACCTGCCTGTTAGTTAACGCCTCAATTAAGTCTCATTTATGTGTGTGTGTGTGATCCCCAGAGACTGTTAGAGTGTGTGTGTGTGTGTGAGCTGGTTAGCAGACACCGGTGCAGATCTTTATAATCAGACATTAAGCCGAGATAATTAAACCTCCAGTGAATCGTCGCTCCGAACAACAACAGAGGGAGAAGAAGGAGCTCCTCTCTCTCTCTCTCTCTCTCCGTTAATCCCCTCATCTTCCTCATCCTCTTTCTGTCCTTCCTCAGATTTCACAAACACCCTCATGTCTCTACAGATAAACTCCTCTCCTACACTCGTCTGACAAACACGTTTCGTTTCTAATGTTTTTATTCCTGGAATAACACTTAAAGGGACAGTTCACTTTTTTCTACTGTAACTGTATTAACCACCTGGTCTGGTTTACCTGCAGGCTGCAGAGACAGATCATGCTGTACATCATCTGAGTGACACAGAAACAGTGGCGGAAGTTGTGGAAAGGGTTGTTTTTGTAGTTGTCGTGGATGCAGAGCTGCAGAGAAAGAGAAAACAGGAGGTTTGAGAGCTGCATGTGTGAAATAATCGAGCAAATATGATGAAGAGGTGAATCTGCAGAGGGTTCGGCTCTTACCAGCCATCTCTTGAGTGTGATGGGGTTGATATTAAAGTCTTTGACCAGACCCAGGTCGTGGTACATGTGCTCCAGACAGCTCAGCATCTGAAAAGACGAATGATTTATTCATCAGGACTGTGTCTGACTTATTTCTGCTCCAATCTACCGAGGCCTGATTGTCACTTTTTTGATTTCATGTATTTAGCAGATGATGCTCCTTAAAGACACGGTTGACGATTGGAGAGATTGGTAATTATTATGAACCTCGTTTCTATGGCGATCATGGTGCTATAGTGCGATCTCCACAAAGTGAAGAGAAAAGAAGAATGGAAAAAATCCATTCAGGTCTGCAAAAACATTGACCAATGGGAGCCTTCTGTACCGGACAGCTCCTTTTGGTCAATCTCCTGCTCCGCGTCTCCATCCAATCACCTCGCTGTATTCGACACACCCCTCTCCCGTAGTTCCAACTCATCCCCTCCCACTCTCCCGGCCCTCCTCTGAGCTCTGAGCGGCTAAAAGTAGCGTAGCAGCTTAGCTACAGGAGTTAGAAGACGAGACGAAGAGGAAATGTGACCAAGCGAGGAATCTAAGTGGAATAAACATCGGGTCATCCTTATTAGTCTCTGACATGTCAACACCGTAGCTGTCCAGGCAGCTGCAGACGGCGCTCGCTAGCAGAGCTGGCGTTTACTGCCGCTAGTCACTAACAATCCGACATAATGGATCCTATTTGAAGCTAGCGTAGGATCTTCTGCCGGCCGCCTTCTTTCTCTGTCAGAGGGGGTGTGTCGTGGGGAGGGAGATACAGGTTTAGGGGGGAGTTATGGTAGAGCACAGAGGGGAGAGGTTTGTGTGTGGGGGGTGGGCTCACTTCTCAAATCGTCAACCATGACTTTAACTGTAGATATTGTTCAGCAGTAATTATAACAGAGGAGCGTTGTTGCAGAGTCAGCTCAGTTGATCCTGGCGATGACATAACTCTGAACAGCATGGCGGTAATAAATACCACGCTCAGAGACTGATTATTGGCGCCTTATCTTCAGTGAATTCATCAGTAATTATTAACAGTCATGACCTTGAACATTAAAGGTACGAGTCGAGGAATCAGGATGTTCTTCTCACCTCGTTTGGCTCCCACTGCCAAGCATCGAATGTAGGCAATCTAAGAGCTTCTATTGTCTCCTTAGAGAGGTGGTACTACACACACATGAACACACACACACACAAACACAAACACACACATAGGGGGGAGAGAGGGGAGAGAAGAGAGGGGAAGCATGGGTGAGACAGGTTGAGCTGGGTTGTCAGTCTTACCTCGTTGGCCTCCCACAGCCACACATCGAAGGCGGGTTTTTTGAGAGCGTCTACGGTCTGCGCAGACAGCATGTACTGCAAGCAACAGAGCCCGCAGTTAACCCCGTCTGACCTCGTCTGACCCGGGGCAAACACCTCTAGACTACGTCACACACCTACTGTGATATTAAAGCGAGTCATGTTCTATTCGCTGTCCTGAACTCTTGCACAACTGCTGCAGCAAACACGTACCGAAGACGGAGAACGTGCGAGCCGTAAACACGACTCAGGGTAAGAACATTTCTGTGATTCTTTGTTCCGTGACTGTTCAGAAAAGAACGAGATTATGATTAACTCACATTGACCTACTGCTCTAAAAAATACTGCCCTGATTTCCGGGGAAGGATTTTGACTTCTATCAGAGGTGGAAGCAGCGACTGTGATTTTACCCTTCAGTTCAGGGATTATCGCTTTTTAGAGCCTAAAGTGACCAAATTCAGAGAAGAGGTGTAGAGGTTTGCTACCTTGAACATTTCTGAATGGGAGAGTCTTTGCAGCTGACTTATTTGCAGAATTTCAGGACAGGTTTCAGGGAGTTTTGAGAGTATCCTACAGAAGTTATGTTGTACTATATTTGCAGCGTATCCAAAACTACGAAATCTGTTCCTGTGTTTTTCACTTTTGCATCATCTTTGTAGTAAATCATGTAACAGAGTCTGAAAAAGATGCTCATGTGCAGAACACAGCAGCAGCTTCAATATATGATCATTTCTTCCACTCTCTCATGCAGAGTTTCCCGACTGTCACCTCTGGCTTTTTACTTCATGCACAAACTTTACCGTCAGGAAAAAGTCAGAGTAAAGCCACAGGGAAAAAAAATCTGGCTGTTTGCATTTATGCATGTGAGCCAACCTGCACAGACGTACTGAATCTACAGGAGTGTGGTGCAGGTAAGAGAATCATCTACCAAACTCTGGACTTTGAAAACAGACGCTAATGGATTATTTTTGAATAGCTTGAAAAGCAGCACCAGAAAAAATCAAAGTAAGAGGTCTAAATACTCAAACATTAAGACAGTAGTTCTCAGCCAATCAGAAAAAGTTTAACTCTTAAGGTTATTCGTGCAACTTTTGATGTCGCCCCCTGCTGGTTAATGGAAATTCTGCAGGATTAGCTTCACGTTCACGCTAAGAGGTTTCATCCTCTTCTTAGCAGACACAGACTAAACCTGACCTTTTTTTTCCCATCTTTTCTGTATTTTGAACAACATATAATATTTTTATATTTTGGTATTCTCTCTGACTGAAACACACAGCTGTTAACAGTGAATGTGCGTTTGCGCAGACTTACCTTTGGATATGAGGGGACGTCTCTGCGAGGAGTCAGCTTCTTGTTGTCTTCAAGAAAGTTACTGGAAAAAAAAAAAAACATAAAAGATTATAACTTGAGGACACAAAATGTAGATGTGTGTACAAGATATTTATGCAACATATATATGCAAACAAGTTAATAACATGTGGATAGCGAATGTTTCAGTCAGGTAATAATACAAACTTCTGCAAACACGATACTTTTTCTATCCACAAGATACTGACAGTTATTCTAGATAAGGTTTTGAGTCTTTTGACAAATTGTCTCTTAGTTTTAGTCAAACTTCAGTCTTTTTTTTGTCTTTTATAGTTTTAAAGAGTCAAAACATTAGTCGAGTTTTAGTCAACAAAAAGTTATTTGATTTTCAAGCGTCTAAATCTGAGATGTTTTACTCTCTCGGAAACTACAAGTAAAAAGAAAACATCTGTCTGTAAAACTCTGACTTTATTTACTTTCTTTGATTTCTCCTTTCTCATAACCCTAACCCTAATTTAGTCTGTTTGCAGTCATGCATTTCTCATAGCTCGATGAATCAGATGTTAGATTAGAGGAGAAAATATGAAGCAAAACTATATTCCTCAGAGATTTGGTCAGTAATAAACCTGTTTAGATGGTTTCATTGAAATAAAATGTAAAATAAAATTTGATCTCTATGAAAATAAATGAAAAAGTTAAAGTACAGTTAATAATATATCCCAATATTTCTGCTGGTTGATTAAATTTAAAGTGGTTTTCAAGAATGAGAGTTAGTTTATAGACGAAAAGGACGCCTAAATAATCATTAAATATTTGAATTTAAATTATTTACAAAAGCATTATTTATATAACTTCTCTTTTTAAATCTTATCAGACTCTATAGTTAAAAAAATAAAAGACATTCAGGATAAATATGTTAAAATGTCGCTGCAGTCTCAGCATGAAGATCAATAATGAATTCACCACAAACACTGTGAATATAAACCGTATTAGAGTTAAATGAGGCGGTTTTCTGTGAACCTGTCGATCAGGATCATCTGTCGCTCCCCTGATACTTCGTTAATGAGAAAAGGAGCTGAAGAGTAACTTCTGAACTCGTTATGTCTTTGTTAGGTCCCTCCCCCTGAGGACTAAAGCGTCTGTTGAGTCTCTCACCTGTTGTTTCTCGACGCCATCTCCTCCCGCAGGTTCTTGATGTCGTTGCGACATTTCTCGATCTCCACCACCTTCATCCCCTCCACTGCAAACAAACATAAAAACACAGATTATGACTTTAAAACCTTCACCTGCAGGTTATTTTCTGCCTCCTCATGTCTGAAGTTACTTTGAGCGCCTGGAGTTCGACTCAGATAAACTAAACGGCTCATGAGGTCGATACGCCCCTGCTGGAGCTCGCCCTCGCCCCCCGCCGTCATGTCATCCATTTTTTAAGCGGCCTCTGATCTGGAGTTTGAGTTTGTCTGTCTGCATTTTTCTGCAGCTGGTTAAGATGAAAACTTTCTGCTGAAATCTCTGCGAGTGCCTCTTAAAGTTCACTTTCATCTAAACCTGGAGCCGGAGAGCAGCGGCGGGGGGTTGGAGGATGTCTGAGAGTCGGTTGATTGGACTCTCTCGGTGACTCGGCGTCCTCCTCTGTCTGCCTCCTCGCTCTTTCATCCTTCCTCCTCCTCCTCCTCCTACTTAAACAGAAAAGGTCGCCTCCGACAACACTCCAGCTCCCGTTAGAATTGGTGACCATGGCGACCAAAGTGATGAGAGGATGGAGTATCTGTGTGGGCGCCACGCTGTTGCTGTAGCAACCAGGTATCGAGGCAATTGGCATGCCCGTGTGAAGTGGCAGTGCGTCAGATGTGAAACTACAACTCCAGTACAGGCTGTCAGGGCGAGTGGGCGCTCGGAAATAAAACCGACTTAATTCATGATGGAGTTTTGGCTCTCCACTCAGATCAGTCAGCTCAGTTTCTGAGAGTTTGACGGGATCAAAAGTGTCGATTTCAGCCCTCAGAGTCGCAATTTGATCTTCATTTGAATACCGACAAAGAGAAGTGGCGCCGAGAGACATTTCACTCCTCTGTTATTTCAGAATAAACGGCGTGTTGGAGCCGGACTATCGCACAATGTGAGAAAGAGAGTTAAAGCCCGGCTGCATCAGCGTCTACACGCTCTGTATCTGTGTCACATGATCAGAGTTTAAACACGCACGTGCAAATATGTCACAGTGATGTGACAGAAGAAGGTCCTGAGTTTAGACTCTGTTTTTGCATGTTGGTGTTAAAGCTGATGAACAACAGCCTGATATAAACAGGAGGATTAAATCTGACTGCAGTAAATAGACGAAAAGATCAGAATTATAATACGATTGATAATTTTGTTGTTGAAGTTTTAGGACTTCAATTTCTGGATTTTCAAACCTCACAAGGAGAAAAATCTTGTTATTTTATGTCAGATATTGTGCAGCCCGACCCTCTCAGTGACATTTCTAGATATTAATTTGAGGACAGGAAAAAATTGACTCTGTATTGAGAGTTTTTTCTGTGTCTTTTAGATCACATGATCAATCCACCTGCCCAAACCTTTGTTAATTTTAAAGCTGTAGAAGTCGTCAGTCAGTACAAATATTGAGGTACCATCCTGGATGACATCCTGGCGTCCATTTGAACCTTTTCTATGATATGTTGGTTTGGTAATCTTTTGAATATTTTGAATTTCCCTCTGGGATTAATTAATTAAAGTATCTATCTATCGGGGGCAGCAGCCTCAGGAGGGAAGCCCAGACGGCCCTCACCCCGGCCACTTCTACCAGCTCCTCCTTTAGGGGCCATTCCCAGGCGCTCTCAGGTCAGGTGAGAGATATAATCCCTCCATGAGGTCTCCTCCTGGTGGGACATGTCTGGAAAACCTCTAACTGGAGGCGTCCAGAAGGCGTCCTAACCAGCTGACTCCTCTCGATGTGGAGGAGCAGCGGTTCTACTCTGAGCGCCTCCCGAGTGTCCGAGCTCCTTACCCTATCTCTAAGGCTGAGCCCGGACACCCTGAGGAGGAAACCCATTTCGGCTGCTTGTATCTGCGATCTTGTTCTTTCAGTCATTACCCAAAGTTCACGACCATAGGTGAGAGTCGGTACGTAGATCGACCGGTAAATCGAGAGTCTCTCCTTACAGCTCAGCTCTTTCTTCACCACGACTGATCGGTTAAGCGTCCGCATCACTGCTGACGCCGCAAGAGCTGAAGGTCACTGCTCGACGAAGCTAGAAGAACCACATCATCACAGCAAACCCCCTCCATCCTCTGCACGCAGAATTTCTGCTTTTCCCGTCAAACAGAAGATTCACTTTTACTCGCAGAGCCAAATCAAACAGGTGTCTCAAATCCTTCGTCCCAACAGACATTGGTTTTTTAAAATAAGCTGTAGGTGAGACTGACGGGAACAACTCTCTGTGTTCATATGTATTTATTTACATTATTTCTGCTGTATGCTTCCTTTCTGTGTTGCAAACCAAAATGCTCTAAAGAGACATTAAAGAATTTCTGATCAGATCAGGATCTATTTAAAGTGATCATCAATTAAAAATAACATTCACAGCTCTCCGGACATCCGCGCTGTCTCTTCCTACACTGACACCTGTTGATAGGTTCACAGTTTGATTCTGCCTACAGTCAAGTCAAGGAAATCACCATGGTGACAGCAGCAGGCTCAGGTGATGTCGTCTTGGCGACAGAAAGAAGGGTTCGTATGAAAATGCAGCATCACATGTCGACACACGCGAGGAGGACTCGGAGAGATGACGACCAGACTCTGTGACACGCCGAGGAGTGTGTGTGTGTGCGATGACACGCGGTCTGGTGTGTGTGTGAACGCATGACGGGAGATGGAGCATCACATGCTGCCTGCACACGTGTAGAAACGCCAACGCGGTCGTGTGCGGAGGTCGAGGGAACACCAGCAGGTTTGCGTCATGACATGGGTTTTCCTCTCGAGTGCAAATTTCTTTACATCATAATTAGACGTCCTTTTTCAAGATCCTGCAAAAATTCTGATAAAAACACAAATTAAACTAAATGTTTTAAAAACCTTTGAGGATTTGGAGTTTGCTTGTCGTGCAACATGCAGGAAAAAGGAGAAAATTAAGAGTTTTTTCAACGTTTTTATGCTCAAAGTGAGAAAACGATGAAATAGTCCATTTAAAAAAAACTAATCTGACCTGCAGCTGCTTCCCTTCTGTTGTTCAGACTTAATATTTAACCACCCGACTAAACTTGACCTTTATCTTTAATCTCAGCCCTACCAGGAGGGATGTAAGGGTTCGAAAAATCACTGATTAAATGTTCCTGTGGCCGATTACTTCACCGGCTGGACTGCTGGGAACACTGAGACCTATTAAATAATAATAAAAAACACATGATGGGGCATCATCGCAGTCTGGCGATCTATCATAACGCCTTTATTGATTGCGTTTTATAACTGGAGTTTATCTTCCCGAGGGCCGAAACGACAGCAGGTACAAACTGAGCTGAGGAGTTAACGAGTCGGCAGCCTCAGACGAGCGAACTTCCTCCTCGCAGTTCATAAAACCACAACAGTGATAGTGGTCAGCTGAGGAGTCAGACGCTGCGCCGAGCGCCGTAAAAGTGATGAGACGATCCTAAATTCACAGTAAAGGGGTTAAAAAGTGGTCAATGTTCAGTAGATCTAATAATAACAGGAGGTCAACAGCCTCTGGAGAGGAGAGTTAGCAGACCACATAACCCACACAGCAGTAACTTATCTAATCACACAATCATAAACTCTGCAGGAACACAAGTTCAGACAGCATGCACTGAAGGCATGCATGAGGGTCGACCGTCCTTTAATCCACCATCAACATCATCAGTCTAAACATCACTGCGTGGAGCTTTAACTTCAAACACCTGCAGTTTTTATTTAGCTGACACACTAAGACGTGTGAATCACAAGGATATATATCAATAAAATCATGTTCAGATGGTGCAAACATGCTTAAAAAACTCCATCCATACTCATCCTGTTACTCTAAGACACTAATCTGCTCTTGTTTTGTGTCTGATCGCTGAGATGAGCTGTCAGCATCTCTGAATAACATCAGAAGAGTAACTGCAGATCAAGTCTTTCTCTTGTTTATATTTTAAAGCTGATCACACTCGTATGTGTTGTTTATAATCAGACAGACTTACACTCGACCCTCTTTTCCAACATGGCGAGACGGTTTGTGACCTCGGTCTTCAGCTCGTTGATTTTGAACGCCCTGCAGACGGCGGAGACAGAGACAGAGAGGAAGAAAGAAATGAGTTCAGTGAAGATCAGAGTCTGAGACTTTGATCCGTGACAGCAATAAACAGACTTGTTGTTGTCTTGTCTTTACACCTCCCTGCTGCTCGTAGATATTTACAGCTTTGAGTGTTTTTTAATACGTCTTTTCCAAAACTGCTCTGCTGTATGTTTTCTGACTTATAGCAAAACTTACTGCAGTTTGTCAATGTGAACAACAGCTTCCATTACTTTGCATCACACTTGATGTTTATAGTCAGGCGCGTCAAAATTCACCTCTGAATATTTTGTAATTTCGCATCGTATATTTGCGTCGTTCCTGGTGTGTAAGGACCTTTATGAGGGGAAAAAACAGACTATAAATGTTTTGTAGGGTTTTACTGATGTGATAACGTAATTTTAAATTGATTAAAGGAAAGATCGAATTGATCGTATCAAACTGAAACTGATCGTATCTTATCATATCTGATTATATCCTATTATATCTTCTCATATCATATCATCATATCATAACAGTATTATGTATTGTTCTTTTATTGTTATATTGTTATTTTGTTTGGTCAAATGTTGCCAATTTACTGTAACTCATACCTGGTTCTTTCTGCTTCAAACTGAGTTAATTAGTCGTTAATTCGTCCATATTTCAGTTGTTTTTAACGTCCTTAAAGTCATCTTTGAGTAGTCCATGTACCATGATACATGTCTGCTTATTTCCCTTTGATACTGACACAGTTATCTACAGCACAGTGTCGTCTCCGTGGTCGATTATCTCCTAATCTCATGTCGGGTTGTTTCCTTTGCACTGTTGGACTCCTGCCCCGTCCAGTAAACATCTCCTCTACAAACCAGTAGTTTACTGGTGTCACCCAGTAAACCTCACTGTGCAAAATGTGAAGAATGAGGGTCCTGAAGCAGTAAATATGTGGAGACAGTCGGGAAACCAAGGGTCACTGCAGGGAAGAAACCCTTGTAACTCTTATTTTGAAGGATTAATTGCTCCTGTATAAGTCAAGGCCGACTCCGGCGGTTATGAAACACTCGGGAACCTCTGCTGGTGATGACGTCACTGCGCTAATACTGATTACAGTAAACTGATAATTGTTATAACCTTTCCTTTTCCTCATGGAGATAAATCTGTCTTTTAATTTTCACATACCTGCGTGTTATGTAATTAAATCGAAGACTTTTATTCTCCTATTTCACAGCTAACATAACAAAGAAGTGTTATAACCACACTGAACTGAAAGGATGTTTCTCCTATTGTGCATTTAAATGTTGTCTGTATTGTAAAACATTACGGTAAAATACTTTGGTTTAGCTCCATACAACTTCACTTTACTACTCTATAAAACACAATATCTATACTATAGAAAATAATAAGTTTTAATATATGTTATCTACAAAACAACATCATCCCAGAGAATATAATATAAAACTAAAGTGCTAATATGAAACTACATAAAACTGGACTGTAAGATAAAGTACGATTCAGTACCTTAACATATTATACTGTATAATTATATTCTATAATACTGAAACTATAAACTATACTGACGGATATACCAAAGTGTACAACACTACATGATAAAATATGATACGGTCTGATATTAGATGATTCAGTTAAATATGAAAACATGTAATTTTGTCCTATTTGAGTCGACATGATAAAACTGGACACCGAACTTTAGGATATGAAATAAAAACATTTGATACGATGAAATTTCAGACAGTACTATATGATAGTATAAAAAAATATTACAATATAAAAACAATAGGATATATGAAGTGATAGGACTTTTATGTATACTATTTACTTGTTTGTCTTTTTTTATTATTATTATTATTATTATTATTATTATTATTATTATATAGGGAACAATGATACAATTCGACTTATGAAAGACAGGATACACAAAGAATTACGACATTGTGATAATATGCTCTATAATACAGAACAACATATGACAGGATTAAACAATAAGCAACATAACTGACATGACACAACATGAAACTATATAAATTAATATGTTAATGATACAGAACACTCAGTGTGTCCTACATAAACTCTGTTTATTAACTTGTTTTCGTCATTTTTAGATGTTTTTCCTCGTCCTCGTCTCTTTCGCATTTTTTCATGTTTACCATGTTCGCTGAAACTCTCTCTGGTGTCTTCTTGTTAAAATGCACTTTAATAGATGGCTTTTAAACGTCTAGTTTTTTTAGACCTAATTTCAACCGTTTAGATTCTGTATATTTTCAGACAGAATTTAGACGTTGCACTTTAACCCATTATTCGATGACTACTTCAAATACTTCACCAAAATAATTATGACAGCCATAGTTTAGATACAGTCCAGATTTAGACTTAGTCTAAACTTGGTTTAGATTTAGATGTTTAAAAAACTTAGATTTTTAGACCTGTGGTAGTCTGATTTAAGATCGGTTGTCTAGGCTACATTTAGACGTCTATTAGACCTCTATTAGACCAAAAACGCTCAGTGGGTTATCATTAAATCCACTTTGTCTTTGCTTTGTGTTCTTCCTCTGACTTTGTTTCAGCTGACTGGATTTGTTTGTACTTTCACGTTCACTGACCTATTTTCAGGTTCAACAAACTCACCTCCATATATGAGCAATCGGATGGAGGAATCTAGGTTTCTGTGCTTTGGTTTGATTACTCTAAACTACTAAAAAAGAGATAGTGCGTTGTCATTTTACTGCTGTGCAACTATCACAACAGGAGGGAACTCCTCTTTTTCAGTCGTAAATCGAACATGCACTCAGTCCAGCTGCTTCTCTGCAATCGTTTCACTGTTTTTAGGTCATTTATACCAGAAGGATTCATCTCCTTTTGGTGGTTTAAATATTTTACAATTTTCTTGAAAACGCAGAAAAAATGCAGCAGATTTATCTTTTTTACATGTTAGTTTGCACAAAAAAAACTAAAAAGCAAACTGGAAACAGTCAACCAGATGATTATGGACGAATAATCAAATTAAGAGAGGAGTTTTTTTGATGCAAACTGCAGATCGTTGCACTCAGACACGATTGAAAGCAGCAGAGAGAGTTGCAGTCTCGATTCGCAGAGACAATACGAACACGTCTGAAAGCCTGAACACAATCAGTCGACTCCTTACCTTGAAAACTGCTCGGCCACTTGCGTCAGTACATTCTGAAAGAGTTCCTCTTTATCTGCGGAGAGAAAGCGTGGAGCTGTTACATATAAACACACCCACACACATGTACACACACACACACACACACTCACACGCACTGTAGGAAGGACCACACACACAGGTGTAAACAGGTCGGATCCAGCACAGCCGCAGATTTATCACTATAAAGACAATAAATGTAGAAGCAGAGAGCATCTGTGTCCCTTTCTTCTTCACACTCACTTTCTCCTTCACAAACATACCGTCATGAAAACACGCAGAGTTTGTCTCAGCCAATCACAGAGCGGCGGACCGCCAAAGCAACAGATGGCCCGCGCCGAGAAGTGAGAAGATAAATGATAAATAAAATGTGCCTCTTTTCCTCCGCTCTCACCATCAGCGCCCGGCACAGAGACAAGAGGGAACTGGCTGACAGCTTGATGTGTTAACAAGCCACTTCTGATTTCTGTTCCCACACAGCGAGAGCACACAAACAAAGCCCTGCCATTGGCTGAGAGCGCCGCTGTTGTGGGCAAAGTCCAACGCCGTGTGCCAATAATTTCACAGCGACGAGAAATTGTAAAAAACAGGAGAAAGGATATTGTTCAGGCGCTCACGGTCCGTACATTGTGTCACACACATTCCATCTTTCATGCAGAGGTCAGAGGTCACAGCAGACTGGGAACAACGCTGTTGAAAAATTCCTCTCAGTGATTAATTAAACCGCCGCTGCCGCAGCAGCCGGAGTGACTAAGAGGACTGGAGCGCCACAGGCACGCAGCTCTCAGGTGTCTCATAAAAATAACTCAATTATGACTTTACACGAGCTTCACTCCGAAAATAAAAAACACGAGAGTCTAAAACTTTCCATGAAAAAACACTGAAGCTGCTTTCTTCCTCGTGGCCAGCAGGGGGCGAGTCAAAATGAAATTGTGTAAAAATCTTGCAAAATATGAGCTGATTTAATCGCTCTGTAAACATTTTGTAAAAGAAATTTAAGTCCAAGTCTGGAGTTCAAAGTCTTCCTCAATACAGTGAGATGTTGATTTTGAAATTGACGGTTCCTTTAAAGAGTTAAACAGAAGTTAATCAGATTATACGGAGAGATTACTGAGGTAAACTAACAAAATATCATGTTCAGCATCCTGATCTAATGAATAAAAACACTTTCAGTTTTCATATCACGACTGTTCTGGTTTCTTTTTGTAGTTTGGTGGTATTTTAGAGAGAGTGCATTGACTTTAGACCAAAAAACAATCAGTCTCACGCACTGGACTGTGCTCCTACGACCACAATCAGAATCAGGTTTACTGCCACATGATGGGAGTTTTTCCTTTCATGCTAAAATAGTCAATCAATAAAAATATTTAAAAAAAAAAAACTCACGTTAAGGTAAAAAGCTCTGAAAAAAATTACAGGCACTAAACTGTAAAAATGAATCTAAATTTGTCAAAGAGCAGGATGAAAATGTTCATTTATAAACGATTCAGCTTCAATCTCAAAAACTCTGGATAGATCTGCATATAAGTGTGGATTAAAGTTTCCTCTTTAAACGCTGTTTTAGCTCTTAACTCAGGTTTTTACTCACGCCTAAGAAAAAGGGAACACTCTGCAGACAAAGTTGAGGTCTGAGTCCATTATCTTTTGAATCTTGAATTATTTTCATCTAAATAATAAAATATTTTAAAGTAAAATGCAATCTCTGAAACTGTCGTACATCACTATCTAAGTTAGATATTCTGTGTTTAATGATGCACCGCCATAATTGATGTTATCTTTTCTGCACTTTCTGATGATTTTAACAGAAATCTAAAACTCTGCGTTCATCACATTCTCATGACCAAAAGCAGGATGGATGTTTTTGAAACATCTTTCGCCGTCAGATCGAGGCTGGAGTCGTTCACCGCCGGTCCAATAATAAAAGCCAAACATTAACCTCAACGATCCACCGTGAACCGGTTTTACGCTGCTATAAAGTCAAAGAAAACACAAAACAAGCTCTATCTAAATAAGAGGAGTATAAAAGTACTTTAAATAAGGCGAGCACTCATGTGGGGCTCCCCCTCAGCTCTGATCCACTTCCTGTTTAAGTACAGCGATTGATTTTTTAGTTAAATCCAAAATGTCTTTAATAAATGAAATTAGGCTGCAAACATGTTTATTGGATTCTCATAAAAATCTGAAAATCCCATACCTTCAGTTTCTAATGATAATTCTTAAATGATCTATATATTGATCGATCATGGAGGAAATAGAGATCCTGCGGTGAGTGGTGAGCGACTGTCACGGCTGATAAAAATCTTGATTTAGGTTGTTGTGAACAGACGGAGGAGGAGGAGGAGGTCAGTGTCACTGATGTTCTGTTAAGTTTCCATAAAATGACTTTTATGGCTTCAAAGTACTGAAGAGAGTAAATCAGTAGTTTTTATAGGTGTTTGGCAAGGTGTGTGTGTTTACGTGTGCATGTGCTAAAAAAGTAAACCTGTGCAGACGGACCAACGTAACTCCTGGTGGAGTTAGTCCTCGTTTGGTATCATTTTTATCAGGATGTATTTTACCGCTGCTTGTTGACACTGTGGCAAAAATGTTAGCGTCAACACGGAGGATATTCAGTTTAAAACACCGACAGGAAAACGCCGATAATTCGATTATAAAAACTCGTTTCTGGAGCCGGAGACAAACACCTGCTTCCAGGATCAGATCACACTGAGGTTTGTGTGTTTGTGTGCGTTTAGTTCCCAGAACTCACCTGCGAGCTGTCCTCCAGTCAGTGGAACCACTCTGTACGGTGACCTTCAACACAGCAGGACACACACACACACACACATACGAGTTAGTTATGAGAGCAGAGCTGGTGAGACACTAAAGTAAACCCCCTCGTTCGTCCTCTGAGCAGACACGCTGTACTTTTCCTCCAGCTTCAAAACACACACACACAAAAGCCCACACACACACACAGGCACACACACACACTCACACCTGCAGCGACACACACACTGTTTACAAGGAAGATTAACGACGTTCAAACGGTGTTTGACAAATAAAAGGTTCAGATTTTACCCTGAGATAAGATAGCGAACGTGAACACACACTCTGACACACACACTCTGACACACACACACTGACACACACACACTCCTTTGTAACCATCCAGCCAATGCAATCCAGCGTCAGGTCTCAGATTTCAGGTTTGAGGTGAACCTGGTTGAGTTTACGTCTCTTGAACTTTTTGTTCTTCTTGTTCTGGTGAAGGTGGAAACTTTTGGATGAGCCTGCTCTATTTTTTCTCTCTGCTGTGAAAATTTCCACTCCACAGAGAAATGAAACTGTGATTGTCATCTTTGGAAAGGATGGGAAAAAGTGCGACTCTGCTTTGATGGAAAAATTCAGGTACTTTTCAGGAACTGACCACATTTTTAAATCTTGTAATCAACGCCTCCATCGATTACGTAAGCTCAACTCCTTTGGAGACAGTCTATAAGAACCTCATAGAGGGAATCTTTACCTTTAACATGGCGATGTGGTGTTGTAACTTAAACACAAAAGGCAGATGAAAGCTGCAGAAAATAGTGAATATAGCCTCAAAAATCATCGGGAAGCCACAGAAACACTTCAGCTGTATCTACAAGGAAGTAATTAGGTAAAAAAAGCTGTTAAGATAGTTAACAATCCTTCTCACCAACTGTACAGTGAGTTCGTTTCTTTTATGGTTCACTTATTACCAGGTAATTAACAGGTAATTACCTAGTAACAACATGAAATTATCTGGTAATTACATGATAACTACTAAGTCAATACTGTCTAGTTTTTCTTTTTTCCTTTTTGGGGTTCTTATTTTCTATGATTGACACTTGATACAGCCCATGGGCGTGTGAAGATTGCGTAGCGATACGCTGTTTGAGCCGAGCATTATCACAGCGACTCACCCGCCGAATGCGTACAATGCTACTGCACAAGTGGTGGTTCCAGGAAGCGGCGAAAATCCTGGAAATACCAGAGCAATTCAGCTTCAAATTTGTATGATGATGGAGGGTTACCTACCTGGTAGCTAGACAGTATTGACTTAGTACTTATCATGTAATTACCAGATAATTTCATGTTGTTACTCGGTAATTACCTGTTAATTACCTGGTAATAAGTAAACCGTTAAAGGAGGCGTTACCAGTTCGTTATACTTCGTTCAGGCAGACGTCTGACGTCTATGTCTCGTTACATCTGCCTGTTATCTTCAGTCCATGCCGCTGTTGTCCTCCCTCTGTTTTGTGTGAATTTGTTGTGTGTCTGTTGCTGCTACCTTGTTGCTGTTGATCTGTTTTTGACACGATGAGACTAAAGACAAATTTCCACTTGTGGACAATAAACGAACGAACAAAACCTTGGCTCGGTGTTTAGATGACTAAAATCTGCTCCTTTAGATTGTTTCAGCTGGTACTTCTGAATCACGTTTGGGGGAAATTAACCCGACAGAAGCTGAGATTAGTTTTCTGCACATCTAAAGGCGGATCTAAATACACCGCTCTCTTTATAAAAGCGAATGAAAACACCTTTTTTGTGTGTCTGGTGGCTTTAAAAGGAGTTTCTAATTTTAAAAAATCGTCTTCATCTTAAACAAAAAGGTCTGCCTCAGCAGGGATCTGACATTTAGAATAATAGTCAGAGTCTGGCAGAGGCGACAAAAACAAGAACTTTTTATGGACAAACTTTGATGAAAAGTTTCTTTGCAGTTTTATGATGAGTGTCGTTCTCCTGAAATCGTCGCTCACACAGTCTCTCACAGTTGCAGCCTCTCCCTATCTCCCTTTTTCTTTGTCTGCATCTAATTGGAATATCTCTAAATAAATGTTTATATATTGAAACAAAGTCCCTCGTAAAATGGAAAACAGTAACCCAAAGTCAGAGAGGAGCGGAGTCATTTCTAAGAAAGGTCGTCGGCTGTAATCGCATGAAAATAAAAAGTTTGTTCGTCACTGTTTCCCAGAAAGAAAAGACATTTGCATGAGCAGCGCTGAACATGTGGAACAAACTGTCCTGTTAACCAAATTTAGATCCGCTCTACATGAAAATGACAGAAAGGATGTTTGCGAAGTCAACAGTTTATTCAGCTCAGTGAAAAGTGTTTGCTCTTATTTTCATTTGCACACCCTGAAAATTTCAGGAAAGTGTATGTGCATGTGTGACTACAGCTAACAGCTTTTAATGAACTCCGTACAGTCGTGCAAACCCGTATTTAAGAGCCGCTCACCGTGATGTTGTTACAACAGCCGAGGAGAGCGGGGGGGGGGGGGGGGGGGGGTGACACAGGGATTTACAGTCAATCAGCAAATGTGTCCTTCACTCTTACAACCAGCTGCTGGACTGAGCAAACGTTCGGTCGAACAATCAATGAATCAATAAAGACATCAGTGCTGATGCAGCTTTTTCAATACCTCTCTGTGTTGTGCGGCATGGTGGGGTCGATGGACACCATTGCTCCGGAGGAATCCAGCAGGGTCAGATTCGTGTTCCTGCATGTTGACAAAAACATGATGATAATACGTCATGATGAAGTATTTCACAGAATTGTAAACAACACAGATTAGATTAATCACTTCTATCTCTATACCTTCTACTTTTACTCGTATGTTGCCCCCACTCGAGGAGCCTGACTAGTTCTCAAGAGCCTTAACCTGAACCTTTAGTCTGCAGCATCCTCTGATCGAGTCCAACTCGCTTGTCTTATACAGTTTGAACTAAAAACTCTATTCAAAATGATTTGACGGACAGCTCTGTCGACCAATGAGGCTCAAGCCGCTCAGGGCGCACCAGATTATCAGAGAAGAGGAGGAACAGTGAGAGGAAACGTAATTAACCTGAAACTCAAGAGTCATTAAACAAGTTTCCGAGGAGCAGTATTAGACTGTAATTGCAGTCAAAGGACTGTGTGACCTGTTATTAGTAATAAAGCAGCGCCTTAATAAGCTTACTGTAATACTGTATTTATCACACATCATTAGGATCTTATGGCATCATATGTCCAGATGAACAGGAACATTTTATTCATGTGGGTTAATTATCACTGAGCTGTTAACAGGCTACCGGAGATAATTAACCGCAGAGGTGTGTGTGTGTGTGTGTGTGTGTGTGTGTGTTACCTTGGCACGCCCAGCGCTGTACAGAACAGCTCTTTAATGTCACACGGGCTGCAGAATCTGCTGAACACCACCTGAGGCAGGAAACAAAGAGACACTGATGAGCACATATGACTTATAATCAGTCTGTCAGCTTCAGCGCAGACTCCGTAACCTAAATATGAAATCTGCAGATGATAAAAAACAATAAACTAGTTTTGCTCGGTGTGTAAAAAATACTCCCAATAAGCAGAAACCGTCGTCCTCAACACTGTGTCTTTGGATCTGAATCCAATATTTGGCCTTTCGCTGCAGGTCATCCCCCCTCACTCACTCTCTTCCCAATATTTTCTGTCTCTTTCTAGCTGTCAATATCGGCAAGAGTGGCCACAAAAATAGTTCACAGGATCAATGTGGGTTTAAGGTTTCCTCTAATGTTAAAAAAAAATTGTTAGGGGTGTGTGGCTAAAATTAGAAGTTTTGGGCGTTTTTTTAATATGAACCGATGAGCTGAAGGTGTTGTGCCCAGCAGAGGAGCACAGCCAGGGGGCGCTGTGACAGATCTCTGCAAGTCTCTAATTCTGGAGAAGTAATTCACAAAAACACCGGCAACTGAAAACACAAACAACAGGATATCCCAAACAGGTAAAGCTGGGTATGATACGATATGACACAATACGAAAATGACACAACACGGTTCGATATAACACAATACTATACAATACATTTTGATACAATATAATATGATACGATACAGAACGATATCATATGATACCATGGGACACAACATGGTATGGTATATGATATCATATTTGACATGATATAACACTATAAGATATAAATATATAGATATACAGTATAGTATGACACTATATGGTACTATACTTTACAACACGATAGGAAACGATATGACACCTTCCAATAAGATATAACAGAACTTGTTTCCAAATAATGAGTTACAAAACATTACTATTACAATAAGATACAAATTAAGATAATTCAACATGCAGTGTGATAGTACAATACGATATATTAGGATATGCTATGTTTCAGAATAATATGTCATGCTACAGTATTTTCACAACATGATATGATCCAATAGGAACCTTCCTGATAGAATAAATGATTCATTATAAAACAATAGGATATGATACATTATGTTTCTGCTACATTACATTACACTGAGTTACAATAAAATTCAGTGAGGTACAATATGATGTTTTAATGTGTTTGACTTCTTCAGCATCAGTCGTCATAAAAAGGAAAAACACAAACTATCTTCACGTCAGCAGAGAACCCTAATGCTGCAAATGTTCTTCACAGCACTTCTTTTTATATATATATACTGTATATACAAACAACATGTGATATTTCACAGCCCCCACACCTCTGAGAAACATTAACTGAGGCAGATGCAAATGAGTCTCTAAAGTGGTTCAGTTTGCATTTGGGAGCTTTGTATCATCTGCCAGATGGTGAAAGATACTCAGAGAGAAGGATGAGGGACGGGTCAGAAAACACTCTCTATGCTCGCCTGAGTCCAGACGGCTCGATCGACTTGAAGGATGGGTGTTTATTTCTCTCTGTGATCTACATGGAAGTCTCTGCGAAGAGGAGAAACTCTGGTGCAGAGACACTGCCTCACCACGCTTACTTATTAAACCTCAGCAGTCCCTCTGCGCCAGGATATCACAGCCTTCCTTCCTCCTCTTACTGCAGTCACCGTGTGTGAAAGTGGAGCAATCAACCACTGGGGAAAAACTCTGGAGCCTAAACGTGAGGGCTTCCCACGCTCCAGGCTCTTCCTCTGATTAGAGAGCGAGCAGGCTGCAGCTCAGCCACAGTAAACATTCTTCATCATCTCCTCTCCTCTCGCTGCTTCATAAACAAGGTCGAACCCCGTCTCGGGCTGATTTGTGTCACGCCCCGACATATAGAGCGAGGGATGACCCACATAGATAACGCAGGCATCTACATGTGATGGCATCACGAACAGCCGAGTGGGAGTGAGAGGTGACCGGGGAAGACAAGCAGTTTGAGGGGGGGAGTCAGGGAGGAGGGGGAGGGTCTAACGAGGGCTGTCAGGAAAGCGAATGAAGAGATGATTGTGGAGGAGGAGAAAGGTCAAAGAGCACTTCAGCAGTCTGGCCGTGGCAGCCTGTCACAGGTGGAGGAGACAGCGGCTGGTGGAGGTCACTTCACCAACATCACGCATGCAGTTAATTTTATTCCTGCTCTCAAACACAGCCGGACAGAAGATGTGTTTTTTTTTTTTTTATATATCTAAGCGTTAGATTTGTTGAATTTTATGTTGCATAATTACTCATGATTCAGTGCTAAGCTATTATTTCCTCCTACATGGTTTTTTATTGTCACAAAAGCCACAATTCCATCCTCACAAAGCATGCTGGGTGTAAAAGCACTCAAGCTACCTGCTGTTGTTATCCTCAAAAACACCAGAAAAACACCCCCCAGGTCCTGCTTTTAAATATTTTAGGCTTCAAAATGTTTTGCAAAATTGCTCCAGCGTGTTTCATCAACCGGCAGTCACAAAAACAGGCCCGATTCTGATCAAAATCTGTCCGCTGAAAGTTTCAGTTTTTGTCACTGACAGAATCAAACTGTTATTTTAAGTGTCTGAAAACTCTGCAGGAAGGATCCCTGCAGAGAAAGACCAAGAGAGGCTTTTAAGACCAGAAACTGCTGCAGCTACAGTCACGCTCCTAAAAGCCACCAGACAATCTACGAGTCCTCTACACTCTTAATTATTATTATTTTTTTATTCTTTAACTTTGGAGGTTCTGAATAGAGTTACCGAGGGCAGTAACTATGTTTGCATGAATGCCGTTTTTCCTCTGTTATTTTATCATTAACATTGTGATTGTATATGAGTCACGTACCATTTATCCAGACAGCATATATCCCAAATAAGATCATCAGGACACACAGCTCTACACACTTGTCAGAAATGTTGACTTGATCCGCAGTTATCTAGGATGTGTCTTCATGTCAGAGCACGTCTGTGTTGTTTGACAGCAGCCACAATGACAAGGATAGGGCTGGGCGACAAACCAAAAATTTACCAATACCAAAATTCATGATAATAACCGACGTAATTTTGCCCATATTGGTATGTTTGGTCTCAAAAAAAAAAAACTATATATATATATATATATATATATATATATATATATATATCAGTGGCGATTGCTCTAAGACTGCAAGGGAAGCTCGGCTTCCCTTAAAATGTCACCCCCCAAAAAAAAGAAAAAGTGGTGAAATACCTACGGCTGTGTGTACATTTCATTAACTAAATACGCGCTAGAAAGCCTTCATCTTTTGTTCAGACACTGTGATAAGAAGCTGATAATTATAGGTAACCGGCATAACTTCGTTCTCATTCATCCTCGCAGCGCCTCAGCGCTTTAAACAGCCGGACGCTGGGCTTCTGCTGACTTCAATGTGGAAGCTTAAAGTGGGTTGTTCCAGCAGCGAAACTAGACGCTCATTGGATAAATGCTGGGCTTTGTCCCGCCCATCGGAAGCCCAGCTTCACTGGAGTTCTATGGCGAGAGGGCGGTCCCGACTTTCTCCCGGACTCCGAACTTCTGCATCCATGATTGGATGAGCTGTCTGAGACGAAATCCTTTTTTGATTGACAGCTAAACAAGCGAATCAGCGATCTTGAAGAATAAAACATCTACCAGAGCATTTTCCAAGTTATTCATTCCGTTGTTCTTAACTGCTCCGGAGACTTTACCGATCCTCAGCGACTTTTATCTTTGTTAAAAACAACTGCCGTTGTGTTTGACGACTCTGTTCTGTTACATACTAATAAACAAATACAATTATGATGTAGGCCAGAAAAATGAGCTTCCCCTCATTGAAAGACCAGCAGCCGCCACTGATATATATATATATAAGTTGGTGTGTAGGTAGGCTATGGTCCTGTCTTAAGTCAGAGACGTGACTCCACCCCATCCAGTCCGTAACAAAGAGGGAAAGACAGGTGAGGAGATGGAGGACGGTTCAAAAGTTGTAGCAGCTGAAGTAGACGAAGTTAATGTGGGAGGGGGTGAGCAGCTTGTGGAGTAGTTATTGTTGATTTATCGTTATCGCGGTGAACTGATCAATATATCGTGATATTGATTTGAGGACATATCCTTTCCTCTTGTTTTCTTCTTCTACTGTAAAAGGATGTGACTGAGAGGGAGGGTGATCATCAGATTATGAAGTACATCTGCAAAGACGACTGGAGAACTATCGGAGAAAAGAAGAGATGGTTTATATCTCACTGTTTTATCTGGAATATGATGATACTCATGATGTAAACAGGAATATTCCCAAACCACTTATTCCCAATTTGGCCTCAACAGAATTATGGGTCTTAATTGGTACGCAGTGTGCGCATACCAATTAAGGACTTCCCCCCGACTGTAGAGTCTCCTCTGTACTCTGATGTAAATGCTGGACCCTTAAGCCCGCAATTAACCCAAACAACATAAGAGCCCTGTTCACAAAAGAGTACATCCAACAGAAGAAAGCCAAACCTTTAACCCTAAAGCTGGAGAACCAGAACTCCAAGAAACCCAAAAACCACTTACAAAGAACCCGAACAGCATGACTAAGACAAACTCAACCATCGTAAATAACTCAAACAGCATAATTAGGGAGGTCCATGTTTGTTGTCAGCAACAGAACTAGAACGACTAAACCGATCCAAAGGTCCGGTCTTATTTGGGCTACTGCTCTGGTTTATCAAATCCTCTACTATCTGGATGTAAACACGTACAGATGAAGTCTCATAGCGGTGAATGGTTGAATAGCTGTGTCACTCAACCTTAGCATTGTGTAACGAGCATTAAAGGAGCAGTCTGTGTAGATATTAGCTGAAAATTATACTTATAAGTAGATTTAAATCACCTGAATATAAATATTCTCTGATGTATATTCTGACATTATAATAAAAAGATGGATGAGATGCAATAGTGAGGACTCTGTCTGTGTTTTAAAGGCTCTCTAGCGCTCACAGCATGTTTACCTCTGTGGTGAAAAATGGAGTCCGGTTTACAGTGTTGCTGTGTGAAAGTGTGTGAGTGTTTCATCAGCTTTAGGCTCGTCAAAGAGAGAGAAACCCTGAACAAAATTAAAGCAATAGATGAACAAGAGGGCTTTAGAGTGAGACTGAAGCAGTAATGACGACAACATAAAGAAAGATAAAAGCTGAAGGATAATTACGAGCATAATAATAGATAAAAAGCAGTAAATTCCCCTTTGGATTCCTCTTTATATTAATCAAGGTTTCCAATTAATAGCAAGTATACGCTGCTCTTTGTTTCTTTATTTACTCTTCCCTTCTGAGTTGTGTAAATGTTAAAGATGATAAAGTAATGAGATTAATTTCTGAACACAAGGAGGTTTAAGAGGAACCAAAGAAGGAACAAAGATGATCTGGAGAGAGTCGGCTGAATGTAAATGAGAGTGCAGCAGCAGCAGCAGCGGTACTTCGTCCTGTGGGATATGATGACAGCTCCTCTAATGCTCTTTCATTGTTTTATTATTTGTTCAAACAGCACTGAGTCCCTGTTTCTGCACCAAAAATTCTCCTCTGAAAAATACTCGTATTTTAACATGTTCAAAAAAAAGCAAAGTATTTTTTTAATTTCCCCTTTAAAACCAAAATGGAGCACGCTCCCGTTTTAAGATGCCGCAGCTGATTTCAATAACAAACCCCACTTTATCATAATCACTCCCCTGCTGCTGCTGCATGCAGCGCTTAGGATGATGATCCTGCACAATACACCAGCTTCAGCCACTGTTATGCTAATAGAAAACAAACCTGTGCACGCTCACCAGAGCCTGATTATCCTTGGACAACAAAAGGGCCAAAAAACACACAGAATGCGGGGGTAAAGGTAGAGCTGAAGAGGAAGCAATAACACAGAAAACAGAGCTGAATATGCAGCAGACCGGGACGTAAACACACATCTGCACACTGTATTGATTTCCAAACCATCCTTTCATCATATTACAGCAACATTTATGCATGCAACCTTCTCATCCTACCACTAATCTAATATTTCAGCCGGATCTGGGTGACCATATATGCCCTTTAGCTTGTGTTTGCAATTCAAGCCGAGCAACAAGTGACCAAACAACACGCAGCTCAATATTATCGACAGTCAACACTGAAGATCTACTGCAGGAAACATCTGTGCACACAAAGGTACAGACAGTGGTCCACAAAAGGCAATCCACCTGCAATTAACCTCGGATGACTGGGAGGGAAAGGCTGCGAATTTGTCAAAGTCGAAAAGAGAATAAAATTTTACTGAAGGGAACGTGAAGCGAGATCAAAACTTAGAAGCAGCAGGAGGAAAGACAAAAACAGATGACACTTTCTGCAAAAGCATGGCTCTGTAGTAGAAGGGTCCAGGTGCTTAAAGGGAAATTAATTTAGGGTCTAACACACTGTAACACAGAGTTAGACACCCCCTCGAGAGGTGAGTGTTGCCGACCGCTTGCTTCTCTAGTTATACCAACTTTAGTGACGACTGCAGGTGTGTTTGACCCTAAACTAATTTTACCCCGGAATATCCCTTTAACCAAAACCCCTGCAGTCCTGACTTGTCACCTACTGAAAACCTTTGGTGCGTCAGGAAACTCTGAACTCTCAAGCAGCTGAAATCTCATATCAGACAAGAAGTCTCCCTCAAAACTCCAGAGACTCTCAGTATTTAATTCTATTTTATTTCTCAATCAAACACAATAATCTAAACCTGTCCACTGAGCTGTTTTGAGTCATTTTAGCAAGAAGAAGTACACCATGAGGAAAAAACCTGCTCTGTGTGAACTCTTTGAAGAAGACACAAGGTGTCAATGAGGCATAAACCTCATTATATGGCCTCTTTTATGAGACGCCATTCCTCCTCCATTATTGGTCCGTCAATGTAAACAGAGCTCAGGATCAACCCGCGAGAGCAGAGCTGCTCTATCAGCTGTAATGAGATGATGAGCTTCAGTGTGGAAGAGGAGCTACACGTGGTTTTGACTGAAGGACTGTGTTTAATAAGATCACACTTCAGACCGGACTACATCTGGATGTTCTTGTGGAGTTTGTGTTTCCTGTTTTTGAGGTCAGGGTCGAGATTTTGGTCATCTTCCATTTTAAGGTTCATTTTCCCCTCATGACAAACCCTTTACCTCTGAGGAACTTATAGTTAGTGTCAGCTTTGGCGCCCTCTGTGGACAAAGTAGTAATATATAATGTTGTTGATCGTCTTGTTTGCTTTATAGTATCATAAAGATGAATTTCAGTCTGTTTCACAGGTGCCAAAAAAACTCCTCTTTCAAAACTTTCACATCATTTTTGATTTGCTAATGTTTTCCAGATCCATTCTTTTGGTTTAAAACAAAACAAATTTTATATTCAGTTTTATGTGAAAATTTTATCAATATTTTTACCTTTTTTTCTGACATTTTATGAGCAAAAAGTTTGTAATTGAGTTTGTTTTAAATTGTGTCTTAAAACTTTTGTTTCTTCCTTTTGGCCTTTGACCCAGAGTAAGACTTCAACTGTCCGTCTTTGTCTTTCATTATCTTAATTTTAAGTGCTTATTTGTCTTGTGTATTTTACTGTATTTTTGGTATTTTAAGTTGCTTTGAAAGACTTCAGTTAACTTTGTTTCTCGATATTTGCTTTAAAAAAGTTTTGTTTTTTATTTTCCCTCTTTTATCCTTTTAAATTATTTGCATATTTAAAAAATTCAGCTGTCAGTTCATCAGTATTTCTCTGTGGTGCACGACCTGCAGGACTGAACAAAGGGAGGAAACGGAAAAGGTCACCAGTTTCCCACATTTGCATACATTTGGTTTCACGCAGTAGGCTCGAGCATTTGCAAGATTTATTATAAAACTGTATCGACAACAACGAAGACTCTGATGTTTGAGGACAATGACAGTCTGTGTGTCAAACCAACAACCTAAAGGTCCATCCTGTCTCCCTGTGATGTGTTAACAAACCGAGACGTCTGTGTTGGAAGTGTGTTAAGGGGGAGAAAGCGTGAAGTGTATTTAGAGGTCGGAGCTCGAGTTACTCTTCAACCCCGAAGACTTCAGAGAGCGCAGTGGAGCAGAAACGAGCCGGATTAACTTCTGCACAGACCTGTGAGATTATCCACCTGTGCAGGTACAGAGTAAATCTGTGCAGGGACAGACCTGTTTGTTGTTTCTGTTGAAATTACACCATGAGAGCTGATGATCTGCTGCTGGTTTCGCTGATGTGAAATTGCTTTTTTGTTAATGGAGTCTGGTGGGTTTGGAGACAGTGGTGTAACAGCTAATTAAAACAGGATCATTAACAGAAGGTTCACTTAATGAGTGGTCTGGTGAAGATAAACTACAGGACAAATTCAAAACACAATTAGTGTAAAGTTCCTAGCTTGATATTGATGCTTGTTTTTAAACCCCGTGCTGTTTTGTCCTTTAAAGCACACCATAGTTCACCCACTGCAGCTTTTTCCTGCTTCCTGCTGCTGCCATGATAGAAATCAACAACGCCACTGTGTTTCTGAAACATTTCACTCAAAGTCATGGTTTTATCAGTGGCATTTTCTTAAATAATGAATCTTTAAAATCAACACGTTGTACGGATTTCTTTACACTCTTAATATGGACTGAAAAGGTGATTTGAAATATAATAATGTGATTGTGATAATGTAAAATATGATTCATGTTTGACAGCTCTTCCTAAAGGCATCTTTCTGTTCTGGCGACAAAAAGCAGCTTTATTGATACTGAAGGACGTTTTTCTGAGTCACTGCAGAAACGTTTTAAAGCTCTGTGTTATTTAATGCTGTTTCAGAAAACGGTTTCTGTGTCAAGGTTGAACTTCTCCACTAATTCTCTACCGTTTGGGTCTAAATTTGTGTTTCACTTCTGCAAGAACTGCACTGCGAAGTTATATTTACCGATTCATCTTATGTCCTCATGATTAAAGCAAAAATACAGATAAAAATATGTTTATATAAAAGACAGAGGATTGTTTTTATTTCTCATTTTAACATTTTAAGTTTCATATTGAGGTCAGCTGTCTGTAGATAATCAATATGAGCTGATTGTTCTGACTACGTTCTGCTCAAACTGCACAAAAACAACAGTGACAGACGCTCTTTTGACAAAGCTTTTTAAAGACGGAGCACCAACACTTGATCTTTAACTTTTCAATTTCTTGACATTTTCAATCCATCCGTTTTTCTCCCACAAGGTTTGAACTTATTCTCCATTTTCAGCTTTCTTCTTGACATTTATGCTCCAATCTCAACTTTTTTTACCTTATTTTTCCGCTTTAATCGTGACATTTCGATTTTTTACGATACGCCTCCTTCTCCTGATCCGTACCTAGCTTTTTCTCAGATGTCAACAAAATACTTTAGCTGAAAAATGCACAAAAGAAAAATCTTCCTGGTCACATTATTTACCCTTTTCTTTTATTGCACTTTAGTTAGTGTCAGCTTTGGCGCCCCTTGTGGACAAAGCAGTAATTGCTTATCTTGTCCTCTGCATGTTCAGTTTACCAATAATCTCTTCATACTGACTTCTTACCAACAAATGTTTCATTGTTGTGAATATTCTGTGTTGGCTGACACCTACCCCCTCACACGGTTTCATACATTAAAATTATAGTAAAAAAAAACAAACTCATTTACATGTTTATGTTAATTATCTTAAAAAATCCCACCAACCATCGGACATCAAAGAGACGTGCAGATCAAGTCAGTATTGGGTCGGTCTGTCAAAGATCACATCTCAACGTCAGTTAGAAGGGAAAAATAAGTTAGAAATTTCGACGTCCAAATTAAACCTTTTTTAGACGTCATCTGAAGACCAAATCTAGAAGTCGGCACAGCATGCAAAATGGATCCAAGATTTAGACTTCATTACTGGACCTCTTTTAGATGTTGAAATGACCTCCACATCATCGAAAAAATATGTTAAATCGATGTCATTTTGACGTCACATTGCACAGTGGGATGAACAGTTGCAAAAAATATTCTCATGGGAGGTTTTAAGATTTTTAAAAACTCAGTAAATCTTTAACATCATTTCAACAAATTTCATATTCATTGTTTTCTGTGAAAATTTGATCAATATTTTTACCTTTTTCTGACATTTTATTCACCAAAAAGTCTGTAATTGAGTTTGATTTAAGCCGTATCTTAAAACTTTTGTTTCTTTCTTTTGGCTTTACACCAGTCTGTCTTTGTCTTAATTTTAAGTGCTTTTATATCTTGTGTATTTGCAGACCAATTAAAATATCGTGCATCGGTTCGATACACACAAATCGTCATTATAGCGGACTGTGAGTGAGTGTCTTACCTTCTGGATTCTGCCGTCCACGTCCAGGTAAATGACCCGGTATGAAGATGAAGCGGAGCCCATGATCCCCCTCTTCTCTCCCCGGAGTCTGTGCGTCGCTGTGCGGTCGCTGCTCCGGGCTCCGTGTCGCCGCTCCGGTCCCACTCCCACTCCCACTCCCACCGCTGTGAAACAACCAGCCGAGGGGGGTGAAAGCGGAGTCAGCGGTCCGACAACATCCCACCTGCAGCCCCGTTAGTCTACCTGTGAGTGAAACACACCGGGACAAACTCTTCCCCTCTCTTATGTGTGTGAGAGTGTGTGCGTGTACGTGTGTTTCCCTCTGAGTCTCTGCTCTCTGTCACCTCGCGCTATCTAACAGCATCTCATAAAGCCTGTCCACGCGCGCCCCCGCCCCCGTCCTCTCTCACTGTGCGCGCTCACCTACACACATAAACACACCGACACACACTCCAGCAGCATAGTACAGGTACATAATCACACACACACACACACACACACACACACACACACACACACACACACACACACACACACACACACACACACACACATCCTGCTGCCCTGTATTTGGAGCAGTGTTCACGGTGAGAGTGGTCGACTGTTTCAACCAATCAGAGACGAGTTCAGATGACTTAGACTCTAAGTGTGTGAAGATCTGAAAACTCAACTTTTCCTGACTTAAACAGAAGCGGTTTTCAGGGAAATGTTGTAAAATTAAATATGTACGGTGGCCGAAAAACGCCACTGCTGCAAGTAAAAAAAAAAAAAAAAAGTCACAACGTAAGTTAGTGTAGGAGAAGGGGTGGGACTAGATAAGTCTCGACTTCTTCGGACTCCTTTTAGAACATGAATAACTTTTTGTCATTTGTTGTTGTATTCTTTACTTCATTATTATTATTATTATTATTATTATTATTATTATTATTATCATTGTTATGTTCAAATAAACTTCAGTCAACAACAAATCAACAAAATAAAAGGATGCAAATAAAAAAAAGCCACAACAGAAGTGAGCTGCCGGGGACCAATAATGATGATGCACCGGTGTTTTACGATCTAGGCACAGAAGATGACGGCGAGAAGACGAGCAAAGAAGTAAGTGGAAAGGTTATTGATTAATTTCGTAAACTTTTCAATGTGGTTCGGCCGTGTTGCGTCTGAGTCGATATGAATTTGAACTAAAGTTAACACTACACCGACATCCTCCAGATCACCATTTCTTTTTTTTTATTTGCAGCGGGCTTCGGTTTCTTTTTTGGCATCGCTAACTTCCTTTGTGGTTTCTCTTTTTTTGCATTTTTTATTTATTTGCAGCAGTGGCGGTTCTCGGCCACCGTTAATACATAACAATTGAAAGAAAAAAAATTCTCATTTTCTTTATTGGTTTCAATTTTAATTTTCAAATGGTTACTCATGATTTTAAGTAAAATCCCCGAATTCAGTAAATATTCAGTGTATACATTAAGTATATTTTAGTTAAGTATATTTAGTATATTTGAGCAGTTTTTGCACACTGACTTTTCTCACGTACCTCTCTGTTTAGATCCACGGGGACTGGAAAAACCCACAACAAACAAATCACACCTTTACAAACTGGTGCTGAAAATAATGGATCAGAAATCTGTCAGATGGCATCACTTCATAAACATTACTATAGGCTGTTATGAATGCCTATAGTAATGTGCTTTTATGAAAAATTGTAACAGGTGTTTTCATATAAAGTGTTACTACACTCACTCAGTAAAAAGCTCGTAACACGTCAATCACTGAACAATTCTTTATGAGTTTTTCACAACAATTATTGACGAGTTCAATGAATCCCTCTTTAACATCTCAAGCTGCTCGCTACAAAAGACTTTAAACACACTCAGGAGACTTATGTGAGTTATATGTAAAAGCAATCTTTAATGATGTATCAGTGATATCGTAAAATAAGCTCTAAAATGAATTTAATCTTTTTATTCTGCGGCTTTTTACACCTGCAGGTTTTCTAAAGTGGCACTCATGCTCCCCTGCAGATAAACTAGAAAAAAAAAATACCATAAAAGATCCGCCGTGGAGAGGGAGCACGAGAGAGCTGCTTGAATTTGATTTAGCTGACATTTAAGGAGGTATTACAGAACAATCCATCCATCACTGCTGCTGGAAACGAGGGCATGTGCAAGCTGCTCTGTTATCCTGACGTGCCTCTGAAAACCCCAAATATTAAAAAATCTGTTCCTGCAATAAACTCTGATGAGATTCTCCGGCTGAAAGGAGGTTTAAATCTTTTATTGAGAGGTGAGGTATGATTTCTCTCCTCAAATATATCAAAAAAGAGAAGGGTTTAATCTATTTAATGCACATTTATGAGGAAAAGGAGCCGGAAACGACTTAAAATACTGGATAAGGAAACTTCTTTATACAGTCAGTTTATTTCTAATGTTGTGACTCTTTAGAGAAGACTCTCTGTTATGAAATTTAACCTTTATAGTCCAGATATAAGCTGTAAATTTCCCTGTCATTGTTATCATAACTGGTCTGGTAATGTAAATGAACAGTTGCTTAAATAGAGGAAGCTGAACGGGCTCTATGCACAGCTCCTTTACTTCATGTCTTACATTATTGGACAAACTGATTAATCCAGGTGTGACTGATCACTGTGACTTGTCAGACACACCTGGATCAATCAGAAAGTGTATCTGTATAATGTACTCGATGTGGTATAAGGAGTAGGTCTTTGTAAGCATTACTTCTGCCTACACCCTTTTGGTCATATTATAGCAAAATAAATAAAATCATTCATTCATTCATAATTATTTGGTTAAATGAGGATGGACACTGAACTAACTCGTTATTATTATCATTATTATAATTATAGATCAAGCTTCATCTTTTAGTGGTAAGCAAACCACACATTGCACTTTGTTTCTGCATTTTATCTTACGCCCTCTGTTCATGCTAAAGTACTGGTATGACTGACATATGCTTTTCTTTTTATCTTCTAAATCATCTTTAATACTTTTTACCTCCTGAACTGTTTTTTAATGTAGATGTTTTTTATTTTATTTATTTCCTTTTATGATGTATGGCAGTGTTTTAAATGTCTGTGCCTGCTGCAACCCGATTTGCCCATTTTTGGGACATAATAAAGTTGAAGTGAAGTGAAGTGGACACTGAACTAACTCGTTTATCTAATAAAAAGCAGCTGTAAACGTGTAAATCTTAAACCTGGACTCATAAGAACTGAGTCTCTGCAGACCGGACTGCTTCTCCATGTTTAGTTCAGACTCTGGGGACAGAAGTCAGACCAGCACCAGATGACCTGAGGGGTCTGGATGTTTTTAGAGAGACCTAATCGAGTCGAGTCTAGATGAGATTAGTACAGCAGTGACTGTGACGGAGCGTTTATGATTCTGCTCTTATCAGAATTACAGTTTATTGGAGCTGTAATGTTTCTATCTGGTTTAAAACACAGTGAGAGAGTCTGTGAAAGCGCAGGACTTTACATTTTTCTGCAATCAAACTAAGTCTGCATGATTAAATTTTGATCTTTACGCACAGATCAGACCTCTGACAGGACTTTTGGTTGGGTTAAGTGGGGTACAGCCTGCTCCTAATCTTTCTAAGTGTGTGTGTGTGTGTGTGATTTTTAGCCTGCCTGTGTCACCGAGTGGGTCTCTGACTGACAGGAGCTCACCGTTTGGGCTGACACCTGCCACCTCCAGCTGAGCCTGAAGCCCCCTCCACGCCACGAGCGAGACCGATTTAGCTCTCTCTCCTGTAGTAAGACGCCATCAAAAACACAACCCTGCAAGAGTTAAGCGAGAAGAACACACAGGTTTATTTTTCTTTCCCAGAATGCTTTGAGAGTGAACCATCTCTTAACCGAGTAATTCACACAAAGAAACGAGGAAACATTTGGATTTTTTTATCTTTACAAAATTAACAACCCAGCGAAAAGACACACAAGGCACACAATGATTCAAGTCCTAGCCCTAGATATACACAACACATGGTCTCCATATCAAAATGCTGCCACCACCTTTAAAAGGAAATAATCCCAGAGTTTAACACGTCAATTTACACAACATCACCAGGTGTTTTTCACTCTTAAAGTTTGTAGTTTTAATAAATTAAGAGAATAATTCAGAAACTTACACAAACCTGTAAAAGAACCACCAATACTCAACTTTTTTTTCATCTTAATTTAAACATCTTTTACGTCCATATGACCGAATAACGGAAGAATTAAACTCACCAGTATGTATAACTTAAACACAACATTATTAACAGCATTGCACTGAAAATATGCATCCATATGAGGTTTGACGTAAACGTACATTCAGAATATCTCCAAACACAAACAGGATCAATCACAGATTAGATATAAAAATACGACTTTGGTGCCTTCATTTCGAAACAGATCAGAAATAATCCGCACAGAGCGACAGGAATAACTTAAAAATAAGTTTTTTTTCTTTAAATTACAACATGATCCCTAAATCTCTTTGGTTCAGTAAGGCAAAGGTGACGCGTTCAAATAGCAACTTCCACAAAGCGGAGAGGAGCTGTAGTGGTTTTTTTCACATACAAAATGATCTCTACAGAGAGTTTAGGCTTGGTCCACAGGATCAGTCAAGATCAGCGTGTGAAGGAGGGCATAGATTTTCTAATTTTGTACTAAATAATACGCAGAATAAATAAATAAATATAAGAAGTATTAAGAACTGATTGAGTTTTAATATTAAGAGGCCACAGGGTTTCAGATTTTCATTAATGTTCATGCAGCTAGACGAGGATTTCAGAAACTGAAGGAAACAGACTGAAAACTCGAGTTTGGGATCAAATTTAAAGGGGATGATCCTGAACTGGTGAGGAAAGAGGGTGAGACAGAGAAATCGGATAATAACGATCAATCTTAGAGCGCTTGGCGCAAGTTTTGAGTTATAGTTGTGACCTTTACGTCTGTTTTTAAAATGCACGGGATGTTTCACAGCTGCAGTCTGAGTTTTACTGGGTTTATGCAGGATATAGATGCTGCACACAAAACGGCGTACACAAAAACATCGATAAGGCACGACATCTGTCCTGTGGAGCTGCGTCTAGTTTGCTGTAATACATGATCTATGTCTCTAGTTTGGTGTAGATGACCTGTGAGTGGTTTATCATAAAGCAGCTTTTCATGGATCTTTGTGTTCTCGGTCTATTTACAGATCCAGACCTTAACTGTTAGAGGACCAGGACCCAGAGAGCTCCAGAGCACAGCAGTGGAAGTTGCCATTTCAAAGGTTTCTTAATAAATAGCTGTCACTTGTAGTTTATCTCCGTATATACACATCAAAGTAAGGCCAGTTTAAATATCTGCCGAGCAGTTAGCGTGTTCAATCACCGTCACGTTTGTCTCCATAGAAAAATAAGTTAGAGTTAGTGTGCATCCCTGTGTGCATGTACAGTATGTGCAGGTGGATCCTCCAAACCGCTTCAGGTCTGTTCAGTCTTTGAGTCAGAACTAAAGCTGCAGCTCCTCCTCTTGGACAAACGTGAAGTCCTTTTAAACAGCCACTCACACATGTGTAAACACGTGCATGTGTGTCCACGACTCATGTCCACAACAGTCCAGTTGTTGTCAGACACACAGTCCATTTTAGGCTTAGAGAAGTGGTTTCCATGCGCTGTCTTTGGGTGTGTGTGTATCAGTATATGTGTGTGTATGAGTGTGTGTGTGTGTATGAAGGTGGTGTAATCAAAGTGCTCAATGCTCCTTTAACCTGTGAAGTAGAAACAAACATTAACACCTTTTTCAAAAGCTTGCTGTCCTTATGTTTCCCTTTTTAATATCCTGATTAAATTTAAGTTAAATAAGAATAAATATAAAGGAAATAAATATACTGGGACTCACTCTACAGCAGAGCTCGGACGGGATTTAGAAGAGACCAGCTCCTTCGTGACGAGCCGAAGCAAAAGCTGCAGACAGACACGAAACAAAGTCAAACATGAAACTAAACGACTGTTTGAGCTCTTAAGAACTCCCAATATTTTACCGCTGAGAGGTCAAATTTCAGCGTCAATATTTCCTCCATTACCTAAGTTATCATTTTAGTTTTTGTTTAAGAAGAAACTCACCAGCAGAGCGAAGAAATCAGCGGTCATCAGCATGTAGAAGACCTGATCCCAGCCTCCTGCAGACAACACGCCAGCCAGCAGGGGGCCTAATGCTGCTCCTGAGAGTACAAACATGAAACAGAAAGTTTTGTTCAGTTTGACTAACAGCAGATCAGACTGTGTATCTGCGGCCTGTGTTGTGTTTTATGGATCTCACGCCAGATACAAAGTAGATCAGATACAACATCTCACAAACACACCTCCACCTGTAAACTGGGGCACAGTGAGGCAGAGCAAGAAGGTCCCTGGTTTGGATTCTGAGCAGAAGTCAGTTTACATTTTCTTCTTTATGTATATGTTAGTGAACCAAAAACATAGTGAAGTGTGACTGTGTGTGTGTGTGTGTGATCAGCTGGTAGTCTCTGTATGTTTACAGCTGTGATGGACTGGCGATCTGTCCAGGGCGTACCCCGCTTCTCGCTCAATGACAGCTGGAATAAACTCCAGCCCAGAAAATCTACTCCAGATAATACATGGATCATCTAACTGTTCTTACTTTAGGTTTTGAGACGTTTCTATGGTTGATTTGTCTGGCTCAGATTAAATCCTGATCTTATACCTCTGTACTTTGTGAAGCAGCTCCAGCAAAGCAGCGCAGAAACAGAAACACGCTGCCTAATGATACTGACCTACAGATCCTGTTCCGTCGATGATGGCGCTGACGGTGGACAAAGCTCTGGCGTTGCCTTTTAGGCTCTTGTGTGTCCCCTGGAGTTGAAATTAAAAAGATTCAGAGAGACAAAGAGAGAAAGAGAGTGAAATCAAACATCATAATCATGTCGGGGTTAAGAAAACTGTTTTTAAAGACACTTACCAAATCGGCGGACACTGCAGTGGTGATGAGGGAGTACGGCCCATTCACCAAACCTCCACACACCAACAGCATCCCTAGAAAACATTAAAGAGTGAGACATGTCTTTCTTTGGAGTGTGCAGAGTGTGACTCAGTGTCCTCTGTAATGCTGATGATGGTATACCTATATGAGTCATATCTGAAAACCCTCCAGGCTGCAGAACATCGAGCTTCCATGCCTCTTAAAAACAATGCGAGTTATGATAATAACATCAGAGCTGCTGTTGTTGCTCAGCAGCTGCACCTCCTCGCCTCACACTGTCGGCCGTAATGACATCTCCAGATCCCCCTCAGCATATTGTGGAGATAATGAGCTGCAGCTGTGACCATCGGGGGCTCGGCGTGAATGAATTAATCGTGATCAGTCGGTCCAAAGTGTGAATGAATGAGCGAGCGTAAATCATTACGGCTCGACTAATCAGGAAATCAGAGCTGAGGAGCCACTCTGATAAAATTAGCCGGGTCATGTGACCTCATTTGTTTGGACCCGGACGCACAGAGGTGTGTTGAGCTCAAGTGCAGGAACAGTTTTGATTCTGAAGGAGTTTTCAGGAGCACTTAAGAAAAGATGGAGGCACCAACACACCACGGATACAACTTAGAAACTCTGAAACACAAATCTCACTTTTTTGTTCTGATCCACTTCTATACTTGGAAATGATTTGGTGTCTGTGATTTACAGTCAAAATTTCAACCCAAAAGCGGTGAAACAGACACTCTAGCTCCTTTTCTGATTGTTTTGCAGCTGTTAAATTTATCCACACAGATCCTCGATCCTGCACTGACACACAGGAGGGTTGCTCCTCCTGTGTTTGTTGTTTGCCTGCTGCTGAAGTCGCTCATCCTCCTGCCTGCTGAGTCCTCCTGCCTCAGCCACTGTACCACTAACTGTTCTTATTTAAAGGTCAGTAAATGCCAACACTTTGTGCAGACCTTTGGCATCTCTTAAAAATTCATGTGTCACGTACGGATGAGTCTGCTGCAGAAGAAGAGAGAGCACAAAGGAGAGGACGTGGACTAACCTGATCTCTTTATATATTTGAGTCCTGACCTGCAGATTGTTGACAGTGAACTTAAAACCTCTGCATAAAAAATAATAATAAAAAAATAACCATTCAGGAGTGTCCAGAAGTTTAGATGAAGTTAGGATGGTGCTAAAACAGGAGTAAATATGATTTGATTTTTACTGTTTTTGTTCCTGAGAAAATTCTAATATTAGGACATTACCTGATAAATTCACCTATGACTAAATATGAAAGGATTAATTCTGCTTTAACCTTTTACCTTTACATGAGAGTGACAGAAATGCGTGCAGAGAAAGGAGGGAGAGCTAGATTCAGGGCTTGACACTAACTTTTTTCACTAGGAGCACATGTTCTCAGAAGTTTAAAAAGTAAGGAGCACATGAAGAACTTTAGGGGCACAGTGAAAATGGATCAAATAATGTTTGTCTTATTGGTTGACGGTCCCTTATTCAACACCCGATGTTGACAGCCCCCTGCTGTTGTTATCCCCGGTTACGGAGAGTGAGAAGACACTGGTACATCCGCAGTGAATGTCTGTCGAATATCCAACCTAAAACTAACTTCACCGCCGTATTTACTTGAAAAAACATTTGTTGCCTCGCCTGATCGTACACATCTATTTTTAGTCACAAATTTGAGTGAAACGGTCACACTGTGGAGCTCTGAGATCATATCAGGACACAGACTTGATTGAGTGAGGAGTGCTGTGAAGACTGTGGATGTTTCTCTGTTGATCATTATATGAATAAACTCTCTCTGACATGGCACTCACCGATGGTCGGTCCCAAACCAAACTCGCTGATCATGGAGAAGCCGTACAGCTGCGGGACAAACACCAAACATGACGATTAAAACAAACATTTTCAGACAGTCACTGCTCAGTTCTCCTCCCTGAACAAAATTAGCAGCATAGAGTCGTCAGTCACTTCTAAGCTGATGTTGAATAATTTTGACTTTGTGGGACGAGTCCTTGTTAGAGGTGACTCCATATCACAGGTGAAGCAGATGTGACTCACTGTAGGAGCTGCCAGAAGCAACATGACGGCACACGTGGTGGCTCTCTTCCCGAGTTTATCAGAGATCACGCCTGCCAGGATCCCTCCTGCACACACACACACACACGCACACACACACACACACACACACACACACACACACACACACACACACACGCATATATATGTAACATAGAGACACAGTGAGTCAAGGGAAAAATCTGACGTACTACAAATAATGCACCAAACTGGGTCAATACAGAGAGAGCGTGTATCAAGATAAGAGAGAAATGCTAAAAGCACCTACCCACGATTCCTCCCACATCAAACAGGGTGGAGAGATCTCCGGCTTTCTTTGCATCGAGGTGAGCTGACACACACACACACACACACACACACACACACACACACACACACACACACACACACACACACACACACACACACACACAAAGTAACACAATTATCCATCATTTCAATTCTCTTCCTGTCAAGGCTTTTAGTCCTACACATAAGTGGTGATAATAAAGTGGAGTGGGCTGGTCTGCCTACACGCCGTAATGCCGCACAAGAACAATGTGACATTATTGAGACGGACAGACGGAGCTGACAGACGGGGAGACTGTTCCAGCTGATAGATGACATGGCAGATAATGTAATGTGAAAAAAGCGCAGAAGAAGAAACATCTGTTAAACTCTGAAATAGATAAACAAATGTATTTGATAATATTGAAGGAGATTAAATCTGAGAGAGTCCGTCCTATCGTCTCCAAATGAAAATACAAAGCGACTGGTATCTGTGTTTGGTCCCCCTCACCTGCTTTGGTGATGTAGAGCGGCAGCCAGAAGAGGAAGGTGTAGCTGACCAGCTTAGCAAACAGCAAACACAGGGAGAACTCGATCACTCCCTGCAGAAACACAAAGAACACACACACAAGGATGTTAGTGTCCTGCTCAACAAAAACTCAAACTCTGCTCCGTAACCCTTCAAAATGTCAAAGAGTAAAAGGCCAAGTTGGAGGGTTGTTTATTTCTGATACATGTTTAGAATCAAATACAGACATCTCTGTGATTTCTATAGATCTGATCTCATCTAAAGACCAAGTGATGCTTCTCAAGTGAGTTAACACTGACATACATCTTATTATGGTATTAAATATTGTAAGTATTGAACTTGTGACTTTAAAAAAAATGACTTTTATTTTGATATGTTGCAGAAGATCTGCACACTGATACAGACATGATAAACTCTTCTCCACTGTCCTCTTCCTTTCTTGTGTCCTCAAATGTCAATTTCTGGTTGTTTAATCGGGGTTTGTTTGCCACACGTGATGACAGCTTGATGATGTGCATGTTGACCGAATATAGTTACTGTAATTGTATTTAAACACAGCCTGAAGAAAAGTTTGGGTGAGTGATTTGGCGAGCAAACACACGGATACTCAGAGGAGAGACGCCACATCAGAGAGCAAACAGCGAGGCTAGACGAAGGGAAACAAAAATGAAGAGGAGTTCAAACAAACAGAGAGGAGGACAAAGGAGGTGATGATGGATCAGGATGAAGATGAACTTTGTATGTGACATGTACTTTTAACCACCAATCAATGTACAGAAACGCATCTTTAAATGCTGAATCTGTCTGTTTTTTGGTATAGAAAGATTTTTTTGTAGCAGTAGTAGCAGGTTTATAGTTGAAGCAGTGTTGACCTTTTAAGCATCTGCGGCTTTTGGTGTCTGAAGGAAAAACTGTCCCTATGGAGAGCAAAATCAGGCAGAACATGATCCACAATGACATCCACATAAACGGATATCTGCACATAAGTGTAGCTAACAATCTGTTCTACATCAGTCTTTACACTGAGACATAAATCTGTTGGCTGCTGCGTGGAAAAAGCAAATTATCATGAAGATTTCCTGATTCTGAAACAATGGATCGGACCTCGGTTCAACAATTTAACATTTTAAATAATGTCTCCTTTTCTTCTCCACGGAACTTGTCAAACTTTGAGCCTTATGAAAAAAATTGGTCTCTCTTTTTTGGGTTCATATGACTGAAGAAGACCAGAGTGAAGTCTCTGGTAACTTACTAAAACTAAACCAAGAAATAACAGCGTTAACTTTGCAGACATATCTGAGGGGAAGAGGCAGGTAAAACCCACAGTTGATCCTCATTGAAATCTTTGGCTGTAAGTTGTCTTATCAAATAGGGAGGCAGTTTTTTCGATTCCTAGTTCTGGATGTGTTTGTAGGACTGACCGGTATCCGTAGAGCTCCCATAAAGCTGATAGCAGACGGCTCAGATTCCCTCTTCACCACCACGACTGGCTGCACAGGGACGCACACACTGTCTCTGGGTAACAGCAGCTCCGTGTCGAAACTCTGCAGACAGAAAGAGAGAGAGAAGGAGGTGCAGAGCGATGATCAGGACCTGCAGGGAGATTTTTCATCCGTCCAGCCTGAAACATGATTGTTGAATGAAAGCTGAAGCACTCTCAGTGAGAGGACGTGTTTTTCTGTCAGAGACCTCAAACCCAAAGATTTTATTACCTGATTAAGACAACTGAATGGCGACCTCTGACAACAAATAGGAGAGGAACAGAGATAAATTAGCCAAATTGGGAATTTGAAGTGATTGTGATTCTTGATTGTAGAGGAAGGCTTTTAAAACAGCAGGAGGCTTACTTCTAATACCGTAAACAAAAGCGTGAAGCTCTGATCATTTCAGCCTGTTTGGTGTGATAAATGGGAAGGGTTTTCGTGTGCATGTTGTAGACCCAACCCAACTTTCACTCCAAAAGACAAAAAAAAAAGGTAATGGTCCAAAAAGAAACCCAGAGGCTGAAGCCAAATGTCCCCCTTTCTGGCACTTGATGGCCCACAGGTTTGTTCACACAGATCTCACAGAGTGTGTGTCTGTGTATGACTAATGTGCTGCCAAATCCAGGAGGGTGACATCTGTATTCAGCTAAAAAAAAACATTTTTAATAATTCAACCAGCATCCCAAAATATCCGACAGACCGACTGCACCTGAAGCAACCATCAGACACCTCGAAGCACAAAAGAACTGACCTTCCTGTTCTGAATACTATCCGTGTAATAGAAGTTGCCCTGAACAGATTACAAAGACATGTTAAAGTGGAACTTACTGCAGCAATGGAAATGAAAACAAAACCTCAGAGAATGTAGACCACAAAAAGATTAAAACTTTTCACTTTGCATTCTTTTAAACTGCCAGCAGGGGGCGACTTTGACAGGGGCTTTCCCCTGTAATCGAGCTTTGGCTTCTGAAGACTCGACAGACTTAAGGTCTGAGTGTTAAATTTTTAGTGGTATTAAAGTAGAAATACTATAGTAAAGTAGAAACAGGTTATTGTGTTAAAAGGTATATTTAGATTAGTTCTTAATTACCTGAGTGCATAAATATCTTTGTTTTTGTGAACTTGAAATGAGTCTTTTATATCAACACAGGAGCTGGTCTCCTATGGAAATCACTTTCTTATTTCTACAGCAGAACAGACTGGACAAACTAGTAACATACATGTGTTTGTTTTTGTTGGTTGGATGATGAAGAAGAAGAAAAACGGTTGTTGTTGTTGTTGTTGTGTGCAAAAGAATATGTATTAATAGGAGTATTTGACAGTAAAAAATCCAAAGTTGGAGGTAAATATTCATATAAAATATAGTTTCTACTCATAAATAACAGATTTACAAAGAGAGACTTTCCCTGAATTAAAAATGTTAACACACACAATCATGGTTACACACACCTGTGTTTTGTTGTCCTTGTATTGCAGATACAGCTCCGTGTGTCCGTTCACACCGTTCCAACTCTTGGTTGGAGCCTGAAGCATTTTAGACAAAGTTTTGTTAGATTTCTTGACTGATCATGACAGACAGGAGAGCAAAGTCTGAGAGCAGAAGTTAGAGCACATTAATGACAATGTAAAGAGACACAATATATATTAAAAAAAAAACTTTACTCACACTTGTAGATGGTGATACATTTTGAGCATACATGCTCTTCAGGTCATTGGGATCTGAAGTTTGAGAAAAAGATGATAAGCAGTTAATATTAAACTCCTCCATGTTCATCTGTGAAGCTCGTCTCAGAGCTGGATCTGTTTGGAAACTGAAAGGCATCAATATAAAGCAGATTAAAGCCAATTAAAGGAGAAAAACCCTCTAAATTCAAACCATTTAGCTTCAGCGACCAGCTGCACTTACGCTCAATAAGGAAGAGATAGCAGACGATGCCCATGACAGCGATGATGAGTCCCGGTACGATGAAGGACATGCCCCAGTTGGTGGAGACCCAGTATCCGGCGATCAGAGAGCCCAGGATGTTTCCCACTGAGGTGTGTGAGTTCCACAGTCCCATGATGAGTCCACGCCTGAGAGAAGCAAAGCAGACATGAAGCTGTGAGTCCTAAAATGTAATAAACCCTGATTAAAACAGCTTTGACAGGATCCCCACAGACTAACAGATCACAGCAGCAGCAGACATGCAACTCCTGTAGTTCAGCAAGATGAAACAGCTGTTATTGTCGATAGTTAGTCTGCTTTTAAAAGGTCTGTCCTCACTTTAACAAAAGGTCTACAAACTCTGATGAGCTCTTACCTTCCTTTTCCAAACCAGTTGCTGATGCAGGTCACCACACTGGGCCAGCCGGTGGTTTGGACTAAACCGTTTGCTACCTGAAATCATGAGAAGTAACAGTTTTACAGTTAGACAGAAGAAGTTTATATCCTGTATGAACATATGGGTACAGAAGTGTGTGTTTTTGTGCGTGTAAATTTATCAGGAAAGCGATCCGTACAGCTTGTTATTTCTTTGCAGTACATACCAAAGTCATGACAAAATACTCCACCCTCCCAGATCGAGTTATGGCACATGACCTTCAGATTTCTCTGTCAGGAACAGCATTATCCCCTCTGCTGTCAGGTTAACCATTCTGTAATTTTATAATTCGATAAGGTGTCTCACCTGGACAAACACATAGAAGCCCAGGCTGTGGATGTTATAGATGTAACCCAGTCCAAACAGGCAGGTGAAGAGGCCGCTGGTCAGCATGCCAAATGTCAGGAAGAGCCGGATCGGCAGGCGCTCCCCAATGATGCCGCTGCAAAGACATGACATCATGATGATCACATTATTGTCAGTATTAAAGCTCGTCATTAAAACTCAGTTTCATAACCTTTCAATGAAAAATGAGTTTTTAAAACATACTCCATAAGAAATAAACTCTGTGTGTGATAAATGTTGCTTTTTAAGTACATATTTGCAGTTTGATATCTTTGTTTGCTTTTCTTACTTCATGATTCAGTTCACTTTGGCTCTTCTCACATTATTATTATTATTTTTTCTTTGTATGTTTGTTTTCACCTCTGTGATAAACACAACTTTCCTTCTCTTACCTGAGGTACATTCCCACTGCGTAGGCACAGAGGAAGGAGTAGTCCATGGCTCCTAGCAGCTGTTTGTAGTTCCTCTTATCTGAGAATATTAAAATAGTTTAATCCAGGGTAGGTGGGCTCAGATGTGTTCTTGGTTTTAATCGAAACAGGTTTTAAATCAAAGCTTAAGAGAGCAAAATTAAGGCAGCAGAGTGTTTTCTCCTGCTTTGAATATTCAAGTTTTCCCCAGTGTTAAGTAAAAAGTAGATAAAGACAGTTCTGAAGGCCGAGCATCAACGTCTAAGACGGCTTCAAAACCATTTACTATCGACTGTAAACACGAACCAAAAGGCTTCCAGCTGCAGTCCACGTCGGTGTGGAGGGACGGCAGAGGGGTCTGTGGGCTGCTGCTGCCGCTGCTGGAAACAACGGTGGCCAGCTCACTGACAGATGAGCAGTTTTTATGAAGCTCACTCTGTAAATCAAAGCGACAAGAACAAAATTCAGTCAAACAGAAAACAACATGTAGAGGTGAGAAAGTCGGTTTGTAGATATTTTAGGTTTGGGTGACCTGTGCAAGAACATGTAATACCTACCTCAGAGAAATTAAGTTCAAATTAAGTCTGAACTTCATAAGTCTGAGCTTCATCATAGTGTGTGGGAAACTGGGTCAGGCTTTGTGAGTAAGTGCTTGGATTCATAATAATAAGCATTGGTTACCTTGACGATGCTGATGGGTTTTCTGGAGAGGTGGAAGCTGGTGTAGAGCAGGAAGGTGAGGATGAAGGTGAGAGCTCTGTACCTGCAGAGAACAGACACCAGAGGGCAGCACTGAGAGCTGAGTCAACATTCAGCACATGTAATGAGCTTCATTTGTATTTTTCTACCTGCTTTATTTGCTCTTAAATATCTAATATAACATGTTAAAAGTTTTTTAATAAAACTCCACGTCTCAGAGGAAGCAGCTGATGATATTTAGGAGTGTGTGTCGAACATTAACAGATACTTAAATGTGCCTTGTTGACTTTGTTTCCCTCCCTGTCCTATTATGTAACAAGCAAACATACAGCATGTGCCATCACCAGTTATGTTAAGGGTGACGCACTCTACAGCTGATTGAACCTCCTGCTTTTGGCTGACTACTAAAACCCACGCCAGAGGAGAAGAAAAATAAAGAGATATTATTAGATGAACAAAGACAACAATCATTAAGGTGTGGCTCAAATACGTAGAGAGACTCGAGTCGCGCAGAGTTCTTCTTTCACCGAGCAGACTGAAGGGAGCGGATCATCACAATGTGGTCATGCTGGCCGTGAGGAGCTAGAAGAATAAAGGCAGAGGATCTGTTGCAGACGCCTGCGGGCTCAGTGTAAACCTGACGCTGCCAAACGTATTATATTTTTATTACACCCTTCAACAAACTCCTCCGTGGGGGACAGGATATCCTGTAACTTCAGTGTGCACTTGCCCTATCTCTTTGTCATGTTTGCTCACTTAATCTTTGCGCTGTGGTTTTTACATTTACCCAGAGCATTCTGATTTGTCCTGATAAAAAAAACAAAAATCGTCTGATGTGTGTGTAAGTGTGTGTGTGTCGACTAATGAGGAGCTGCACAGTGATCATTAGCAGGACGGAGAGCAAACAGTCGGCTGCAGTTGAGGTGGTAAAGTGGTTTTTCAGGCTCTGCTCCGGACATTGGAGACGGATGAATGTCGGAATTCTTATGCAACAGCTGGAGGGCTGTGAGCTCGCTCCAGAGTGAGTCTGCAGGTTGATAGAAGTCAGAGGCCACACATCGAGGCAGGGGCGAGATGTTGCTACAGAAGTTCTGAAATCAGGCTGCATTAATGGGATTTATGATGAACTTAAGCGATATAAAACACAAGATAATTCTAGTGCGACAATCTTGGTAAAAGCTGCGTGTAAAGGCTCAATAAGTTTGGAGCCGATTATGTTTGTGGTTTAAAATCCCCCGTCCAGCTCGATGACGAAAACTATTACTGCTCCGATCCCCCTGACAGCATGTAAGGACATCAAAAACAAATAACAAGACGACAAATGGAGAAGCAAAAACTCAAAACCTCAACTTAATTGTCTATAATAGCAATCTCACATTAGGCACAACAAGCATGTTGCTTCACGTTCACAGAGAGAGAGCAGTACTTCTGATTTTACTGCTCTGGGATCACTGAGGGCAATAAAACAAAGTTATTCAGCCAAACTATGATGCAAGATTACAATTTATCCACATCTGCTGCCCAGGCTTTTGGGAGTACACACATAAAAAGACATATAAACACATAAACTTGACAAATACAGACATGTTAAAAGTCGATGCACATTTGCACGTGTCTTTCTTACACGAGGAAATTTCACTTTGGGATACAGATGCAGGACACCACAGCAGCAGTGATCAGATCATCTGCATCAGAGCTCAAGGTGGAAGAAAGTGAAGAGCGGATAAATAAGAAGTATCCCGGTTATAGAAACTGCATGATGGGAAATAAGATCTGAACATAAGCCAGGGCAGAACTTGTGTCACTGCACGGATGGTTAATCAAGCCTGTGCACTAATCCACTGAAGCGTCCTGCACATAGAGGCACCATTCAGCCTCCTGTAAGCTCAGCTCTCCACTCCAGGTTTGGATTTCTTTACTGGATGCTGTATGGGCTCCAGGGAGCTGACTTATAGGAGGACTCTGTCATGCTCAGGGCAAAGGAGACACACGCTCCATTACAGGAGGAATTTACCCTCCAGCTAAGGGAGTTACTTCAGGTTTTTGACACTTTGTAATCTGGCACTACAGCATTTAAAGTGTTTGGCATTACAAAGAAGATCAGCTTTTACAAGACGTAACGCAAATTTGGGCATTTCTGCAGACTTCCTCCTCTCCAGGAGACGGATATATTCCAGGAAAACTTCCTGGTACTTCAAACAAACCCTGGAAATAAACAGTTCATAAAAACGTGCCGGACTTATCTAAGGGTCATCTCACTGCCTCCGTCATTAAGACTATATTTGAGTCCAGGTTTGTTACATATTAACCTGCTGATTTAAATCTGAAGTCCAACCTCAAAGGGCACAGATGAAGAGATGTCTAATGTATTTGATGCTAAGTTTAGGTTTAAAAAAGAAAACAAGCTGAGTTACTCCATATTTGTCTTATTATACACAGAACCCAAAGATGAGTCCAATCACGCACCAACTCAATCACACTGTCTCTGACCTGGAGCTTTTATTTCTCTCTAGTGCGCCAAATATTTGTTTAAAGGAAGACTTCTGCTTGGGAAACATTAACTACTTCACCTTTGAACTACGTTAACAGGAAATTAAAGCTTCATTCAGACTGTCTGTCAACATACCTGCTCTGTCAGATGTAGACTGATTTAATACTTGAGCTGTCAAATGATCATTTGTAATCCTAATTTACCACTGCAGGTCAAGAGTTTGTGAGTAATCAAAGATCTAAATAAACAAGATTACTCTTTAAATCAAATTTTAAGTCTTATTTTCCATCCTGTTAAAGGGACCAAACGAGCATCCTGAGTGACTGTAAAGGAAATTATTAATCTCTTTTGTACAAGCCGTGTTTCAGTTTTAGTAATCCATTAACATAGATGATGATGATGATGTCTACAAGTGTTTTCATTAACTGACTGAGCTGCTTCTTTGAAATTCAGTGCTATATAAACACATCAGTGCCATAATAAACTGAATTATAAGGGAGCTCAGTCCATGAAGCATTACCACCCAAGTATAATAATGTTTGTATGTTTTCAGGGAATGGATCATATTTTCTTAACAAGCACATTTGTGTACAAACTGTACAGAACAAACAGGCGTAATGCCACCAGTGTGACTTCCACAGGCTGTGTTTTGGTAGCAGCCCTGACTAGAATGCAGTATTTCCTGCTTTACTCTCATCCTTGTTGTAATATCGTACCACTGTCTTTTCTTAACTCGCTCAGCTCACTAGACCACAAGTATGCTCCTTCTCTCACAAAGATAACTGAAGCTATCTTCACACCTAGACTACTAAAGACCTTTTAATTCCTGGTACGGCTTTAAAAGGATCTTAAAGTTCCAGGTTTCCATTATCACGTGTTTCCACTGAAAGAGACACATCTGTGCACATCAATCAGAAATGTCAAATCCCAACCATAAATCTATATACCTCTGGAAAACTATAATTCCAGAGCAGGGATCTATAATTCCATATCTGGAACTTCTCCAGGAACTATGAACTTCCTGAGGAGTTTAGTGCTTTTCCACACCAGGGACAAAAAGCCTCAGAGACCTAGATTCACCTCCACAAAGATCCCTGACCTCCGAGTAACACCTTCCAAAAGTGCTGGGGCTTTAAAAGTTGGATTGCGTCGTGCCAAACAATTCTGCCTGTTCGAGTGTTTGGAGCGGGTCCAGGACTGGCTGAGCAACAAATGGTCTGACCGGTGTCATGCTGTGGAAGGTCACAAACTTCTCTGGCTTGGAGGAATATTTACAGCAGGCTCAGAAACGCTGACTTTAGATTTGAGCACTATTGGAAACAGGATGTCACGCTTCATGGTTGATACTGTATTTATAGACTAATGGATTTGATAACTACTGCCAAACAGTTTCAGCATTGTGCACTGGTGACCTGCAGAAACCTGGTGCAGCTTTTCACAAGTCCGCAGACCAAATTGCCTAATCTTTAGAGGACTTTACAGTGGAAACAGCTATAGAAACTCAGACGGTTATGGGCTGGAAAAACCTTTTAGTGTCTTGAAAAAAATAACCTTCTTGGACTAACAGTCTGGAAAGCCGCTTATGATTGAATAACCGGCTTTCCAGGAAAGTCTCTAATTAGAAAGTTGTAGTAACAGCACTGGTTGAAAAAATGCGACAACGTAACTTGAAAGGACTAACAGAAAAAACGATATCCAAACAAACACAAACAATCAGACCGATACTCACCACTGGTCCCTGTCGAAGGACACCAGCAGGCGGATACCAGGAGGAATAGCTGCCATGTTTCAGTGATTTAGGGCTGACAGTCACAAAGATGGGAAACTGATGAGAGATCACACTGAGCGGGCTAACGGCGCGGCTGCAGACGGAGCGGTTGTGCTGCCTCGGCTCATCTCCATCTCAGGGGAAACTGCAGGGAGATCTGCAGCTGGAGGAAACATGGCTGAGGCAGCTAGATGGAAAAACCAGGAGTCTAAAAACAAATAAAGAAGGAAGGAAGTCGAAGTTAATGATCGAATAATGAAAGAGAAAAGAGGAGGGGTTAACAGAGAGAACAAAAAATCGAGGAGCGTTGGAGGATACAAAGGTCAAAATTACTGACACTGCAGGTACAACCAGTTAATCTGACAATGTGTTTTAGAGGTCACATCTTAGAGCTGAATAGTTTTGATGAAGATTGATCTTGAAATGTTCATTCATGCGTTTATCTCATCCTGTATTAATTACTGTGAGTCTCTGTTCATCTTCAAAAAGCAGTTAAAGACTCTTTTATTTAGACAAGCTTTTAACAAAAAGGATTTTGTATTTCTTTTTTACTCATCTTTTATATCTGCACTTATTTACACATTTACTGTGCTATATTCATATTTATATATGCATATGTACTTATCTTTTTTGTACTGTTTTATGTTTATCTATTTGCACTTTTTTGTGAAAAGCGCTCTATAAATAAACTTTACTTACTTACTATAATCTTGGTGCTTTACTCTGCACCTTAATTGTCTTATCAGTGATGATCACACTTACTTAGCTGTTTTCTTTTCATTATGTTCTTATAAAACTTGAGGTGAGTTTTAGAAATAAGCACATATTCTGGATTAGCAATAGAAACTTATCGGAAAAAGGATGAAATGAAAGTGCATTAGTGTGGTACACCATGCTCTATACTGTGCGGGCAACCACATACCAGAGCGTTGGAGTCATACACTGATTTCATATGACTTTCACTGATAACTCACTGTAAAATAGAAGGCGATTGACTGTACTTGGATTTGATGTAGTGGTAGTACCAAGAGCCACATTTCAACTTTGAGCACCTGTCCCTCTGAAGGTCTCTACACACTCCTGCTCTGGAGGGAACATGATGGACCAGGAACTCATGAATACTCCTCTGTCCGCCTCACATGAAATGAGGGGAGGAGGGTGCCAGGAAATCTCTGCATTTCATTAAAAATACCAGCAGCTGCTGTTACATACAGTATGTCTTATTTACAGTCCTAAACCATCGGTGGCTTCCTGTCTGGTTTCACCTTTCATACCTTAGTAACTTGAAACCAAAACCCCAAAGCTCTCCTGAAAGTGTGGCTGATATCTCACCAAACCAGTGACTCCTGTAGCAAACTGGTCAGACCTACTGGGAGACAGCCATACTGTTTAAAGCTAACACTGGGAGAAACAGACCTACAGACCATAAACACATCGTTTCATCCACTGTTTACTGAGGCTGAGAGCAGCATCTGAAACTCGAGACGTGGACGGTTATCCGACGCTTCTGTACGGCGATATTTACTCTTTCTTCTTTGTTTGAATCTTATCTTTATCTTTAACCATTATGAAAACAGAGAAACAGTGAATTACAGAGGCTGGAAACAGTGCGGGGGGGTTTCACGACAGCTAGCTAGACCACACAGCGGCTCGTTCAGACGTTTAACCGTCGGTCGGTCTCGTGCTCAGTCTAAATTCGTCTCGAGGACTCACCCTCCGCTGGTTCTCGTGCCTCAGGACGGACGAATCGACGGGTCTCTGTCGTTTTCTCCGCCGTCAGTGTCGACACATATCCTCCACTTCCTTGTTTAGTGTGAAAGCTAGCGACTGTCACTTCAAATACACACACACATACACACACACACACATACACACTACACACAGCTGGGCTGGCCACGCTCCGCTCCGCTGATCTGACGTCACAGCTGCCGTTGGGATGTTTGATCTGTGACCGGAGGTGTTGTGGTGTAGATTGCATCCTTGCCGCCGAATGCACCCCCTATATCCCATCCACTCATTAGCATAAACAGTACAGTAAGCTGTCAAGGTAGAGAACATTACATTTTCGGTTTATCTGAATAGCCTGAATGAAATAATTAAAGGCACATGCTGTTGAATCCATCCAATGGTAAGGAAAACTTGGATTATTTCGCCTTGTTAAATACTTTAAACCGCTCTTCCGTCAGGGGTGCATTCTACGGCACAACACCTGTCTGCCCCTCACGGTGGTCCTGGACCAGATGTCTCTGCCCATGTGATTAAAAATATTATGTAATTCAAGACAGTGGGGAAAATAACAATTTACAAGCGAACAAGCGAAACTCCTTTTTTCTGTTGAAGATATTTTCTTTTTTGTTTATTTTTTAATCTTCTGTGACATTTAATCTCTGTTTTTTTTAATGAACTTTTTAAACTTTTTTTTTTTTACTTTATCCCAGGAAACGTTTTTACGTTTGTCAAAATATTTTTGGCAACAGGCAAATTTTTTGTGTTGATCAATTGTTTTTTACATAACGACCTGAAAAACCACCTCAAAATATATGAAATCTAAAAATGTTGTCTGGATAAACATTATGACCCATAAACCTTAGAAAGATAGAAAGTAAATCAAAATACGACTCAAGCTGAAAAAAATGTCTCAAAATCATACATTAGTACAACAGTATACAGTATTTTGGACAGTACAAAGACAAATTACTGAACAGGTAAATACTGCCACCGTGCGGAGCACAGGATTAGTTTTGTAGGATGGTAGGGGGAAGGTCCCGCCCTCCTTCACCTCTGATTGGCTAGAAGTGCTGGGCTCTGATTGGTTATTCCGTGTGGCTATGAAACGTCTTCGTCTTTCGGGTTATGGTTCGGTTTACAGTTTAAGTTAGGATTGGAATCAGGGTTAGAGTTAGGTTTAGGAGATTCGGATGTGCGATTATGTTCTGGAATGTTCGGTTCGATGAACAGAGCCGACAGCCCGCGCTCATCTTGAGCGTGTGATGACGTTTTACAGCCAATCAGAGGCGAAGGAGGCGGGACCTTCCCCAACCATCCTACGAAAATAAAAAAATGTAAACCTCTTGACGTCATCAACCTGCGTCGACCGGCTGAAACGTGGGATCAAGTGGAGAGAGCAGCAGAGAGAAGCGTCTCCACGTGAACTGATGTGAACATGGCGTCGCTACAAGAACCGGAGATCCAGTTCGCTCAGAGGTTAGCCTCGAACGAGAAACCCATCCGGACCAAGGCGTTAAAGAAGCTGAGGAAGTACATAAATATGAGGTCACAGAGGGAAACAGGTGAGCTAACATAAGGGAGACGCTTGGATCTGTCAGAGGGGCTAACAGCAGCTAAACTGTTAAAGATCATCAACACAGGCGGTCAAAAATAAAGGTTATCAGACACTAACAGAGACAATAACAGCCGCCTTTAACTTCTCTTTTGATTTAATAATGATCTAAAACATCCAGCTAACCTCAGCCTCTTTCTTTCAGGTGGATTCACAGGTGAAGAGCTGCTCAAACTGTGGAAGGGTCTCTTCTACTGTCTGTGGATGCAGGACAAACCACTGCTGCAGGTACGAGCCACCATACACCTCAGCATAACATCAGACCTGATCAGAGTGCGAACGCTCATCAATACATGCTGATAACTGATCAATCAGACCACATGAGGAGAAGGTCTGAGAGGAGTTAGTCCGCACTGGTCTGAGAGTGTAAACACTCAGGTGTGCTCAGACATCGACTCTCCCTGTATCCGTGACAATGATCACTTTGGTTCTGGTTTTATACCATCAGGCAGATCCCTCCAATAGTATTAAAGGGATACTCTGATGTAAAATTAAATCAGGGTCAAACAAACTGTAACACAGAGTTAGAAAACACCACTCTATATCCACAAACAATGCTCAAAACAGCACCTAACTTCATCAACAGGACATATAGGGTCCCAGCCATAGTACTAGACACCAAACATCTTTTTAACTTTGACCAATTTCTTTAGCAAATGGACTAAACACAACTTACCTACTCTCTTCCAGCAGCCGCTTATTTGTAGTGAGACCTCAGGCCAGTCCATTACAGACTACAGCGGGGTGACGCAGCTCAAGGAAGAACATTTATGATCATTTCTTCATGGAAATACAATCAGACCGAGACGCTAAGGCAGAAGAACTGCTGTTGTACAAAATGATTTATATGGTGATTATTACTTAAAGGAAATGATAAAGAAATGGTCATAAATGTTCTTCCTTATATCTACTGTGACCCTATATGTCCTGTTGATGAAGTTAGGTGCTGTTCTGAGCATTATTTGTGGCTATAGAGTGGCGTTTTGGTTGAGCGCGTGGCTCTCTGTATTGCTATCTGTGGTCGTTACTAAAGTTGGTATAACTAGAGAAGCAAGCGGTCGACAACATTCATCTCTCGACGGGTTGTCCAACTCTGTGTTATGGTGTGTTGACCCTAACTTAATTTTATGCCGGAATATCCCTTTTAAATTGCACACGCATTCAAAGAGTTAGGTCTGATCACTGGACACACATGGTTAATGCAAAGTGTGAATATTTATACTGAAACTGGTCACTTTTGTCCCGATCACTGAAAACCACATGCTGATGCAGGGCCTGAACAGCCTCTCAGACTTTCCTCTTTGTCTTTCTCTTTATGTAGAAAGTACGATTGGTATTGTACTCTCATTGCTAAACAAAACAAAAAATATTGAATTAAATAAAAAAAGGCAGACTGAGATCCATTACACATTGTATTGTACGTCTGCACTCTGAGAGTATATGTGAATGAATGTTGTTCGCTCTATCGCTCTCGGTATTCAGAATTGATAACTTTAAAAAATAGTCCAAATTTAGCTCACTTTATACCCCACAGCTTAATCATGTCGACATTTACTGTCTTTTCGAAACAGTTTGATGTCATGTTGTGTAATAAACGTTACGCAATCTCCAACAAAATATGACATTAATCAGTAAATAAAAGTTAAATGATCCAATTTAAGAAGAAAAAGAGACAAGCAAAAAGTTAGTCAGCAGAATAAAAGACTATTTTAAAACTACAAGTTAAAGACGATCTGGCCTGGATTCTCACTTTTAGGCTGTTAAACAACAGTGTGCTGTTTGTGTTTGAGAAATGTCAGGTCACCCATGATTGGATAAATGAATCAAAGCTTACATAACAATGATATATTATTTCAGGAATAATGTGATTATTGAGTGATTGGAAAACAAACAGTTCAATTGTGGATATTAGCTCATCGGGTTTTTGATTCAGTCGACTGTACCTGCCCAAAATGTTTATTCTGTTACTGCTGAAAAAGACTGAAAAAGTCTGTTTGTCTGCGACGGTTTAAATTATTACACTCACATCATGTTCACACAGCCTCTCCTCTCCTCTCCTCTTTCCTCTCTGATGTGATTTTCTATTATTCATCATGTTTCAGGAGGAGCTGTCGAACCAAATCTCCGGCCTGATCCACAGTTTCCAACACACTGACGGACGTAAGTTAGCCTTGAGCGGTTTCATCATCCCTCCTTATTTTGGTTGTAACTGGTCAAAATCTGGTTGTGGTCCCTGAGAAGGGCTCTGCTCTGCCTACTGTGAAATGATGTGCTGTTTCCTGCAGAGTTTTTATACCTGGAGAGTTCCCTGCAGACCTTCAAGCGAGAGTGGTTGGGCATCGACCGACTGAGAATGGACAAGTTTTACCAGGTGAGTGGGATGAGAATACCTGATGAGAGTGGTACCTGTAGCTTTACTCTGAGATAACTGGAGGCTTTACTTTCATAAATAATAATGATGTGCACTTTTATCAACAACATTAACAAATGTGCTAATTTTAATCACCTTTATTTAAATAAGTTCAATTTGTTGTCCAAAATGACCCCCCAAGCCACAATTTGTTTTAATTTGATGCATCAATTATGTAGCAGAGAAAATCAATCCAAATTAACCAAACAAAGGAGAGGAAAAGCAGAAGACTGCAGCTTTCAGCCTGTAACTATAAGAAAGAATACATATTTATGTATTAGCTGATCACATGTTGAGTTTAACAGCTCCTTCAATCAGACACTTCATGATTAAAAAATCGAAAAACGATCATTTTTGACTGATCTTGTTGATCCTCATTGTTTTGGATCACATATAATTGTAAAAAATTAGAAAAAAGCCATCCTTTTGTAATGCTCTTTGATACCACGCCGACTGGACCGAAGAGAACCGTATCTCTGAATCTACATTTAATCAAAAGAAACCCATAAAACACGGTATGTAGGAGTCAATGAATCCCACAAGAGGGTCAAAACCTGATACATGTCAGGATTTTAGATTCCCAAGATGAAAATGAATATAGATACCCACTTATTTTGAACAGCAGAAGGCTCTATCTGCCTTTTGACTTCACACATTGAATGTCATCATGACTCTTCTGCTCTTATCATTATTTACTGAAATGTCTGTTAAAAACCCAGAAATTTTCAGGTACTCTGATGATGATAGAATGAACTGGCTGTTTAACTTTAATGTCTTTAAGTTAGTAGCTCATTTTGTTCCTGAAGCCTGGAAAAAGCAGCAGGATTGTTTATATGCTTAATTGGTTTAATGTCTGTTATCTGGTTTTCATCTGCTATTATATGTTCGATTTTTTTTTTTTGGTGTCCTGTAAGCCCACTCAGGCTGGGCACGTCTTGTGCATGACACGTGAATAAATTTTTTTAATTCAATTTAATTCAATTGTGTCTGCTCTGAATGGGGACACAGCAGCAGGATGAAACCTGAAAAAGCCCATTTGACCTTCACTTTAACTTTTCTGGTTCTGATCCATTAAAAAGAGAGAGATCCGTCATTGAAACGACACATACCTGCTTCTCCACTCCCAAGAGAGACATGAAATTCAACATGACTATAATGAAAAAGAGCTGATGACTCTTCAGGGGGCGCTCATACGAGCAACGTTTCATACTTTAGATTGTCTTCTTTCTTTTTCTCCCATTAAAGGATGTTTATTATAAAAGTAAAAATGGAGGTAACCTCGACACAGGCAGAAAAGATGAGAAATAAAACCTGCGTAAGTGCCAGTACCGTGTTGGTAATGATAGGAAGGAAATGACTCAGTAATTGGTGCCCATGACTCCTTTTTCGACGTGTGTGTGGGATCAGTATGATATTTTTTTTCCTGGTTTGATATCCGAGTTTAAAATTCAGCTTTAATGACTGTCCAGGTCACGACCACTCCAGCAGGATCCACACACTCCGAGTTTTTTTCCTTGTTAGCCACCTTTGTTTTCTCGCCAGCTGAGACTCGTTCTCGGGACACTCTGAAAAGTGAATAAATCTCTGCCCTGCAGGTTTCTTCAGGCACACGTACTTGTTTTTCTGCTGGCTTATTACTCCAACAGGTGTTGACACCTGAAGTCTGACTCATTTTTACCGTCTGCATTCAACATTTTCAACATGAATAAAAGTGACAGGTTTCCAGACACGGGGAACGAGCTGCTGGATTCGGTGAACAGACGAGGCGAGGCTATTACAGCAGAGAGTAAATCGATGTTACATGGTTCAGATGGTTGGAAAGCTGCTTTTATTATCTGCTATATTTAAAATGAACATTTCCTCTCTTCCAGCTGGTTCGTTTCATGTTCAGAAAAACTTTTGAGCTGCTGAAGAAGAAAGACTGGGACAGCAGGTAACGTTGTTTACCTCTTTGGTTTATTTTTCTGCTTGCATATTGTATGAACCTCGTTCACAATCAGCAGGAAAGAGCCTGAATGATCCAGCTTTTAGGTTTTTGTCATCTGACTCAAGAGTGACTCTCTCAAGCCAATGCAGAGACATGAATTCACGCTTTAATCACTTGTAGAAAAGACTATTGTAATGCCCTCCTCTCTGGTCTCCCCAAAAAGAATATCTCACACCAGCAGTTACTCCAAAATTCAGCTGCATGGATGTTAACAACGACCAGAAAGAGAAGAGAGATCACATTACACCAATTTTAAGGTCTCTGCACTGGCTCCCCGTCTCTTTTAAAACAGATTTTAAGGTTGTTTTATTGGTTTTTAAAGCTCTTCGTGGCTTTGGCTCATCTTATTTATTGTATAAGTCAGGTAGGATCCTCAGGTCTTCAGGAAGTTCTTGGTTAACATTACCGTAAGTTAAAACTAAAACATACGGTGAGGCCCCTGTCTATGGAACATCTTACCTGAAGACCTGAGGACTGAAACTAATCTTAATGACTTTAAAACCAAATTAAACCTTTTTTAGTCTTGCTTCTAACTAAGTTTTATATCATTAACTTTGTTCAAGTGTTTAAGCATTTATCTCTTCTAGTTTTAATGACCGGATCGTCTTTTATTGAGCTATTTTGATGCTCTTATTTTAGTGTCTTTTACCATTATTTTTATTTGATTTATTCAGTTTTTCTTAAATTTCATTTTATGTTACTTTGTTTTTAGATTTCAACCCTCCAGTGTTTCCTTATCTTGAATTTTAAAACACCGTTTCCTCAGTGCGCACATTCCTGTTTATATGTAGTCGAGCCCTTAAGTTCATGTATTTTAAAACACGTTTCTATTCTGCTTAGATCTCAGGGCGAGAATGAGGGGTTGGTTTGGGGTAGATCAGGGTTGTCTTTGTTTCTTTTATTCCTCTGCTATGTAAAACACTTTGTGCTACATCGTTTTTGTATGAAAAGTGATACATAGATAAAGACTAATTGATTAATGATCGATAAAATATAACATCTGGTGTTTTTCCATTGGAAAAAACAAGAAATGATCATAAATAGTGAGTATGTGAACACCTGCGTGAACACATCTGTATTTAATTGTGTCAAATAAATCTGTGGTATTCTCCTCTCCTCACTGTAATGACTAAAATAATGTTCGTACAGTTTTTGTTCACTTATTCAGTGTAAAAGCCCCAAAAAGAAGTCGTTCCCATTCAAACACACAAACGCAGTGCCAGCCTAAACCCTCTGTTGTCGTGCCTTTACTGTGATTTTGCAGTGAATAACCGTTCGTGCTCTCTCTCTCTCTCTGTCTTTCTCTCTCTCTCTATCTCTCTCTCTCTCTCTCTGTCGTCTCAGTGTGGTGTCCAGGTTTCTGGAGCTGGTGACAGCTGAGCTCCTGCAGGGCGGCTGCGACGCGCCCACCGGGCTGCAGTTTCACGTCCTGGACCTTTACATGACAGAGCTGGCAGCTGTGGGTTCAGCTGAGGTAAACTGACGCTGTTATAATTATTATTTACTTTTTAAAGGAGAGAAACTAAAATCCTTACTGAGCTGTGATAAAGAGGAGTCCGTTTGACGCTGCGATGTCTCGTATCAGCACCTTCGACTGTGTTTTCACTCTTCAAGTAGAACATTGAGAATATTTTCGACCCAGAATTGTGTTTCTCACCAAATGGTTTTTCACATATAATGAATATTTCATGAAGTTGCCGATAGACCACATAAAGAGAGCCCAAATCCAAGGCCGTGTTCGGGATTGTGATTCAGCTCATGTAGCTTCTGAATCGATGGACGGTTTTTACACTTTCATTTACTTTTCTGATTAGAGCCAAAGCAATACCTTTCCTGTGTGTGTCTGTCTGCTCTGTCCTCACTCAAAACCACAACACAGCAAATATAAGAATATACAAATGTTTAAGAAATTAGAAATGTATAATAACTGAGGCCCAGAGATTCCCAGAAAAGCATCAAATGATTTAAATATGTCGACAGACTTCCTCTGGGATATGGATGATATTTAAAAAGGAATTATTTTATGTTCCGATCCATTTCTGTATGTGGGTCAGAAGTTTTAGACCTTGGTATCATGACATCCTGCCAGAAAAGTCCAAGTAAAAGTGAGAAAAAGTGACGTGGGCGGATGGAACCAGAGGGCGGCGTGATGACTCTGCTCCGTCGATAACTGTCAGGGAAACCACTTTGAGCTGTCAGCGGACTGGCAGGAGAGCCGTGGTGCGCTGTGCAGAGATTTCAGGATAAGAAAGAAGAAGAGGGATGTACTCTTCCTCTCCTTGAGTGTTTGTCAGTCTGAGTTTTTTACGCCGAGGGGAAAGAAACAAATGAAAATAAACTTAATCCTCCAGAATGACATGAAGCAACATTTTCATACCGTATTTACATCCTGTCTTCATTTATCAAGGTTTTGTTCACAAAGTAATCTGCCTAATAGAGTTATGACGGTTGACTTACAGCCAAACTTTGTGTTTTATTTTTCTACATGTGGTGTAAAACCGAGAATTCCTCCCTGAAGAAGCAAATGGTTTGAAGTTTGAAGTTTGAAGTTTATTTCGATCTGGTCATATCCATTCAATATATACAGTAGATCACAAGAAAAGAAAACCGGACTGAAAAGGCATAGGCTGAAGCAACAGCTTATTATAGCCTATCCTTCTTACTAAATCAAAATATTCAAAACATCTTATTCCACAGGTTAGATAGAAAACAAAACACAACAACAAAACAAAGAACAAAAAATGACTCAGAAGAAAGAAAAAAATAAAAATAAATAATAATAATAATCAAATTAAATCCAGAATATAAATTAAGCCGTATCCTCAATAATTTTTTCTATAATTTTCGATCACCTTACTTTTAAACAACAATTCAAATTTGTGGATAGTCTGACTCATTTTTAATTCGACAAGAATCGACAAGACATCCTCCATTTTTGTAGAAAATCCTGACTGTATCAATTTAGTGAGATCAAGGGTGCGATGCGGTGGTCGGGTAACGATGGAGACGCCCTCAGTTTGACTTCAGACAGCTTGTAGACTTTTTATTTTGAATTTAAATGTTTTGTTTCAGTTTGAATATGACCATCTCTCCCCAAACTGTTTGTTCATGATCGTTGAAATAGAAATCCTTTGCACTCATGTGACTTTCTCTCTTTCTTCCGCAGCTCACTGCAGATCAGAACTTACATTTCATCGAACCGTTCTGCAAAGCAGCAGCAAAGACAAAAGAGTAAGTCCCCATCTGCTCAGCTTCAGTCTGAGTTTGTATGTAGTTTTGTTCACACGGTTTCACGCAGCGCTGTCTTTGAAATGACTTTCTGTACTTCACGGCGGTGCGGCAGCCGGAGTCGTGTGGGTTTTGTGTCTGAAAACATTTCTTTGATTGTTTTCTAAACCTGTGGGATGTATGAATGGATTTGCATTTCAAAGTGTCCGTGCATCCTTCGCACAGCAAGAGGAATATTAACGCGTCCTCCAGCTCGCTCACCTCATCTGCAGACCGGGTCATCCATCATTTCTCTTTGTGTTTCTTTTTGTATTCCAGTCGGAGTCTGTTCGGCGCCATCTGCAACAGTATCTTCAGCACCATCATAGATCAGGCGCCGTTCGCCATCCAGGATTTGATGAAGGAGATGAAAACAGCACATGACTCAGACTCCGACTCGGGACAAGCGTCAGAGGAGGAGGATGAAGATGAGAAAACAAATATGAGCAAGGCTGTGACGACAAGAGGGAAGCAGATTAACGGTACGTCTGCAGGTCTGTGGAGTGGAATAATTCATGTGCACAGAACCGTGACGGAAACGTACAAACACGATAAACCCCTCGCCATAACCTTGAGTCAGACCTCGCCCCCTTTTCTGGGGTCTTTTCTATCAAACCAACGATTCTGACCTTATGATGGAGAAAAGCTGTTAAATAGAGGCGCCCCCACTCATCTTTGCCATCTTTCCCAGCATGCATTGCAAAAACAAAAAATCTTTCTGGTCGTCCTGCTGCAGCTCTTCTAGAAACTGTTTGGAAAAAAAAGAAACAAAAGCGTCAGAAGCTGAAAGATGTGAGATTTAGAGCCACAGAGACTGAACACGGAAAGTCTGTAAAGTGTTAACGTGAACGTCACAGCAGCACAGTCAGACGCTCTTGACTGTAATGACACCATTCATGATAATTACAGCATTTAACATGCAATACAGGAATACAATCACATATAATAACTGCATTATTACAGCTCCTTAAAAAAACACACGTTCAAGTCCAGACAAATGTCCTGGTGCTGCTGAACGCTGCAGCTGTGGATCAGTAATTGGACGGATGTCCTGCAGAACGAACTCAGAGTGGCTAAACCTGGAGCACTCATGATGACGAGGCGTGTGTGTGAGTCACCGCTGTCTCTGCTTATCCTGTCAGAGCTGCTGGAGTTTTCTTTTGGTGCACATAGAAACACGCTGCGGTTATCCCTGCAAAAATCACGCCCATCCTCTCAACTTTAAATGTACAGAAAGTCCTTAAAGCATCAGGAACTCGGTGCCTTTGCAGAGTCTGACGCTCTTGAGGTCTCGCTGGGATAGATCCAATCAACACGCGCAAATCTGAAATGCTGAGTCCGTCGTAATCTCAGGGGAGGGATGCAAATTTACCGAAGCAGAAATTTCTCGTCAAGTGAAGCACTCGGAGGCTGCTGATGCTCCAAATGAATTCAGTCGTGCTGTTTCCTCTTTTTCAGGCAAAAAGGTGACTGTTTCAGAGGATGAGGATGAAGAGGAGGATGAGGAGGAGGATGATGATGATGATGATGAGCTTCTTCATCTTGAGGGCTCGGACACAGAGATGCCAGATGATGATGAAGACATTGGACCAGTCCTACAGGTGAGGGATGACTCCTCCTTAGAGCTGTCAGTGATGATTGATAATGGCAGACAGGCTCCAAACTGGGATGAGGGTTGCTGAGGGTCCGTTTAGGTCGATACCCCCTAAAAGTGGACCGATTTGAAAAGCTGGTAAAGCAGAGACATGATGATTACCTCAGTGATGTCCACGCAGAGTGAAGGTCAGAGGCCTCTGTGGAGTGTTAGAAATTCCTGCGATGGTATACGAGCCTGCAAGAGAAGTTATGGTGGCAACGAGTTTAGGTCTGAATCCAACTGAGCATCTGTGAAATGTGCTGATGGACCAAGGCTGATCCACATGAGACCGGAAGGATCTGCTGCTCGGTTTTTGGTGCCAGATACCACAGCACACCCTCAGAGGTCTAGTGGAGTACGGTTCTTGTAAAGGAGGGAAGCAAACGCAGTTTTAAGCAGACAGTTATAATGATGTGGAGGGAAATGACCTGTTCTCTAAATTGACTTCACACTGAGCTCAAAGAAGGAAATTAAAGCTTCAATTTGACACAGATTTCCAGACTAACAAACTGTCGAAGTTTTAAAACTGAGGTTGACTGAGTGTCATGTTGTTCGTTCAGAGGTTTTAGAGGATCAGTCTGCTCCTCAGATGGACTCAGTTTTGGGAAAAGTTGATGAGTTTATTTTCTAACAAGCTCTGTGTGTTTTTTTTTTTTTTTTGTGTGTGTGTTTTTTTTGTGTGGGTGTTTATAGTTCAACTACAGCGCCCTGGCAGACAAACTGTTTGAGTTAGCCAGCCGGGGCAACACGCCAAGTCGAAACAGACAGAGACTCTACAAGATCATCAAAGTGTGAGTACCAGCTGACTGTGTGTGTTTGTGTGTTTGTGTGTTTGTGTGTTTGTGTGTTTTAATGACAGAAACGAGCCGCAGAGAAAAACCGCCTCAGTCTTTCTGCATCTGTGAGGTTTTATCTGAGATGATCCTAAACATTTAAGAGTCTGTTTCTCATTGTTCGTTAGGATTTTGAACTCTTCTTTTATATTAATTATATTTTAGTTTAATGAAAGACTTATTCTTGAGTTTGGCGGTGGAGTCATGAAGATAATTTTGGTGGAAAATGCAGAAATTTCGGAGCCTGATGTGTAACGATCCGTGATTTAATCAGTCCGATCTCGACCTAAACGCTGAAAATGAGCAGCTGTTTTATGAGAAAAGCTGATTTAGAAGTAAATCTGCAGCAAACTCTCGGCTTTTATACCGTGACGAGTGTGTTCACTCTCTTTAATAACACATCCTTGACTGGGCTGATTTTCTGAATTCCACTTTTTGTTCAAGAGCTCTCCAACGTAAAAACCGGCGGTTCAAAGCGAGCAGTTTCTCTTCACATCTGTGGAGAAGAAAGATGAAAATTAACTCGAGCTCGGGGATTTTGTATTTTATATATAAAGCCGACTTTATTCACACCTGAAGGTTGGTGTAGTTTTTTGATGTGAGGTTTTATGAGGCGAGAAGAAGCTGTGAGTTTGTCTTTCCCTCCCTTTCTTGCTGCGTTTAAACCCCTAAAATAAACTCTTAATCATGTTTTTTAAAGATATTTGTGTAATCCTGTTTTTTCTTCTTTCTCTTTCTCAGACTTCGTGACCTCAGTGAAGGTAAGAACCGTCGATCAAACCGTCTTCTCCTCAGGCTCCCATTTGGTATTTATGAAAACAGAATCCCTCTTCGCGACCTTTGACCTCTCGCCGTGTCCTCTCCTGTCAGGTGTTTTCCCTCAGAGCGAGTATCCAGAGGAGGTGTCCACGGACGAGGATGACGACGACTTCGGCAGCAGGAAGAGGATGAAGAAGAAGCGCAGAGCGGAGGTGGAGGAGAAGGAGGAGGCGCCGGCTGCCAAGAAAAAGAAAGGTAAGAGAAGAGGAAAGTTATAAAAAATAATGAAAATAAAAAATAGTAAATTAAAGAGTGTGTAATGATTAGGAATGAATAATGAGAGATAATCAGATACAGTAAAACAATTTTGAGCTGTTTATGAGACTAAAAAGTGATTTTTTTTTTTTAGTAATTAACATTAAAAATTTGAGATTTTTAAATCAAAACTAAAACATTGATCCACATTTACAGTCAAAGTTTACTAAACAGATGTTGTTGTGGGCGGGTTGTTAGGCGATGAAGAGTGAAGTCAAACCCAGAGGGAAGTTCAACAAAATCATCGCTTCATTTGACTCATAAATTTGATCGGCCTTCTCCAAAAGCAGAAAAATGCTGATATAAAGAATCGGCTAAATTCAGAATATCAATGCTGATTATCAGCCAAAGATAATCTGTCGACTCCTAAAATCCAGATTTAGAGTTTCAAAGACGGCGTGGACCGTAGGCTGCTATCAAAAGGTGTTATGATGAGTTTGGCTACTTTTTCAAAGACGTGCAAATCAGTAGAAATCTGAGTTTAGTAGGGCTGGACGATAAACCGAAAATTTACCGATACTGTAATTTACGACAATAACCGACTTTATTTTTCTTACATTGGTATAATCGATAAAGATCGATAAAGGAAGGTAGGCTATGATCTCATGTAGGGGTGGGAGAAAAAATCGATTCACATAAGTATCATGATTTTTTTGGTTTACAATTCTCAAATCTATATTTATGTTCAACTTGATTTTTTTTTCAAGTGTAAAAAAAAACTTAAAAACTGACGTACATGTGATGTGTATTTTTTAGGGAAATATGGTTCCTGAAATAGTCAACAGACAATCATCATCATTCAACTGTTTCACTGGAGTTAAAAATGCAGACTAAAAATCCAGAATATCGACAATATCGTAGAATCGCAATTTAAATCGAATTGGCATCTAAAAAATTGTAGAAGAAATGAAACAGGAGAAAAGCGTATGGTCCAAGCTCTAGCCTTGCTGTCCTACGTCCAGTCTGTAACAAAGAGGGAAAGACAGGTGAGGAGATGGAGGACGGTTTAAAAGTTGGAGCGGCTGAAGTAGACGAAGTTAATGTGGGAGGGGGTGAGCAGCTTGTGGAGTAGTTATCGCCTGTTTATTGTTATCCAGGTGAACTAATCAATATATCGTGATATTGATTTGAGGTCATATGGCCCCGCCCTACGTTTTAGTGAATATTCAGTTATTGTGTATTTATGTCAGACCATCAGAAACTGTGAGGGATTTCAGTCTCCTGAATCCATCAGGTCTTTCTCTCCTCTCGACAGACCGGTCCATTTTTAAATCTGAAGTTTGATTTTCCTCCACACAGAGGGTTCATTTATTTAATCCTGATCCATGTTTGATGAGTCTCTGCCAACTGATCTGTGTCTCTGCTCCTTCAGGGAAGAAGAAGGAGACTCCCAAAGCAGAGCAGCAAAACAAAGACTCAGGAAAAGAGGAGAGCGAAGCAGCCGAGGATGACAAACAAAAGAAGAAGAGGAAAAAGAAGAAGAAGAAGAAGGCCGGGCAGGTAGGAAGTGCGGAGGAAAACGCAAAGACAGCTGAAGAAGGAGAGACTGAAGGAAGTAAATCTCAGGAAGCAGATCAAGAGAAAAAGACGGAGACGCCAGAGTCGGTTTCTTCTCCTCCGTCAGAAACCCCGCTGGTTACAGAGGAGAAGAAACATCCGACAGTTACAGCCGCAGAAGAAAACAGCCAACCACCCCCCGACCAAACGGACCAATCTGAGAAAACAGCAAAGAGCAAAAAGAAGAAGAAGAAGAAGAACTGCGAGCTCAAAGCTGAGGCTGCAGAGGAGCCGCCGGTTCAGAGCACAGAGACTTCCTCTGAAGCTGCTGCTGAAGTTTCAGAGAACAGGATGAAAAAGAAAAGCCTCGAGTCACAACCTGTCGAGACTGAAACTGTGACAAAAACGCCCGAGACTGACGCCGAAACTCCCGCCAAAAAGAAGAAGAAGAAGAGCCTGAAGGCTGTGGAGGATGTCAATCAGGCTGATGGTGAAGCCGAGGTTAACAGTCCAAACGCTGAAGTCGATTTCCCAGCAGCACCTTCTTCAGATCCGGTGGGAAATGGAATAACTGATCTAACAAGTTCAGCCAAGAGGAAGAAGAAGAAGAAGAAGAACCTGCAGGCGGCGGGAAATGAGGAGGGACAAAAGGTCGAGGCCGCAGCTGAGAAAGAAGAAGAAGAAGAAACAGGAGTTGATGCTAAAATCCAGTCTGAAGATGAAACCGCGGCGCCCCTGAAAAAGAAGTCAAAGAAGAGGAGGAGCGAACTGCAGGAAACAACAGCTGAGGCCGCGCATGAAAGCTCGGCGACCCCGCTGAAGAAGAAACGGAAAAATCATCAAAAAGAACCAGAAGCTCCGGAGGAAGAGGAAGGAGCAGCGGGGATGGGAACAGCTCAGGTGTCGAACGCTGAGGAACCGCTGAGCGAGACGCCAGAGAAGAAGAAGAAGAAGAAGAAGACAGCGAAACAGCCGACAGCAGCGGCAGCAGATGACGACATCAAAGATCCGTCCCGGTCACAGGTGGTCGGCAGCGCAGATGAGGATCTCCCGCTGAGACAATCCTCCTCTGGGAAAGCGGCCAAGAAGAAGAAGAGGAAGATCCCTGTTGTGTTTGAGTTTGAGGCCGACGAGGTGGAGGCGGCGGCATCGATCAACGGCCTCGCGCAGGAGGAGACAAACGAAGGCAGCGTGAGTGTTTTTAAAAAGGTTAAACGCTCCAGATGAGATTAAACTATCTGAAAACACTTACCGACCTGTGGATTGATTTTCTATTTTCAGGACATGGGAGAGCAGCCGACTCCTCTAATCGCTGAAAAGTCTCAGAAGAAGAAGAAGAAGGCGAAGGCGTCCTCGGAGCCCGACTTTGTGACCTTTCAGAGCAACGCCGCTGTTCCTACACCGCTCTTCTGTAAAGTCAAGGGCGGCCCGCTCACCCCGCTGTCCGGCAAGAAGGTACGAATCAAAGGAGCTGATTCAGACAGATAACAGGGAAAGAGAGTACGACTTAAACACGGACGTAGAAGGAGAAAAGGACCAGCAGTTAGAGAAGGTTTGGAGCGGCAGATTCACCCAGAACAGATTTTTCTGGTTGTTTTCGTGTCTTCTTGGTTTATTTGGCTTCATAAGTTCTTATTGATAAAGGCTTAAAGTTATTGAACTCTGTACAAACTTCACTAAACTGTAAGTAGTGGTTGAAATGCAAAGTAGTTCCTTTAAATACAGCTCTTTGCGTTTTGTTGAAAACATTTAATTTTCATACTTTATTTCATTAAGTTCATATTTAAAACATTCAGTACAAACAAGAAAAAATCTCAAACATGTGAATGAAAAGGAGCAGAAAGAAGAAAACTCTCACAGTTCAATATTTCTTATTATCAAAACGAACAGAAAAGACCACGTTAATTCACATTTTTCACAAAACAAACATACTGAGACTTAGATTTACATATTTCCCTGTATTTACTCGACATACTGACTTTGACACTTCTTTAAAGATAAAATTTGATTTTGCTTCTTACGTCTGCCATTAAACCTCTAGGAAACAAACACAGTTCAGAAATGAGGAATACCGAATGAGATTATGATGCAGAAATGTTTTTTAATCTCTGCGTATTTTTAAAAAATCTGCTCACACACAGACGGGAGACGACAGTTTGATCAATAAGCTCGCCAGAAAAAAGGTAATATCCTCGGCAGAAAACTACACCGTCTCATTTCGATTCCTCTCATGATCTGAACCGCCGTCTCAGTTAGTCTGAAACCTTCCTTTTAGTTCAATAAGAAAATCTTATTTAGTTTCATTTCAGAGTCAGACATGAAACATTTCCTCACCGTTAAAGTCTCCAGAAACTTTAGAGGAACTGTGATTTTCAAAGTTTTTACAGATTAAATCATTCAGTGTCTGTTCAGCTGAAAAGTTGATGGTGGCAGCTCAGCTCACGGCCCCCCAGAAATTCAGTCGGTCAAAGTGACACCTTCTGTATTCGCATAGTTGAACCACCTCCCTATTACCCACTTATCCTTTCTTTAATCCCACAGATTTATGGTTCACTCTGAGTCTCAAAACAGCAAAAATATTCAGCGATGTGAAGCTTAATGAGGCGCACAGATGAGAACTGCGGTTTGAATCAGGCTGTAAACAGATTAATCTCTGCTGTAAGATTGATTTAGCTGTTTATAGAAGTTTCTCAGCTCATATTTTAAAAACTTTTACTTTCTGCTTTAACTTTAGTTTTTAAATCTAAGGGTTACTTAGTCATGAGTGAAAACAGGTGTGTTGATGTGACTCGAACCGACAAATAAATACTTAAAAAAGAAAAATAAACAGGGTCCCTACACAGTTTGAATTTCCACACTTTTCCATACCCTACTTTTAGAATCATTTTTTGAAATACCTCATTTTCTATTTTAGAAAACAGTACTTTAGAACTGTGGTAATCGTCCAGAAACACAAATATTTTTCTCTACATTATTTTTCATTTTCTATATCCTTATTTAGACCTGGAAATTGATCAAATTCATTTCCATACTTGCGTAGGATTCCTGCACAAAGTATGTCAAACTTCATGATGAGGACATTATTGTGATATTAAAGGAAAACAGCAGCCCTGCCATGATTAAAAAAGCAGGTCCAGACTGTACTCTTCATATTTACTTTATCTGTCGTCGGTTTTTTTTTTATGATGTTCTGATAGTTCTGCTCTAAACTAGAGGTTCAGAAACACAGATCTGTCCTGAATCAAGTTACACTTCAATAACTTCACCAGTCAAATGAAGCAGGTGCATCAGTGCTAATAACTGCAGTTCCCTGAGTGTCCACTAGAGGCTGTCTGAAGAAGCTGTAGCTGTGTAGGTCATGTTCTGTTGAAGCAGAGCAGCTTCTTTTCTCAGGTTTAAATGAGGAGGATCAGAAAGTGTCAGATATTCAAGGATCCTGGAGGTGTTTTTGAGCGATTCACACCCTCAGCTTTTAGTCATTTAGTGCCTGAAAGAGGAAATCCTCTTTCAGCAGAACCAGAGAGCACTTTTGAGACCCGGGATTGTCAATGATTGGATAAAAAAAACTGCGTTTTAACGACCTCCTCCAGCGCCAGAGTGCTGCCAAACTGTCCAATCTTCCTGTAAGGGTTTTTTCATACTGCTTTCACAGAGGTGTGTTTATTTCATCACTAAACCTGTAGTTTTCCAGATCTCCAAAAACATGAGTCTCTTTACACCAGATAAAAAATTAACCTGTCAAAACAAAGAGGTGAAAACCAGAATAAGATCAACAGTCGTAGTAGATCCTCTGACTGCCAGAGCTGGATTTCAGCACGCCGGCTGCAGGCGTGGGAGTGACAGATTTCAGAGACGCTTAGTCACGTTTCTGAGATCCCGTTAGCTTCTGTGACTCGTATTTAAATTCAGATTCACAAACACTGAAAAAATAAATGTTTATAGTTCAGCATGAGCAGATTTACAGACAGAGGAGATGCTGATTGAGACCTGTGTCTGAAAGAGAAAGTGATTTTACTAGGGATGGGAATCGAGAACCGGTTCTTGTTGAGAACTGGTTTCAAATGGTTCAATCCATCAACATCGTTTACATTTTTATTTTAATGATTCCCTTAACGGTTCCTTTCTTCCGGGTGCTTTGGATAACGGTCTTGAGAGAGGCAGTCTACATGAACAAAAACAGAGTTTAGAGTTTGTGTAGCGTGGACTAACTGAAATAGAAGCATGTAAAAAACACTCGACCCGACCAGAAAAACCCTCTAAATTTTGTGCACAACTCCACCCCGTGTAGCCGTGTCCTCTTTTTGGGGATCCAGAGTATGGTCATCCTGATTTGACTGAAAACCAACCAAGTAAATGTACAAATAGTTTGTTGTTTAATTATTTTTAGACGACATCTTTTTCTGTTATCAAAGAGTCAGTAAAATTTTGAGTTAACATTGAAAAACTAAAATCTACTTTTTTTAAATCATAGACAGGCATTGATAAGGGAATCGTTCAAGAACTGAATTGATAAGCAAAATCTTTAATGGCAACAATATCGATAAAATCGTATCAATTCCCATCCTTAGATTTTCCTTAAATTGAATCGAAGTCGGTGACGGCTCAGCTCTCGGCCCCTCTGACATCTATTTCCAGAAACACCAGAACTGTGAAGCTGCTGTTTTAGTTTATAACCAGCAGAAACAGTGAAGTTAATGTGGGACTGCTCCCTTTTTAGTGTCCAGTAGGGGGCGACTCCTCTAATTCTGGAAGCTCAAACAGAAGCGAATCGACTTCTCTGTGAATTCATTTCCCCTCAGTAGACTGTTTACTCATGATTTTATCAGAGCGTGTAATCTCAAGTCGTCTTGAACGCAGCGTGAAGTTATTTTGGTGAATTATGAGTTAATTTAGAGGCAAAGGAGGAGATAAATCAAGAACTGAGTGATACCAGAGTGTCTGTTTCCACTTCTGTTTTATTCAGCGAGTCTTTTTTGTTTTTTGGAGGTACAAATCTGTGAATCATTCACAATGAGTCACAGCCGCTCGTGTTTTTCTCCTGCAGCTGCATGAACCACAGAGCTAAAATAGAAAAGTGAGTCCAGTGCAGCTCTGATGAGCGGACAGAGTGTTTAAGTTCAGACCCGGTATGATGGATTTGATCAGAGTGGTGGAGGAACAAAGAGGACTCTGAATATTCGATTAGTCTGGCTGTCGGACGGCCTCAGAGGAGCTCCTTATTCGCTCTGTGGACTCGCCACTTTCAGACCTCATCACACGCCTGACGGCCTGTTTCTCCTCTGCTGTCGAGTCTCTTTCTGTTTCCATTCAGGGTTTATTTTGTGGTTTTGTTTGAGTCAAAGGCTGAGAAGATGCTCATGGCAGATTTCTAACATTTTATTGGATTTAAAAAATTCTCTTTGGTCAAGAGTTTCGATGTTACTTCAGGGTTTTTTTTGGTCTCTCCCACAGAAGAATCAAACTCCCAAATCCGAGTCCAAGAAGGTGACGTTTGGCCTCAAGAACAACAAGACGGCTGGTAAGAAACTGAAATTAATAATACAAGAGATAAGAGTCAAAAAAGGCCACATGTATTTCAATGAGAGGCGCTTTAGCTGCAGGATAACAAAGCTAGATATTCACTTTTTCTCTCAGCGGCTCAGACAGAAAATTTGCAAAGTGTTCGATTTGACAGGAAGAGAAAGTGGGAAGTCACACCCTCTGTTTGCAGCTCAAAGATAGATAATCCAGGTGTCCTCGGGGGATTAGTCTTTGACAGCTAATTCTGTACCCCGTGGAAACTGATGAAGGGTGCAGAGAAGAGTCGGTGCTGCAGGGATCAGAGAAAAACGTCACTTTTCTTTCATGTTGCAGAGTTCAGGAAAACAGACCGCAGTCTGCTGGTGAGTCCAGACGGCTCCTCACGAGTCCCGTTTGACCCTGAGCAGAAACCCAAGTGTGGGGTCTTAAAGTCTCCCCAGACCCCTCTCTCCTCTAAAGTGAGAAAGACCCCCGCCAAACTCAAGAAGACCCTCAACGCTGTCAAGAAGACCCCCGCCAACAAAAAGAAGACCTCCATGGGCGCCGCTTCTCCCATGACCACGCCTAAAAGTCGACCCACTGCTGCAGATTTCTTCTGAACCTGGACGGACTTTAGACCTGGATGTTGAACTCTTTAAAGAACTGATTCTCAGCACATCCTGTTTGGACTGATTTATAAAGAGGTATTTTTATGTTTATCTGACCTTCATGTTTCCACTCTGAGTGACTCCGTCTTTTAATAAAGTTACTCCTTCAAGTTTTCCACTTTTTCCACATCTTTGGTTTCACACCTCTGTCGTTTTTTAAAAGCGGGACGAAAAAATGATTAAAAAATAAACAAACCTGAACCCGCTGCGAATGATCCCGATTTAACGGGAGTGGGAATAAGGAGGACACGCCGGAGAGGTAAAGGTGAGAGACTGTGTAAGCCGGTGATTCAACAGTTTGAGAATAATGTTCCTGGAAAGACTTTTGGCTTTTTAGGCTCTCGGCCAAAACTGCATTAAAGGGATATTCTGGCATAAAATTAATTTAGAGTCAAACACACAGTAACACTGAGTTAGACAACCCCTCCAGAGATGAATGTTGCCAACCACTTGCTTCTCTAGTTAAACCAACTTTAGTAACGACCGCAGGATAGCAATACACAGCGGTCTGAGGAGCCATAAACAAACCTCAACCAAAACGCCACAAATAATGCTCAGAACAGCACCTAACTTTATCAACAGGACATATAGGGTCACAGCCACCAAACATCTTTTTAACTTTGACTCATTTCTTTAGCAAAGAGACTAAACACAACTCACCTACTCTATTCCAGCAGCCGCTTGTTTGTAGGGAGACCTCCAAGCGAGACTGCAGCGGAGTTTCGCAGCTCAAAGAAGAACATTTATGATAATTTCTTCATGGAAATACAATCAGACCGAGACGCTAAGTTAGAAGAACTACCGCGTCTGCAGTGCAAAATGATCAATATGGTGATTATTACTTCAAGGAAATGATAAAGAAATGATCATAAATGTTCTTCCTTGAGCTGCGAAACTCCACTGCAGTCGATGGACTCGTCTGAAGGTCTCTGTACAAATTAGGCTGCTGGAAGAGAGTAGGTGAGTTGTGTTTAGTCTCTTTATTAAAGAAATTAGTCAAAGTTAAAAAGATGTTTGGTGTCTAGTACTATGTCTGGGACCCTATATGTCCTGTTGATGAAGTAAGGTGCTGTTCTGAGCATTATTTGTGGCTATAGAGTGGTGTTTTGGTTGAGCGCGTGGCTCTCTGTATTGCCATCTGCGGTCGTTACAAGAGAAGTCGTAAACTAAAGAATCAAGCGGTTGCAACATTCATCTCTGTCGAGGGTGTCTGACTCAGTGTTATAGTGCAAAATGATTAATATGGTGATTATTACTTCAAGGAAATGATAAAGAAATGATTTGGTGTTACAGTGTTGGACCCTAAATCAATTGTACGCTGTACAATTGACTCGAGTGGAAATCACTGCATAGTCAATCTAACCTCTTAAAATTAACCATTTTTTAAATTTAACAGACTGACGGAGTTAAAAGTGACGGGTGCTGCAGCTCATCATGACGCTGAGGTTCATTTCTTCTCTCTGCAGAGTTTCCACAATAATCTGAATATCTGTGTTTTTAATATTTCATGTTTTCTGCTTCCTGAGACCCCCTGACATCCCTCCACTGTTTGTGCACATTAATGAGATATTCTTGCCTTTGCACAGCGATGAACTCCAAACAGGATCAGAGAGCGGCGCCACACTGTGACTCTAATCATGTCGTCTGCTGTATTAAGGATCGATGCGCTCTGTGTCACATTTCATGCAAGTGATGTGAGTTGTCACCGACCTGAGGTGTGACCAAGTGTGAAGATTAGTCAGAGATGTGAGTATGAAGTTACCATGGACACACGAAACGGTCTGCACGCTGACGCAAATCCTCAAGGATCTGACTGCTGAATTTATGTCCACGCTCTTGAGGTTGTCAACCATCGTCTGATGACGGTTTGAACAATCAGCTGGACTGAAGTTTGCTGAACAAATCGGTGAGGCAGATTGGTAAAAAGTTAAAAGTTAAAAGTAAAACTTTGTCAGGTCAAGAGGAGAAGAAAACAACTTTTAAAATGTTTGTTAATTGAAGTTCAGATTGATGCGTTCAAGGACATCAGGAAACCTTAGAGCTGATTGGCTGATTGGATTTGATGTGTTTGATCCAGAACAGATTGTGAGATTGTGTCCCGTCTGCTTTTGCTCTCCATACAGACTGATTTTCCAGAGTATCCGGAGTAGAGATTCTTCATTTTTGTATTATTTCTAAGAGTTTGAGCCTTAAACGCCTAAACTGAGCAGAGAAACTTTGAACATTTTGTGTTTTAGGCAGAAAGTTTTAGAGATGGATGGTTGGAGCAATTAGAGAGCTGAAGAGACAGGAGAGGGAATTACAAAAACAACAAAACCAAAGGTCCAAAATGAAACCCTGACGATCAGAATAAACTTTATTTTTTTAGGCTCCTGTAGGAAATATCGTCTGCTGTTGGGGAGAGTTTGTAGCCTCTGATAAATGAATACAAAAGAGCAAAAACGAAGATGAATTTTTATTCAAAAGACTCAATTTTATTCATTTAATTCGAGATGCATTAATGAAGGACTGCAGAGGGCTCCATCCTCGATTGTTCATCGGTACAGATTATTTTCTCTCCACTTTTTCTCTTCGTTTCCTCTCCTGAACTCCTTCCCTTGACCTTCTCTGTCGTATTTTTTCTGATACAGTCAACATTCATCAAACCGCTGAGCCCTATAATAAAAACTTCAGCACAAACAAAAAGGACACGTCTGTTCCTGAGAGGTTTCTGCACAGCGTCTCAAAATAAATCTACAACACCGAACAGAGGAGCCACAACTTTGTCTTTTGTTCAGCTGGAGTTACGGTCTCTGGAGTTTCTAGAGTTTTCTGTTTGTAGTCGGAGATGTTTGGACAAATCAGGTGTGAGGAAACTTTAATGTATGCAGCAAAAATCGGAGGAAAAGATTCTGCCAGGATGAGCTCCTGGTTTTTATTGGCGGTGATTTAGTCAGCTATGGAAACAGAAATCTGCATGTAAACACAGAGAGATAATCTTCCCCAGATTAAACATTTACACTGAGACAAAAAATCTGCTTTACGCTGCGACGCAGAAACATTCGAGCAAAACTCAAATCTACACACAGATTCATAAACCTCACTTCATGTGAGATCAGACACCAGAACTTCCTTTAGATTAGTCATGCAAAATCAAAACTGGATCCAAAAGCAAAAAAAGTTAACACTTTTCATGTGAGAAACTTTTGATTCATGTCGACTTTGGCGCCCCCTGTGGCTGTAGCAGTGCCTCTTAGTGATGGGCACGGCAGTTCTCTTAGATGTACTGAATCACTAGAATCAGTTCACTAGAAAGATTTGTTCAAAAGATTCGTTCACCAAATCACCGAATCATGTAGCGTTTGCCGGGAGAAGTCTGCGACTCCGACCTCCTGAACTGATCCACAGCTGAGCGGTTCAGGATTCAGTTCAGATCAGAGCTTCTGGGACTGAGAGACGAGAGTGTTTGTCTGTGTTTCTTTGGCAAACAGGTTTGTAAAAATGAACTTGATGTTTTAAGTGTACTGTCCTATGGTTTGCTGTTTATCAGGTCTGCTCGGTAAATTGGGCTCAGTGAGTGATTCGTTCACTGAATGTTTAGAAGAATTCACACTGAACCGTTCCCTCACAAACCGCTGCAATGATCGGATGCTGCAGGTTTGATGAACTACTTTTTTCATGCTGTGTCCTATTGTATGCAAGTTGTTGTGGTGGCAATTTAGCAGTAAAAAAAAAAGTTAGTTTTGTCCGAGAAAAATCATCCCAGAGAGTGAAGTTCAATGCGTGATTCGTTCATTGAGTGATTCAGGCGTCGGTGTATGTGGTCCCCTCGTTCACGGGCTGTTCGACTGGCAATGCTGCTTCTAAACTGAAGTGAGAAACGAACAAATCATTCAAAGTGATTCTGTTCAGTATGTTTACTTAAAAGATTCGGTTCTTTTGAACGAATCGTTTGCAAACGACACAACACTAGCACCTCTTACACCTTTGCTGATCTTGTTTTGCGCACGTGTAGGAAGCTGAGAGAAATCCCAGAGTTGTTGGAAAGAGAAGAGCGATGAGAACGCTCAAATATCGAGAAGCTCTGCTGCCTTAAAAGTAAAAAAGAGAAATCTTGAGTGAATCTGACACCGAGAAAGGGAACAACAAACAGGATCACAGTTTGGAGCAGATAAATGTGTCCCCGGCTGATCTTGTTGTCCACTTTGATTTTCTGTCCTCTCTGTCTCAATGCAGGCGATTTTAGACACAAAGTTAAAGTAAAACTGATGAAATGAAACGACAAAAGCGGTTATTCAGTTCATAAAGTGACGCCTGGAGGAGAAAGAGGAGGAGGGAGAATTTGTCCCGAGTAAAATGGCTGTAGGGCCATTTTTCTTTTTTTAATCTCCTATTTCAGGACCAAATTGTGTGCTGGTGTCGTAAAGTAAACTCGGTCGTCCTCTAACTCTGAGGTGAAATTTTCTCATTCCTGTCAGACCCCTGTTACTTTAGTCCGTAGCCCCCAAAGGATCAGATAAAGCGGCTCCCCTGAGGAAAAAGATCGAACCATAACTCTGTCTTCTGTATTCTCCTGAGACTCTCTTCCTCTTCACATACTCCTCAAATACTTCTCACACGTCGTAGCATCATTGATTATGTTAATTTGTTTTCCAGAAGACTCCGGTCATGATTGGGATGAAGTTTGGATTCATGATGCAGCCCTCCTTCACCAGAAACCCTTTAAGAAAAGTTGTCTGCTGTATTTTTCATCCTGCATCTGCATTTTGGACTCTTGTAATGACCACAGGGAGTGTTTATATCATCTCCTCCATCTCCTGCAGTAACATTTCATCCACAGGAGCGGCTCTCCTGACTCTTCTCAGCACCTCTCTGACAGGCTCTTCATAAAATAAATATCTGCAGTAATTTCCATGGAAACGTTTGCAGTTTTCCCTCGTGTCCGTTTCTTCTGGACTGCAGCAGAGGTGGTGATGGACTGCCTGGAGTTCATTCATGGAGACGTGAAATCAGACAGGCTGTTTTAAAGACAGGCTGAACAATCATCAGTTCATGTTCAGCATCTATGATCTGATGTTCACTGACTGTCTTTGACATGAAGTTTGACTCTCAGCTGTCGTCTGTGTTTGCAGTTAATTAAAAAGTCACATTAAAGTGGTGTGAAAGGGTTAGGTTTTAGAAGTAATAAGAGTGAGTTTTCAGTCTTTTCTGTTTCTAAAGTCTAAAAGACACTCAGGGAAGAAATAAAGACTCTGACATTGAAGAGTTTAAAGCCGGTTATAACAGATTAAAACTGATAATGGCGTCTAAAATGGAGGTCAGATGGAGGGAACTTTTATTCTTGTCATTATTTATCATTTTTTCAGGTGTATTTCCGGGCTGATTCCCTCTTTTTTGGAGAGGTCAGGAGCTGGAAATAGAAAGAGAGAGAGGGGCAGGCATGCACACAGACGACTCGTGTATTCTTCAGGGTGATGCACTGATTTTTAGACTTGTCTGTTACTAACATCGCTCACACATGCACAGGACAAAGGACCTAAAAGATAGAAGACTCTGCCTTGACCGGTGGTGCCATCAGTTCTGTTAGTTTGCATCTGCAAAAGTTAAAAAAAAAAAAAAAAAGTCCTTTCCTTTTGGAGCAACAGTCTATGTGCTGCCCCCTGCTGACTGTGGCGAGTTTCAGTCATGAGCTTTTAGAGTTTTTTTTAAATATTTATTTATTGTGTTTCTTATATCCAATCCAGGTCTATCTATCTATCTATCTATCTATCTATCTATCTATCTATCTATCTATCTATCTATCTATCTATCTATCTATCTTTCTATCTATCTATCTATCTATCTATCTATCTAGGTTCAGAGAGAGAGGAGACATGGTGCTGATATTTCTGTAAAGCCTTTTACCATCATAAAGTCAGAATCTGCAAGTAAATCTACATCAAAAACATGTTTGAAAGTTTGATTTATTGACAGAGAAGATAAATGCCCTCGAGCTGCAGTAAAAACTTCATGTTTCCTTCTTGGATTCAGCTCCTCAGACAGATCTCTGTATTCTCCTCTCATTTAGTTTTGATGTTCACAGTCCATCCTGCTCTAACTGGGGTTACAGTTCAGTCAGTTTAATGAAAACTAGAGTTGATGAAGCGGCCAATCATAGTTCAGGATTTCAGGGTGTCCAATTAAATTTTAGGGAGGGGCATCGGCACCCTAACAGCCACCCCTGCCTCCATCTCTGAATGCTGAGTTATCACTTACAGTATAGATGCTTAAGCAGCTCTCTCTCTCTCTCTCTCTCTCTCTCTCTCCTCCTCCTCCTCCTCCTTTTCTCTCTCTCTCTCTCTCTCTCTCTCTCTCTCTCTCTCTCTCTCCTCCTCCTCCTCCTCCTCCTCCTCTCTCTCTCTCTCTCTCTCTCTCTCTCTCTCTCTCTCTCTGTCAGTCCTCTTCGTACCTCCGTACCTTTCCCTCCTCTCCCGGTCCTCTTCTTGGATTTAATGGAAACCCGGACGTGCTCGGACTCTATCGGCCAGTTCTGGATCCAGTTTTTATCCGGACTTCATCTGTAACCCTGCTGAAGTTATCTCTGCTTTATCTGAAGGTTTTTTTTACTACAGCAGACAGACGGACACAGAGGGACTCTGAGGAGAACTGAGGTTAGTAAGAGGAATGATGGTCGGTTTACGCAGACCGGGATTAAAGTTTGGTGCGTGTTTTCACAGGATTGTATGAAACATCATCTGGATTATTAGGCTTGTTATAAATAAATAGATAGATGTATCTCCTCTCTCTTACGCTTTCTCTGATATTTCCATAATTTTGTCATCTTTAAATGCACCTTTACTATCTGAGCGCAGGAGTTGGTGCGTCCACATCCTCTGAGGACACATTTAAAGCTCTGAATAAGACTTTAACTCTCAGATTTGTGATGCTTTTTCTCTTAAATCTGTGACTTTTTCATGCTCCCCTGCAGAAGGACCCCGTCCAAGATGTTGCAGGAGCATTTCCCGCAGGTGCCTGGTCTTCTCTTCATCTATATGGCTTTACCTGCAGTCTGCTGTGAGTAATCTCCCACCTCTTCTCGCAGGTTTTTATCAACTTTAAAGTCTCCCTCTAGTCTTGTTTCTCGTTCCTGATACTAAAAAGGTTTAATCTTTGCAGCAGATTATCATCATAGAAAATAAAGAGCTTGATATCTCTGAGGATCACACTGGTCTCTCTTGGCAGGGTCCTTGTGTTTACCCCCCCACACACACAGAGGAAGTAATTACTCATTCTCCAAAGCTCCAGCAGATGTGTATCTATGTACCCAGGCACCCACACATGCATCCACGTCCCTGTAAATCAGACGCAAACCTCAGTGTGAGCCTCCTCGTCTGCCTTCCTCTCTCCTTTCTCTCTCTGGGATGTAATTACTTAGAGGCTGCCGGCCAGCTGGCTGAAGGGTCTTTAATTACAGCTCTCACTCAGGAATCACCATTCTCCGCTCATTTCCATCCAAATGCCATCGCTAATATCTGGATTCTGGGCACATGGACGCGGTCAGGATGTTAACCAGGTGTTGAGCGAGGAAAGTACAAATCTCTGAGAGGAGACTTCAGATCTTCATGTGAAGTTCAGGAGGTTTGTTTCCCTGTTTTTTCCAGTTTCTCGATCTTAAATGTTTCTTTGGTGAGAAATAAGGCCGATGCATTAGTGCTAAAAACTGCAGTTCCAAGACTGACCGCTGCAGGTGTCGACCAGAACGTCATGTGTGTATTATCGGTCTAACTTACCTGTGGATGGTTTTCTAACAGGGGGACATTTTTCATCTTTATTTCTGATAAAGTTGCATTGTGGGAAAATTCAGACTGAAGCAACATGGAAGTAATTTTACAGAGAGCACATGACATTCACTGTAAGGTAAAAGGGATAGACGAGTAAAATAAATGTGACTTTAAAAACCTAAAAAAAAAAAAAAAAAAAAAAAAACAACATACCATATAGTATACCATTTATAAATGGTAAGCAGTTCATTAATGTTTAATCATCATTAATAAATAGCATAAAGACCATTAATAAATTATAAATTTTACAATTTTAAAAACCTAACCCTGATACTAACTTTACAATAACCATCTAAGTAATGTTCATAGATGGTTTCAAAAACAAATATTAAACATTTACAAAGTGCTGCTGACTCACATTTTACTCTAGATGTTTTACAACCAATATTTAAACCCTATATAAACCTTTAATAAATAGTCCATAAATAATTAATGAAAATGAATAATCATAATTTCATTGCTTGTTAATGGTATAGTAATTATTAACTTATATTAATAAACTATCTATTTGCCATTTATAAATTATTATTATTGTAAAGTGTTACTAATTTTTTGACACTGAATAAACTGATATGGGCAAAATGACGTCGGTTATTGTTGTAAATTTCGGTATCTGTAAATTTTCAGTTTATCGCCCAGCCCTACTTCAAATCTTGAGGTTTTGCTCAAGTTGTCTGTGATCCATCTTACCCTGTTGGAGCAGGTTTGGATCCTTCTTTTCTTATAGGTATAAATGGTCCTGGTGATGGGCAGTTTGTAAGAGACGGCTTTCTGGGTGGAATCGTTCATGATGGACTGACCATAAATGAGCGCAACTTAAAAGCAACCGTATAGATTTCCGAGGAGCTCATCGCCAGTCCGTGTTGTGCTCTGAAAACTGCAGCTGGTTGTTGTTGTTGAATGACGTTAGAGTGCAAACTGCACATGCAACTACAGTGGAAGATCCCAGTCTGAGAATTAAAGATACATCACAGCAAAACTGCTCCAAAAAAACTCCATTTGAATCTCCATCAGACTCAGAAAAGAGAAACAGCAGAGAAACTCAACAACGACATCAAAACCAACAGTGTGGTCTCATCTCGTCCTGTAAGAGTTTCTCCGATCATGTAAACACTCAGTCTGATCATTTTTTTTCCTGCTGTGTAATTCGGCTCCACTCGGCGAGTTCCCTCCTGTCTTATTGTCGGTGTTGAAAGAAATAACTTTTCTGTTGCCGACTCGACATTTTTTTCTAAAAAAGGCTCAAAAAGAAATCGAGATTGTTGAACATCTTCATAGTTCTTCACGACAAGAAGAAGATAAAAAACAAAGTGAAGGAAAGGAAGAGAAATAAACCAACACGGTGGTGAAAATGAAATTTAGAAGGACGGTAGTGAGTGTGAGAATAACCAACATGTGCAGGATTTTGAGTTTCCTTCAGCTCCAGCAGGTTAAACGGCACAGAGGAGCGGATTTCAGGGTCTGAAGAGCTTAAACAGCAGAGAGCAGACACGTTTACTCAAAGATTTGATGGTCGTATCCTCAGGAGGTTCCTGTTGCATGACCTTAGAGGTCACGTCGTGGTGTAGGGGAGCTCAGAGACGTAAACATCATGAAGAGACTGATTGGTAGTGCAGTGATGCTGTAATTGGAGTGAAATGGGATCTGTGGAGCTGATTGGCTGAGGCAAAAGTCAAGCTGGTAGAAGAAGAAGAAAGCATGGATGATTAATTCAAGTCTGCAGCAGATAAACATGATCTTAGTTTGGCAGTGATTGTGAGGGTTAGCGACAAGAAGCTCATTTGTATCATGATGAATGAGTGAATATGGACATCAGTGTGATTTAAAGGTGGGGTAGGCAGGACTTCGTTAAAGACGCATATTTTTTGTGGTGTATTTACAAAAAAATCTTTTAATATCAGTCAATAGTTATTAGTTATTGATGACATTTGGGAATATAACGATATCTCTGTGTTCTCTTATGTCTGTGTAGTCAACATTTGAACATTTTTAAGTGGCCCGCTCTTTCTGATTGTAAACAAAGCCGTTCTCCACTTTAAGTGAGGAGGAGGAGGATGTAATCTCTGGAGCAGGGCTGCAGAAGTGTGTAGAAAATGTGCTTTTCTTTTCTGCAGACTTTCACATGTTGATATAAAACGGTGCAGGAACAGCTGGTTTTTGGTCACACATGCAGCTCACCCTGTTGTTTGTTGACAACAGAAACAGGCGGAGGACACTGTCTTTTCTGACACCTCTCATGAAACATACCATCGCAATAACATTGCACGTTGTATTTAATGTTTCATGCATATTTTGCTTTGACATAAAACACTTAATTAGATTTAGCAGGGTGAAGAAAGAGACTAACGAGTTATTTATGTAACATTTTCAGGACCAAATCCTGGCAGAGCTTTCTCCACCGCTCCAAGGTTGACCCGATGTTTATACACGTTAGATTCCTCGCTCTGTCGGCCTGCGTTTTCTTCCCACTTTTGGCAGTGGGGCGAGCAGAAGTGTGTTTTTTTGCGTCCTTCTCCATCACAGCTCCTGTTGCTAAGCTACTACGCTACTTTTAGCCGCTCAGAGCTCTGAGGAGGGCCGGGAGAGTGGGAGGGGACGATTCGGAACTACGGTAGAGGGGTGTGTCGAATACAGCGAGGTGATTGGATGGAGAGGCAGAGCAGGACATTGACCAATAGGAGCTTTCCGGGGCAGACGGCTCCTATTGGTCGATGTTTTTGCAGCCCTGAACAGATTTTTTCCGTTCCTTTTTCTCTTCACTTTGTGGAGATCGCACTATAGGATCATGATCGCCATAGAAACGAGGTTCATCATAATTACCTATCCCTCCAATCGTCAATCATGCCTTTTAGATTCACGCAAATTTAGACGCCCAGGTTTTTAATGTTTCACCTCTTGGCCCTTGACTGTCTGCTGCAGCAGTCGTAAAAGAATTCTAATCCCAGGTGATCAATCATAATCCTCCGTCCATCCTCTGGTCGACTTCACTGCAGCAGTCTCTCCTGTTTCATCGTCAGCAGAGGAAGCTCAGACAGGATCTTATCTCGTCTCTGCAGGTCAGGTGTTCAGTCAACCTGAGCTGATGCACCGGAGCCTTTAGGATTTTTTCAGATATCTGCATCTGTGTGAAAAGCTGCAGGCTGTCATGAAACGAAGACAGCTGCTGACACTTTCGTCAGGTTGGATCTTCAGCTCATACACTCTCAGTAAATGTCTGTAAATGTGTTTTTCATCGTCTAGTTTTAATCACCTGACATCTTAAAGTCTGCAGGCTTTGTCGCTGTCCTCTGTTGTCCCTTGTGTTTTAAGAAAAGGTCAGATATGTGGCTAAAATAAATCTCCAGGTGAGTAAAGTGATACCAGAGGTGCTTTCAGGACAACACAGCCGTTCGGGCGGTGTGAACCACTGCGAGCTGTCCGGATTTATTTATTTCGTTTTCCTTTAATCTCTTATCGATCGTCTTGTTTGAGAACATCAGTAGGTTTGGAAACCGGGTCTGAAAGTCACATTAGATGCGCAGAGTGTTCCTGTTCCTGCTTCAGCACATAAGTGTTTGTGTTTCTCTGAGCTTCGCCCGAGGGAAGCGCGAATGTGCCGACAGGAATCATATACGTTTTAGAGCCGAGGAGCGCGGGCTAAATGAGGTCAGGCAGGTTCACGGAGGGAAAGGAACGAAAATACGAAGGAAATATTTCGTACTCGGACAAAAGTGAACTCAAAGGCAGAGGTTGAATTCCTGGCTTTGTCCTCCTTATACGTGTCACTGTGCTGTGTGTGTATTTCTCTGTGTCCGTCACGTCTGCTGTTATTTGTTGAATGTCAGCTGGAATCACACTTCCACCAGGATGAACGAGTTTTTGTGAACGGCTGGTTTGTCTGCAGCATCAAATTTAGGATAATTGGCACTTGTCCTTGTTGAACTACTATACTTGTTGTAATAATAATTTAGACATCTTCTGAGAGTCTGCTTTTAGTCAGGAACTTTTAAAGAGGACTGCTTTTGCTTTCCCGAGGATCTGTCGTGTCACAAAGTTATAATTAGTGTTGTTCAGCCTTTGGGTGCAGCCACCAGCGCTGCTGTTGACAATAGCATCCAAAATCTGCAGTGTACAGCCTCCATCTGGTGTTCCTGTGAGATCCACTTTATTCATCGTTGTTTTTTACTTTGTGTGCACTTGTTTGTGTTTCTTCATCTGTTCACGGCGCTGCCTCACTTTGTGGTGGATTCCCAGCATAGAAATACACTCAAAGACGGGAAAGTTAAGCCTTGACAAATCAAATTACGTTTCTCCTCTGTTCTCGATTGGTTCAGTCACTCTAGGATTTGGAAAAGGTGACACTAACTTTGTTCTTGAATTATTGCAGATTAGGGTAAAGGTTAGGACGCTATGGACCTTTTGTCATAATGTGGAGCCGAATTGCCCTCGATATTTCTGGGATATTTTCCACTTCCACTTGTGCAGTAGTGTTGTATGCATTCAACAGGAGAGTCGCTGTGATGACACTCGGCCCAAACAGCGTATCCCCCGCTGAGCTACGCAATCTTCGTACGCCCATAGGCTGTATCAGGTGTCAATCATAGAAAACATGAACCCCCTAATAACTTTTAAAAAAGAGGACTTGAGAACAAACCAGTCTGACAGTAACTACATATCAACAAAAATGTATATTCTGTGTTATAAATTTCTAAACTTCCAACTCCATAGGGATTGCTGGAAGAGGTGGGATTTATGACCTATACTGCAGCCCGTCACCAGAGGGTGCTGTTCTCGCAGTGGCTTCACCCAGCGAGGAGGCAGACGGCGTCCTTGTTTGTGGTTTAATTATTTGGTGAACTCCTTTCCCCAATTTCAGTTTAATTATTAGACTCACTTTGAAGACAGAAAACACCTCCGACCAAGCGCTGACTTAAATGTTTGACATTTGTCGATTACAGCTGGACTAAAACTAAAAAAGTGACTAAAATGTGACTCAAACTCAGAAGCATTTTCACCTAAAGACTAAAACTTAAACTCAATTTAAAGTAAAGGTTGTGTTCGTCCAGTTGGCGGCGATAAAACGTCTAAATCTGTACATATTAAAGAAACATATAAATACAGCGTCTGAGAGGCTGATGGAACTGTTCTTTAAACTGTCTCCAGATTGATGAATAAAAAACAATCATCTGTAATTGATATATTCTCCCTGCCCTGCAGTATAATGATAATGAACTGGTAGATCTCCATTTAAACCAACAGTACCCTATAGACCTTAAACTGGCAGCTCGCCATCTTAGCGTTTGCAAAATAATACATGCAAACAAAACTTGACGTGTGAGAGTCTGTCAGCAGTTTGTTTTTTACATTCTGCTGTTAAAGATAGTTTACCTGCGACTGTTGGAGTGACTTTAAAGTATATTTTTACATATTTCATGTTTGTTTTCATCATTCAGACCTGATTTGGATCTCCACATACAGAGTTCACTAAACTCTAACCGCTGAGAAAAGGTTTAGAAACTTTGTGTTTTCAGTGACTCACCACCTTTTGTCCTCGTTCGTACAGATTTTCAAAACAAGCTCAGAGACAATAATGGAGCAGAAAGCATTAATGCTAATGTGAGTGTCAGACATCTAAAAGGTTCATTTCTACGCACTCTTATTGTATAACCTTCGAATGAAAGCACAGTGATTAAAAAGTCTATATTAGAAACATGACGTGCAGAGTAACAAGTTCTTCTTTCCTTCACAGCAGGTCTGATTGAATCGTAGTGATTATTTCACAGACAGTCCTTGGTTTTAATACAAATCTGTTTTTTCTATCAACGTTGTCGAAATAACTTTAATGAAAACTTAAAAAGTTATTTCAAAACCATCGCAGTCACAAATAATCTGCAGGAGCTCGAGGACAAACCTAAAGTTTCTTCTTTCGGTAAGTTACAGCTATTTTTTAGAGAATATCATCGTGTCTGGACGAGAAGAAACAATCAGCTTAATGAGCCGCGTGATGAAGATAATACCAAACAGTGAGGATCCGCAGGAAGAAGTCAAAGGAGTCAACCGACTCCCTGATTGGATGTGACAGAGAAAAAATCAGGAAACTGGAGAGTGTCGCTCTCGTTTTAAGAAAAGGGTTTATTCCAGATTCACTTCCTAATTATGACTCTGTGACTTTATTCATCATAACAAAGAGTCTGCACAACTATTGAGCACTATTAGTCGTATGTAGCATTGAATTTAGATGTTTCAGATGACTTCTGACTCCAACCTGAGTTCATGCACAGTAGTATCTGACATTCAGAGTAACCGTTTGGGCAGTTTTACATGGAGAGAGTCAGGAGTCAAGGAAAGAGAGATTAAGCCCTGATGTTTTTATCTGGTCATAACAAACATCTTGATTTTGTGTGCAGCTGGTTAAAGGCACAAAAATACAGAGTGTTGATGCAGAGGAGGAGAACTGCTTTTTTTAGTACCTTAGTAAACACTGTTGTTGTGATCACTACATGCTGGATCAGGGCGCTGCTAGCTAGAGGTGTTGGAGCAGAGACTGAAATGGACTGCTTGTATCAGAGTGCTGATATCGGAGATTATAGATGCAGGCCGATATGATCCGATATTTGTTTTTTGGCTGATATCAGACGATATCAATATCGCATCAGGACAGCGCTACCTGAGAAATATAAGATTATGACTATGTGGTTTAATGGTGACACAGACTATCAGGGAGCGACAGGTGAAGAGAAGAGCAGGAAGAGGAGGAGGCAGGTGTGTATCTGTGTGAGCCTGAAAATCCAAGGGATGGAGTGAGCATGAGGAGAGAGATCCTGAGCTTACAAGAGCGCCGACAAAAGGACGACTGCCGGGCTAGAAAGTGAGAGACATCGCTCTCATCCATCCATTCTCCAACCGCTAACCACTTCACCACTTTGCCGCTTACATCACTCTCAATAGTAATAAATTACAGGCCTGATTCTCCACGATATTCAGGTTGTTACTTTTATATATAGAATATAATCAGTAAAAGAGCTGAAAATAAGACCCACACAGATCATCATAATGAAACGTTGGAGTCATGACCGAGCTGCATGATATCTGCTCAGAGAGACAAATGAATCATTCATCATGGTCGGCTGTGCATTGGTATATATTCTTGTTTGTTTCCTATACAAACCCTCACCTGTACATGACCACTCTGAATACTGATTGACATGAACACATATGAGACATACTCCATATTTCTCTCAGTTTGATTATTTATTCATCCCTGTCAATTAACCCTTCCCTTATAGAAGACTTAGGAGGAGGTTTTCTGGGCTCTTCAACCAGACCCTCAGCCTCTCCTCTGGTATATATTCTGCTCCCCTGTCTCTGAGTGTCTCCATAAAGAAATAATGAGACTGGGACAGTGTCTGCACCGAGAATCCCTCTGTGATTGTTGTGCGTGTGGGGAGTGTGGAGATTTATAACAGCTTCAGGCTTAATAAGGAGGAGCTGCTTCGGATACATTCAATCCTCTTCTTCTGTTCGAGCTCCTTCATGCTGAGCGTAACTGGATTAAAACTTCTATTTATAATTGAAAATGAATGTGCACACTGATGTTGAACCGCTGCAAATTTATTAAAGAATTCATGCACGCCAAAATACAATTGTGACAATGGTTGTGCGTCATGAATATGTGATGTTTAGTGTCGACTTTTCCTCTTTTTGTGCACATGCAGCTTGTTGCCTATAAAAGAGAAAAAAAGGATAAAGTGAAAGGAGATTCTGGTGCAATTTTTATTTTTATTTCATTGTCATAGTTGCAGTTTTATTCCATCTATCAAACATAATTTAACGTTTTCAGAGACAGAAACAGCCTGAACACTTTCACTTTATGTCAGAATCAATCTTGGTGAATAGGCAGATGAGGAATAACTCCCCCCTCTTTGTGTTTTTTCTTCCATTTGTTTCCCTCCAGCCTCGTGTTAGAAAACTGCAGCCTTGAGGCAGAGCGGGTTGGTTTGTTTACTTCACCCTTTCTGCCCTCTGTTCTTTCCAAGTATTTCTCTAACAACAGCCCAGACTGCGGGCACTAAAACAGGAAGTCATTGTTCGGCTGGAAGACCTTTTCTTGGAAAGCACTCCTGGAAAGAGCACGATGCACTTCACGCTTTTAACCAGCCTCCTGCTATTAAAGCCGCGTTATTAAACTTAGAAAGAAAGATGCAAAAATAAGAGGAGGAAGATGTTTGTAATGAAAGTTATGGAAGGAATACTTGTTTATGGAAACTTATGAAAAGACAGAGATATTGAGGATGATTTGTGTGTGCAGCTTAGCCGGTGGAGATGCTGCAGAAGAAAAAGACATGGCGAGTGCACCAGAAGAACCCGTGTTGGTGGCATGTACAGTTGGGGTGTTGCGGAAATCCTCCTCCTGGCACAATCAAACAAATAAGTATCTGTTTGGTTGTTGTTAAATATAAAAATTACTGTTTTTCATCGATTTTCAGGTGTTTAGACAGAGTTGAGACATCTGTGTTGGTTCTCATCACCAACGACAGAAAACATGTTTGACTCCTGACTCTGCAACAATGAATCATAACCGCAGCGACGGCTTATAAGGCTTATAGGAGCTTTGCAGGCTGCAGAAATGAGACAGAGTTTTTGCTTTCACATCCTCAGGGCCTCTTAATGACTGGAGTTTACAGTTTATGTGGAGGAAGGAAGGAAGGAGGTGATTTCTACATCTTTAGAAACAGCGTCTACAGTTCACTTTGAAGCTCCTGGACTGAACACAGCTGTCATCAGTACTTTTAAAATATTGCATCAGGAACCAAACTGTGCAGTCTATGCAGTTTGGTTTGTTTTGCATCTGTTGGTGGAGAGGAACTGTCAGCATCTACTCTCACTGACTGATTTAACTCATTATAATAACTACAGTATGTTACAGTAATTTAAACAGACTTAATTATTTTTAGGTCACCTTCTTAGTGTCACATCCCTTCTGAATACTTTGGTACAGGTAAAATTTCACTCTGACTGCATGTGGCTGTTCGCTCTGGTGTTTTTTTTTTTCTTTAACATTCATTCACATAAGAAGAAGACATTTTCTCTCCATTTGCATAATGCCTCATTTAAATTTATGCAAATAACACCGACACACAAAAATATAATATTTGCTTTGCAGTGCAGCTTTTAAAGCATTTTACTCTCAGCATATGTTGAGAGTGAATTTTACAGTTTCTTGTTTTCTCTTTAATGGCTCAGGGTTAGAGTGCTCGTGTTTTTATAGCATCTCTTCCTTTAGCTTTTGTCATTTTTAAAATGTAAGTAGGATGTTGCACATTTCTGCACATCACTGCAGATAATTAGTTAAATCGTGACTAAGATCTGTTCAGTGGACCTGGATTATCCGTCACATCGCCTGATTGGTTAAGTTGTTGTTGTTTTCATCCCTCGTGTTTCTTGTCTTGTGTTTCCTGTTTTATTTTGATACTCACCCTCGTCTCTTGTTTCAGGTTCATTGACTTCCTCCTCCTCCTTGTTTAACCTGCTCCTCTGATTACCCTCATGTGTCTCACCTGTGTCTCGTTAACTCCACTGCTCAGGTGGATTTAAACCCAGCTCTGTGCCAGTTCGTCTTGTCCATTTAGACAGACTCTTTTTTGATTAAACAAACTTTAATTTTGCCTCTTTTGGTTCAGTGTTACACTATCAGGGGTGTAGATATTTTAACACACTTGGATCTTAATTGGACATTTAACTTCTCATTCACATCTTTCACCACTTCCTCTTCGTCGTAAACAAACGATATTATAACCTGTCGTCTGTCTACCTGATCAGCTCAATAATCTCTCTAATAATCAATCGATTAAATAGTTGCAGCCCAATTTTGACGGTATGATTTCCAAGTCTTCTTCAGTGCAGCTTGATTTTCATTTGGCAAATTATGCTCCAATTAGAGGCAAATAGATCTGAGAGCAGGGGAAGAATAAATTAACATCAGAGGCGTGAATAAAGCCGGAGAAGGATTTGGGTTTATTATCTCTGATTGACTCTTAAGTCCTACTGGGACCTGTCAGTCAGGACTGAAAGTAATAACGCTTGTCCATCAAGGTATAAAATGAGACGTGATAACCAAAGTAATGAAATCAAGACTCAAAGAGAGAAACTCCTTATCTGAGGATCAGAGAAAAACTCCAACCTTCTGTTTTTAATCTTTCATTTCCCGGTAGTTAAAGTATTTCTGTAACCTTTCAGCACGTCCTTCATACTAACCACAGAGTGTTCCTCTGCTCATGTACCGTCTAACTGAACACCATAATTATCACCATTAGGAGCTGTGCATTGAGTCTGAACAAAGGATTGTGATTACATGAGGACCTCCTAATGCTAAAGCTTCAACTCTGGAGCATATAGGCTCTCCGGAGCGTATATTATGTGCTATTTTTCTCTCATGTTTCCAGCTGTACTCAGATAGGAATGTGTTCTTATAACCTATTTTCAGAAGCTTTTATGAAGATTTGAACATTATTCCGTGTTTTTTCACTCAAGAGCTCCCGTCAAGATGTGAAATTACAGGGTGTTTTGTTTCCTCTCATTAAAGCGCCGAAGTTTTCAATGATTTTTAAGAAAGACTGAAACTTTGTAGTAAACAGGACCCTCAGCAACAAAACTGTCGATATTTAAATCGTGAATTTTGATTCCTCTTAATGGTACGAGGGGGAAGAAACCAGTGATGGGAATTATGGCTCTTTTTAGTGAGTCAGATCATTCGGCTCAGCTCACTAAGAAGAAACGGCTCTTTCAGCTCCTAAACGGCTCTTCATTTTACAACTTAAAGCTTCTTTTTTTGTGGTGTATTCACAAAAAAGGGTTTAATATCGGTCAATAGCTATTCCTTATTGATGACATTTGGTAATATCACGATATCTCTGTGTTTTGTTATGTCTGTGTAGTCAACATTTTAATTTTTTTGAGCGGCCCGCTCTTTTTGACTGTAAACAAATGAATTATCCGCCTCCCCCCAACCTGATACTTTGTACTGAAGTATTCACAAGTAAAAATGTCATTTTCTAATATCGGTAAATTGCTGAAGCCAATTGTTTTCATCGTTTACAGACCCTTGTTACTCTCCGAAACCAAATGCATGAACTTGCTTGTAGAACCACTCTGATAGAAACCCCGTCAATCCTGTCAAGAAAAAAAACGAAACGGCTCAGAGACGGGAGCTGGGTCCCATCGCTCTTTGAACCGGTGAGTTAGGGTTTGTTTTTGTAGTTTCCACATGAAATATTCATAATAAGTTATACATTTGACTATCAGAAATCAGCAGGATGAGATTTCTTGTCAGCAGATAACACTTAAGCATGTCCTGATTAAGGCTTTGTCCACAGGGGGGCGCCAAAGTTGACACAAACCGAAAGTTGCTCACAGGAGCTTTAAAGACGGATCTATCACTTGTCACTTTTACAGCAATATAACTGTTAAAATTAAAAGATTTAACCTGAAATAAGAGATCTGCTGAAAAACCCACTTTTACCTGACTGTGTGTGTGTGTGTACGGTTAACTGTGAGACGTCAGAGCCTGTTGGTTTGTGATGACGGCAGCTAAATCAGCCATGTGTAATTGGAGAGTCTTGGTGGAAATAATGATCCTTGCTTCGCTATGCGTGTGTGTGTAAGTGTGTGTATGTGTGTGTGTGAGGATGATGGGTGTGTGGTTTTATAATGAGAGCTCATTGGCTGATTTGCCTCAAATTCGACACACACACTCAGATTTCCCTCTAAAGAGATTTAATTAGACAGAAAATGAGGGAATCGGGCTGCAGGGTAGAGAAGCAACAAAAGCGGATGTTGTTCTTCCAGAAACGTAAACCCAGAGGAGAGTCCAGCTGGAGCAGGAGAGTCGGTGTGTAACAGAGAGGTTTAGATAAACAAGAAAATGAATGAAAGTCGATGTCATCATGTTGCATTGGGAGGCTTTTCGCTGAACTATAGGCTTTTAGCAGTGATGTGTGAAAGCTTTCAGAGTGGGTAATAGTGTTACCTCGATAAAAGGTTTGATTTGAAGCTTTTTCAACTAGATCGACAAACTCAGTTACCGTCCTCTCAGAGAGTTAGATTAGATAAAGAATTAACAATGGAGAAACACCAACATTACACCTGCTCTGGGTTTCTGTTTCCACATAATGAGGAGGAGGCTCCAGTATGAGCAGCAGGTGATGCAGAGAGCCGTCCAGCATGTTGTCCTTGTCAGTTGATGAATGAGTCTGTATTAATGAGAGCCACAGACTCAGATGTCTGACCCTGCTTACACAGACACTGAGCGAGGTATTAGCACACAAACAGTGACCCACAATGCACTGCTCTTTGACTCGAACAAACATTCGATCTAATGATGCAACTTGGCTTTATCAAACAGGATGGAGGTTGCTTCTCTGTACGCCAAATGATAAAAGGGGATTTACAAGGGGGAAAAACATACCATGATATATATCGTTACTGTGATATGAAATAACTCATACCCTGATATAAGATTTTGTTCACTAGATTGATTTAATCAAACATGTTTGCTTTAAAACTGTGATTAACGTCCCTGCAGTCACGACTCTTGACCCTCTCCAGTAATGAGTGTTGACTCAGAGTCTGAAGGTTTTAGCGGGTCTGAACACTGCCGGCCTCTTTGAAGCTTTCATTGAACTCTCACTAATTGGAAAAGAAGCTAATAGTCTGAAGGTTTGCCCAGCTGGTTTCCTTCGATGGTACTTCAGCTGTTATTGAGCCGGCGTCCTCTTTGAAGTCATCGAAGCAGGATACCAAACAGGATCACTGTCTTAAAGTCGACCAGCTGCAGGATAACTCCACATGGTTTCTGAGTTATAATAACCCGAGGCGACGTGGTTTAGAGATGGACGAGGCAACAAAAGGCTTCAAAAAGCGGAGGAACTCCTGCTTCCAGACTCCATTAAAAACTATTATCACCGAGAAACTGTTTCCTAGAAATAAAACCAGAGTGATTGACATAAATAAAACAGTTTTATTGATCTAAAACTGATTTTACTGTTCACAGAGTACTTGACTGAACATTTATTGAATGAGTTTGAAGAGCAGGGTACTCGCTGCCTGATAAATGGGGACAATTTCGCACTAATTCCCCCCTCCTGACAAATTTGGATTGATGGCTCCGGAGACGATTTTCTACGAGGTTCAAAACATGTTGAGAGTGATTTCACTCCCCCCAACGCAGAGCTGGACAGTTAATGGAAATGTCAATTGCAATCCTGATTATGTCTCCCTGTGATCATGGAAACAGGATTATCAAGCCTGAACAATTACTGCACCGCCTGCTGGGTTACTCTTGTTTTATTCTAGAAGGTAAATGAGGCTCTCTCTCTTTTTTCTTCCTCTGCTGCAGAGTGAAGCTTCACTTCACCACGAGTTCAGATCGATGTGCAACCAAGTTTGTCACGCATCATAAATTATCATGCAGAGAGGAGAGCAGGGAGAGGAGCGTGCACAAACATGCATGAGTATTACTGATGCAAACGGCTTTAGTAGGGGTGTCCCGATACACCTTTTTTACCTCCGATACGATACCCATATTGTAGCCTTCAGTATTGTCCGCTACTGATATTGATCCGATACTGGCACAAAGGAGCCTGGAGCGGAGTCTGGAATGGACTGCCTGTATCGGGGTGCCGATATAATCTGATATTTGAATTTTTGCTGATATTGGACAGATATCCGATATCAACATTGTATCAGGATACCCCAAGCTGCCTCGCTCAGCAGCAAGTGACGTCAGTCCTTGTGTTAAATTTCAGCCTGACGCCAGGATTCCACCGCATGCAGATCTGCTACGCTCCGGAACGACGGGCGGATCAAAAACTCAAGCATCAGATCCGATCTGCTGCGGCAGAGGAGAAGCACTTGCGATATTACTGATATTTCTCACGAGACTGGACGAGATCTCACGTGTTTCACTGTGAAACATTGATTGAGATCGGCGGTTTATATAAACACTCACATGGCCCCTCCCATCATCACGTGAAGAGCAGTTCGATGTATTGACTTTATTTTATTGTGGAAATTAACCAAATATTTTAACCACATACAACTTCCGCTGCTGCTCGTGCTGCTGCATCCGGCAAAAATAGAAGCCTTGCGTATCTGATCTGACCACCAGAGCGGAGCCGGATGGCGGACGGATTGTGTGGAATCACGGACACTGGTTAAAATGCTTGCGTATTTGATCAGGCTGCCGTTCCGGATCCTGTGGGATTTAGCCGTTACTTAGACGTATAGATGAAGGTGAAACCTGAAAAGGTTGTACGCCATGTTGGATCTGCAGCCTGTGAACACATATGTCCTATAACCTTTTTTAATATCACTGTGTTTGATGGTCTCTTTGAGAGTCATTATATATAATTTCTTTTAATTAATAATATCCGGTTAGACAAACATGCTTTGGTAAACAACATTGCAAAGTCAAAAGTGAAAATGTGTTCAGAAATGAGTCAACATGAGTATTTATCTTGTTTTTCTAGTCAAACATACTGTACCACAATCAAACCTTTAAAGACACAAAGTGAACAGAAATTTCTTTCAAAGTAGATAAACAAGATATTCAGAAACAGAACTGTTCAATCGAATCATTATTTTTCATCAAGTGTGATTTTCTATAAGCGTGGCCATGACTTATTTTTATTTCTTTTATTAAACTGAACTTTTCCACTGAAGCTGAAGTAAATCACCCTGAACAGGATCCTATAAGTCATTATTGCAGCAGCTGATTGATTTTCTGTCTGGCCTTTGTCAGAGTCGACAGTGTTTTATTTACCTGTCCTTAAACGCCTCTGTCTCCCTCCTTCCTACCGTGTCATTTTCACTGTTTACTCCGTGAACCATCTTTGATTAGTTTTCTGATTTGGTCCTAATTTTTTTATTTTTCACTCGCTGCAGGTAAACTGATACCAAATTAACCTGACTTCTTTTCATCACTGTGATTGACCTGTTTCCATAGCAACACTTCATTTTCCAGGAATAACAGACTGTTACTAAGGAGAATCGACCAATTAGACTCTAGTATTTAAATTTATGACTCAAAGAGACATTACATCTGTATATACGCTTAGATTAAACTGGGACATTTTCTTCTTCTGTGGTATTTTTGCTCACACAGGCCCTTCTTTTTACTTCTACTTTTACCAGCGAATCCAAACATCCTTTCTGGGGCTTTTACCAGGTAACCGACAAATGAGAGAGGTCTAAAAGCGGACATCTGTTGGAGGCAAACATCAGCCTGAATGGTTTGGTTACACCTCATTTATGTTCCCAGCAAAAAACCCAGTCCTGCTGGATGGTGTGCTCGCTCATATTTCACGTGTACAAATACTTGGACTGTTTTTGCCACAATCTGGGGTCTGAAATTAGCTGCTCATCAAAGTGTTTCTCTTCCGGTAACAGGATTACCAAGTTAAAGATACATTAAGGGTTTTATTTTAGATCTCCTGACCATGTTTGGGATGTCTCTCACTTGTGTCCCTGCTGTGAGTTTCTCTGATCCGTCTATTTTAGATGAAACTCAACAGTCTGGCTCAGTTTCACCCCCGACAGCGCTCACCTGGTCTTTTGTTTTTGTCATAAAGGAAGCTCAGACCCTGCTGAGTCTGCCTTATTTATTTATTTAGCTTTACTTTTTCAACCCTGTCCCTCTCTGACTCTCTGCTCCATGTTTTTATCTCCACTCCTATAATTCGATCCCAAGGCAGCTTAGTTATTATGCAAGCGGCGTACGCTGAGTCTCATAATCAGCGCTGATCACACATCTCTTTCATCTGTTTGGGAACGGGACAGAAACTCTCGTTGAAAGTGCTGGAATGAAACTAAATTATGTTAATGAAATAAAAACTCCGCTCAGGTTTAACAGTCCAGGAAACAGACGAGAAACTAAACAGACCAGAGGAGCTTTATTTAGAGCGCAGGAGGGACAATGACAATCAGGCAGAGAACAGGTGGAAACACCAGGGAGGGTGTACACAGAGACACAGGTGTGTGAGGATGGAGGGATGGAGGCAAGAAACAAAAGAAGAAGAAGAAGAAGAAGAAGAAGAAGAGAAGGAGACTCCAGAAAAGACTAAAAACAAAAAACAAAAACAGGACGGGCAGAGAATACCAAACAGACTTGGTGCAAAGACGTTCAATAGCTATGAAAGAGGATTAGGGCAATATGACGATAAAACAAATAATTACAGGAAAGAGATTAAAGTCGAAATTTCTAGATTTAAATAATCGAAAATAATGCCAGTAAAGACGAAATTTCAAGATTAAAGTAGAAAATTTCTAAATTAAAAATTAAAAATTTAAGATTACCAAGTGTCTTGAATAATGATGAAATATCCATACTAGAAAAATCAAAACTTTGAAATTCAAGTCGACATGAACGAAGTTGAAACTTCGACTTTTCTAAATTTCGACTTTAATCTTGATATGGAAATTAAAAATGATCTCCCTCCTGTAATTATTTTATTCTCCTCTTGTTGCCCTAATCGTCTTTCGTAAACAGCTGCTTTGTTGTCCCTGCTGTAAAACCACAGCGTGTCTGCCATGTTGGTGAGGGCAGGGCAGCCATGTTAACAAATACAAGTGGATGTGGAAACTTTCTTTTTTTCCATGTTAAAAAGCACTTAAGTTTACTTTAACTAATTTTAATGAATTCATTTATATGGCATGATTTTATTATTTAATTTAGTAGTAGAATAAAAGATATTTACTCCTTTTTTCAGGCAGTTTTACGGTAAATAATAACATTTAAAAACATTTATACACTGAACAAAAATATAAACACAACACATTATGATTTTGCTTCCATTTGTCATGAGCTGAACTCAAAGATCAGAAACTTTAAACCTATTTTCTTTCAAATATTGTTGACACATTTTTCTGAATCTGTGTTCATGAACACTTCTTCATCCAGGTGTGTCTTAGACCGGCCTCAACACGACATCGATTGGTGGGACGCTCAGTCAGTGTGGCGTTGACTTATTTAATGTCCATGGATTAAGTTGAACTTTTATAAAGTCCAATCACACACTCGTCTTCTTAAAGGATGACTGAATTTAATCCACGATGTGAAATCCTTCACACACACTGAGGATCTGCAGGGAAATGAGTCCAAACCAAGAGTCAGCGTTTCATCTCCTGATGATCAGCATGATTCGCGGCGCCGCGGCCACCTGCTCCACAGGTGGTCACTGGCGGCAGAGAGATGAAAAATAGATTTGTTCACAGTTTGATCTTTATAACTCCTCGTTTTGGCGTTGTTCCCCTCCTGTTGCTCTGCAGAAAAGGTTATTCTGTCGGACTCACTGTGGGGGTGAGAGAAAGCACAGCGCTGTTCTTCGGATATGATCTGCTGACATTTACAGATTTAATGAGATTTTAGGGGGAAAGTCAGACAGAAAAAACAGACATGTTTAAAAAAATAATGGCATTTGGGTTCAGTCTGTGACCCCCTCAGACCCTGCGTCAGAAATACCAACGAAAGCCTCAGTTTTGAGTTTGAAAAGAGACCGAATTATTACTTATTCTAACCTTTGACCTCCTCTCCCTGTTCTAGCTCAAGCAACCAGCGACCCCGATCAGAGCCTGCTCAGCAGAGGGTCCAGTGGGATCAACATGGGGGGCCTGAAGTCCGTCCTTGAAGACGCCGTGTCGCCAGCTTTCGGCGCCACCATCATCATTATCATCACGGTCATCGTGTCGGGCAGCGCCTACCTCTGCTTCCTCAAGTACGTCTGCGCCGGCTGCTGCAAACCCATGCAGGTGGCGCCCACCGTAGACGTGGATCCCAACAAGGTGGAGGAGCAGGTGTAGCAGAAAAAACAACGAGAAAGAAAATGGCCTGAAGAAGAAAGTGGAGTGATGCTTTTCTGCGCCAGTGGGATTCTGGCGACGCCAGGCCACAGGATGTGGATACTTACCCGTCAGCGATCTGCTGTTCATCCACCTCCTGCAGATCCTGATAACAGCGGGTCACTGTGAACATGATTATCTGCTTTTGTTTGGGGCAAAATCTGGGTCAAACAAGAGCCTTTTCAGCGGCGTGAAACCCATCAGTGACTTCCTTTGAACCATAGTCACGCTTTTCCGCAGCTCCAACAATCGGGGTGTCTTCATGAAGCCACTTAGAGGACGACTTATCCGAAAACATCTGCAGACCTCTAACAACCCGAGGAGCAGCCATCTCTGTCTAGACCGCGCACTCAGCAGCAATCATTTCAGGGTCGTCATGGCTGTGTGACTGTGAGGTCGTCTGAGGGTGTCTCTCCTGAAACTTCATGACTGACAGTTTGGCTCGTTAAAACATTTCCCTGAGAGGAGAGCAGACACAAATATGACGGCGGGATAATTCGGCGAGTTGACGAAGGTGACTCCCGGGTCTTTCAGCAGACAAACCTGACATTTCATCATCAACCATCAACAACCAGAAACACACTCTGAGTCTACTGTGTGGAAATGTGATTGTTATAAATTTTCATGTGTGTTTCTGGACAAATATTCTGGCAAATATTCTCTGGTTGTTTTCCACCGAGGTGAACGAACAGATGCCAAACTCGGTGCTTTCAGTGTTAGGATGCTTTGTACTCCAGGATAACACTGAGTTTGCATCACCTGAAGGAGAATCTGTCCTCACACAGCAGCGCAGCAGAGAGAGAGAGAGAGAGAGAGAGGAGCTGGAATCTATCTTCGCATTTCATTCCCATCAGCCAGAATCTTAACTTGGACGACCTCATTTACCCAAAGAGAGAATATATTTGGACAGTTTTAGAGATCATGTTAAATATTGAGCGGATAAAAGATTTCAGATGATGAAACTGAAAAAAAAAAGGTTGTTTCATGAATAATATAAGCTCAGTTTGTTTTTGATGAAGACAGCTTGGATCAGGATGTGTTTACCGCCGTGTTGCATAACCTCTTCGTTTGAAGATCAGGAGGTTTAGAGATTTTAAAGTGAATATGGAGTCAAATTAAATCTTATTGATACACACTGTGTGCTTCACACTGATTCGGAGCATACTACATATTACATGTATGATATTAGCCTGTGCAAACCTGGACCTGGTTTGTTGTCCTCTAACTGTCCCAGGTTTTAAAGGGATATTCCGGTGTAAAATTAGTTTAGAGTCAAACACACAGTAACACTGAGTTAGACACCCCGTCGAGAGATGAATGTTGCCGACTGCTTGCTTCTCTAGTTACTCTACAGAGTTTGGTGTCTAGTACTATGTCTGTGACCCTATATGTCCTGTTGATGAAGTTAGGTGCTGTTCTGAGCATTATTTGTGGCTATAGAGTGGCGTTTTGGTTGAGGGCGTGGCTCTCTGTATTACTATCCTGCAGTCGTTACTAAAGTTGGTTTAACTAGAGAAGCAAGCGGTCGACAACATTCATCATTCATTAAGCTCATTTTCCTGTATCTGGAGTCTTCAGCTCCCTCCAGCTCCGTCAGGACTCTCCTCCTTCTGCAGAGCGACGGATGAGAAATGTAATGATTTCCTTTCTTCTTTTTGCAAATCATGTTCAGTTAACAGATTTCCTGCTTCGACTCGTTTCTTTGAGGTTTGCCGCAGACCAATATTTGCTTCTGCTTTGTTTTTGACAGAGCTTTTTTTCCTGACATTTCCTGGATGCAATGCCGTCCTGAGGAGGAGAACTCGGCTCAGAATTAAGCTTTTCTAAAAGACTTTTGTGAATGTTCGTCTCTTACATTGTTGTGTCTTCATTGTGTTGTTCTGTAAATAAAAGCAAGAGCAGAGTGGTGCCAAGAACACAAGAACTGAACTCAATAAAATCAAAACGCCAAACACACACACGCTGAGTCTGTTTGTAAGAACTCACAAATGATAAAAGTCACTTTTTCACTTCATTAAGTCTGTAGCTGCACAGATGGTCCATCTGTTTGGAAAAGAAAGAACCAACATGAGCGACTTGGTTAAGATTCCAGTGACGGAGGGTCTGCACTGCAGCTCCTGCTGATAAACGCAATGACTGTGGAGGACGGCGGCCTGCAGGGATAAAACTCCAGCACCAAAGTTGAGCTCATTTAAATTCTCTGCTTTTGTCTCCGAGCCCCAGAGCTCTCCTGATTACATCCTCTGGACTTTAAGAGAGGATATTAAATTGCACTTTTTGTAGTTTAAAGACCAACATTTAGCCACTGTGCTAAACATGTTTCCTTTCCAATCGCAGGAAGTTGTCTTTGACTCTGCTCATCGATCAGGAAGAGCCAGCAGGACCCCACTCACGTGCTCGGTCTGTTTCTGCACGTGCTCAGAACTTTGTTTTTCCTCTCAGGCTGCAGAGACGAGCGAAGAAGAAGTGCTGCACGCCGAGCCTTGAAAGGATTGTACATGTAAGTACTTTGTTGTGCAGCTCTTTCCTGACCTCTTGTAGAGATCTCCAGTTCGTCCTCGCCATCTTCATGCTTTCAAGAGTGTATTCATACTATTTATTATCATTCATTCTTTGCTCATTCCTACTTTTACCCCACAGGCAGTGAGTTTACATGCACAGCTGAATCGTACTGAGCTCAAAATAAGTTTTTTTCGCCGAATCGGACTTCTCTCCTTGTCCGCGTAAACATGCAGCTGAGAAAATCGAATTATTGACGCGAACGTGTCCTCCTCCCCCAAACTAGGGGGCGATATGGGTCTTTTCAGTGGTGATACATACTGATACTTCATACTCCGACTACGCTGGTTACATGGTAGAGAAAATCGAATTCCAATTGCATTATCTGGATGTCTTAAGTAAAATTGGAGGCCTGAAACAAGATGGCTACATCTACGAAAGTTATTTTAGTGCTTGCCTTATATTCGGACAAGGCAAGCGCTAAAATAACTTTCATAGATGTAGCCATCTTGTTTCAGGCCTCTGATTTTGCTTTTTTCCGACTTAGTAACTGAAACGCCAGGAACTTGGGTGTGACGTCATTTTCAGCTCAGACTTCTGACTTCTGAGGTAACTCTACGCAGCAATAATCAGAGTTCTCCGACTCAAATCGGAGTTCTCAAACTCTCATTATAGTCGATCTAAGGTGTTTACATGCACTTTAGTTGTCCGGTCTTAATCAGAATAAGGCAATAATTTGGTTTCCTAGAGTGTCATGTAAATGTACTGAGTGTCCAGCTCTCTAACAGCAGCTGTGCTCTGAGAAGTAAAAGAGGGGAAAGTAAAGAAAGATCATCATGTTATTTCATAAACTTGATTTATAAATGTCAGTGACTTATTGATGTTTCACAAAAAAGTGACTGCAAGGTTTTGTGTCCTTACCGACTTTGTTCTGCTCTCATGAAATAACAAACTGCTGCTATGCAATGACTAAATAGATACAGGTAGCTAAAGCTCACTTCAGTCCATGATTTTAATGCAACAATAAAATGTAAAAACTGACCTGCTCTGTTAGAAGGTCAGACATTTTTTAATCACATTACTCTGCAGGGAAAACAAGGTTGTCAAAAACTAACCCATGAATATATGCGTCATTCTGCTTTTATAAAGGCATCATCTGCTGCGAATACTTAATATTCACCAAGTATCCTCATGTAATCCTGCGCAGCTCAGGAGCGAGGAGGGTGTAAAGTGAAGCGAAGGCTGAAAACACTGAAGCAATTACTGTCAGGATCCTGCAGGGAACAAGAAGGACAACCGCATCAGTATGCAGGTATACAGGTCTGACATTAGCCCATTAGGCTGCTAAACTGGAGAGTCTGTGTTTGTATAATAAGCAATCTATGAGTTATCATTGATGGAGGAGACAATAGATAAATACAATGAAATGCTGCTCTGTGCTCTTTGTGGAGGACACTGCCGCTCACCTACTGGTGAGTTTTTTCTCATTTCAATCCACTCCACAGATATCAGGAGTCAGGTGTTTTACCTGAGGCTTCAGGAAGCTCATTTTTAGGACAACATTTTATCGTCTTTAAAGGGTCTAATCATGTGGAGGACGACTCAAACATCAACAATGTCCATGTTTATATAGACAAAATTTCTTGATTAAAATGTAAGCAATGCAAAAACAAATAATCCAATCATGACGTGTGTATACATATGTCGTTGTCATTGTTTTCTTCTGCTTATCCATTCTGGCCCTCGCCCGGCCACTTCCACCAGCTCCTTCGGGGGGATTCCCAGGCGCTCCCAGGCCAAGCAAGAGATATAATCCCTCCACCTGGTCCTGGGCCAGCCACGAGGTCTCCTCCCGGTGAGACGTGTCTGGAAAACCTCTAACAGGAGGCGTCAAGAAGGCGTCCTAACCAGATGCCCGAGCCACCTCAGCTGACTCCTCTCGACATGGAGGAGCAGCGGTTCTCCTCTGAGCGCCTCCCGAGTGTCGGAGCTCCTTACCCTATCTCTAAGGCTGAGCCCGGGCACCCTGAGGAGGAAACCCATTTCAGCCGCTTGTATCAGTAATCTCGTTCTTTCGGTCATTACCCAAAGTTCATGACCATGGTGAGGGTCGGCACGTAGATCGACCGATAAATCAAGAGTCTCAATTACCAAAACAATCATCAGAGGCGATCGGGTTATACGCTACAGGATGAAAACACCAAACCTTACAGCTCTGGAGAAAAGATGTTTTTGACGACATTTTTATGCTCTTCAAAATCAATATGATCTAGTTTGGCTTCACCTGGACTTCATCTAAAATAGCAGCCAAAATCAGTCTTAACAAACTCATCCATGCACTCGTCTTGTTATCAGTTTAAAAAACAAAACCCACACCTGATTATGAAGTCTGCTTTGACACATAACATCTAACGAAAGGGGACGTTACAAATGTCTGACTTTCAGGAGTCTCTGATTTCCAGACATCATGTGGTTTTTGAGCGCCGCACTAACACACAGGCCCTGCGTGAATAAAAAAAAGAGCATGATGGACAGCGAACAGCGGCGTGTGTTGAAGTGGGACCTCGACCTTCTGTCAGCTTCTCATTGATTTTCTCTTTGCTCAAAACAGCTTTTTATGGACTGCCACAGTTAGCTGTTAGCCTTGAATGTCAGGCAATTTCCTCGTGTCAAACAGCTGACCATGACTGCCCAGACACCGCTTTGTAACACTTAAAGCGAGCCGTCGACTAAAGAATTCCTGAAGTGGATGAATCCCAGTTTAGTGGATATGAAAACCTTTAGATGTGACTTTTGGAAAGAAGGAATAATCAGTCCTTTTTGGACAGGAAGTAAAATGACCCTGAAGTCGTTGTTGGCCGTGACGAAAGCTGTTTGAATCCTTCAGATGATACAGAAAAAAACGTTCATTACCTTCTTTAGCAAAGGACACATCCTGACCATCCTTTGTCCTCGTGATCTCGATGTGAATGAGGACAATGAAAAAATAATGAAAGAGGAAGAGAGTGAGCTGAGCGATAGTATGAGAAATATGATAAAAATTTCACTTTAACTTTGATAACTTTTATTCTTCATAAACGTCTAATCGACCAACTTTCATAGATTAGAGCAGGAAGAGTCAAACGGCTGACTATCTGTGATGGTGGAGCATGCATGAGTGTGTAGGGGTGTGCGTGACGGTGCATGACTCTGCATTGCACTCTCTGACTCCTTCATAGTCTGATTAGACGCTCCTTCGCTGTGACCCTTGACCCACAGAGGAAAGCTGCTGTCCGAGCTCTTCATTGGCCTCTCTCTCTCCTGAAAGACCCACTCCGATGAAAATCATGTTTTTCTTGTTTTTTTCTTGTTCATTTTTCTGATATTACAGGATGCGAAATTATATTTCTGAATATTTCTGCAGACCCAAACAGCCGGTTGAAGATTCAGTGAGATTTCTTACATCACAAACCCAAGCTCCGCCCCCATAGCCCTTCTATGGAGGCCACACTTGGAGGAATAGAGAGGACGATCGTAAGAAACGTAAGAAAGCTAATTACCTGAACCTCAACGTTTTTTTTCAGTGATCCCTTCAAATTGTGTCCTTCATTATGTCAGACCTGTATCATTTTAGCATCAGCTCTGTGCTCCGGTTTTTAAATGACCAAGACTTTTCATCTTTGGACACAAGCTGTGACCGTGCTTTAGAAAAATATCAAACGTGTCTCTGCTCAGAAAACACCTTCAGGAGAACCGCTGCTGGAAATCAAAAGCAGCGCATTAGCCGGTCCAGACCATCAGCACAGCCTCTGAAGACTCATTCTGTCCTGGACTGTCTGATAGAAAACCTCTATAAGGCAGCTGCTCTGTCATTTAGCACAGACATAACTCCCTTTTACAGCCTTTGTACAGCGATATTATGAAATCTGTAAAGTGGAGAGGTTGAATAGGTTTTTTATTTCTGCAAAGAATGAAAAGGTCATACATTCACTCATCTGTTTACTTTTCATCATAGGTCGCAAATGCACAGCGCTCGACTCTTAAACTGAAGGTCAAACAAAAACATTTCTATAACTTCAAATTACATTGAAAGACGAGACTTTGAAAGAGAATCGATGATTTCTAAAGGAAATCTCTCGTGTTTATTCTTTGCCTCTGCGCTGGCTGAAAGGTTGTATAATCAGTACCTGATTCATTCAGTGTGTTTTCACAGACATGAGTCACAATCAACGGTAAGAGACACAGAGTCCAAAACAAGTCAGTGACGACATGTAGAACCGTGAAAATCTGCTTAGAACAAGCACAAACTCTAGAGCAGATTTACCTGAACAGGTGAGCTGAGAGTGTTTGACCTTTAATGACCGATCATTACCGGTGCAGCATGTGTCACCTGTGGGTTTTAAGAGAGGGTGAATTATCCTGGAGCCAGACTTATGAGAAACTTTTAGAGACTTTCTGAGTGGGTCTTATGCACAACCGGGCAATAAGTGAGCCGATCTTGCAGCAGACAGCACTGAATCCTTAAATATCCAGAAAGGAATAATCCTTAAGTTTTATTACTATCAAATCTGTCTGAGTTTTTGAGCACCCAGGTCAACACACCAGGTACTTTTGGATGTCCCATGATCTGGGCTTAAAGTCAGTGTTGACAGAGCCTCTGTGGAGGATACTCCCACGCTCTGAGACAGTTCACAGTTTAATATCGAAACCAGCCTGACCCTTAAAAGTAATAAGACGATGTTCAAAACACACTTCTTTGTGTCGACTTTTCAGTTAGACATATCAGCTCTGACATAATTTGCTTTAGCTAGACAATTAGATACGATATGATACAGTGTGATTCGATACAATAGCATACGACATGATACGATAGCATACGATACGATACGATACGATACGATACGATGTGATACATAAGCATACAATAGGATTCATTTCAATGTGATTCAATACAATCGCACATGATATGATTTGATACGATACGATACGATTCTATATAATACGATACAACACAATAGCATACGATTCGATTCAATATGAGAGGATTCGATTTAATATGATACAATTCGGTACATTACGATATGATATGATTAAATATGATACAATACAATTCTATACGATACAATATGATAGCATACGATTCTATACGATTCGATTCGATACAATTCGATTTGATATGATACAATATGATACGATAAGATTCAATATGATACATAAGCATACAATAGGATTTGATTCAATGTGATTCGATACTATAGCATATGATATGATACGATACGATTTGATTTGATATGATACAATACGATACGATACGATACGATACGATACGATTCGATTCGATACAATAGCATATGATATGATATGATTCAATACAATATGATATGATACCCTACGGTAGCGTACAATTTGATACCATACCGTACCACACACTTTATTGACATTTGTCTTGGATTTCAAGAGCTGCACAGAAAAAGCTGCCAACTGATGACACAAAGTGTCAGACCTAACAAAGACACAGTCACATAACCCACGCATATTGCACAAGAATCTCACAGAAATGTTTAAAAGAAACATACTGACAATAAAAAACAATGACAAAGAATAAGACACAGCAAGGGGAGATAAAAGGAAATGATAGATCATACCACGACATTATTGCACAGTCTGGCTGTATTTTCAGGGAACATTATTTAAAAACTTATTTGAGGTGGGCACAAATGAGTTTTTAAAATGTTTCAGTCTACATTTGAGGACTCTGTATCACCTACCAGACGATTAGAGTTCATACTCAGGGTGAAGGATGTAAGAAGGATCAGATCTAAAGCGTACCTGTTGGTTATTTTATGTGTTTTGACACATTTTTAAGCCATATTTACTTTAATGGTGCGCACATTTAATCAGTAAATCAGACTTTATTTGTACAGAGCCGTTTGTTCCCTTTATCAGGTCTATCTCCCGGTTATTCTCTCAGGTAGAGCACACCTGGTGAGATGAAATCAGTTAATGAAAAAGCTAATATTACCCTAACCTTGTCATTTTCTTGCTCTAGTTAATAAAAAATTGAGATAATGTGAAGTCTGAGCTGCTGCAGATTTATGTGTCATTATAACCTCCTGCAGCTTAATTTTCAGCGCCCCACTGAGTGTTATAGTTGATTTAAAAGGTGAATTTATCAGAGTGAACATGTCTTCTATGAACTCTCTTAGACGTGGAAGCAAATGAACTATTAAGAACATTTGCAGCGTCTCGGTTTCGTTTGTATTTCGGTTCAGCGTTAATTCCAAATGACAGTTAACATAATGCAAAGTCTGGATGACACAGCATCAGCTGCGTCAGCCGTGCCTCATTTATAAGCTGCTTAGGCTGCACAACATCCAATCATATTGATACAGGAGAACAAGCTGGCCTGAATTATCTGACATTTATACTAGTTCTCAGCACAAGAAACTCTGCGCTGTTCCTTCTATCACACAGACGCCCTCTTTTCCTGCTGCAGCGCTGCTCCTGTCACACCACCTGATATGTTAATTACTGTAGTTAGATGTTATCCTGAAGCAGACATAACAAAGCAATTTCCCATTGTCACCTAAAGAGCAGTGATGTACTCTGCAACCCTCCATCATATCAAGTCTATATTAACGTCTGTTTGTGCAGATACTATCTTTCGCTTACCTTTTTGGATTATTTTGAATCACATTTTTTCTCTTTGGTCCAGTCACTAAAAGAGGCTCAGAGGCAGAGAGTGTTGGCTGTTTAAAGTGGTTTCATCTCAGTTTGCATGTAAACAGATTAAAGCTTCAATTTATTAGGCACAAAAATCTAAAGGATAGGAGGCTTTTCAGTGAGTTTTTCTGTGTGAGGATGAGTTATTGTTTTAACCATCAGTTAAAATATCCGGCGGTACGAGACCGTGAGTCACCGCGTGGTGTCTTTGTGTCAGTCAATCCCTCAAAATGCCCACAAGTCAAGTCAGTTTTATTTACCGCCTGAATCGTAATTCATCTTCCTGCCTGTACCCATGGCAACAAGCACAGGCGGGCGGACACGTGTGTGCTCTCAGGTCATGATATGATCTAAATTCAATTCAGGATGAACAGACCAAGTCTCCGGCTTATTTGTTCACCTGAGTGAGCACAGTATTAGGTTTATTACCATCAAACCAGCTTTAGAAAGTGAATGTGAAATTCAATTTCAAGGGATGATATTGTCTCTGTTGGCGGCGGTGAGAAATGAATCAAAGCGGTCCAGACAGAGGGGGTCAGTTTAGAGGGAAACAGAAATGAACTTTTAGTGGATAAAGTTTCATTAAGAAAAAATCTAAAAAGAGTTTTAATTTACTGAGGACAGAAGAGTTTCATGTGTGCTGCTTTTAAAGTGGAAATTAGATCAGTTAGGGTCATATTAACCTTTTCAACCAAACTAGATTAATTCAAAGTTTGAAGGATCCAGAGTTTGTGTGTTTCATTAAGTCGATATATTCTGGTACTTTTTCTGTTCTTTTTTTTTAAACCTTTTAATCAAACTTTTAAACGGGAAAGATCTCAGTCCTTCAGAAAAATAGAAACAAAGCAGGAACAGTCATCTCTTATCCTCTCTTAGTCTTTTTAAAACGTCTGAGCGTTTCAGTCGTATTCAATCTGTTTCTGTATTACAATAATAAAGCTCTGAACCTTGAGAGCACTTCAGTCTCCATTCAGCTGAGCAAAAGCACAAATTAAAGACACGGCACCAGAGGATACGAAGTAAAATTAAACATCCGATCAAACATGCAGCCAGGGTTTAGCTCCCTTTACAGAGTGTACCGACGAATATTCAGGGCTCCTTTATTACTCGGAAGCACATCTCACTCTCTCCAGACTTTGCGAAACAGAAATCTACTCCCCCGATCTCTGTTTGCATTTTTAAAAGCAGGAAGAACTGCAGCAAATCTTAGAGACAGAAAGTTTTGTTGGAGTTGGACGAACTTCAGCTGGAAAGTTGTCAAACTTGAGGTCAGACGGCCGTCTTTAAATGAAGGTACATGAACTTGGACCAGACTGTCTGTTCAAAACTTTTTACTCTTTGGTAAAACTCAAACTCATCAGCTGAAATGAGCCTGTCAACGAAATCTCACCGTCATCTCTGAGTGTCTTTACAAAACAACACATTTAATGACGCTGAGTCTGAACTCGCCGCTCTGGTGTCGTGACGTGAATCTCTAGATTTCCTCAAAATCTCCGTCTGAGCTCTCCACATCGATGCACATGCAGTGTTTCCAGCACAACACAATTCTCCACCTTCATGCCCTGTTTTTTTGCTCTCCATTCCCCTAATTTAAAATAAGGAAACAGCAACACCCTCAGACTGGAGATCCGTGTCCTTTCTTATTTACACCAATTTACATCCAAAACCACAAGACTACCAGGCCACAAATTCAACCTTCAAAAGCCCTCAAGACCTTTGGTTTGTGCCACTACAGATAATGAAAAGTTTACACGCTCATTCACTCCGATGAGGAAATGCTAAAAACTGCAGTTCCCCACGAGCCCACATGAGGGCAGCTGCAGAAGCCGATACACAAACTCAAAAAAGTCAGTTTTAGCCCATTACAAGGTTGGCGAATCAAAGACATCGCTGACTTGACTGACAGGTGGGCACACTGTAGCTATATGCAAGGAGGCTGAAGACCCGAACTCAGGCTGAGTCAGCATTTCCAATATGGCTGCCGAGCTCAAAAGTCTGCTCAGAGGTGGGGTAGGCAGGAATCCGTTAAAGAGGCATCTTCATTTGTGGTGTATTTACAAAAAAGCTTCTAATATCAGTCAATAGTTATTAGTTATTGATGACATTTGGAAAAATAATGATATCGCTTGTTTTGTTATGTCTGTGTATTTAACATTTTAAGTGTCTGTAACAGAAGTGTTTCTTGTCAAACGGACCTGCTGTAGCGTGTTGTAGCGCCATCGCTAAACTGTCCTCCCTCGGGTCCTGGACTATGTCACTTTATCCTCGTTGTAGAAGTCCTGCAAACATTGTGTTTGCTGGTAGTCTGTTGGCATCTACAGTAGCACCAATGCTTTTTACTTTCACCTTGACTGGGCCCCATTTGTAATGATCTGAAGTATTTATCTGCATTATATCTGAATTTAATTGGAACGATACGAGCGAGCAGGAGCGTCTGTTTGTTGGCGGGGCTTTGGAGGGGTAGAGTTTACATTCAAGATTTCTCCTAAAAACTGGCACTTCCTCACATCCTGACTACCCCACCTTTAACAGACAAATGGGTGACGCTAGCGAGCTTACACTTATTTACTATACAAGTATGTAATTGTGTTATTTTTATTTGTGTAGATGTGCCCGTGTGTTTATTATCTGATCAAACTGATGGTTTTGACCCCTAATGAGGAACCCCTTTGACCTGAGAAGCTTCTATTAAAGCGTGTTCCTGATGTCTTGTGTTTCTCTGTATTGTGATTTCTCCCCCGCGCTCTTCCAGGTATTTTCTCCCGTCATTCCTCCCTGCAGAGGGTCAGTGCATGCATCCTAATGCTGCCTGCTGGCACATCCTCTCTGCACCCTGAGCGGCTCAGCGGTCTCCAGGATTTATTTAGAGTTCCACACAGGCTCCTGGTAATAGGTAGGAGGCTCATAGTATATGTACTTATCATCAATCAGTTGGTACGCAGAAGAGGAGTGAATTAAATTAAATCTGTTTTAGTATCACAGTGTAAATGATGGAGACAAGGATGGAGAAACAGAAAACCTTTCTTTTTCCAAACAAAGAGGCAGGCAGAAAATTACACGTCAAATCCAGCAAAGTCCGAGACAACCAAGACAAGGTCCTAAAAATACAACCATTAAACCCTGGGGAGGCTTGAAAGCTTTTCACGAGCAACAAGAAGGAACAGGCTCAGGAGGAAATCAACAGAAAATCAATACAGAGAAAAAAAGAGAGGGTGTATTAGGCGCAGGGACACAAAAGAGATGCAAGAATTAAAGCAGGATGAAAAAAAAAATCACTGAAACTAAAAAAGAGCAACATGTGAAATAGTAAACATATGCTGCACTCCTCTTTGTGTTTGTACCTGCAGAAAAATGAGATCTGGATCAGTTGAACCCTGACTCTGCTGCACCACATCCTTGAACTGTTGGATTCAGTGTATGTGCGTGAACAAACCAGGTAATTATCTTTTCTGCTTGCGTCAGTTGCAGGTATAAATTGCGGTCTGAACTTTTGCTGATGCTGAGGATACGCCCCAAAGATGCTAAACTGCATTTCATTGCATTTTTCTGAACAGTGTAATGACAATAAAGTCGAATCTAATCGAATCAAACCTAATCTAATATGATCCAAGCTGAGGACAATACTCTCAGACAGTTTTTAACAGAAGGAGAAGGAGAAAAAGAGTCACAGTTTATGTTCTGCATTAACCTCCTGAACATGGAAGTTAATGAAAGTTTTAATCCAAAGCTCCAGGATGCTAATTAGTCTTAAAAATTTATCATGCAGACAGTTTAGATTTACCTGTACTTTCTCTTTTTCCCTCTGTGTGCGTTACTGTGATTGTGTTTCAGCTGCAGCGGTTTCCCTCTGCCTCCTCATATTGCCTGCAGACTCTCAGTATCACAGATCTGATCTTGTTTGATTTGAGGCTGAAATGAATTTTCACACCTTCCTCTGTGTTTGTGTGTTACTGTTTATTATCAGAGACACACAGGAGACACATGCATTTAGCCTGATGAATAAACTTTGATCAGACGGAGGAATAACAGGTCTAAATAACTGCAGACGGATTGATTTAATGTAGATTCAGGGAGCTGTCATTGATCAAACCGCCTCAATGACACAGCGTCAAGGCCGCAGAGACTCTTACAGGAAAACTCATCTACTCTTAATGTTAGCAGTGTGAATGAGTGCCGGGGTAAATAAGTAATTAAACACACATTCAAAATACAATCAGCATAAATCAAACCTGAGTGAGTCTGCAGGGATTAGACTTCAGCGTAACTTTGAACGCTTTGTCTGTAAACTTGGACACCGGAGCCTGAACTCATTTCCAACGGGAGCGGATACAGTAAGACCAGTCTGCTGGGCTGATCTAGACCATCAGACCAGGTGAATACTTGACAAAGAGGGGACTAACAAGATTGTCACCCACCATCTTCCCTGAAGGATGGGGAAGTCCTGCAGAGCGATGCGGACGATCCTGCTTAGAAGTACGACTGCGTACGTCCACAGAGTCGTGGGTTTATTGCACCAGAAAATGAACCAAACCAAGACTTCAAACCCCTGCACCAAGCTGAAATGACATGTACTGAACCTTTACAAATCCAATAATCACTTTTTTTTAATATTCTGCAGAAAATATGATCTGGTGGATCAGGTTTTTAGTTTTTCTGCAGCCTGACTCAGATCTCTGCTTCGCTTATATAAAAGGTCTTGATTGCAATTCATCCTGCTTTTGAATGATCTTTTGAGAGCATCATTTCCCCCCACAAAGAGACATTGTGTTTCTGTCAAACTGAAAGAGAAGACTAATAAAAGTGGAAGACGTTTTTTTTTTCTTCTTTCTTACAGCAGGAAATAGAAAAATAGAGAGAAATCAAGTTTTTTTTCAGGGACATGATGGTCATTTGAGATTTTCTGACGAGCTTTAGAAAAAACATCCAGACTCTGATTTCACTGCATGATTCTGGAGATGTGCTGTCTCCTCAGATACCAGACCTGTCCTCTGACTGGACTCACATGTGAACCTGCTATTCTGGTCAAATTTGGAGTTCCTATGAATTTATATAAATTTTCAGGATGTGAGGATTTTATTATGACCACATTTTAAATTTTAGATCCTATCTGGACAAGGACTGTCTTGGGATCCTGCATGAACTTTAAGGATGTTGCATTCAAGGATAGGAACCAAGAACTGGATATAGATAAGAACTGGTTCCAACAAGTCTAAACCATCCACATTATTTACCTTATGCTTTAGGTTCCCTTATCCAAATCCCTGTCCTGGACTAGAGAGTTTTGCACTAATACATCAGACTTTAATAAATACAAGTTGACTGTAAAATCCACTAACTCTGTGAGACCAGCAGCTTTCTGGTGATAAACTCAGTGTTTTTTGCAACATTCAGACGCTTTTCTATCCCACAGAGAAGATCTTTGGGACAGTTTGGTTCCAATCACTGAAAATTTAAGGCAATTTGTGATGATTTCATGCATAAAATCGTAAATTAAAGTTAATCTGTGATGAATTCATGCATAAAATCTTAAATTTAAGGTTCTGAACATGGAGATAAACTTGAGTCGTTTCAACCTGATTTCTCACACCGAAAATCCTAAACGTCACTGGAATCACCAAATCATGTTTTTTTCTGCTCTGCAGTGTTTTACTCCAGATGTTTCTTCATCTCCAGCTGCAGTGTGATCATTTTCTGGGGTGAACTACAGGAGGACAGCTGGTTCAAAATTGGTTTTAATCTTCCACTGACACTTTTTTCCAGCTTTCATTGATCGTCTTAAAAACAAAAGTTGCTGTTTACTAAATGTTTCTGCTGATTCTGTTTTCTTGCGGCGCACCAGCAGATGGGCGTTCATCGCCGCCTGCTCCTCTGATGTCTTCCTGCTTGGCTGCCGTCCTCACTCGGCTGTCTGCATCTGTCTGGGAGTTTATTCAGCAGATTAGACGTTAGTCTTCTTCAGTCATCTGTGCCATCTTATCGATGAATTAAATCTGCTCAGGCCTCTGTCTGAGGGAGAGGATGAAGAGGTGAAGACAAAAATAATGCTAAGAAAACACTTGTAAATGTTCTTTATTTATACAGCCCTTTACAACAACTCTTTAAGTGGTTTACAATACATAGAAAATAAAAATGAATGAATAAAAACAATAAAAACAGTAGAAGCAATCAAAGCAATAGAAAAAGAATAAAATACAATTCAATAAAACAAAGTGACTGGGTATTAAAAGCCAGCATTAATAAGTACGTTTTCAATCGGGATTTGAAAAGGTCCAGATCGGAAGTATGTCGGTAGGATATTGTTGTAGGATATGTTGTAGTCGCTCCTGTGGTAATCTTGCTGTCTTTAGGAAAAACTCTCTGTATGGAGAGCAAAAAGCAGGAGGACATCAATCTGTGGAAAAGACATCAGAGACATTTTCTTCTCTCCAGGACAGACCTGACAAAGTTTGTATTTTTACTTTTAATGACTTACCATAAGAACGTCATGACAGCAAACAAATAATTTGTACATTCAAAGAAAACGGCCCCTGTTTTGGATGTTTATTGCTGTTGGATTTGGTGCTGATGTATGAGAGAAGGCTGTGATTGGATGGCAGATGTCACATGACGGATATGATCATGTGCTGTGTTCCAGTTGTACTCGGAAATCTTTCCGAGCTCCAAGTCGGAAAATCATCTGGAACGCACCCCTGAAGTCGGATTACCGACTTGGAAAGTTGGATGATCCTCGCCAACCCTGACTTGACGACAACGTCATAATCCAAGATGGCAGCGCAGTGCATCAACAGTATAGAGTAACAGTGAAAGCTCTCGAAATGTTTTATTTATTGGCACTTCTGTTTTTGTTTTTGTGAAATTAAATAAGTGGTTTATGTTGTACTGCACAATGTCTAACTGTGAACATGGTGCTATGGAGTTTGTAAGTGTAAAATACTGTTTTAAGTGTTGTTTACAACTGGCATAGCTAACAACAACTAACAACAGCTAACAATAACTAACAACAACAGCTGACAACAGCCAACGACAGCTGACAATTGTAAACAACAGCCAACAACGCGTAACAGTAGGCATCCATCTTGGTTTTCCGACTTGTTAACTAGAACGCCGTCAACTCGGGTGTAACATCATTCCAAGCTCTGACATCCGACTTCTGAGGTAACTGGAACACAACAGTGATTGGCTTCTATCTGATCAATGAATCTCATGATTATAAAAATCAAAGTGAATTCATGCGGGACAGGGGGGTTAGTTTAGTCTGAAATACTGATTTTCCTGGCTGATAGGGGGACGGCCCGACATTTCTATGATTTGATTTTTTTTTGTTTTGTTTCCTGGGTTTCTGTTGCATCATTTATTTGTTGCAAGGTTGCACTACTTATTGTTCTGAGGTTGTTATAGCCACGGCAGTCAGAGGTTCACTGCTGTAAAAGAAAAATCCCATTAGGCCTGGAGACATACAGGAATTTATGTCTAAAGAGCATCTAATGGAGGTACATTGGCTGTCTCCATGGAAACTGTTTCAATTATCGTTTTGTGATCTTTTCTAAGCGAGTACATAGCTTCATATTTAATAGATTTCCTCCACTACACTGACCTTCTCATGAATTCTTACCGTCACAAAGCTTTGAGTAAATTTCTCGACTGAGGACTGATGAATGACAAACAGAAAGGACAGCCACATGTTAATTATCATCGCAGGGATTCAGCCGTATAGAGGCAGAGTTGTACAGAACAGGGGGAGTATTGTTATGGAAATAATCATAACTGATATGAAAAAGGATGAAAAAAGAAATAATTTCAGTTCCATTTTCTGCTGCACAGAGTCAAGGTCGCTTTCAGGCAGCTCTCTCCCTCAGGATGACCTGACAGAGGTGGACTCAGAGGGCAAAGAGAGGTAAAATAATACCATCTAAGAGGCTTTTGAAGATGTGAAACATTATAAAATACCCTCTATTGTGCCAATTCAGCTAATACCAAGAAAATATGTCATATTAGGTGTATTTTTACCACCTAAAATGTAAAGAAAGTGCCCGCTGGATGCTCTTCCAGTGGATAAAAAGTGATTAAAAGGGATATAAATTACTTAATGATCAAACACACCGTAACACCGAGATAGACACCCCCCTGAAAGATGAACGTTGCTGACCGCTTGCTTCTCTAGTTAAACCAACTTTAATAATAACTTCATCAACAGGACATATAGGGTCCGAGCAACCATCTTCTCAGCTTTGACTAATTTCTTTAGAAAAGAGACTAAACACAACTCACCTACTCTCTTCCAGCAGCCGCTTGTTTGTAGTGAGACCTTGGGCCAGTCCATTACAGACTACAGCGGGGTGACGCAGCTCAAGGAAGAACATTTATGATCATTTCTTCATGGAAATACAATCAGACCGAGACGCTAAGACATAAGAACTACTGCGTCTGCAGAGCAAAATGATTAATATGATGATTATTACTTTAAGGAAATGATAAAGAAATGATCATAAATGTTCCTTCTTCAGCTGCGTCACCCCACTGTAGTCCGTAATGGACTGGCCTGACTGGCGGAATTACCGGGAGCTTTTCGGCGTCAATTCCGAAGAATGGCGGAAGGCGGAAGCAAGTTGTCCATAGTGTATACAGTCTGTGATAAAGCATTTGAATGATGTCCAAATAGTTATCTTTGAGACACTTTTTAATTAAATAAAAAACACGACTAGAGACGGACTTAGAAAGTTCGGACCAGGCTGTGATTAAAGAAAAACGTCCTCGTTGCCGTCCCAGGAGAGTCTGGTTGTTTTTGTGTTCATGAATCAGCCTCACTGTGTCAATCTGGACACCGTTGGATCTATCATTTATGCAGGAACCAGCCACTCAACCCAAACTGAGAAGATCATCAGCTCCTGTAAGAAGTTGAAAACCGCGATCATTCAACGACAACTGTTGGGGGAAGTAAATAGATTGAGAACAAGATTCAGTGTTGTTTGTAAAACCTGCAGACATTTTCCGGAGACACACACACAGAGACTACTTTTATAAGAGGTAACTCGGAGATGACTGTGACAAACATGAGCGTAAAGACTCATGCCAGTGCGCAAACAAAACTGGATCATTCAGGGACAGCAACGGAGCGCAAAGCCGTGGGACAGTGTGGAACCAGGTGGACATGGCTGTGATGTGCGCCAAGCTTGAAATCCGATTCAGGCGCCCCAGAGAAACCGATTATGATGACAACAGACTCAATGTGTTCAACTCCAAGCCCAGGAGACTCCGCCTGGTGGAGCAACTACCGGTAAGACAGTGGTTTCATTTTCTCTATCCTGGCCCGCCGTGGCGTGTTAGGGTTCTGGTTCTGGTTCTAGATTTGTGTGACATTTCATTCCAATATCTGTGCTGGATCAGGACGATGGTGTCCGGAGCTGAGCAGCTCTCTCCCCATGAAGTCTAATGTTTTGTGCCGTTTTGTAAAATCAAACCCATCCAGATTTTTCCAGGCCACGTTCTGGCTCTGAATGTTGTTTTAGGGGATAAAATGAACAATAGTGCTTCCTGGATGCAATTTCAGTGGTCTTAAAGTGAATTCAGAGCCATCTGGATGCCCTTATAGTACATATAAAAGTAAAATTGTCTCCTGTAGATGACCTTCCTGTCATCATATGTTCTGTTTCTTGTAGTTTTTCCTGGTTTCACACATTTTCTCTAGTGTTTCTGTTCCCCTGTAGTCCAGTCTTGAGTCCTCAGTTTGTCGTTGACCCTGTTTCCCTCCTTTTTTCTGTGTTTTATTCTTTAGATCAGTTTTGTTTCCTGTTTTATTTTGTAGTAGTTGATTCCTTGAGTTTCTAGTCTGGTTTTACTTCCCCAGTTTTCCCTCCTTTGTTATTCACCCATGAGTCTCACCTGTGTCACATCTGTCTCACCTGTGTCACATGAGTCTCACCTGTGTGTATATATAGTCCCTGTCTTCCTCTCCGTCTTTATTGGTTCCCCCGAGTGTCTTTTGGATCTTTCTCTATTTGTTGCTTTTCATTTAGTTCTTTTTGATAATCCCCTTTTTTTGTCTGCATTTTTGGGTCCTTTCCCCTTGTTTAATCTTGCCTCATGACCCCTCCAGCAGATTAAAAGTAAAAAAGTAAATCAAGTTTCCTCTAAATGCTCCTCCAGTGAATGAAATGTAAGAAAATTTCACTCTCAGTAGCTAAAATATAAATAAAGTTAACCTCGAGGTCCTTCCGGTGGATAAAAGTTAATATTGACAGTTTGAGGCTGCAGAGCTTTATCAGTATTTTCACTTTGCATTAGCTGTACTGTACATCACATGTGAAACATGTGTGTAAAGGTGTCACTTGCTTTAATTTTCTAACATTGTAACTATGAAGAAAGCTTCACGTCCGTTTTGCTCTGAGGGCATCAGTGTGAGACTTGGTACAGCGTCCTGCAGCTACATGTTTGTCCATCGACTTATCGACAACCTCTGATGATGACACCTGAAGAGGTGAGACTGTTCTTCCAGAGGTGTGAGAGACGATAAAGCAGAATCTGCTGTGTGTGATTAAAAGTGCTGCGGGCGCAGAGGCAGGCTGAGTCAGACTAAATGAGCAGAGAACCACAGGGGAACACACGCCGAGCAGATCGGTTTACTGATAATGAAGGCCGGGCTGAAAACACACTTAGCAGATGACTGACGCTCTGCTGTGAGACAATATGAGCAAATCCAAATATAGAGACGGGACAGTATCTACCTCAAAGAGTGAGAGAAGCACAAACGAGTTCATATGATGGTGGAGGAGAAGTTTGGTATTCATTAAAAACAAACACACAGACCCTCTGAGTGTGAGTGTGAGTTTTCTGAACTTTTCTTCAGTGTTTGTTGATCATTTCACAAACTTTCTCTGTGGTGAGGATGAGTCTGCCTACAGGTGAGAGCTTCACCACCTAATGATCTGATTCCACTTCATGGTCTTTGCATGAACTAGAATCCATCATGAGAGCTGAACATCAATTAAAGAGAACCAGCTTCATGGCAGACTGAAGACAAACCCAGAACTTTGAAACCTGCAGGAAAAGAGTCCACGTTTGAGTGTCTGACCTGAACCACAGCTGCACAGTCGCTTTCTTTATATTGTTGTGTAATGCTGACACCTTGTGGTCTAACAGTGTAGTGCAGATGTGTCATTTTGCAGCACAGAGATGCTAGCTGAAGTGTTTTTTAGTTTTGCATTATGGTGTGATGCATTCACTGCGAACAACACTCTATTAACTTTGCTGAAAATTAGTTGTTATAATTCTCCAATAAGGATTCTTATAAACGCCTTATTAATAAATTCATGTGGTTAGATTGCAAGTGGTGAGTCTTTAAAAGAGTTGACAAGATTCCTGCTCAATTATGTACTCAAACAGTGCTTTAAAAAAACACAAGAAATAAAAAAATCTGAGGCCTGAAAACCTAAAAAACGATGCATTTAATCTTTTTATCCTTATTTTGAGACGATAAAATCCTCTCATCATTCTTGGATGTTTGTTGGATAAGAGAGTTTGAGAAATGGAGACAAAAAGTTGCACAAGTGTTTATTATGCAAACAGAAATCCAGACATGCTGCTCAAATGATTTTTGACATTTGATACATTTTGAAAACCTGCAGAGACTGAGGTTACAAAGTAGTAGGGGTGTTCACTTCTGTAAGTTGTCAGAGAAGTAAACAGAATAAAAGCGGAGCTGAGGGCAGCAAAATAGATGTCAGCTGTGACTTTTAGTCATCCTTTGAAGATGTTTTGGTGAAAAGTTATTCAACGTCAGTTGTGTTGCGGTGAAAATGTGGGCGGAGTCTGCATAGCCTGTCACTGCTGACGGCACGAGTAGCATTAGCAGTTTAGCCACAACTCATGGTTCAGCCACCAGACCAAAGCAGCGGTCAATCATATCATCTACGTTTACATCATAAAATGTTCACATTTAAGGCGTCTTCATTATCTCTGAGGGAGCGATTTGTTTATTTTGGTTCTTGCATACCTGAAAAAACACTCAGGACTGTAAACTAACTCACTGTATTATTTAGTATTTATCTTCTTTTGTTGTTCTGTTGAGTTAAAACGGTTTTTATATTTTTCAAAGTTCATCTTATTTGATTAGCTTTGATATTTACTTTATATGTTAATAAAATGATGAACTAATCTATAGTTTCTTCAGTTATCAGTACAGATACTTTAAAACTGGCAGTTTAAAAAAAATCCTGATAATAATCGAGATCGGACGATTTGACAAAATATATCATGATCATTTTTTTTGCTGAATCGCCCAGGCCTACTTGGGACACAATACGATATTATTGTGATTTTTAACATTTTGCAATATAGTGAGTATTACAATACAATATATTTTGGTTTATACAGTTTTTTTCAACTGTTTAGCTAATTAAGCATTTGGCTTGTCTTTATGTTTGTCTTATTTAAGCTGTATTTTATTTTCATGTAGCTCAACATATAATGCAAACCTTCTATATTTTTGTTGTACTAGCTTCCCCCTGCTCTATGATGTCACTTCTACCAAACCTCACTGGACAAAAAGTGGATTTTATTTTGTGAGACTATGCTGTATCGATCTTTTCTCTCACCCCTACAAATCAGTCATGGCCAAAAACCTGCATGTGTGACATCTACTTTGCAATAAGCAGGTTATGAAGTGATGTCAAATAAGTAAAAAATGTAGCAGGTTAAAGTCAGGAAAGCTAGCGGTAATGATGTTCTTAACATCCAAGCATAGAGGGCATCAGAGTTAAAGGAACAAAACAGGCTGATAAGGAGCCTGATTTAGAGGATTTTGGGGTGGAGGGCGGGTCTGAGCCTGATGGACGGCAGCTTTGAAGGAAAAGCTCTCAGTCTTTTAAGTAAAAGGTGACGGAGACATTAAGCTGTTAGACAAACTAGTTTGACAGAAACACAATGAGAGAAAAAAATACCACTCCAAAGAGCTAAACAAACAAGGAGAGGATTTTCTGCAAGACAAAGAAAGAGACGGATATACGATGGCGTCTCATCTGGAGAGTGTGAGGTTACTAAAGATTAGACCAAACTTCGACCATTTGAACGTTTACCTTCTTATCTTAGTCCAGACTAACATTCACCGACTTCTAGTTTGTTTAAATTACACGTTTATTACTGAGCACCACCTCAGGGGAAACTTACAATCAGAAAAATATTAGAAGATAAAATGAGACACAGTTCAATATGATTTTCTGCTTTTTTGCACAAACAAGGTTTTTATCCCAGATTCTCTATTTATTAGATATGAATAGTTGATCTGTTTTTATTAGTTATTGATGATCAAAATAAAGTTTCATCGCCTTTATACTCTTGATTTGCTCAACTATGCATGACTCACAGCGTTTAGTGGTGATAAAAATCTGCCTCAGTGCAGTATGTGTGTTTTAAAAACTAAATATACAGGTGGTGGAAGGCGGAACCAAGTATATACAGTCTATGGTTAAGATAGGTCTTTGTCGGTGTCTTTCAAAGACAGCCTCCAGTGGACAGTGGTGAGACTGCAGCTTCAGTTTCCATCACTTGCGGTTGCAGCCGTCCAAGTTGTCTCTGAGTTTTGTGAGGAAACGGTGGACCTGGTTTACAAAAAGACAGAAAAAAGAGGGTCACTGTAACTAAATAAAAGTGAATCAGGACGCTGGTTGAAGCTTGAATCTGATCTGATTCGTCCTTGTTGCAGCTGCTGCTGATTCGACTCTCATTCACCGGATGTCTCCGACTCTTTCTCTTTACACATTTCTTCAGCTGTCTCATCAAAAAAAGCCAAAACTGACTAAAAACTTGAGATCCCTCAGGTTCCTGTTTGGCTCAGCAGTTAAATCATGCATCCTCTCTCTTTCCTATGAGCGATATCATAATTAATATAGTTATTATTAGCAGTTTGTATTTGTGTGTCAGTGGGCAACAAGCTGCCGAGTGTTTGACCTACTTTCCAGCAGAGAGCGTTGGGCTCCAGTTTCTCATGTTGTGGGAGTTTGATTCGAGTGTTTCGGCGAGTCTGGATGTTCAACACAAACTCCTTTCACTGGTTGTTTTTTTAGAGGTTAAAATCCACAAACCAGAGCATCCAGACTGTCTGTCCACTTGTTTTTATGAATGCAGGTCAAGCTTCAGTTTGTGGACCAATAGGAGCCCAGCTGTTGGGCCCCTGATCAAAGCCGACTGGGGCCCGGCGATGTCAGCCCCAGTGTTCAGCAGCACCATTCTGTTCGGGATTATCACACCTGTGGTTCAGGGATTAATCCCGGCAGAGACATGGGAACCAGGGACCAAAAGGCTCTGAGAGTCCGGTGCAGAGGGGGAGGAGGGACGGCACAGGTCTCCATGAGCCCCTAGGTGCTTTCAACTTTGTGGGCCAACAGGTTTAAAGGTGGGGAAGCAGCAGGTGTGGTGGAGGAGGCTCTGGCTCTTTAACCCTGTTGGTTCCACTCTGTTCTCGTTGGCCGTGCAGACGTCTTTGGTGAGATATTTTACACTGAACTTTGCCGTTATTTAGCAGAAATTAGACTGTTTACTTTTGCATTAAACCAAAAAGTACAGAATCAAAGATTTCAATTCAAAACCTAACCTAACGAGAGCCTAAGAAGACTGAGCAAGATCTCAATATCTGCAAACCTGTGAATAGGTTCAGTTAGCGGTGTAGCAGCTGTGACGGAGGGCGGAGCAGAGAGACACTTGGACTCGAAATGCAAAAATGCAAAAGTGCTGAGTCTGACCTGGTCTTTCCTCCTCTTGTCCCAGATCAGATTCTGGATCATATGTACCGTGTTCTGATGCAGGTTCTGTTGGAGCACTGACCACATTTAGGTGTTTTTCCGCCTCTGCGTCCACCTGCACCCTCCCCCCTCAGACAGAGATCACTTCAGCGCCTCTTTTTCACTTCCCAAACAGATCAGATCAATCAGGAGTTCAAATAGATCACTATTCTCATCAGGTAACATCAGGGAGGTCTGCTTGAGTAGAAGTAGAAGAGGTAGATCCATGTTTTAGTTTGTCCACTGGAGGGCAGTCTTCACCACAAAATCCCTGCTGTGTCTCTCACACACTCTCATCCTGCACAGTGTGTCTGCTGCTGTGTGTGTGTGTGTAAGTGAGTGAGTGTGTGAGTGTGTGTGTGAGTGAGTGTGTGAGTGTGTGTGTGTGTATGTGGGGGGTGTAAATGCCAGTGTGACCCTCGCTGATGAGAAGTCCTGAGCTCGTACGTTCCCACTCCGCTTGACTCGGCTCTACAGTAGTTCTGTTATGAACCGTCCAATTATCAGCTGAGGTGTTTGTGTGAGACTGGAGCTCAGATAAGGAGGCGGCATGAGAGCGACGTCCTGCAGAGACCGAGCTCAGAGGCAGGAGTCCAGCTAAGACAGGAGATTACACACACACACACACTCACACAGAAACACACACACACGGAGACAGAGACAGTGCTGTGACTTTGTGGTGATGTGCCCTCCCTGTTGTCCTGTCAAAACGTGTTTCACAGCGTCAGGGTCATCCTTTATGTCCCACTTTAAGCCTCTCCCTTTGATTCGCAGGCACACAAACACGCTCACTGCAATCAGATTAAGTGGAAGACGAGTGTGTGAGAGAGTCGCCGTGAGTGAAACGACGATAACGTCTTAGGAAAACACACAAACAGACTGTTATTTCACTGTTGTTATTTCATCTGAAAAACGAAGAGTTGTGTGGAAGGACAACAATTTTTGTTCATTTTTTTAAACTCTTAAAAGTGTCAAGAAAAAAACAGGTGAGCGGTCATACAGATGTAACATCGTTACGTTTTGCCAAATTCCAAAGATATAAAATATCAGTGCAAAAGAGAAACCTGCTCCAACTTTAAACATGACGCAGATTTATAAATGCATTTAAGAGTTTACAACTGATCGTGTTGCATATGTAAAATAAGAAAGTATAAAGAAAAAAACAACTGCATTAACAAACATAATTTTGCTCATAATCAATGAGGCGACCCGCACCATAACAGTAGAAGTGCTTCAGGCCTGTAGGAGGCGCCTATCTGCGACTGGATTTGCAGATATCTTGATTTAAATTTACTGTAGTTAAGGTTCGAGGAATCCACAGCGAGGAATAACTTAGAAATGGGCCATAAAAACAGAACACTTTTGTTTATACACGCTTTTTATTTTTATATCTTGCAGTGTTGCCAACCTAGCGACTTTAGCGACATTTCGCGATTGTCCTCTATTTCTCCGAGTCTGACCTTCATTGCGGGGCTACAGGAAATCTAACTTTTTTTGAGTCTGCTGTTTGAGTACAGTTACTCGATTACTAAAACAATCGAAAGCTGCAGCTCTACATTTCTCTGAATAACATTGTTTGGGTCGTTGTGGGTCAGTCGGCCGGACTCTTAAAAACACACAAGCATGACAGAAACCAAAACATCTCCACAAACATACTGCAAAATTAATGCTGCAGATGTTAAAATGACACAGAACAAGAAAATGCATGTTGGGATCACACTGTAAGTCCTCCAGGCCAGCAGGGGGCAATTTGTTAGGATTGTAAAACTCATGTTCTGAAGCAGAAAATGCCTAAAAAGTTGCAAAGCTGTCACGTTTGTCTGATGTAGGAGAGGCACTGATGAAATGTGTTTGTTAATTTGGTGCCACATGGTTTAAAATATTCCTAACAGTCCAGGTTTTTATGGAAACATCCGTTTGAAACTTACAGAGGGGAAGAAGGGCGGTGTCAGTAAATGTAAATCCATAGATAATATATTGGAGAGTAAATCCTCGCCGGGATAAACTGATGCATCAAATTTTCTCCTTTGACCCGTCAGCACCCTCTCACGCCTCCTCTTCACCCGGCGGATTACGTTTTCCTGAGTACAATGTTTTTATTATTACACGGGGGATGAGTCTGCGGCTGGTCCTTTAAGCTACTCTCTCTCTCTTAAATGATTAAAAAGGACTTAAATCCACTCCTACTCTCAGTATCTCCGGACAATAGGCTGAGCACATAAACAAACCTCAGGAACTTCGCTCTCAGTCCACAGAACCAGCCAGCCTCCTGCCCCGGGATCAGACCGCTGACCTTTTTATGAATAGAGGAAGATATTGACTGACAGTGCGGGCTGAATAGGAAGCCTGGTTAGCTCCCAGTTGAGCGCCCGGGTAAGCTGATACCCCCGAGTCCCCCCACCGCTCCGGCAAACACCGCCAGTGTCAGCGGGTCCCGGTGCGAAAAACTGCAACAGTGACTAAAGGGGTCATTCTCCTCCAAAGCCTGACCTCCCCTCCCCTCTTTCCTCCCCCTTATGTAGCCCCCTCCTCTCTAAACCCAGTCCGATGTCACAAGGCCAAATCGATGCATCTGACCCCCCTTTCTTTAGCCGGTGAACTTTCACCCCCGGCCTAACAAAGCGAGAGAGGAAAAGAAAACCTTCTTCTTCAGGGAGTGTTTTTAGTCTCAGTGCTGTACAAACAGAGCTGCCCCCCCCCTCCAGTGTGTGTGTGTGTGTGTGTGTGTGTGTGTGTGTGTGTGTGTGTGTGTGTGTGTGTGTGTGTGTGTGATAGTGAGATAGATGAACTCTCTGAGCAGGACGTCCCATCGTAAAAGAGTGGTGGTCCTGAAAGGGAAGTGTGTGTGTGAGAACTGAAAGTGTGACAACTCTCTCACCCTGGAGTGTGTGCGCCGACCAACGGACAGATTTATGATCTCGAGACATCAGGATGAATTCTGGGCCGTCTGTGCTTCAGATTTTTAACTCCAGTCCGTCCCATTTGTCCTTTTTCTTCTTGGCTGTGTGTTGAATCTGTGTTTGGAGGTCGTGATGGTGAAATTCAGTCGAGTTAAGAGTTCGCACTTTCTTGAATTGACTGCGTGATTAGGTGGAGCTGTGGTTAGAGAACGATCAGGTGGTTTATTAGGTCTACTGTCCTGAGAATTGTCGCCGCTATGGTTGGTGTTCAGTGACTTACTGTTGGACCTTCTCCCTGTAGATCTATGAAACAAAAACAGTCAACAAACATTCAGTTCCAGGTTCATTTATGCAGTTTTCACCCAATGCCATCATCAACCACAATAGAAATTTCTGTATATTTCAGGACCCACAGAATAGCTTGTGCTAGTCTCTAACCCACTCCTGTCTTTAGTTATTACCTGCTCAACGCAGCGTGGTCATATCATCTTCACCGATCTGGAAAAACTCATTTTTACGAACGAAGACTTTAAAGCAGAACTCTGATCGTCTATTTCATTTACTGGTGGCATCAAGCTCCTCCCTCCTCGGATACCACTCCTCATCACTCTCGAGATCCGATTGTGATAGGACACTTTGAGACGGCTGGGAGTCATTTTGGCTCTCACGAACCTGACGCCGCAACGTAAACCACACGGACTACTCGCGTCCTCCTCACCGGGACTGTCACTGAATTCCAGCTCACTCTCGCTCACCGCCAGCACAACGTCACGCTGGAAAATTGTTTCTTTGATTGTCTGCTGACGATGTGAAGGTCTGGTACCGGAATCTCTACTGGATCCAGAGACGGTAGCACTGTGCCCACGGGAGCCGATACGCCAAGTCCGTTAGCTCTTGGCTAATGACTTTGGCGTATTTCTACTCTTCTTATAGAGAAAAAAACACTCCGTAACTCGACTAATTGGCACACTTGATGGCACACTTCTCAGTGGCGAGTACTTGTTTTTATTATTGTAATATGGTTATGACGTATTTGTCGGCTTTTCTGCGTTCAGAATGACCCCAAACTTAGTCACATGTTGGGGATGAGCGCCCTCTAGCGGCAGTTATTGGCACTGAATGAATTAAGTAGGAATATATTGAAAACAGACAACTTTACAACCTTTTTAATCTTCATTTATCCACATTAGATCAGAGATTTCTTCTCCAAATCAAACATTGAGATATTTTGATTCTGCAGCTTGAGGGTAAACGACAAACACGATCACCCCAGAGTTCCTCCTCTGTCCCTCTGAGTATCTGTCACCTCTATGTCCCTGAGTATCTGTGAGAAAACGTAACACTAAAATGTTTTAACCATGAGAAAACAGACACACGCTCCCTGTTCCCATCACCGGCTCACAGCGGAGAGGAGCTGGGAGCAGAAAGAGACATCATTCCCACCTGATCCCTGCAGGGAGGGAAGAGGATACTGGGAACAGTAGGAAACTGGGAATAATGGGCAGAAAAATGATGTTAAGCTGTTAAAAGGTGAGAGCGGGGGAAGTAAAGCTGTGGGGGGGACGCTTGTTAGATCAGTAACTGACATGAGA